TTATAGGCAGGCACGAGCACGTTGCTGGGCGTGCCCTCTTGGAGGAGCACCGTGAGGTGCCCTGAAGCAGCGTATCCAGCGTTAACCGCTTACTGAAGCATATATGTATTATTTATATATTACTGAACCCCTGGCATCTCCTTTTGCAAGAATTAGACATAAATTAGGAATCAAATATTAACCCTTCTATGTCTCACCTTTTAGGCTTGTCAGACTAGCCTGTTCCCAATCCAATTGAGCTGATCTTGGACCAGACGAACCGACAATTACTATCTTACTTTTAGATTAATAGACTATATAAAGGTAGTAGCTAGTGATAATATATATATATTATAAGCATAGAATAATAATATAATTAAGTTAGCCTATATATATCCTAGGTTAAATATAATTTAAGTGAAAATTATTTTCTTATTCTAAGGTCTTTCTATTCCTATATCTATCTTTTATATAAATACTATACGTCTAGCTCATCACACTGGTCAGGAGTCGTTTGCACTATAGCCGTAGATTTCAGTGCAGTGATCATTACTTCAATTTTGGACTATATAAATTGACTCTATGCTAAACCTAATATAGGACGTATTTCTTATTATTTTATATTTGAAACCTATTACCTTGTTTTCCTATAGAATATTATTTTTATGAATTTTATTTTAGTTTTTAATTAATATATAAATAATTAATTAGATTAAAATACTGATAAAAATTTAGATTAAATAAATAAAATAATCCTTCATATTATATTATTAATATATAGAATAAAAATCTAATAATCTTATTTATTAATGGAATATTGCTATTATTATTTAATATTTTAGAATCCATATTAAAAATATTAACTTATAATTATTAATTATATTTTAAATTTTTTTTTAGTTAAATATGATAATGCTGAGCAGCTCAGTAAGCCGGAGCATGAGCGCTCTCACAAGCGGCGGCAGCTGGAAAAGGAAGAACCCACCTGACAGGGAATGATATATGGTTACTGTAGTTACCTGAGTACAGAGTAAGTTTCCGCAGTCAATTCAGAGTCTTAAATCAACAGAATTGAAATCGAGAAATGATCTAGATCAAACTGCACTGGTTTGGGTAAGATCTGTTCAATGATCTCAATTACGAGGTCGTGCTACCCCATTCTCGGCTGATCGACATCAGTGGCTACCTGAAAGACGAACATGTTTCTCGACGATGCAATGTGCACTGTGCAGATCAATTGTGGACGGGCGGCGACGTACACGAACGCTTGTCAGATGCAGAGGGTCCGCGATGATCTTGACAGAATTTGTCATCGCACATACGCAATCATCCCCGCAGTCGGAATATAAATACTCTTGTCGTAGTCGCAATTTCCATTTCATCAATGCTATGAATAAAATCTCGAGATATTTTGCTCAAAAATGCCCCTCCTGAAGCTTTGTGGTTGCGGCGGTGGATCGAGCGAAGAAGAGGCCTCAGATCCACCACGGTATAGCAACGGAATACAAGGCAAACAATCCTCTTCAGTTCCAAAAAACCCGCAAGATTCGACTCCGGATGATGAATCATCCCCAGCCGTTCCAAACGGTGCAGCAAAACCTCTCACACAAAAGCAAGAGCCAACTCTTGCAGAACGACTTTGGGACCAAGCCTATAACAATCTCCGAGATGGGCAGCAATCCAAGCTGGTGCGGGAATACGAGAAACTCTTGTCCTGCGATCTAAAAGACGGTGATACTGACTCCGACACGGCTGTATTGTCGTTGGACGGAGTTGAAAATGCAATCGACCAAGACAACCCGGACAGGCGTCGAGCGCAAATGCGAGATGTTATCAAAGTCGGTCTTMAAAAAACAGAGAAGMAAGCCGATACGAAGCGAGTGATGGGAGCCATTTTGGGAGGTATTAGCCCGGTGACGGACATCATAAGTGTTGCGATATCGTCTTCGCCGCAAGCTGCGCTTCCATGGGCCGTAGTTACCACAGCTCTGAAGGTAGGTAAGACGTTGAAAGCCTGAGTCGATCTCGTGAACTGACTCTTCGAAGCTTCTAGAGAATCCTGTTGCCGAGGTTGCATCAAACCGTACGGGCACTGCCTATGTTATTAGAAGGATGGACTGGTACTGGAACCTGAGCGGAATTTTGCTCAAGAAGAAGAATGTACTCAACGATGGCCCATCGGACGGACTACGCGACATTCTCGAAGCAGACTTGATTGATCTCTATCAAGAACTTCTTTTATATCAGATGAAAACTGCTCTGTCCTGTTACGGAAGCCAAACTTTGAATTTCTTAAAAGACATTATCAAGGCTAACGACTGGCAAGGGACTCTAACTGGTATCCAAGATGCTGAACAGAAATTCCGGGAGAATTCACAAGTCTATGACAACCAGAAAATCACGGCGTCTTTCGAAAAGTCGCTCGAATTGCAGGAAAATCAATCGCGTAAACAATTTCGCGAAGACAAAAAGGAAATCCTGGACTGGATCACCAAAGCTGACTATAGTACTCGGCAAAGTGACCATTTCGAAAAACGCAACAAAGGTACTGGACTATGGCTGATGCAGTCGGATGAATTTCAATCGTGGCTTCGTGAAAGTGGAAAGGCCCTCTTCTACCATGGAATACCTGGCGCTGGTAAAACAATCCTGACATCTGTCGTTGTGGAGGAGCTCAGTACGAGATACTACACCGACAACACCATTGGAATTGCCTATTTGTACTGCGAATTTGATCAGCAAGACATTTTGAGACCTGTTGATTTATTACTCAGTATTCTTAAACAATTAACGGAAGGTCTTCATTTCATCCCTACCGAATTGGAGGAGCTGCATGAGAGACGAAGAAACGAACGGCCGACTTTTGCAGACGTGATGAAGGTTTTACGAGCGATCATTTCTCAGTACTCACGAGTATTTGTCTTTGTTGACGCATTGGACGAATGCCCGGTGGCTAACGGAAACAGAAGAGATTTTCTTTTGTCTTCGCTGCTTCCAAACATATTCACGCTTCAGGATGAATGCGGCATAAATGTCTTTGCAACTTCACGGGAAATCCCGGAGATCATGGAAGCCTTTGATAGAAACGGATCCACGAATTTGCCAATTCGGGCAAGTGATGAGGACATTCGGATTTTCTTGGGTGACCAGATGAATAGCCTGCATCCAAGAGTCTTGGACCGTCCAAGTTTGCAGGAGCAGATCAAGAACAAGATTGTTGACGCTGCGCAGGGGATGTATGTATTCTTTCCTATGTAGATTATGATATCCTGCAGGTCGCAAAACTGACATCCGATCCAGGTTTCTACTTGCAAGGCTCCACATTGACTCTCTCAAAGGGCTAAGCTCTCCCAAAGATATTACATCTGCACTGGCTAGTCTGTCAGTTGGACTAGGAAAACTAGACGAGACTTATGAAAGGGCATTGAAGCGAGTCGACAATCAAACTTCGAACGATCAAACGCTCGCAAAAAGGGCGCTCTCATGGGTTACATTCTCCACTAGGCCACTGTCTAAGGAAGAATTGGACCACGCTGTCGCAGTTGAAATTGGCTCCAGCGAATTCGATGATGACAATCTTTCTGGGGTGGATTATATCAGTTCCGTCTGTGCTGGACTGGTGACAGTCGATGCGAGCAGCAACCAGATCCGCTTGGTGCATTACACAACTTATGATTATTTAAAGCGTACGCTGCCAACCTGGTATTCTGTCGGGCATAAAGAAATCGCGAGGAATTGCGTCACATATCTATCATTCGATACCTTTGCGACCGGTCCTTGTTCCAAATCTGACTTGAAGGAAAGATTGAAAACAAATGAGCTCTATGAGTATGCTGCAACAAACTGGGGTCATCATACGCGAATATCTTCTGTTGATGGCGAAGATATAGTCGCAAACTTCCTTGAAAGTCAGGCCAAGGTTTTAGCATGCATCCAGGTCATGGAGCCGAGTGTAAAGACTCCGCTCCTGAGTAACGAAACTCCGCAAGAAGTGATAGGATTGCATCTTGCAGTGTTCCACGGACTGCTTCATTCCTTAGAGGTTTTGCTCAGCAGGCGACCCGATATAGATCTCGAGGCTAAAGAAGACTTCGATCGGACAGCTCTCATCGTAGCTGCTGAAAATGGTCATGCTGATGTGGTGCAGTTTTTGATAGAGAAGGGCGCCAACATGGAGGCACAGGACCATGATGACCGAACAGCTCTATACACAGCCGCGGAGAGCGGGCATGAAGCCGTGGTGAAAGTGCTACTGGAGAAGGGCGCCGACAAGGATGGTCCAGAAGGCCCGCTTTATTCACCTCTAGGAATGGCCGTGGAAAACGGGCATTCAGAGGTGGCGAAGCTGCTACTGCATAACGGCGCTAACCCCGAAGGTACGCTTCACGAATACGGGAAGACAGCACTTTTATCGGCCGCGGAATGGGGGGATGCAGACATGGTGAGAGACCTATTGAATAAAGGTGCAAACCCGAATGCTGCTCATATCGACTACGGCTGGACGGCTCTAACGAAGTCAACTGAAAACGGTAATGAGAAGATCGTCAAGATTTTGCTGGAGCATGAGAGTGTTGATATAGACGCGTATGACGATTACGCAGGAGCCACTGCGCTCTTCCTTGCAGCGAGATATGGGCGAGAAGGGATAGCAAACTTTTTGTTGGAGAAAGGTGCTAATTGGAAGGCTGAGAATGAGGATGGTGAGACGTTGGTTGATGTTGCTGCTGAAAGTGGGAATGAGGAAATGATCAAGAGGCTATTGGAGAAACACGGCAAGAACTTAGAATAATGTCCTTGTACTTGGTAGATGGTCCATGGCAAAAGTTGGGGCTGTTTTTAAATGCTGTGTACTTTTATACTGTGGGTTTTGTGTTGTTTGAGATTTGGCGGAAATTGACTTGGCTGGAGTGGGGTGTCCATTACCCAGCGGAGCGATTAGTTGGAACACATCTAAGATTCTCCTGGGGATTGAAAAAGAAAAAACTAAGTAGCAGAAGCGTCTGAGCTAACTAAATACTTAGAGCAATATTTTTACACGTATATGACCAGCAATGCAGCATATATTCAGAATAAAGTTTTTAAAGCTACACTTATGCAATATGTGGCTGCATTTTAAAAAGCTTGGCATATCCCCGTAAAATATTACGGTCAAAGTACGAAAAGTGTCGCTAACCAAATTCTTACCCATAATATCAAGCTCAGCTATATGCCCTCAAAAATGCATACAGCATAATGCGGGGTCGGTTAATTGCTTATTTCAAGACTCTTAGTACTATTCCCCAGATACAGGCTATTTGCGTGAGAGGAATCCCCTAACAGTGCCAAGACCTGTATGTTTCACGTAAGTTCGGACGATCCTCACCAGAAATAATTTGCTTGATTTGATGTGGGTTACTGGATCTACCAAATCACAATCCCCGATAATCCGCGAACAAAAATGCCGATCTAGATATTTCGGCTAAATATATCATTCTGTAGGGAGAGATGTCATTTTCAACACAAGGTTGTTGGTTTGTTTGGCTATATAATCAGCGTTGATCACAAAGACTAAGAGATATAGTGTGCAAGCTCAGCAGCTACGTTCTTGTGTCTTTGAAGCATAACTCTTCCGCTCTTTGAACACAATTCTTTTCACAGAACTTTTTGTTGAGGAATTCTTTATTCAGACATTATGTTCTCTTTCACCACTGCGTTCGTTGCTGCTACGCTTGCAGTTGGCGTCCTCGCCGGCCCTGTGGCAGCACCCTCGGCGCTTACCAAGCGCAATACCCCCAACTCATCCGGCACGAACAATGGCTATTTCTACCAATTTTGTATGTATAATGCCAGCAGAAGTTCTGAATACTTAGGAAGCTTAAGGCTAACCTAAAGTTGAGGGGATGATGGGTCTAGTGGTACTACTACCTACACAAATGGGCCTGGCGGCGAATACTCTGTGAACTGGCAGAATGTTGGTGATTTTACTGCAGGTAAGGGCTGGCAACAGGCTGAGCCCAGAAATATTAGCTTCTCTGGTAGCGTTAACAGTGGGGGCAACTTCTACCTTGCTGTATACACTTGGTCGACCCAGGGCGAGAATTACGTAGGTTCTCTCCGCAGACTAACACCATGATATGTGACTGCAATCTGACCTGGGATAGATTCTTGAGGACTATGGCACCTACAATCCGTGCTCTGGAGGTACGAGCAAGGGGAGTCTTTATAGCGATGGGAGCGAGTACCAAGTCTGCCTGGTCGACCGTGGCAATAATTACCTCCAAAACTGGTCCATCCGCCAGAATAAGCGTTCCTCCGGCACTGTTACAACGGCAAACCACTACAACTACTATCAGTCTCAAGGCATGACCCACAACCCACTTAGCAGCGCCGCTTATCAGATTGTGTCGACGGAGGGATACGGCAGTTCCGGCTCCGCTACCATCACGGTGAGCTAGGCGGCTTCTCCATTTACTTACTCCGCTACTGGCACCATGAGCTCCGTTTACCCACTACAACGAGTACATGATAGCAGTCCAGGTACTGGGCTGCTCACTGGAGACAGTACGGTGTCATCAGCTGGAATGGCCCCACAATTTGTATTTCGCGTTATACTTGCTAGTAATTGAACCCGTACTACTTTAAATGCTTGTAGATAATGCCTTTCCGTTAGGAGAGAGGATGTAGGTAAACGGAAAGATGAAAGGAAGAAGATTGAATTCAGTTCCTCATCTCTAATCAATTTCAACACTATTTTTACACCTCAACTATACATGGACAGTCTACCTTTAGATTTTCTTTCAATTTTTAGTTTGTGTAAAGGGCTGAAGCGATCTATGAGGCGTTTATATCGGCCGTATTTTCAAAGTTAATTCGGGCACCGGGGTTATCGTAGATTTGGTGCCAATTGCTAGCTGTTGCAACGGTGACACACCAAACCCATAGTGCCAATCACGGCATAACCCTAAACCTGTTCAGACTGGTATGCACTACCCTCCTCTTTAATAACGTGAATTGCGCAACATCTACCCGTAATAAAAAAGCAGTTTCATGGAGCAATGTATGCACGCTGTATTTTTGTCTGATGTGCTAGAATCCCCCTATAGGTGTAATAAGAGGACCGTGTTCGTTCGTCATTGGATCCCTTTGGGATTTCAATTTTTGGCAATAGTCACATGTGCCAGGTGAATATACAATGATATTAGCCGGATATCCCTATGATATAACTAGGTCGATCATAGAATCTCCACAAAGGGGATGGGGGCTTGGCGCTCGGATAGCTATCAAGCAAGTCTTCAGGGTGATAGCAGCAATCGTTGGACTCTTTAATCGAAAGGCTATAATGACATAGTTACAAAAATAGGGAAAAGTATCAACCAGGACTATTGACCAGCACGCCTCTTATCGGCTGGGAGGKCTGGCGTTTGCTTCGTTGAATGATTTCTTGCAAAATGCGTAAATGGATGCCAATTTCGACCCTGGAGCTTTACTCGTTGCAGATGTAGACTTCGCATTTGGAACACTACCAAACATAACTTGAATAATGCAAGTATATATTCAATACAGTTTCCCCGCATTTCATATCGAGAATTCGACGAGGAATAAACGATGTCGCCATTTGCAGGGGAAAGAGATTGTTGATATCGAGTTCATTCTTGTCAGCAACTAGTTGATATCATATAGAACACTTAATATGACGCTATATGTTGCATATTAGAATATAGAAATCCAGAATAAGAGCATATTCGATTGGAAGAGACTCTATTTGTAGAGTGAGTGATATTGTAATTGTCGCAAGGAAGGATGCTCTAGCAGTAGAGGGGTTACGATACCGGTTAAGTCGTAAGTCCTTAATATCACTACTACTCCTACTTTTCAGCTCATCTCCTATATCGTATCTCAAAGAAATCTGGCCAATTTTACAGATTTGTGTCATAGTTTGTTGCAACAAAATGATGTGGAGCCGATGTGATCTTTTGGATGCAGTCGAGACGGAAGAACAGATCAAGATGGTCATCAGAGTCCTGGCGACTATGCCTGTAGGTGGGAAGACACTATTCAAACCTCTAGCATCAGAGGGATTGACATGAGGATATAAATAGCTTCTCGTGAATTGGAATTGTGATTACAGGGAAAAGATGTCTTGGTTCTTAGAAGTTGCGGTGTTAAGACTAGCACGATGAACCAACACTAGACTCGCCTGAAGGAAAATTTCACCAATCCTTGCGATTAGATTGCGATATATCCAGAAGCTACAGCAACGACCGTCATACATATTATTATAGGAGCTTGTAAGTACCTTGGGGACACATGCAAATATTATGCAGAAGAGAAGGGCATAGTTTAAAGGGGCTTCTTAGACGTCATTGGAATAAAGCGAGAGATTGAAGTCAATCACCCTGCTGGTGGATTTTCATTCTAATCTTAACAGAAAGCGAGCATTGCCATAGGAATGAGGTCACACTGAGAAACACTTGACAGTAGCTTACATTCAGGTGTGAGCCATATAACGACGCGGTCATGTTGTCAGTGACAGAGTCTTTCTTCACGTTTTTTATGTAAATTGTACACCAGTGTCCACGTACCAAAATCCTGATGGCGCAGTAGCTGGAGGTGTGAAAGATTTAACGAGATCGGTACTAACAATTTGTTGCCCATCGGGCGATGTGATGCGAACACCAATAGGGACGTTAAAAGGTCCAGAGCCTTGAGGAACAACCCATGCCCCATATCTCTCTTGTGGCCTGCTGCTTGAGTAGTTAGGGTCGCGCTCGAGAGCTGTCCAGCTACTTTGACCAGATCCTTGCACTTCAATGCTGACAACGGAACCAACACCATTTGTGTTCACCGCCGATAACGAAAAATAGTATGGTCCAGCTCCATCCCTTATCCAAAGATAAACATTTCCAGGCTTGGGACAAGGAACGCGCTTATAGCGAATAGGAATCACACCCTCCGCTAGGCTTCCATTGCCTTGTAAACGGCCCATTGCAATGTCAGATAGATCCATGTGATGACTATCCTTAGGTATGGGGCATCCATAAGTGAAATCTATTTCACCACAGTGATCCGCTCCAGATCCGCCTACACAATAAGTTGGTTAGGCGTGACAGAACTTAGAGATACTGCTATAAAACTTACAACACCACTTGGGATTTGCGTCACACGGACAACTATCCACAATTTCTAGATATACTGGATCGGTATATCCAACCTCGCCTACTGCATAATCAGTACCATCTGGTTTGGTACGGATCAACTCGAAGCACTCTCCACAGGAAAGATAGTTATCCGGGTTTCCCTCTGCTGCCAAGGTGGGCCAGAACTACCCAGTGCTTTTATTAGTAAAAAGAATTTGTATAATGCTAGAAAGCTTGAACTGAGACTCAACTTGTGTGTAGTAATCGCCGTTCGGGGCGGCAAAATTGCCTCTCAGTGTAACATTGCTCGGATCTTGACAGAGTAGCGGGTAGGCCGTGCAGAAAGCATCGCACGTATTACCGAGCATTGGATCAGTCCAGCTAGCGGTCGTACTCCCTTTTGTGCAAAGTCCATAGAGCCCAAACCCGCAGGCGCCTCCACTCGTCAGACCAAAGTGGGTGGAACGCTAGTTGGATCTATCAGTATTCGATGCCAAAGCGGTTGATCTTGGTGGCGAATATTACACTGTAGTGCCAAGTCTCATTAGAGCCCACGGTCGTCTGTTCACCCCCTGGTTTTAAACTTAGCATAATAGACTTGGTATATTGGTGGTTTAAGAGACCTACACATGGTTCCTGATTTACACATGGAAGAATCAGGCGAGCTACAGCCCCCAGAACAAGATGTTGAGCACGTCTCCGACTCGTTGTTAGATGTGCAATAGTATGGACAACAAACATTATCCACTAACGCCCATGAGGTTCCGCAATCACTCGAATTTGCAGCCGGATACGGAACCTGCGTGGCAGTTGCTGTACTTAGAGAAGTTGTACTTGTGTATGATGAACCAGAAACGATAGTAGAGGTCCCTGAGGAACCACCTGTTCCTGTTGACGATCCAGATGAAATCTTTCATTGTTCAGTATGGCCGGACGCGAGGGAATCTTTACAGCCTACCCAGAACATACCTGAGTTGTTGGTGTGCATTGATAATAGTATGAGTTGAGCGACGCGCAGGACGATCCGCTTTCGCAACAGGATGGACCGCTGAAACCACTTCCTCCGCATCGTGCCCTGAACAATTTAAGAGAAATAGCTTTCTATGAGGGTATGGCTACGTACCACTGCGCAGCACAACTGGTTTGGGCCATGGTAGTTGTCCATATTGAAGCGCTCCACAAGCCTGCCACGAGCACAAGACGTGCAGCCATGTTGTGCGGTATGTGATGAAGTATGGAAATATGGAAATTGGATTACGCTTCTAGTATTTGTGAAGTTTGAATGACGTAAAATGAGAAACAGATGCTTCAGAGAGAAAAGGAAGCCTACGACCCTAGAATATATTCTGGGACGGAATTGTTGCTATAAGCAGTACACCAACGCGTTGATTCGTTTATCGATCCTTAAGTGAGGGGATTCTCAGTGTGCGCAACTTGGATAACAATTAGGCAGTAAACAAATTCATGTCACATCAAAGTCCGACATTCCGACAACCGAAAGATTCGCCGATAGTCCGCTAGGGTGTTTGTAGGTCGTTCACAGCCGAACTGGAGTGGCACTTTACTAGCAGATCATGCACAGCAGGTGGTATCTGTCTGCGACAGACAGATGAAATGACATTATTCCATAGAAATTATAGGTCTCAGGACTGTCGATTTCCTTCCAGATGGTTTTCGATGATTGGAAGGTATTCTGTCTTCCGATCTCATCGCGGGAAATCGCATCATAAAGTCAACACTGTGGAGTCGTCGATATACTTATTATATCCTGGTAAAGTGACATCATCAATTCATGGATAACAATCATAAAAGCTTTATTCCGCTTGTATCTGCATACCTTGGTAAAAATCACTCCTTTCAGGCTGTCTCAAACTGGTAGTGACCACCGGTAAATATGTTTCGGAACAAGGAGAGCCGTGTATTATTTGAAATTATTTGCCCTTCATCTACCACACTATAAAGGCAAGACTTCGGCACTACTTTTTGCAAGACTAGCCGTGTAAGAAAAGCTTTTTTTACAGAGAGATGTTTCTGTGAATTGTATAGCTGTAAGGGGAGGACTGTCCAGGAAGGGAGGGCATTGCGTGCACAACGCTCATCGAGCTTCCTCATACATTCTGGTGTGCGGAAATGATTCCGGAGTAGCCAAAGATCAGCCTCAAGATTAGTCTATCCCTAGTAATGTTTTGATGAACAGAAATAAACCTGGACGGAGGCATTTGAGAACTATAAGAAACGCGATTGCTTACATATTAACCAGGCGCTTCACATTTCTGCTTACATATAAGTCATGGTACAATCATCATTAGTGCATGATGGCAACCGTAGGCAACAACCTGGTTTGTACCAACAGATTAAAGTGGTTGAGATGCTACCACTCCACTGTAGCGGTGACTATTTTAAAATTATCTTGACAGCAATCGAGGGCTTAATTAGAATTTATCTTTTGTAGTGTGGTGGTGGAAAAGCTGTCCATAACCGATACTGAAAGGGGCCAAAATATGCATTTGATGCTTCTCTAATGATCTTCTGTCACAAGCAGTAATTAACCAGGTATAAACATATGGACCACTTATAAAGATTAGATCCATCCACCATCAACAACTATACTTTGATTGCTCACGGCCGCACTATCATCTGCCACCAACCACAGCGCGAGTCGAGCAACTTCACTTGGCTGTAGTATCCGCTTGATAGCTTGCCTATCCAATATCACTGCCTGATATTCTGGAGTCAGAATGTCGTGTCGTTGTCTAGCTGTCGCAATAGCGCCCGGCATGATGCTGTTAACACGTACCCCTCGAGGACCAAATTCATGGGCGAGAGTCTTTGTCAATCCGACTATCGCAGATTTACTGGCGACATACGGAGCAAGTCCAGTGCTAGGGATAGCCCAACTGATGCTACCCATATTGATGACTGAACCAGATCCTGACTTAATGAGCCCTGGCATCAATGCTTGGGTCAAGAAAAATACATGTCGTAAATTTACTGCAACACCACGGTCCCACTGATCGAGAGTGATGTCCAGCGTAGGTTGTCGTGCATCATTTGCAGCATTGTTGATCAAGCCGTCAATGTTAGGAAATAGTTCCAGTATTCGAGCCGCGACCGGTTTTATCGAACCTTCAACATCTGTCACATCACATTGCATGAAAATCGGGGTATGTTTCGGGGTTTGCAACTTCAGGTTCTCGATAAGATTGACCGAAGCTTGTTCTTGAATGTCAAGGAAGATGACCCTCGCTCCCTGCGCTGTAAATTCCTCGACAAAAGACGCACCGATTCCCGTTGCACCACCACTCACAACCACAACTCTATCACTAAGGCTTGGGTATGTAGCGTAGATTGATGAGGCTGCCATATCGGATGATCAATTCATAAATACAGAATCAGCCTGTCACATTCCTCCAACCCATACTCCGAGGGTGTGCTAAGCGCAGCAGGGCTTTTGAAAATGGAATTGGTACTTGCTTTAGTGGTTTGTGATTAAATGACAAATAATAATAATCTGGATTGTTTCCCCGCACCGTTCCCCCGCACTTTACTTCTTATCCGTGATCCTTGGCGCTGAAAGGTCATTCTTTCTTGCGGGAGATATGCTGCGTTACTTGTTGTCATATGCGTTGATCAAGTTGATTTCATTCAAGTCGAATAATACATAGCGATGGTAAGCATTGTGAGAATGATTGAACTTTGCAAACAACTCCACGTCAAATAGGTCATGGAGCGACGATTTGTCAATTTCTGCATTATCTAGAATATACCCAAATTAAGCTAAATGTAGTAGGATGTTTAGTTCAAACAAAATCAGTTTCCCGAAGCGTTCCTTGACAAATGTGCCACCATCAAATCCAGATAATCATGAGCGCGAGGGGTCTCATTTTCAATACCAACAATTTTAGCCGCATCGTCCCACAGTCTCAAGGATACCATTTCATCCTTCAGCTTATCTTGTTCGAATGCTTTTAGTTCTTCCCCGCGAAATGGCCCTCCCTGGAATGCTAGAGATTTTTGCGAAGCGCTCGATAATGACTCGTAGTACGATTGATTGACGGCCGTGAGATATCTATATCGTTGATTAACGTCGGATCCGCCCGGTAAAACAGATGAGTTCAATTTAAGAAGACAGTTGATCTTACCTCTTAGCCGCCACATGGCTGTTTACAAGGCGACACACGGTTTCACTGAATCCAAGCGAGTGTAGGTACTGCGCACCGATTGTCTCATGGCCAATACGGCCCACGTTTCCGGCATCTCCTTGACTGAGTGTCATGCGAACCTCTTTTGTTTTTTCAAGCGGGATAATTTGGCCAATATCGTGGAGAAGCGCTGCAAGAATGAGTTCCTGATGGGCTCCTAGGTATTATGTTAGTAAAATAATAACTTCATTATGATATAGTCTTGGGAAACTTACCAGCTTGTTTAGCTTGGTGGGCGGCTTGCAGCGAGTGCTCAAGCTGACTGATTGACTCTCCAATATAGTCACCCTGTCCGTACTTTTCAAAAATACCAAGGAGCGATTTTGCGACTACTTGTGGGCTGTCCATCTTCTCAGTTCTCGACCCAATGAATTGTTTGCATTAAAGAAAGATGTGCTTCTGCTGTTTTCTTCCCTCGTTCTTTTTCTCTCTTTTTGGGGCGTCTGGAGGGAGGGGGAATGAGAAATTTCTGGGATGGACGGAAGAGTTATTGTTTTATAGCTGGGAGCGCAGTGATACAAACTAGCGATTCCAGTTTATGGGTCCTCATCGTGCTAGATAAAGCATTTTGTTTCATGAGTAGTCTTATGACCTATGATCTTTCGGATCACATACGTATACATCTATCTTCACAGGCGGTCTTTTTTCTTTTTCTTTTTTTTTCTAGCCTTGACGGTCTATCCATTAGAAGTTGATATTCAGTCGACGACTGGTGAATCGCCTGGTGGGTAGTACTTTGCATAGACACATGCATGTACAATACGACATTGGTATACACTTTTATTTTTTGGTTTATACGGTTTATACTGTCTTTTCGTAGATTGTCAGCATCAGTGAACCGTAAGCATATCGCTCTTGTGCCTCATCATACGATTCGCCCTCTTTGCGTAAGTGGGTGACAAGCCAAAGCTTCCCTCGGTCCTCATAGTACTGGTCGTGCAGTTCTCCCCCGAGGCAGCGTTGTACGTTGCATGAATTGCCTTGCGGTCCTTTGAACTACAATGCACACCCGAGCGGTATACTAGACACGAACAGAATACTAATATCTCGCCTAGAAAGGATTAATAGTGTTGCACAAGTGGAGTAAATGTAGGCAATGTACCTGGTTGTAGATCGCATGGAACCTAGGTTAACGATCACTGGACGACAAAATAGTTTCGATGTCCGGTGGTATTCGCCCAGTCCCACGCATAAATGTTCTGAAGAGTGGTCGCGTGTCGGCAATCTGCGCGCACGTGAAATGCAGCTCCATTTATTATGGGATCGATCCGATCTGGATGAAGTATATCGAAAGAGAATCTCCGATTATATATAGGGCCCTAACCCTAAGGGGTCCGGCACGAAGTGCGGCGGGCTAGGGTTACTCCCAGCCAGTCACGGCCCCACGTGCCGTCCACCTCGGAGACGACCTCCGCCGACTGCGCCGTAGCGTCGTCCGATCATATATTACGGTTGACCCCGTGCTCTTCGGCCAACTCTACAAGCCAACCATCCATACCGAGGGTGCATTATCACGAAGGCCACATGTATCTTGTTACCGCTGGGATTGGATCCCAGTCGTCTTCATCTGCATCGCATCGGAAATGGTGTGGATGTACCAATCGGGAAGGTACAATCAGGTACCGGGCAGACGACCGAATCTAACTACATTGAGCAGCATCAAGTCAACATTTTTCAACATATAGAAAGGATGATACACAGAGAGAAGAAGCGTATATATATCTCTGAAGCGGTCCAGCTCCGTCTTCAGTCTGCCAACCCATCGAACTGCTTGGCCCGGCACGCAAACCAGCACAAGTTCCTGTCGTCATCATGGACCTAAACGCTACCGATATCGTTGGCGATGACAAACGTCAGGCAGAGGAGACTGTCAAGTCATACTCCAATGATAATGACGAGGGAGGTGTTTCAATCCGCCGCAAAAGCAGTGTGCTGAATGTGGTCGTGGCTGGTTTGGCTCTGTTCAGTGACGGCTACAATGCACAGATCAGTTAGTTGTCAATCATGTCGGCAAATCTTAGGAAATATGACTGACATCGAATCTTTTACTAGTTGGCTATATGGAACCTTTTTTCTCGGTGCTGTCAGTCATCCTTCCAACAATGATTATTACCCGTGCACCCTGCTAATGCGTCCTCAATCTGTTTAGGTATGGTTCTGCCATGTCCTCTACCATCAAGTCACGACTGTCCAATTCGTACCTCATCGGGGAGATTTTTGGTATGTTGTTTTTTGGCGTGTTGATTGATCGTATGGGTCGCCGAACCGGTATTGTGGCTGCCACTGCTTTCCTGGTATTGGGTGTTGTGCTCGCCACTGCCGCCCATGGTACATCCGATTTGGGGTAATTCGCCTTAGAGATTTTCCAAAAAATGACCCTCACTGACGAGCCGTCATAGCATGTTTTGGATGATGATCGTCGCACGAGGAGTTGCGGGCTTTGGTGCCGGCGGCGAATATCCAGTGTGCGCAACAAACGCAACTGAAGCCAGTGATGAAACGTCCGAGCTGAGGACCAAGCGCGGTTTCCTCGTCGCATTGACAACGGATTTTGCTATTGATCTTGTACGTGCTATGACTGAACATTGTCCCGGATTTGAGACTGATTAGCCTCGGCGACCAGGGCTTTGTGATTGCAGGTGTCGTAGCTTTGATTGTCCTTGCATGCTATCATCAAGCTACTTCACCAGGTGTGTGGAGAGTATCTTTCGGACTCGGCTTTGTGGTTTGTGCCTCTGGTCCGGAAAAATCATCTCTTGGTTCTAAAAACTGATACAATATTGTTAGCTTCCTGTTGTGATCTGTTTCTTTCGGCTTCGCATGATTGATTCTACTCAATATCGCAAACACAGCATCAGATCGAAATACCCCTATTGGCTTATATTGAAGCGTTACTGGAGACCAATGCTAGGTACATGTAAGTCAATTCTACTACCAAGAGTACTATCAAGTCGAAAAACCGGCCAATGTCTCATATGTTCAGGTCTTGCATGGTTTTGCTACGATTTTGTCACATATCCCTTCGGAATCTTTTCATCCACCATTATTGGGCAGTTGAATCCGAACAACACAACTGTACAGAATATTGGGTACGGCGTAAGTATTTTCAATATCCAGACGTAATCGCAGGCCTTCACTAATCGACATAGACTGTGGTCAATTGCTTCTACCTCCCGGGTTGCCTAATCGGAGGCTTGCTCATGGACCGCATAGGGCGAAAACAAACCATGACGCTTGGATTCATGCTTTGGGCAGTCTGGGGATTTATATTAGGAGGCGCAATTCAACCCATCCAGACCGTGTTCCCTCTCTTTGTCGTGATGTATGGAATCTTCAATGCGCTCGGTGAAATGGGTCCTGGTGTAGCGACTTTCCTGTGCGCTGCCGAGTCGTTTCCGACTCCCCTCCGGGGACACTTCCTTGGCTGGGCTGCTGCCGTTGGCAAGGCCGGCGCTTCTATTGGCACACAGGTTTTCACTTCAATCCAAAATTCCTTCTCGTCTACGGAAAAGGGCCAACAAGCCGTTTTCCTGATTGGGTCTGCATTCTGTGTCGTTGGTGGGTTAATTTCTTGGTTCCTCATCCCAGACATGTCGCGTGAATTGGAGACAGAGGATGTTCGATTCAGGGCTTATCTGGAAGAGAATGGATACAGGTACGAGGACGGAGCGATTGTCTCTGACCGGGATACATCTTAAAGTCGCGTGTTGAAAGTTTGAAGCTTATGGCATTATTCACTGGACTGACGAGTCCCTAGAATGTAGCTAGGGGTCTTAGACTACCCGCAGAATTCAATGCTCCGTAGATGCTTGATATGAATTCTAAAAGTCTCACCAGTCAGCGTCAATTGTCACTCCCCGTCATAGTCCAATGCTCTCTAGGCTACCTAGGTAGCCAGGTAATTATTGTATGTGACTTTTGTAGCGGCCAACACATTTTCAACATGTATCTAGTAACTTCTTGCTCAAGTATATATAACAGGACACTGAATCACGGAAGTGTGATGTGTTTCAACTAGATACCTCAAAAATATCTTGGAAACGCGCATGTGCAGTAATAACGCTCTGGTTGATGCAAGATACGCTAGCTTTTCGGGTCCGCGATGTTAGGGCTAAAGCCTGTGATAACCCGTTTTCTTCGGGGAGGTCATCTAAATGAGAGGAGTCTCAGTTGTGAGATCAAATTGGTAAATTCAAAGCAGAACACCTCTCGATTGGGTTTTCTCAACCATTCAGCCTTGACTACTCCCCGGCTTTCATTTTGCAACCTCAACTTTATCGGCCAGAACTCTTCCCGCAAGTAATCATTTACACCAAAGAAATCGTAAGTGCACCTTTTTTTGCAGACTAGGAAATTTGTAAGTCTTTATCACTTGTTGCATCATACAATGTCGGAAGAAGATTGTATGAACACTTACAGCTTTTTTCTAGCCAACAATACCAAGTAATTGATAACTTTCATGGCATCAAAACACCCAAGCACATGTTGCGCTGTTGGCGGAGCCACAAATATCACCATTCGTTGGACACCATCAACTAATAAGGCTCTAGGATAAACATGAGGGTATTCAACAAGCCTAAGGATCTCTCTTTGAGAGAGGAGGTAGCGGTCATCTATCTGCGGGATGAGAAACAGTTTGCTAGAATCGAAGGTGTAGCTTTCTGTTTCGGCGCGAAATTTATGGTCTACACAATGATCGAACCGAATCGACGTCGGGTATATAGCCCATTCATCATTTTTTGAGCGTGCCGTGGCGTGGTTTGATATGTATCTATAATGGAGCAGGGAAGTAAATTCAATGAATTTATTATCAAGAAGAATCCAGGCCGCTCAAAAGCCATGTTATACCCAAGCATCAGAGCACCGGCAATTTCTTACCATCCCCGTCAACCGTCAAAGTATTGAAATAGACTAAAAGTGAAGATATATAGGTAGCTTGGCCGACTTACGAACAGATGTTCTGGTTGATTTTGAACACAATGATATTCAGATCAAACAAATACCTGAATACGAGAACCGTATTTACGGCATTGAGACACATATCACATCATGGGACTACTATAGGAACCAAAGAGATAACGGATCAGTTCCGGCCGGAGGCCAGTAAGCTTCTAATCTTTCGGCGCATAAAGTAGAGCCGGGGAATTTATAAGCGTGATAGCTACACATGCATGAAAACAATCACGAAACACAGAGAAAAGCAAGGGTGGGCTGCCAATACAGAGTGCATGTGGTGGGATTCCAGGTGTAGGGGGCTCCATTTGAAAGTGCCATACCATAAAAGAGGGAGCCATCTATAAAACAGTTGTATAATCTGATCGCAATCTGAGAATTGAAAAGCGGGGAATCCTTGATCTTAAGCCAAGCATATTCTTCTACTTCTTCAAACCCTCGGAGCAACATCTTCTCTTGAGCTTCATTGCGCTACTTCACCAGTCATTAGACAACGTGTAGCTAGAGTAGGAAGATTCCCAATAGAGTCACATATTGCCACCTAATAAAGCATTTCGTAGTAGATTCTCGATCGTACTCAAGTCATGAGGCGTAGATTTCATGCTTGCCATAAGATATAGCACGTTACCAAGAACTCTTGAGTGCACGTTAAAAGGTGAGAGGTCGCTTTCACCGCGAGCAAGTTTCTGCTGCAACCCTTTAGCAGCAGTTGAAGTGTACCCTATAACAAGAGTTAGTGATGGTGACCGTTTTGCACTTTGATCTTTGGCTCTAGGCCCACCTCTTTGTCCAGTCTCATCGTGCAACGAGATACTAAACACACTTCCGATTGCAAAGACACTTTCTACATTTTTGGCGCAACTGAGATCTTGGATCAAATTGAAAGACCAAAAACTCCATACGTCATGACCGGTAGTTTTACTTGCTGTCGGGGTCAATTGCCATGACTTCTGAAAGCTGGTCCAATCACCTCGGTTCTCCATATCCATCATTATCCTCACCGATGCCTCCGCAACGTGACAGCCTATGGGGTGAGCTGTATAACTGTGTCCATGAAGGAGAGCATCACTTTTTTCGCAGCTCAAAAAAGCGTCAAAAACCTCCTTGCTGGCAAGTGTTACAGCTAGTGGAAGCAAACCACCAGTAAGGAGTTTAGCGTGAACGGATATATCGGCATCGATGCCTAGAAATGAAGCAGATGTCCGTCGACCAAGGCGATATAGGCCAGTAAATACTTCGTCGAAGATGATTGGTAACCCGGACCAGTTGGTGTGTGTTTCCATATAACCTGGACTAGCTCCAAACAAATCGGGTGTTGATCGCACAACATCAGCCAAACAACGTTGGAAGAGAGGATCGCTAGGAATGGTTAGTTGGGTCCGATGACTAGAACCATGAAAATATTTTCATCACCTACGCAAAAAGCATACCACCCGCTCCCAGAAGTACCGGTTCCATAATCAATGCCCCAAATTTACAACCATACTTATTGACCAACTTATCGAGGGTTTCTTTGATGAATTTCATATACCTTTGTCCAGTGGAAGACTGCAGCCTCTTGTCGAGATCGAAAACGTCGTTCAATGACTCGAAATGTTCTCCCTCACCTAGTTCCTGTACCAGCATATCTGGAACCGACACATGCCATTGGGCATCCTTCATTCCAATGGTTGGAAAATCGAACCAATGTCCTCTTCCTCTGTACCATTCGACCTTTTTGTTATATGTTGAGGGTTCGGAACAGTCCATCACGCCAATAGTGTCTCCATGATAACTTCCTTTCAAGCCAAGAATTTTGATATCTTCTGTCGATGAGTTCCAGTCATATCGCAAAGAAGATGCTCGAAGAGCCATTTTAATGGCAGCTTCCATTCCCGTGCTGCCATTGTCAGTGTAAAAGACCTTTCGCAACCTTGGATTTCCCAGGTTCTGCAGAAGCAGCTCGGCAAGACTCAGGGCCGGTTTGTGAACAGCCCCAGCAAACATAACATGTCCATACTTCCCAGCTGCATGAGCTGCAGTCAGAGCCAATTCTGAATTTCCGTGGCCTAAGCCCTGCGTCCACCACGAGGCAGAGCCATCAAATGTTGACTGCAGTAGATGACTTTCTTGTTTCTTGTCGGCGCCCGGTGATGTCTTCAGTGTCTGGAAGTAATCACCATGTGCAGATTCAATAACCGTTATATCCTGTGGCTCCATTCCTTGGTGCTGTGTAAAAGGGTACCATATAGCTTGATGTGCGCGTGTGGCCATCTTTTCTAACTCTTCAATCCGCTGCTCTGATTTTTCCTCGATTCTTTTCAATAATGAATCAAAATCAAAACTTCGCTGCACTGATTTATAATAGTCGCTCATGACCTCCTGGTCCTCGGCTCGAGAATCAAGAGTCACATTTCCCTTGGGACGTAACGGAGGCTTCGAAAATGCTAGAAGAGGAATGTCTTTTTTCGAAAAGTACGCATCAAGGTATTCGTGATTCTGATAGTAGTCGTCATGAAACAAAAGAACAGAATGAACATCATATCCTCGTATAAATAGTGACTCGAACGCGGAAATTGAAGATGAAATGCCACCCAAGCGAGAGTCAGCGACAAGAATTATAGGGAGTCTCAAAGGGCGATAAAGATCTGCCTGGCTGGTCGCATTAGGACCGGGAGAATGTACACCTCCGGCAGTCTCGATCAGAGCATTTTTAACCCCTTTTGCGGACCAGGATGCTAGTGTATCATGTACAGAGCGTAGTATCTCATTGTCGTCAGGCCGCTACAGATCTCCATGAGCAAATAGGCGATTAGGGCCGGGATAGGAGTAACAACTTACCTGGCTGGATTGTGCAGCAAGATGTGGGCTGACCGGGTCGTCAAACTGGTACAGGCATTTTGTCATCACATTGTTGTTCCCAGCCGTGAACTGCTTCACGTGCCTAGGGATGGATTTTAGCCACAAAATAGATCGCGTCAATCGGACTGACTATTACCTATCATCTGCCTCATCTAATGGACCGGTTGATACAGGCTTCAGAAATCCTACTTTGCTCCTCTCCGATAATGCTTTCACCAAGAGTGTAGATACAATTGTCTTGCCAACATCTGTGTTCGCGCCATAAACTTGATGGGCACGCAGTTGACGCCAGAGTGCCGCACCAACGGGTGTCATTACTGGCAATTCTCAACCTCGATGGTTGCGTAACAATATGGTTAAAGAGAGATGCAACCAAATCGAAAAAGAGGCTTGCTTGGTTCTCGACAATCTACTCCGCATAGTAGGCCATACAAGGACACGGGTCACAACAGTGTAACGATGAATCAACGTATTACAAGCGAAATACCAAGAGCATACCAGTACGTAACAAAATGATACCGATACGAAAGTATTAGACAAAGCCGAGGTTATAAATTGAAGAGTCCGGTTGAAGTTGAATGCACAAAATTACTGGAATATCTTCGTGTCCTGCATACTACGCACGAATCTTGAATCTATTAGCAGACCAGGGATTCCAGATTCCGTTCGTATTCGTACGTTGTGTTGAGGATCCCAGCCATCTATTGTTGAGGGGCCTACACCCCAACATTTAATGCTCGTGAAGCAAGCTGTGGACACGCTAAATGTTGAGCCACAGCGGGCCACCGGTGAAATCGTAATTTTCGTAATCCATACAAATATGCAGTAGTTGCCATTTTTTTCGTCATTGGCCCAAGCGATGTAGTAATTCAACCCGGTTGACCGAGTATCGATCTTACCATACTGTCATGACTAATCTGGCAATTTCAAGACGACAGGGATCCGGTTTCGTGCTCTGTGCGGCAAAGTCAAATTCAGCATATGCTTATCACTCAAGAATCTCATTGTCGTGTTCCAAGCTTCGATATAATGGCGGAAGCTGCTGACCGGAGCAAGTCGAGAGGAAATGGTTTCTCTGCTCGACTCTTTCCAAAAAGCTTTGGACAAAAGAGAAGCTAGGTCGGCACGTCGAAGGCTCACCGTGTCGCCAGCTAATGCTGCTGACTTTTCGTCCAACGATTTCCTTTCACTTTCAAACTCGACAGTATTAAAATCACGATTTCTGCACAATCTAAATACTTCTTACAGTCCTTTGAGCAGCAACTCACCTTCGCTAGGAAGCGGAGGTTCTCGTTTATTAGATGGTAATTCTGAGTATGCAGAGGAATTGGAGAGGTTTATTGCCACTTTCCACGATGCGCCCACTGGGTTATTGTTCAATTCCGGATTTGATGCAAACGTTGGCGTTTTTTCGTGCCTCCCACAATCGGGGGACATAATCATTTATGACGAGTTGATTCATGCTAGTGTACACGAAGGAATGCGATTGTCTCGCGCGAAAACGAAAATACAGTTTGCGCATAATTCTGTTTCTGACCTGGAGACAGTGATAAAAGAAATCATCAGTGATGGCTCAACCTCTCTTCAACATCCGTACAACGTTTTTATTGCCGTCGAAACGTTGTACAGCATGGATGGAGATACCGCCCCCTTAGAACAGATCGCCCCATTGGTGCAAAAGTATTTCCCAGAAAGGAATGCATATCTGATCGTCGACGAAGCACACGCGACAGGAGTCTTTGGGCCTAACGGAGCTGGGATAGTTCAGGATCTAGGCGTTGAGGACCAGATTTTTATCAGGACACATACGTTTGGAAAGTCACTGGCTAGTCAAGGTGGTACGTCTTGTGAAACCCATAAGGTCAAGGCTATGCAGCTGGCTAATAATAACATTGCTTCTCAGCTATTGTTCTATGCGATCTCTTGACCAAAGAGTACTTGATAAATTATGCTCGCACCTTGATATATACCACGGCAATGAGCAGGCCCTCGCTGATTGCGATTCGCTCCGCCTATGAACTGATGGCAGAGGGGCAAACCCAATTGGTAGCAATTCGTATCAAGCAATGCAACTGATCACTCTCTAATTAGTTGTACAGTTTCAGTCAGATTTGCAGAACAACATCTCATACTTCCAATCGCGCTGCGACGAAATGGTCCACAGAATCGAGTCGCCGGTGCTCCAAATAGAATACAATCATCGATCGCCGATCTTCTCGATCCGGACAACGCTTCCGCGAGAACTCGCTCGGTACTGTCAAGAGCGTGGCCTTATTGTTCGACCGATTATGGCACCAACGGTACCTCTTGGGAAAGAACGAGTTCGTGTTTGTTTGCACGCTGGAAACACTCGCCAGGAAATGGATAAGCTGCTGGACACAATAGAAAAGTGGGCTGGCCGGTATCATCAGCTGAAAGCGAAGCTCTGATCAAAAAATGACAAATGGAAGCAGTTCAGTACAGTCGTTGTGTCAAGTTCTCGAGACATTGGATCCCCATTCTTGAGGAATATCATCGTCGGTGACGTGGTTAAATCAAGAAATCTACAAAAGTATCGAGTACTCGGTTAAGTCCACGTATAGAAAATTGCAATGAGTTTATTCTTCCATTCATGGCATAACTATAGTGGATTTTCCCTCCAATATCGGGGTGTTCCACTTCCATCGCATCTTGGTTCTGTGCCGCGGTGCAGACTTATATAGAAGCTGCGACCATTCCGCTATCGCTTTCAGTAATTACAGCCGACTTGGTGCCCTTGACTTCCTCATTCTCGAAGCTTTTCATTGGATAGAACCCCCACTTACGGAACATTTCGTGATCTTGATCCCAGCCATTGCAGTCAGTCGTAAGCATCTTTTCGCCTGTGAAGACTGCATTGGCMCCAGCCATGAAGCACGTCACTTGCTGCTCTTCAGACAGGTTTATACGACCTGCTGCGAGACGAACGATAGTTGTAGGGAGAACGATGCGGGCGGTAGCAATGGTCCGAAGTAACTTGTCGAATGAAATCATCTTACGGTCCCCAAGAGGCGTTCCCTTGATGGGCACAAGAGCATTCACGGGAAATGATTCAGGGTGAGATGGCAAGGTAGCGACGGTATGCAACAGCCCGATACGGTCCGAGTCTGCTTCACCTAGGCCTAGAATTCCGCCTGAGCACACATTAATACCAGCATCACGGACATTGCTAAGTGTCTGAAGGCGTTCATCATAGCTGCGCGATGTTATGATAGACGGATAATACTCTCGTGAGGTATCAAGGTTGTGATTGTATGCTGTCAACCCAGCATCTTTCAACTCCTTGGCTTGCTCAGTATCGATCATGCCCAAAGTCACGCAAACCTCCAGTCCCATGGATCGCACACCTGTCACCATCTCCTTTATGTTCTTCAAACTAGTTTTCCGGCCTCTCATGTCTCGCCATGCGGCGCCCATACAGAAACGGGTGCTACCATTCTCCTTAGCGATCCGAGCCGCTTGTAGCACCTCCTCGAGGGGCGACAATCGGGTAGCCTTGAGACCCGTATTGTATCGAGAAGATTGAGCACAGTAAGAACAGTCTTCACTGCATCCACCTGTCTTTATGTTCATAAGAGTACACATTTGGATCGCGGCGGGGTCGTGAAAGCGACGGTGGACTATTGCCTGTAGCCGGCTTTGATTAGTTTGCCTTCTTTTAGAGGCACGATAACTTCAAATGAAGGATAATAACTTACCGCAGCATGCGTCAATTGACTTAACGGAGTCTCATAAACTTGTCGCACCTCGTCTCTTGTCCAAGTAGTTCGAGGCACCTGGGTAGCGGTGGCATTCTTAACGACGGCAGGAATTGCTGATGATATCCATGGAGATACTGGAGCACCTGTAGCGATTGATGTTGATGCACCTTGGACTGTGCTATATGATCGATTCAACAGCGTTCGGGCCACTGGGCGAAATATGACCGGTGCCATTCTGCGTATGTTGATGTCCTTGAACAGGGGAGTGAGGCTCTCTCGTCAAGTCACAGTGGGATGTGTATATCAGTCAGACAGTAATTCCGAGGTTCGGGGCCCAGTCCAACGATACAACTTGTACTCAGTGTACTGGGGTGTGGACGGAACACTAGGAGCAAACCAGGGGTATTCCACTCGTATTCAGACCCTTCTATTCAACAACCTCTTATTCGCTGTTCCTCAGTGCGAGGTCACATATGATATATTGTCGACCCAGTCTGCCTAGTCAGCATTCGTAAGACCTGCATATTACACATGCGATTGCCTACAAGAAATTCCCAATCCAAATGACCTACTCTTTAGATACAAGGCACAGACTCCAAAGCCCGGGCTTAACCGTAAAGCGGATGGCGGGGTAGATTTTTCGGACCCACGATACACGCATTGCAATGTTTTACCGAGAACCCGAATGGGCAGCGTAAAGATTGAAGACGCCTTTCGGGGTTTGTGTTGATCAAAATGTGGCGGGACCAAGCAGCCCCAAGCTTTGTGGGTTGTATGTTACCGTATCAGAGCGGTTGAAGATCATGGTATTACCGTAATTGACCTTACATTACACATCTAGTGACGGGATGCCAGCCTGGTGAACTTTTAATTTCGTCCAGACTTCTAGTTGGTCCGCCATCTGGTATATACGCATAATGGCTGTGATATTAATCAATGACTGCAGATTCAGGAGATACGCGTATTCGTGATATTAATTAGATTACGTGACAAGAAATAAATTTGATCATCTCACTCTGCTCTTGACTTCATTATAGCTAGCTACTTAGTTAGGGAGGTGTGTCAGTTCCCAGCAAATATATGGCTCAACTCCAATAACTTATCCCATCTTGTATCCTCTTGAATTTCTATACCTCCCTCGGAAGTCAACACTTTTAATTCTCGGATAGATGTAGTGCCGAAGCGGTAGGTCGGATCATTGTTGACGAAAGCTACAAGGATGGCAACCCACTCCTCCATTATTTCCCTGTCTTTGGGCGTTGGTCCATGTACGATTGCAAAACTGTATGATGTTAGGTAGTGGCTCTATCATATCCCGTTTGGAATTTTGCCGATATTGTGGTACATCGGCACTGCTTGCTCTACTTACTTCCACAAAGGTTTGTCCATTGCGTGTGCAACTCCGAAAGACAACGGCGCGACTTTGTCATCAATGAACGACAAGCGGTACGCAATTTGGTATCGCCATAAATCACTCATAGCCACTCCATGTTCAAAAAGGCTATTGGCAAGGGATCGCGAAGGAGCGCGAACCTGACCGTCAGCAACGATGTTACCATAAGTCGTCCTCCACTCATTCGGGTCAGTGGACTTGGGGAAACTATAGTGTTGCAGAATCCTTTCTGTCGTTGCTGGAGCATAGTAATTGGAGACTTGCAGGCTGAGGGATTCCTTGTTGGGCTCTGGGGCGTTATAGGTCGAATATAGGGTTTCCTCATTGAGAACTTCACCTATCAACAATTTTAAATTGCGCTGTTTGAATTCTTGGGCAAATTCCGGACCTGTCTGATAATCGATCAATCCTGCATGTATGAATATCCCGTCGGTAACCGGACGAAAAGTATGGTGTTGCAGGTTTTTGATCGCGTTAACGAGATCATCCGAGCTGATTTTGCGCAATTGGCTAAGTTTTTCCAAACCCGTCAATGTAGACGGTACATTGAAATGTTTGCATACCTCGTCGAATTGAGGTTGCGTTTCAGCCACGGTCTTGGGCTGTGCTGAAATTGCGTTGGAGCACATGAAAATTCGGTGGTACAAAGCCTGCGTGTTTTTGGTACGAAAATCGTGTAGTGTTTGGGCATGCACTGCGTAGGCCCCGGCACTTCGTCCAGCTAATGTGATGTTATCAGAATCACCACCAAATGCGCCGATGTATTCTTTGACCCATTCCATGGCCAGCCGCTGGTCCCAAAGGCCCATATTACCAGCACACTCCCCATTGCTCTCTTGTAATAGAGCTTCTCCAGCCAGAAATCCGAAAATATTGAGCCGGTACCCGATCCCCACAACAATAGCATTCAACTTCCCTGTTGATATCATCTCCGTTGGATCCATTCCGAGCTCTTGACACGGATTGCCCATTTGAAACCATCCTCCATGTAGCCATAGCATCACAGGCCAATTTCTTTTATTTTGTTGCTCATCACGGGGCACGGGTGTCCAAAAGTTTAGGATCAGACAGTCTTCAGTATACTTTTCTTGATCCAACCCCTGCTCCGCACCACTATGAAAAGTGGCTTGGGGGCACACAGCACGAAATCCAGACGCATTTAATGGAGTGCCATCTGGTTGCGTGTAGGTGTATGATGATGGAAGTGATCTTGGCTTGCGCCAGCGATGGTCACCTGTTGGTGGTAGAGCGTAAGGAATACCCGCATATCGACGTGCTTTGTTGTCATATTGCACGCCTTTAATGGTTCCTTTGGAAGGTATAGACAGTTCGTGATCTACGATCCTGTATCCCCCAAGAGTGTTTCCCATATTTCGGCGTGTAGAGGATTACCTAGCATGAAGCTCCTTTTCTTGTTTTCATGATGCTTCATTGAGCAAAGTCATTAAAGCTTCGGTCAGGCAACGAGCTCGGCCGGATCTGTTCCGGCTCGCTATCAGTATGGGTCATTGCGTGCATTGTTAGGTCTATTCACTCCACGCCCCCACCTGATGATAACAGCTGTGCCCAGTTTCGCTATTGATCAATTAAGTGGAAATTGACAGCATGATATGGTCATATTCAAGCTCCGAGCAGAGACTCTTTCTGTTCCTGCCCGACATCGCAAATAATATTTACTTTATGGCAAGGTTATGTAAATGTTACATGAAGATTATAAATTTTTGGAATCGTACTTCAGAAGAATAATTGTCAATGTCATTGAATAGGTCGGTGATAACTAGATTTTTTCGTTTCATTATTGAACCGTCGATCAGCGACATCTATAGATGTTAAATTAGGTGGTAGCTGTAACATCTGAAGCTTAGTGAATGCGGCTAAGTGCTGTATCTGAAATGGATATTGCCATAGTCTGTGATATCCAGCTCTGCATTAATTCGACCCTGATGTGCAGATTCCTCTTCCGAAAGGCCCATTTCCCTGATGATATGTTTGCGCCTCGTGTTTTGCCATACATCTATCGGATTAGAGATTGGAGATGAATTTGAGTAAACAAGCGAGTTCCAAGCTATACTTACAATACATCCTCCATAACCCCATCAAAACAAATTCTAGGCCATACATAATTGAGCACACAATAATAGCGGGAATGTATCGAGGAGCGTCTTTAGCTCGGAAGACTTGAGCCCCAATGCAATTCCCGGCACAATAGGCAATGAAAATAAGTGTTCCCGTGACAGATTTCTTTGTTCGTCCTGCTACATTGGAAGGAAACAAAGTCCAAATCACTTACTAAATTAGTCACAGTCGTGGGTTACAAGAGAACGCAGTTTTTGGGGCTGTAGACTTACTTGGGCCAGCTACATTGCCGACAATGGTGATGAAGTACATTCCCCATCGTGTCCAAAGATGGCCCCGCTTGGGCAATAGAGCCAGAGCAAGCATGCCGACAAATGCTGGTACAACTGATATCATTGATATGTATACTGTCGCGTATCAGCAACAGGTCAATACCGTGGATCATCAATATATCCTCGCGGCGTGATAGAAAAGAGGATATGGGTAGCAATGATGGTAGACTCACGACGAAGACCAGGCTTTTTCAAAGTAAGATAGCCAGCAGACAGCAAGCATATGATTGAGAGAGCTTGCTGTGGTATTTTTCCTTCGGTAATCGTCTCCAAAGCGGTAAAACCGAATGATACATAGACCAGATTACCAAAGGAAGTGGTGCCGCCATTGGGTATCGAGTTGATGAGTACGATAAAAAAGAAGAAGTATGTCTGGGGATCCTTGAATGTCTCTAGAACTTGCCTCCAGCTGATATTCCGCTTTTGTGCATCGGAACCTGTCTGGCTTTTGACAACACGAGCGTATGCCATGCGCTTCTCAGTCTCCGATAGCCAGCGTACTTCTCGAGGCGTGCCGAACAAGAAAAAAGCGAATACGGAAATGACAATAGTCAAACTCCCTAGAAAAAAGGAAATTCCTTTCCATGGCGCTAATCCGCCCGGATGGCTTTTGGCCCGAGTGCCGATACTGTAGTTGATGAGACTTGTCAGTATATCCATCCCGGAGTTGGCGCTTCCCCAAATTACAGCACGCATGGCATGCTCTTCCCTTGTATACCAAGCAGCCGTCATGATGAGTAGAGCCGGATACGTGGTACATTCTGCAAGTGAGTTTGAGCTCTGATTAGTGAAAGTCAATACTGGCATTTTGGCCTTTCCTCATACCGGCAACGCCTTGAAGGAATCTCAGCACCATGAGATCAGTGAAATTCTTCGCAAAAGCAATACACAATACTAATATGCCTATTGATCAACTCTCAATTAGCATATAGCCATGTTTGTATGGAATCCTCAAAAATTTACCCCATATGAACATGCAAGTTGATACTGTGTAGTTGATGTTCGCTTTTTGTAAAATGTAGCTTCCAGGAGCTTCTGCAACAAGGAAGGCAATATAGAATATCGAGGTTAACCCTAAAGCTCAATGGTAAGTATCGCTTTATGCAGAAGAATTCAAAAGGCACCCACAAGAATACTGCTGACCCACTAGGTGAGTATCTTGTGTAATGCCAAATGTTGACTGCGTAGAGATGGATGCTTTGTCGGCATATTGAGTACCCGAAGCGATCTGAGGATCACAGATGCCTTATCAGTACACATGCCATATAATGAATAATAAGTGCTTCGAGCAAGTTGTAAACACAGTTTTATCACGCGCTGACTACTCACCCACATCAACGGGAGGAGAATAAGGTCCACTTTTCGAACAAGCTTCCGATACTGCTCTTCGGTGAACTCTTCTTCGGCAGCATGAACGATGTCAACTGCTTTTGCGTCTGGGAATTTCCCTTCATGAATGCTGGCTGACTCGGGTGGGGCATCTGTTGGGCTAGCCTTTGTTATATCGGCATTTTGCCCGATTTTTGTAGTCATTGTGGGTTTGGGAGATGAACGATCGAGGGAATGGCAACGAATGAAGCAGTTATGGACGAGTGTATAACACAATATCGATCAATGCAGCACATGTTGGTTGTAATGAGAGATTGCTTGGAGTTTTATACTATCATGTCTAGATAGCTCGTAGCTATGATTAGAGCATTCCCGTGTCGTGGAAATACAGCTTATCAGGAGGACGATTTCACACGGAACGGATCTCGGAATCGGATCGGAGGCGCTCATCCAACGTGGAATGTGACCGTGGGATGTGAGATGATTAAATGAATTCAACTCTCGAATCTATGTTTCCAAAAGGATGCAAGATTGATGAACTCTACGAACGCAATTTCTAGACTCCATTTTTCTCATCAATGACGAACTCGAATTCTCAAAATGGTACGCATAATGCGGTCGATTTGTCGCATCACATAAATTCAAAGTCTCGAGCTCGGCATCCTAGTCCACTCAAAGAGATCATTAAATATATGGCCCAAGATGGAATGGTCAGCTTAGCTGGAGGTATGTCAAACACGCATCATCCACAATTGACTAGTTACAAGGGTACAGTGACAGTCTAAGACTACCATTGCAAGTCAGGGCTACCTCATCCCTCTCTCTTTCCAATTGATCGAGCAGCTTTCACGGTCACCAATCCGGAGAGCTTCAAAGATGTTACTGTTTCTGGTAATTTAGATTTGGACGTCAACAACCTAAGTAATCCTAAATTGAGTGATTTTATCCAATACGGTACGTGGAGTTTCCCTTCAGATATCATTATTTATAACTTCTTGCCAGCGCTAATAAATTTTCCTCGCAGGTAATTGCACTGGAAATGCGCGGCTTCGTCAGTGGTGTTTGGAGTTTACTCAAAAAGTTCATCGGCCGTTATACAAAGATGTCGAAACGCTCCTTCACCCTGGAAATACGAATGCGTGGAGTAAGGTTGTCGGCCTCTTATGTGAGGAGGGGGATTATATTCTGTGCGAAAGTTATACCTATCCATCAGCGCAGGCTATGTGGATTCCGTTAGGAAACTTTGCAGCACCGATCGCAATGGACGGTCAAGGCATCCGCGATGACGAGCTTGAAAGAATACTGAGATCGTGGGAGACAGATCATCCTGGTATTAGACGTCCTCATGTACTGTATCTTGTAAGTGTCGGCTCTAACCCGAGTGGTGTTACCATGGGAAGAGAGCGGCGACAGAACATATACGATCTATGCGTGAAATATGGTGGGTTTTCAATAAGCCTGACATGAAAACACTTCAGGCTGGACAATTACCCAATGATACTCAACTGACGATTTTAGACATCATCATCGTCGAGGATGACCCATATTTCTTCATACAGTATCCGCAATATGACCTGAAGGAGAGACTGGCCGCTGACGAATCCAAGTCTAGCAATGAGTTTCTCACCAGCCTGAGCCCTTCGTTTGTGCAACTTGATCACCAGGGGAGGGTCATACGACTGGAGTCATTCAGCAAAACTCTTGGGCCAGGTCTCCGTTTGGGATATTTCGTCGCAAATTCGATTTTCACCGAACGCTTACTCCGGACGACCGAGGTAGAGACGCAGGATCCAGCAGGGTTGTCGCAAGTCTTTGTGCTTTCGCTTATGCAACGATGGGGCATGGACGGTTATCTCACATGGCTTCAGAGCCTCCGAAACCAGTATCAAACACGACGTGATTGGATGATAAAGGCTTTTGCACAGAACTTTGAGCTTCTGGCAGCATCAGAGGTCAAATCTCACGGTCTGAAGGATGATGACGGACTAGTGGGTTGTCTCCGCGACGCTTCCGGTCACATTGTGCCGATTTTCAGCTTCGTATCGCCGACAGGAGGAATGTTCATCTGGTCCAAATTCTACCTATCCCACAATTCCGATTACGAACAGCTTCGCAAAAGTCAGGAAGTCGAGGATCCAGAACAGGCCTTTGCCGAAAAGCTATGGATGCAGTTTGCAGAGAATCTGGTGCGTTCAAGACGATGGGATATGATCTGAGGGAACATGCTGATTTATAAACTATTAGGTTCTGCTCACACCCGGGTCGTATTATCACCCCTGGCAGGGGGCGCATAGGGTCACTACCAAGGCGCGTGGGGCCGAGCTGGCAACGACATTTTTCAGATTCTCATTCTCCATGACCACCGTACGTTGTCTATACGATCAAAATGGGTGGTATTTTGAACCTGCAGTATGCTAACCGGACTTGTAGAAAGAGGATATGGAGCTAGGAATCGCTCGACTAGCAAAAGTCATAAGAAAGTCTTGGAAGTTGTGAGTACATCCGTGTACAGGACGGTGACGATGACACATTGCAGATATCCATGGATTTGTAGAGATGTCTACGTATGTATACATATCTAGGTAACGGTTTGTGTCTGCCAGTTGATATATATTATATACAACGTGTTTCACCCAGAGGAATACTCTCTTTAGACCTGCCATAGGCCTGCACATACTCCCTATGAGCATAGACTGAAGTACCTAGCATGTATCTCTCATATGTGGTCAGCGCTATTTAGGTACCTGCGCGGGACACCGACAAAAAGAGAGTTTACTCTGCAGGCCTGATCGGTCACAATTTAGCCAATCACAAGTTTCCAATTACATCTTTATCCAGAAAGGGTAAGGCGACCCCGGATTAACGCAGTATGCCACTATGATTGGCTACATGTCTGGCATTGTGATGGGTCTGTCTTCTACGAATAGCCAGTCGGAGGTCGTTGAGATCCGAATCGTGCAGGATGTCATCCATTCGAGACTAGTGCAATATGCCGGCTAAGCGCTCCACAGATAAGAGGAAGGACCACCTTCAGTCCCTCACCAGAACGACTGCTTCCTTTCTCCGACGAGCTATATCCCCCTGTGGCCATTGCTGTCTCTGCAATATGATTAGTAGTACGACCACTAGAACCTCGGTGAAGAAAAGAAAGCAGTCTGCTGACATTTCAAGCGCTGCATCACCGACCGCATCTGACCCCAAAGTGCGTGTCTGGCGAGCGTGTCGGGAGTGTCGCAAGAAAAAGGTACAACTCTGTCTCTGTTGATACAACTACCTAGGTGGTCCTCTAATACCTCTCCCAGATTAAATGTGATGGCAAGGAGATATGCCATCACTGTGTGGCTCACTCGCGCGAATGCCAGTATCCGCCAAGTAATGATAATGCCTCTGCTAATCGCCAATCCGTCGCAACCGTTGATCAACAGTGCAAAGTGCTCTCTCAGCTCTGTGACAAAGTTGACCAACTTGCCAACAAATTTACCGTATCAATGGAGACACTTGAGCGCCTGACAACGGAGACTCGTTCGCTTCCGATTATTGACTGTGCTGATCTTGATGGGAGTCGTGCGTTTCCTGTAGATGCCGGCCAAGATGAGGCAGGAGCACTGGTTGGATATCACGAAGAGGATGAGACAGGAAGTAGCAGTGACAGCGAGGTGGACGAAAGTGAGTAACATACCTGCAATGACAAGAACGAATCTCATCCACCTGAATGGATCCTCATTTCTTCCTTGCGAGCTGACTGCTCAAATAGTTGGAAATAAATCCGATGGGCATATGGCCTTGGACTCGTATGGCCAACTACGGTATATTGGAGGGCCAGCGAACATGATCTTGGTCAAGACTATCCAGGATCTAGCAGCTACATCCGCCACAGAACGTAACACCAATCCATTAGAATTATTGAATACCCGTCCAGGGGAAACTCCAGGCTCAGCCAGCTCTACAGGGATAAGTTCAACCCTGCCTTTCTTCTCCCAAGGCTTGGTCTGGCCCAAGCTACCCCACTTGCCGGCGCCCGACAGTGTCCCCCGACCCCCAAGATATGTATCAGATCTTCTGGTCAACCTGTATTTCAGCCATATCCATTACACCTTTCCTGTACTGTTTCGACCATCCTTTATGCGCAAGTATCAGGCTATGCTCGATGCAAAATCTTCGGTATCCTCCAGCGCTCGCTTCATGTCTGTTTTCTTCGCGGTCTGTGCATGTGCTTCTAGTCTTCTCCCACATGACTTCGAGAAGATTGGCAGTTTTCCTGGCCTGGAATACTATGAAAAGTCGCTTCTCCTCCACTATCGCTGCGTGGGACAAGGAAACATTGAACAAGTTCAGTGTCTTGGCTTACTTTCATTGTGTTCCGCTGGCTGGAACACCTTGACCCAAAGCTGGAAGTTCGCTGGTCAGGCAGTCCGCGCCGCCCAAGATCTTGGATTGCACGTTGATCTTCATCGTGTCACGCCTGACCCGGTATGTTCATTTCTAGATACTTTGACACGTGAATTGGGACGACGTATATGGTGGAGTATCTGTGGGCTTGATAGGTGTGTTGCTCTGCCCATCTCTTCACAGTAATAATGTGACTAACAAATAATCCATTACAAGAATTGTATCGATCTGTCTTGGTCGACCCATGGTTGTAGATGAAGTTGATTGCTATTGTCCACTACCTATGGACCTGGACGATGAAGACTTAGAGTCATATTTGAAAGCAGGGCAACCAGACATAGACCCGGCGAGAACATCAAAATTAACCGGCTTCTTAGTCTTCTCACGCCTTTGTCAGATTTCTGCAAGGATATCCCGTGCATCACGGAGGTTCTATCCCCTCAAGAATAGATCTAATTCTAAGAAATGGAGAAAACTAAGAAAACGGGTTCAGTCGCTTGAATCGGACTTGGAACTCTGGCTACAAACGCTTCCCGATGAGATTAAGTTCTCTGCTAATCGAATGAATGCTACCCCTGAAGTGAATTTGACCATGTGCACAATCACTTTTATCCTTCACAGTGCATCGATTATCAATCTCCATGGGTGAGCACAACCCGAAGTCAAATGATTTTCTACGAAATGTATGTTATATCATGCTCATACAAAAACGTGCTAGACCTTTTATTGATGCTGGGATTGATTTTTCCAATGTCACGATAAGCCGTGATTCGAGCAAGCTATGCACTCAGGCGGCAAGCAGCTGCATACAGACAGGTCAACTTATACATTCGCATGTCCCTCCATCCCATTACCTCGCATTCTGTACTCATGAGCTTGCAATCTCTGGGATACTACTGTTAGTTGTTCCATTCGCCCATTCCTATGCTTTGCGAAGTCTGGTCTTTTCTGACGACGGTTTTCAATTGACAGGCTGCGCACGTGTACCGATCGCCCTGTCCCTGAGAATGTGGTTTCTGAAGTTGAGTTATGCATTCAGCAGCTCTCCTTACTGGAAACCGTATGGTCTGGGGCTGTACGTAGTCGCGTAATTTTGCAGGAGCTCTTGTCTTTATCACATCAAGACGAAGCATCTTTTGAAGCCTTGTGGAATATTGTAGCTGGATCATCCGGGGATCTTCTTGCTCCAGACTTTGTGCTACCTGAGGTTTAACCTGTCGCATTATTGTTCAAAGTTTATGAAGAAACATTAGTACGAACACCTGTGAATCAAGTTCTTTGATAAGCCGGAAATCTTGTCATTCAATGCAGAGTAAGCCGTATACCTTTGGATATTGTTATGTGCGGCTTATGACCAGCAATATAAGGATTGTATTGGTCAATTACAAAATGAAACAACTAAGACTTTAATGCCCTGCTTCGGCTCGGGACTCAACCGGGTGCCGTGCCATGATCAATTAAGTTTAGTCACACTTATTGAATCTTGTATCAAAATTGCAACATTCTGTAATTGAAATTCTTGACTTTTAATACAAATTTGCTTTCATATTATATTGCGTTTACATTTCGTCGATTAAACTTGTTTTTAAACAACCGGATAAAAAGATGTACGGCACCACCAGGCCCCAAACATTGGTCGAAGTACCAACTTCCATTATATCGTCGACAGGCAAAACAAAACTGCAGGCAGCTCTAGAACGAGCCCGAGAAACCGGACAGCCAGCGGTAGGGCAATGGATGGAGTTTCCAGGTTTTTCACTTGCCCGAACTGTAGCTGCTCTAGGAAGCGACGTGAGTAAATTTCATTCTTACATCCTGCTTATTCTGCTACATAATTTTCAGCCGCTGAGTTGCTCTAATTCAATCGCAACTAGTGGGTTTTGGTAGACTGTGAGCATGGGGATATTGATGATTCAGCCATGTACCACGCAGTGGGAGCAATTGCGGCCTCGGGATCTTCGCCAATTGTTCGCATTGCGGCCGCGGAACCCTATATGATAAAGAGAGCTTTGGACAGCGGAGCCCACGGTATCATGGTTCCGATGTGTGAGACAAAGGTGGGTAGATTGGATCTTGTTGCTTATGATTTATAGAACATTTTGCTTAATGACAAACAGGCTCAAGCCGAACTGATTGCGAGAGCATCACATTATCGCTCCACGGAATTCTCGACTGGTATTCGTGGTACTGGTGGACTATTTGCACCTGCAAACTTCAATATCTCTGCTGCGTCCTACATGAACCATGCTAACTCAAATATCACCGTTATTGTTCAGATCGAAACTGAGACCGGCGTTGAGAATGCTCAAGAGATAGCCTCGGTACCCGGTATCGATATGTTATTCATTGGCCCCAACGACCTATGCTGTTCAATGGGTTACTTTGCCTTCGACCACAAGAGAATTCCCCAGGTGCAAGAAGCTGTGATTAGAGTAAGAGACGCTGCAAAACGAGAAGGAAAATATGCGGGTTACTTTTGCTTGTCAGCTGAAGATGCAGCTCAAAGAGCAAAAATGGGATTTGAATTCGTGAACTGCGGTGCCGATATTGTCGCCATTTCCAGCTGGATGGGATCTGAGATGGCGAAATTGAAAGACTTGCTGGCGTCAGATCAACAGACAAATGGTGTATGAATTACTTGACGAAATGGATAATCCAGTCACCGTGAACGCTAACCCTGTGCGGAAGTGATTAAGATTTACGTGTCTTGAGTAGATTCTCAATCAACTTTGTCTAAAAGCGGCATTCTATTGTATCTTTTATCATGTGCTGTACAGAAAGATGTGATGAGAGCTGGTTAGTCGCTTCCATGACGTTTGCCGACAAACAAATTCGGCGAGATTCTGTTTCAAAAGCTCTACAAAGGACTGACATAAGTGCGCAAAGCGCCCAACGTCTGCGAGGTCTGCAGTATCGTTTGGAGCAAAGTCACGTAGTCCCATCCAACACCTGCAGCAGCAATAGCAGTGAGGCTGTCCTGATTGTCTCGACCTGGTCGACCTGGTCCAGTCATGTTCTTGAATTTGATTTAGCTAATGTGAAATTGAAACAGGGAGCAAATTCATGTGTAGCTTACCGGCTTCATATTGATATCAAACAATGCAAAGTTTGACCCCGGTGAGAAGCGTCTCACATCTATACGGATCGGAGCCGTTGCTTGAATCAGTTTCGCCACGTTTCGACATTCGTCCATTATGGCATAGTAACTCAAATCTGCATCTAATTCGCTCTGTGTCACAACCCGAGAATTAGTCGTAACAGCCACCACACCATTATATGGAGCAATTCCGTCCAAATGATTGAATCGGGTTACTGGTGGTAAGGACCAGTACTCTCCTCGTTCACGGGAAGGAGGCATCACAGTGATAGTCGCTTCCTCGCCTGCGAGATACTCTTCAACTAGAACTGTAGGGGATTCCTGGAATAAGGTGTCTAGATGGTTCTTGAGACCAATCAAGTCGTAGCATACTTTAACACCATGACTTCCTCGACCTCGCACAGGCTTGGCCACCACTGGGTAGTCCTTAATTGACCGAACGATGACTTCGATGGTCTSGGGATTCACAAGCCACGACTGCGGCAAAGTGTACGATTCAAGCGCTCGAAGCTTGTCATTGAGGTACGCCTTGTCATCAAATTTTTCAACAAGCCGGGGTGGCTGGCCAACAATATAAATTTGCGAGGCAAACTGCTGTAATCTAGATGAGGTTTGTAACGGATGCGCCTCGAAGACAACAGTATTAGCCCAGATATGAGTGGCGCCTTGTCTGATTGCACATAGTATCCCTTCCTCTGTATCGGAGAAGCACCAGTCTGAGTCCAATAGCGGATTGGGGTTTTTTTGCGGCGTTAGGACCTTGACGTTACTCCGTTGAAGTGTGAAGGCGATATCTGCCCCTGAATCCTTATACCCTATTGTTGTAGTCAGTCCTCGAGCCCTGCTTGCTTGTCGGTCACTATAAACTTGCAATTCAGCACACATACCACTCGGCTTCTTGGGCTTGTGAACGCCGTTAATTACTGGCGGTTCGATATCCTGGAACAGAACTGCTACCGTGATATCTGAAAGCCTCGACTGCGTCGACATGTTTCTGCTATAACTCTGATAGAAATCAACCGACCGTAAGGTTCCTTGTCGGACAACTCTTGACCTTGCAAATGCCAGCATTGACGCGTTCGTTTGGAAGAATTCTCAAGAAGTGATCCGGGTTCTTTTTAAATATGATCGACGCGTTTCGGCGTTGCTCCGATGTTCGGATGTATCTTGGTTGAATCTGTAAAGTGGCTGATTCTATTCGCTACAAGACGGTAGGACTTGCTCCATTGCGGAGCACTCCGTGCTTTGCCCTAACCCTAGCCCTAGCAACTACAAAATAAAGAGATCTGATAACAATTTAATTACTTCGTGTTCAACATACCGACCAAGAAGATAAAAGATAGCCCTTCTACAAACCTAAAATCCTGATTCATAATTGGCCATATCTTCGTTCAGCTATTGAGTATACTAAAGATGGCAATCTTACGAGCCTATTACTTAACGAGCTTTAGGAGACACCACATTCCTTAGGGTGGGCTCTAGAGGAAATCTCTGCTCCTCTTCCGACAAACCGTGATATATTTCATCCCAGCGATCTTGTAGTTGACTAGGAGTTTCCCATGCATTTTCAGAGTCTCGAAGCCAAAGCCGTAGCAAATGCCGTCTAATACTCATCATCAATCAGCAACTTGAAAGACGTCGAAAGCCTCCAGGGAAGGAAAGATGGAGCTTATACGTACTCTTCATTGGGTGCATTCGAAAACCCTTTTCTAGCATGAAAGATTGCCAAGTTGTTCACGAACTGTATATCACCTTTTTGGAAGTCCAGTTGAACACTATACTTTTCACCAAGGAAGTGTAGGGCATCCAAAGCTTCCGCTTGTGCTTCGGTGATTGGGGGAATATTAGATGAACGTGGTTGAGCTAGGAATCCCGTAAAGTAACGCCGAGCATATTGTACTATGAGTCGCTCTGGAGCTAAGGTCGATGCGGGTTGGTAGTACAGTAAGGGTCTGGCTATATATGGCTGCGTCGGATTATTGAAACTGTTCAGTGATTCGTTAATAAATTATTTTTCTTCATCAATATTACAAGACTTACCCGTCAAATAACCAGTCTTCTGTCAAAGTCTGGATGAGATCTGGGCGGGTTTTTGCTAAAACATTATAGACCTGCCAGATGCTCGCCAGTTGAGATTCGCCACCTTCCGCTGCCCTCTGCAGACAGAAAAGAGAGACAATGTCCCCAGAATCTGTATGAAAAACCTGCTTATCATTTGTACTGGCTGGGCCACCGATGTTCTCCCTGCTGTATGTCCCGGTCAAATCTTTGATATGTGACAGAACTACAGCCTTTCCGTCGGTAGGGTTCCTTTTTTCCTGCCTGCCGCGCAAATTACCAACGTATGACGAAACTCCAGTGTATATGATGATATTCTCCTCGGTAGTGTATTTATCAACTGGTATTCCGCGAAGAACAAAGAATCCTCGCCCAAAATGAAGCTCTCGTGACCCTTCCCGAAGAATGCCCCCGAGACCGGGTAGTGGAAATGTGGTTTGGTTGATGTACCCGAATGGTTTTTCCAATGCTGATTGGAACTTTGTTAGCATGTATGTAATATGTCTCTACGAGGAACTTTGCTTCGGCGTCTCCGCACCAGCGTTTAGGTTCTACCTTTGAAATGACCCAGTGCTTGATCGATCTCTTCCAGATGGCTGTCGGTCAACGAAATGACCCAGTCATCACGGCCTTGAATCTCATTCCCGTCCCACACAAAGGAGGAAGACAAGCGCAGAGGTAATCCGGGTGGAAGATTTCTCGTCAGAGTCTCGGCGTCTCGGCGTCTTTTGGAACGATCTAGAAATTTGGTGTAATCAGGATGATATTGTATATCAGGCTGACGTTGAACCTGTGCCGCTGCCATAATGACTTGCTTCTGTCTCTCACTCGATGATCGTTGCAGTTATAATTATCAGAGTCCAGAGGAAAAAGAGGATGGAAGATAATAGAGTCGAGGATGGACTTCGGGCGGGGTGATTGCGTGACGCGAGCTACTCTTGTGCCATCTATCATCCATGTACATGACGTGATAGTCCGTAAGTATAATGACTGCTAATTAACAATGAAGAATGCACAATAATATCCATGAGTTATTATCTACTATGATACGGAGTAGAAATCTAACAAATCCGTACAATTTTTTGTTGTGTAGGTTTGTTGTCGAGTTTTCGGTTACAGACGTCTTCTCAACAATTTCTCATACAATGCTCGCATGTGTCCATCCAGATAGCATGTAACGAACATTGAAGTAGCCTCCCAACACACCCTCTTGATTTCTGATACATGAAATCTCACAAATAAGCTCCTTGTTCCTTTTCCCGTGGTACCTGCTTTATTAATTCTTTTAGACGATTCTTCGTTCCGTTGTTCCTTTATCATTGGTTGCCGTGACTCGTTCCGATCGGGGTGTTTTCTATACCATTAGATCACGTAGTATTCGAAGTTTCCGCATGAGATGAATACCATTTAGAGGATGTTTAATACTAGAAAATGGATCGTGAATACGTCAAAGATGACAATTCGGTACATCTGTGTATCGACATTGCTACATACGTAAGTGGGTTGGAGAAACATGCAAGTCATTTTCTTGATCTGTTCCACCTACCATACATCTTGGAAAATCTTGGATTTAGGGACCTACTGTCAAAATACCCAGCAGTCACGAAGTGGTGGGTAAATCTCAAAGCTCGCGAAAGCTGGAGGGCTGTGATTGCGAAGTCGGTGCTCGTTTGCAAGTCGTGAATGGCCAATAGTTTTTTTTTTTTTTTTCCCCAGCAAACGGAGCTTAATCGTCATGATCGTCCATTGGAGAACACCCACCATCACTCAATTTGAAGCGAAACAGAATTTCATGCCAACGTATCCCTGAGACTTACTCTTTCTTTGACAGCAACCATTATAGCATAGAATAAGAACAAATTCGAGGGAACTGACTGACCTAGACATAAACAAGTCGTCTTCACCTCAGCCACCTAGGCAGTTATGAACTGGGGGCCATTTATCCAGCTGTATTATCAGCACCAAATACATTCTAGGTATAAACCCAGGTAGATCAGTGAATCTTAGTAGTTCGATTCACAACCCAATAGAATTAGCTTGGCTTATTATAAATCCTATGGCAATAACACAACCCAGAAAACATATCATCTAACATACAGTAAGTACAACGGTGTAGTCGATTGTTTTGAATAGATCAAAGAATTGTCGGGTATTTTAGCTGTCGAGCGATCTCCAGAAGACATCTTTCAGCAGTCAGGTACAATCGACGATCGCAGATATTGATTTCAATATGTACCTACAATGAGTAATGCTTTTAGAATCTTTGAAACCACCTTCAATTCTGATAGAACCATCTCAAATGTCGCCATATTGGATTGGTTTCACGGGGCTTACATGCTCCGAAAATTTTCGGAGAATTCAATAGTCTCGGAGGACAATCATCAAATAGAGTCGTGTAGTTCTTTGTGCCGCGCATTTGGTCTGAGCGTTATTCAATTTCTAATGGGGTTCATAATGAACCGAGATGCAGTATCTGCCCAGAGGTGAGGAACAGCTCACTTGCCCTTCAATTTCTCGACTTGTTGTGGCTTCGTTAACCGGATGAAATGAACTGTGGTATGGAACTCGTTTCTGATAGTTCATATCTTGAAATACGTTGTTGGACAGACTAGTACCGGTAACAGTCTGCAAACAAAAATTCGTTCTATCTCTCTAATGCAACTTCGGAATCGCTAATTAAAGCCCGTAAAGAAAGTCCGAAAGACGTCCGGATTAGTACCACGTAATAAATCACGCTGTTACTTTTCATTTTCTTTATAAATCAAGAATGAATGAGATGTAATAGGATCTGCATATAGACAAAAAGCAATTCTTGACATGGTGATCATTTTTAGACCTCTCTATGTTTGCAAAACTTGGGGATGGTAGCCAGTATAAAGCCCTCCAGAACGCCCTTGCTAGAAGTTTTTCGCGAAGGTGCATATCTGATCGTTGTCTTATCTACTAAGCAGTGGCTCTCTTATTCAAAGCACAAAATGACAAGGCTAGGATCGGTCATTCTAGCGCTGCCCCTTCTAGCAGCAGCACAGAGCTATAACCTCTCGGCTCTCTTCCAATCCGTCCTATCTCCTGGTGCAGAGATATATTATGCTAATGACAGTAATTGGGCGCAAGACGTCACCCAGAGATGGTCCACGTGGAATGCGCCCTCATATATGGGCGCTATCAAGCCAGTTACTGAGCGAGATGTCCAGAATATAGTATGTATCCGTGAGACAAATCAGACTCCAGCTATTGATACTCAATAAATAGGTTAAAGTTGCGTCTGCTCACAACATCTCTTTCCTCGCTACCGGTGGTGGCCACGGCGTCTCACAAGGCTTCGCCAACATCCAAAATGCGATTGATATTGACTTGAGCAACTTCAAGACAGTCGATCTGGATATCGAAAAGAATCAGGTCACAGTTGGCGGTGGCGCGACTTATGGCCAACTTTATGATCCTCTGTATAATGCTGGAAAGGAGATCCGTAGGTTTCCAACGCTCTGAAAGAATCTCGTTATAGGGACATCTTAACTAATTGACTTGCAATGAAGCGACTGGTAACGCACCATGTGTAGGTGTGATTGGTGCCACTGTTGGCGCCGGCGTAGGATTACTCCAGGGATTGCATGGCTATACCTCCGACGCATTGATTTCAGCTCGAATTGTCACCGCATCTGGAGTACTGTTCGAGGCGTCCGCCACAAACAACACGGAACTTTTCTGGGCTATTCGCGGTGCTGGTGCAAATTTTGGAATCATTACCTCGGCGACATACCGGGTTTATGATGCGACGAATGCTGGACAGGCACAAAATGCAGATTTTCTCTATCCTGAGACCGCGAATCGATCGGTTTGGGGCAGTCTCCAAACTTTGGATGAAACGCTTCCAGCCGAGTTATCGGTCACTATCTCATCTACGTATAACCAAACATCCGGACAGGTAAGAACGTCTCTTGATCCGCGGGCAGGCCAACTTCTGACATGACAAACTACTCATTAGGCTGCCATCAATGTGAATCTCGTGTATTTTGGGTCATATGATGACTTCCAACCTTATGTTGACCAATTCCTTGCAATCAACCCAACTCAATGGCAAAATGTCACTGTTCCATGGAATCAATTGATAGGAGCAGCGAATTTCGGAACACCGTCAAGAGGCTGTGAGACAAATTCACATATCAACTTTTTCAGTATTGCCTTGAACCAAACTGATCCTTTGACGTTCCAAGGATTCTTTGATGATCTTATTCTTTTCTCTCAACAAAATCCTTCGTACAATGGAGCGTGGGTCATTGAACGGTATGGCACGCAAGGGCCATTGGCGATTCCTGAAGAAAGCCGAGGTGTGTACCCCTGGCGCGAGGCGAAGATGCAACTGTAAGAATCCACTATGAAATTTTTTTTCATTGATCATGCCTCAAGGATATTCGCAAAGTTAATCATGTATGACGCTCTTTAGACTCTGGGAAAGTGACTACCCCGACTCCTCTTTAGACGGTACCGTGCGCGCCTTCTATACTCAACAACGTCAACATTTCAATGAATTCAGTGGCTTCCCAACATTTGCTGCGTACATCAACTACGCCCATGGTGATGAAGGTCCGAATGTCTGGTACGGTGACGCCGATAATCTCGCCCGATTGAGCGCAGCCAAACGAAAATGGGATTCAAACAATCTTTTCGGGGCAGCTAAGCCTGTGCCATTGTGAAGAGGTGATAGTCTTCGCTCTCGGGGAGAATTCTATCAGTCACATAAAAGACACCTTGAGCGGCATTTGGTGTGAAAATGATATGGCGAGGCGAATGAATGGACAGTGTATGGATATCCATGGATGAAATGATGTTAATGGAGTGACAACTTCTTCAAGTCAATTATAATCTGAAATGGGGTATTTTCAGAACAGTATCCTTAGTATCTAAACGCAGGCACAGAAACGTAATCACAGTGAACCATTGGCCAGGCTTCGGCTAACATTTGATTGATCAAACATCAAGAATCCTTCGCAACGCCACGGTGCGATAAGACATTGGCGCGTCCTAACTGCGTTCACTTTTCTAGTTGAGCTTCATTCTGAAGCCAGACAGAACAAGTTTTTACCAGGAGCATCACTAGTAAGGTCATGATAGTCTTTTTAACAACGTAGTATGATCATTATCCAAGTCCGAGTAAGTATCGCGTTGTGTGGACATGACACCTAGGGCCAAATTCAAAACCTTACTTGCATTTGCTAACGGTTTATTGTAGATATGTGGCAGGCTGTCTTCGCTAAAGTCAACACGCTTTAAGAAGAATTGGATGTGAAATTATTCAGTCGCGACTCGTCCAAAGGAATGCCAGTCGCCGCATCCTTAACATAACATGGAAGTACATGCAGGTGCTTATGCTCTCCACTGGCTCCTGCCCTGGGATAGCGTCTTGCAACTAAGCAACTTTCTGAAGATACAAAATGTGTTAAATAAAAGATAAACACAATGTACAGCATACCCAGACCTCCTATTTTTCCCGTCAAACATTCAGAATGAGGTACAGCCACGGCCAAATTCGCGAGGAATGAACAATGTATGGTATAATGCATGGTTCCCAGCAAGAGAGGTAAACGAGCTAGGTCTCAGATACACCATTGGATCGCAGTTGGGCGGATTCGGAGACCTGTAGTCACTCCATGGTGTCTTGAACGCCGTGCAGCTCAATACTCATCTGGCAAGACAATTTCTCGGACTACACGTCCGTCCAGTGTCTAAAATCCGATGGCCATTCTCTTAGTACGTTGTACGCCTGTCTCGTAGATCATGAATTAATTAAGAAGAGATCAAATCACCGTGAGCGATCAAGAGCTGTCCAGTATTTTACGGGGGGGGAGTACCGCGAAATTGAGGAAGATACTTCTAAATGTACTGATAAACTCGAATAGCAATATCGAGAATCCTCTGCAATTCCTGTCAATACGATGACTAGTCCGAAGTCAGGCCGGGATCTTAGACCAAGCAATTTCATGGCTTTGTATGTATGAGATCTATGACATGGAAGGGTGAAATAGGGGTACAACTAACGCAACTTGAAAGATTTGTTCCTTTGATTCCACATAGCGAAACGTCTTATGGAAACAGGATACCGATGACGCGGCATTCGGCCTTCGAGGTATTCATTTCATTGAAACTTAATCTATTGTTTTTGCTCAATATGCTTGGACGTCCTGATTATTGGGCATCTCAAACTCGTTGGAAAACGTCGTCCGAAAACACATTCCAATCTTGCGGTTAGGACATATGTCCTTTTCATCATGTGTTTTTTCCCTGCTCGGATTAATAAACGGTTATAGACTTCTTCTGCCAGCATCCAAGATGGAATTTTGATATATTACAAGAAGCACCTCTATCACTTTGCTTGAAGTACGAGGCAAATCACGGTCGTATAGTCTATGTGATTACCCATAAAGAAAACGACAACTGTGTGGAGGTTTTGCGACGTATTCTCACTGCTTCCTTTCAAGGGCCTTCTAGTCTGATTGAAGATCCCTTCAATACTCATAGTCTACTTTCAACACTACTCCTCGAAACATCAAAATATCATATTACGCATTTCCGCCGTTTCATGTGGTCTTAAGTCAGTTTATTGAGTAGTACTGCATCTATCTGTGACTCAAAGACTACTTAGTCTAATCGAGTGGAAGAGTCAGTTGGTGGTGGTACCAAAGATCGCGCGGGGCTTCGAAATTTTTTCCATAAACTACAAACTATCTCTCAAAATGCCGATTATCAAATTGCAAATGCCGACGTGGCTATCATTTCGGCCAGAGGTATCCAGCTGCTCATGTAAAGCTCCACAGAATCTTGAAGAGCTCTCCTTGTAGCACATAACGAGGACCTGGTACGATTGAATCTGTCATAAATTCATTAGAGAAACAGAAAATGTGGTTCTTGAATCACAAGAGCAGAAAATATGGCATGATGAGTCTTGTCTTTGACTTGTCACTTAACAGGATGCCGCAAACAGCATCGAGATCGCTACTAATACAAAACATAACAGCACCAGTATGAATGGAATCGCAGCATTGACTATGGTCTTCTTACCAGGCCCTTTCACGGCCGTAAGTTGTTGTTTGCCTCATCATGAACACCCTAACGTCAACTAAACCATACTTGGGGAAATAATATTTTCAGCAAGTACAAATAGCAATGGAATCCGGGTTTCGAACCTTTGGTGGCTTTGGATTGCATTCACAGTGTCGCTAACATTCGGGATTACGCTCGAGTGGTGGTACTACCAGAAAGGGGAAGAAAATTCAGGAAAATGCTCAGCTTTCGCAGGAGAACTAAGAGGAGAAACAAGAGGCTTGAACTTCGTCGTGTTCTTGGACGAGCAGAATCTCCATACCACAAGCTACCTACCTAGGTAGGTCGAGGGTTATTTGTTGGGGAAACTTGCGTGATCATATTTCTGCTAGACTTGGGTATATATATATGGATGTACCTAGGTAGTAACTTGATTAGACCAACATGGATATGTATATAAATATGCATAGATACCCCGATCAGGAGCCAGCTGGTTGCCCAAATCGCACATATATCACCTTTAACGCTTCTAAGTTTATATATACCATATCCAAGCTAGACAGATTCTAGGGTCGGTGTCTTATTCTATCTCAAGTGCTGATCAGTCTATGAATTTAGTAGGTAAGATTGGTTGACTTGCAAATAGCAAAATCGTCAAAGAGTCGACAAAATCACAATGTGGTGAGATAGAATGCGGCCGTTTTATTACATATTATTACATATTGATTAATCGTGACAAGACCATTCTATCGTTCTAAGTACACATATATGTGGTAGAAACCTAATGAGATCTACCAAGATAAAAAATAAATGCTATCTCCCCTAACCCGGAAACAAATAATTACCCCTTGAGCCACACACCCTAAATACAAAGGGAACATATCGAACACTAGACTAGACTATCAACACTGGATGCCTTTTCTGGATGATCATCCCGTCGATCTCTCTGCACCGAGACATTAGTTGTCTTGACAATGGCGATGCTTCCCATTGCGCCAGCAATAATCCCGTCGTCATCACTAAGACTCAGACTTTCGGCGGTCTTTGAACGTGGTGGTAGACGCCCGCCATGGCTGTTTCCACCACTAATCTCAGTCTGTTGTTTGTTGTGGTAGTTTTTCTGGCCAAGCTCATATGAGTCATTGGGATCCACGTTCGAACGAATGTATGTTCCGTGGCCGTATCGGGTATTGCTTGACTTGCCATATGTACCGCGACCAGACGTACCGAGAAAACGTGGCGCAAAGCGAGTGATTAGTGCCTTCAGTGCTGGACAACATGCCGAAATGACGGCCACATTGACCTCAATGGCTGACGATACAAAGCCGATACTGTAGGTATAGTCCAGGTTTACTGAAGTGGGGAAAAAAGCTTCAACGAGCTGATCAAGACGCCAGGCCCCCACACCAGTGGCACTTTTCATAGTTATCAGTATAATTTATTCCTGAGTAAGTAGACCAAACATTATACGGGGAACGTACACTAGACCAAGACACAAAATACCGACAACCATGAGCTTTCTCCGTATAGGCATCTGCAGGGAGTAGACAATAATCATCGGTATAACAACGACCAGCAAATCCGTAAATAGAGTCATTGTCGCGGTGGCAACATAGAAAGCGCCCTGCTTGAAACAATGTCCGCCTGCAATGCTGGTATCGTAAACGTAGGCTACAGGTGTGCATTGAAAGATGTCTGCGATCAGGATGGATATTCCGAGCACAATGGTGAAGTACATCGTCCCAAAAATCATATAGCGAACGACAGGGGATCGTGACTCCAGTCTAAGAAGGAAGAGAAGGACGGAAACTTTAACGAATGAGAGGATAGGATTATAGAGCAGCTGATTTGCGTAATTCCACTAAAATATTCATGTATTAGGATAATCTCTTTTTTGGAGTCGACCTACTACTTACAACTTGTCCCATTTTAACATCTTCTGGAGTCTGCAGAGGAATGTCTGCAAAATGTATACCAACATGGTTTGCTTTGATATCTGTATGATAACTTGTTAGTTCGCATCAAGAATATAATCAGGGAATGCCATCATTTACAGAAACAGCCTGTGATTGTTTGCGCGATGATGAAGACCTATAACCAACATATTCATAGAAGATTTAGTTGAAATCGAAGACTCGGCGAGAGAGGGGAGTATTTCCAACAAGAACGTACACATGCGACCACTATAAGCCAGTCGTCTAGAACGTAATATGACAAGTCAGTTGCCTGCCTCGGCTAATTCAAAGTCACGGAATGTTGATGATTATCATCAATTCATCTGCAATGGAAAGCTCACCAAGGAACAGACGGCTATTTGAGATCAGTCGACTCCATATCCTCAGGATCACGAATATAGTGCCAACAACACTAAAGGCGATTGTAAGGCCAATGGCTGCCTGCTGATGGCTATCGTCCACCGTCATCTTCGTAACACCCCTACTGCAACCATGAAATCATAGGAAAGAGAGAGGGAGGAAACCGAAGCCGAGACGCCCGGGCATTGGCAATCTATGTATGGATATGCCGTGCTGTATATTTCAGAGACAAACGTTTTCACCGATAATAATCAAGTAATCGATATGGTCGACTGTAAGACTTGGCTTGAACGATCTCTATCGCCTAGTTCGCACTTCCGATACCAAGGCGAGGGGTACTGCGATTCAACTGACAAGGACCCATATCGGCTGTAAACCGTACCCCTGTGGCGTGGGCTCCGAAACTCTTTTGCAAAGAATGTGGACAGTAGAGGCAGAGCTGAAGGGAAATTGGGCAAAAAGTGGCAGTACATAGTAAGACCAAAGACGGAGTATTCCGCAGTCGGGTGGTGGAAACGAGAACATTAAATCCGTTGTCAGCGTATAGGGTGTTTGGGAATTATTCAAGAGGTGGGGAAAAACAAGCTAGTCCTTCATTTGTGAGCTATTGATACTTTGACTTTTGTTATGCAGATACTCGGATTCTGCATTATTGCTAGAACAGGTTTGACGAATGCGTCAGCATTTAGCCTCTTATATTTACAGGTTTGAGTCCAGATTTTTAAGCACGTTGATTGGATCAACTATTAGACCAGTGCTTATTATTTACCAAATTGAGGAGGGTTGCAACGAAAACATTGGTAACGCATCTGAACTTTACTTTAACTTCGAACGTGCGCTTGCGTGTTCTCCAAGTTGCCGTGATATCCATTCGGAGAATACAATAGTTAGTTGATTTTGTGTTCTACCAATGACTTTTGACTACCATGGTCTATTTCTGAGTCTAGGTAAATCCCCTTCAGTAAACATTGGGTCCAAAAAAAATAGCCATCCAAGCGAGAGATCGAGATGAAGTTCTTCTGCCGAACACAAGTCAGACCTTCGCCTCGGCCCTGATATCACCCGAACGCAATGTATCAGCATTGCAGACTTTAACTATTAGATGGGGCATAACAATGTATAAACACGCAGTCTAATACGTAAAAAGGCCGCTAGCAGGCCCGAGACTCTTCGAAAGAGGACTTCTTCAGCAAATGCTAAGGTTCGCCAAGTTTGATGTATGCGCCCACAACGAGCCAAGGCGAAAAAAAAGGAAAAATAGGTGGGAAAACTCTTCCTTTGGATAAATCGGCGTTTTTCCGAAGACCAAGAAAGTCTATGTTTCACTCATGCATGATACGAGCTTTTTAAGTTTCCAGGAAAATTCCCCTGAGACTTGAGAGACATTATGATTTGACAAAATGCCACGTCCTCTTCCGGGGATCCGGATACCATGCCCTAATACGGTGGATACTGAAGAATTTATATTGGCTATATTTCGCTCTCATATATTATTACTGAGTAATATAGGCACTTGGCCTTTCCAAATTAATTCCACGTTTTCACGGCGATGGAGATGGAACGAATCAAGAGACCTTTCGCTATGAACCAACAATTTCCACGTGCGCAGCTGTGCAGAGCCGATCGATTTGCAGTCTGGGCTGAGTATATACTGTACTATTCCCAAAATATACCTCCCTGGCCTAGAGACAGCTAAACGAAATCAGTATGATTTTCTTGTTTGCATGATCTCACATCCTACAGCATACCCAATAATACTAGGCAATTAAGACAATTTAGACTCTACCAGGAGGCTTGTAAACGATTTACCAGCCTATTCGCGCCCTCATCTGGCGGCGAGACTCTCTCACTTTTGTGGAGTTGCCGCAAATATAAGTGATTCAGTAATCTAACCAGCGACGACTTGGTGGCGTAGCACGTTCCGAACTTGGGAAGTAAATTGCGACGTTGCATTCAAACCTTCAAAGTTGGAGTTGAGCCATTGCAGTACCAGCTCATGTCCAAGAACTCACACCATTCCGCTGCTCTCCGTATTCTTTTCTTCCCTTTGGCGGTTCCCTCTGACCTGTGGCTACTTCTAAATGACGAGCTCACCGATACTCTACTGAACGAGAATGATAACGATGGTGCTCAGGAGGAATACATCCTTACAGTACAATACGCACTGCATATCCTAACGTTACCACTAATCAGTGCACTAAAAAAGTGCATAAACTTAAAATTGCATTAGCATTGTTCTGGAATTTCCAGGACAAGGAGTCATATCGTTCCAGCGAGCTCCAGTTTTTGTAGTTTTCGTAAGCGGAGAGACCGGGTCAATCAAGAGAGATCTCCCGGAATCCGCTCACTGGTTCCCACTGCTTACTCACGTCAGGGACTGCTGCTCTAGAATTTTTCCCCATGACAAACTGCTCCGTACTTCACTTGGTTCTTCAGGGAAATGATCGCGATAAATCTGTGCAGAAACTCGACTGAAATGTGGCTAAAGCTTATTCCACAAATCGGAAAATATTTGTTTTTCATCCGTATTGCAGCATTCCCAAGCCAACTAGCACGGGTTGGCCTAGTGGAGCATGAAGCATGTCCACTAATCATCTTCCCCGAGGCTGAAGGACCAGTACATATTTGTCCTAATCCGGAGTCATACCTTAGTGCTCCGTATTCGCTGCTCTGTGTTTCGCATCTCCAATTTACCCTAGTACATAGTCGTACCATATAGTGCGTGCTATTGTTTGTAAACTATTATTCCATGGTGACGGAGCAACTGCCAATTACTATGTAAGTGGGTAGATAGTACGTACTTCTACGTAACGCTTTAGCGAATTAGGAGAGGTGAGAATCAAGACTCGCACATTCCGGCATCGGTAGTTGTTAGTTGAAATTGCAAATGGCCGCATTAGCTTCCAAGATGAGAACACCTAAAGAATGAAAAGCTCCGAGATTCATTCTATCGGAGTCCAAAACTTTGACCAAGGAGCAATCGATCTGGCTTGGTCCCTTACTTTTGGCGAGGATTTGTASGAGCCGTTCTCCTAGTTTTCGGTAATTTTGGTCTTAGACCTAGTTGATAGCAAAGGCTCGGTAATCATTTCCCTATTTTTACCCAATTTAATGATTCTAATGAGTCGTGTCGAGCAAATTTGTTATAGTTAACTTCAGTCAGCAGAGTACTGTTGACTGGTACGTGGTACTTACGTGGTTCAAGTTCGACCTCATGATGAAGCATACTACTAGTAATAGTGGAGCGCCGACAGTTCAATGCACGCTTCTTTCAGTTGTTTGTTAGTTTGAAGTGAGATGAGCGCTTGAAAAAGTAAGAGGTGAGAAACGGAAGAAAACAGGATCACAGGTACTTGACATAACGATCTTGCTTATGCATAAATCCATTCATACACTATAGCCCCCTCCATAGATGGAGCATAACGTACGGTATATTCACGGGTTATGGGTAAATGACCCGGTTTGCCAATCACGTCGAATCCCACCCTATTCTCCAAAAGTATCGGGGAAGAGACATAAAGCTTTGTACAGTAACGTGAGGACTCAAGGAGTCTTGCTAACTAAAATGTACGCCGCCTTGAACGGCATCGAATACAAGACATGTGTTCACCACGTGGAATTTTGGCTTCGCTATTTACCACGCGAGAGACCCATCAAAACGTGGAATGGAAGTAGAACTTGCCAATGACAATAGTTGTAGCAAAAGTAGCAAAAGCTTGGGCGAGTCAGTGGCCTTCTTATCCCAAGAAAAATAGTAATGTACTTAGGGTTATAGGAGCGTCTTGCCGAAAGGCAGTATTTAGTGGTTGGATGCCTAGCCTGGCCAACGATGAGTGGTCGCTGACCTGCATGAAATCGGATAATACATTATTGTCAATTTGACCGACCAATTCCAATCGCGGATTCCAGACCGTTAAGAGATATCTAGCAAGCCTAAGCTAGGTGCATAATCAAATAGCTCGCAGTAACGACGGGGGGAGCCCCGTAAGTAGCGTCTATAGCGGGTCCTGAGTCTGCGTACCACGCAATTTTTGTGGTCTTAGCCCATTAGCAGCACCTCTAGTTCCCTCTTTCCCGCGTGAACTGGCTTGTATATCGAGTCCCTTCGGGTGTTGGAAAGGTATATATACCGGCTTGGACAAGGGGATATCATCGTTGTTTTCTCTTCTTCTCATTGCGGACAAATCCCCAATCATTCGGTGTCTGTCTTTCACTCTGTTCTAACCTACGCTTTCCACGCTCAACTACGAGGGGTTGTTAGCACGCATTCTCTTAATTTTCATACTTTTTATACTCGGTCCTGTTGGGCCCCGCCCTTTCTATGGCATCCGTCCTCCGAATTAGCAGCGCTTTGCTGCTTGGAGCTGCCCTCGTCAATGGACAGACCACAACAGCCACCACTACGTCGATCGCTCCAGCTCAGCAGACCGTCTCTTCGGACTCTGATTCTGGCGTGCCCCTCAACACTGCCGAAACTGTACAATTGACCACTGAAGTTCTCCAGAACCTGACCACTCAATTGAACGAAACCACGCTTTCGTACTTCGACTTTGGGAATGACACTGCCACCACTACAAAGCGATCTACGACCGGATGCAAAGTTTTCCCAGGAGATAAAGCATGGCCCATAGATCTTCTTTGGGATATCTTCGATTTGTTGCTTGGCGGACGTTTAATCAAGACTGTTCCCTCTGCTTCCTCATGCTACTCTGGTTGGGGTGACCAGAATGCAGCCGAATGTGCTTACGTTAACTCTGAATGGACTGACTCTCACTTTCAGTAAGTTTTCCTTTTGTTTGCCCGTCACCACTCGACTCGTACTTGAATAAAAACGTAAAACGAATATAGCGGACTACAAACCTGATACTAATATCTCCTTTGCAGCATGGAAGATCCTACCTCCATCATGTGGCCCCTTTTTCAAGGCCGCACATGCTTGCCTACTAGCTACAACATCACTGGCACCTGTACTCTTGGCGGTTATCCTTCATATGCTGTCAATGCTTCCAATGTAGCTCAGATTCAGCTAGCAGTCAACTTCGCACGCAACCTCAACCTCCGCCTTGTTGTCAAAAACACCGGTCACGACTTCAATGGCAAATCCTCTGGTGCTGGTGCTCTCAGCATCTGGACTCATCATCTTAAGTCTCTGTCATACATCCCCAACTACTCAGACAGCACCTATTCAGGACCCGCTGTCAAGATGGGATCTGGTATCCAAGCATACGAAGTCTACGAGTTCGCCAATGCCCACGGTATTTCCGTGGTCGGAGGTGAAGGAAAAACCGTTGGTGTCGCTGGTGGATACGTTCTCGGTGGTGGTCACTCCCCTCTAGGCAGTGTCTACGGTCTCGCTGCCGATCAAGTTGTCGCTATGGAGGTTGTTCTTCCTAATGGTGTATTCACTACTGTCACTGCATCCACTAATCCCGACCTATTCTGGGCTCTTCGTGGTGGTGGTGGTTCTACCTTTGGTATCGTGACCTCTGTCGTTGCTAAAGCTCATCCTAAGATCGGTGTGACTGTCGCTCAGTTCACCTTTGGTACCTCCGATGTCATTAGCGCCGACACTTTCTTCGAGGCTTTGAAGACTTACTACTCATACTTTGATGCGTTCACCGCCGCCGGTACCTATGTGTACTTCTGGGTCTTCCCTCTCGGCAATGACCAGTATCTCTTTGAATTCAACCCGTTTTTCGCTGTCAACCACACCTTGGACCAATTCACCACTCTAATCCAACCATTTGTTGATGATTTGAGCCTTCTCGGAATTTCTGTTACCCCTGGTGGTACCTACTATGACAACTTCTACGATGCTTGGATGTCTGCGTTTCCTCTTGAGACTGTTGGCTCCGTAACCATGCTGACTGGATCTCGTCTTTTCCCCCGTGAGAACTTCGTCAACGCTACTCTCCTAAACCAAACTGTTGCCGCTCATCGCTACACCTTGGAGCAAGGATACCCCGTTCTTGCTTTCCAAATGAAGGCAGATGCTCCCGCCGATGCCGTGGCTAACGCTGCCAATCCAGCTTTCCGTACCATGCTCATGCACGCCATTACCTCCACCTCGTGGGCTGCCAATGCTACCAATTCCGAGATTCTTTCCGACATGGACTTCATGACCAACACCATTCTCGGCTCTTGGCGTGACACCTGTCCCGATAGTGGTGCTTACATGTCTGAGTCTGACATTCTCGAGCCTAACTTCCAGCAGGCATTTTATGGATCCAACTATGCCCGCTTGTACTCCTTGAAGCAGAAATATGATCCCTACGGTGTCTTGTACGCTCCTACAGCCGTAGGTAGTGAGGACTGGACTGTCGCCAGCGCTGATGGCTTGCCCGACCAGAACGGTCGTCTCTGCCACGTTTAGGAGTAGAACGTGATCATAGCGTTTCTGAGACACATGGTCATCCATACCTAGGTAACAGCGGCATTATCTTGTTGTTTTCAATCACATTCTTCATAGAGCATAAATCCTGGCAATAGACGTCAGACATTATAATAACTGGAAATTGATAGAAGAACTACGGCTATACAGTTTACCTACGTGCATACGATTATCATAATTTTTTTTTTGGATATGCTCAGAGTAGAAATCTTCAAGATTTGACTTATAAAAATTTTGAGGCGACTGAAGTCTGTAAACAGTAGTCAATGTCATGAGCCAGCTTGAGATGTTCGCATCCTATGACCTTAAAGCTATGATACGGATCAGTTCATGTTATTATACAATGTCGGCTGATACCGATATAATACGGTATTAGTAGGTGTCCATTCGTTAGAGAGTGTCAAGATACACTACAGTTACATACCGATACACTGCTTTACCCTCGCCCCCGATATCGGAGCTCCCCGCCCTCCCATAGCATTTCCGCATTGGGACAGCTCAGCTATATAAATATTCATACAGATCAGATAAATACCATCTAATTTCACTTTTGAAAATCATACATAACGCTGTTATCGCCTTTCTCAGCCCTCAATCACTCACTATGGCGGACAAAACAGAATCTGCCGTCTACACACATGGCCATCATGCCTCTGTTTTGCGTTCGCATACCTGGAGAACGGCACTGAATTCCGCAGCTTACATTCTTCCCCATCTGAAGCCAGATATGAAGATTTTAGACATTGGTTGTGGACCGGGTACTATCACTGTCGATCTGGCAAGCTACATTCCCCAGGGCCACATCACTGGGCTTGAAAGGGCTGAAGGGGTACTCGATCAGGCTCGTGCTCTCGCTAAGGAAAAGGACGTCAAGAACGTTGACTTTGTCGTTGGAGATGCCAATGGACTCTCCTACGAAGACCAAAGCTTTGATGTCGTCATTTGCCACCAAGTCCTACAACATGTTCGCAACCCCATCGGCATTTTAAAAGAGATGTACCGAGTAGCTAAAGTGGGCGGATTTGTGGCTGCACGAGAATCCGACTACGGCGGATTTGTTTGGTACCCAAGTCTGGATGGGCTTTCGAAATGGAGCCATCTTTACGACGAAGTTGCGAGAAACAACGGTGGTGAGCCTAATGCCGGTCGCATGCTTCATTCTTGGGCACGACAGGCTGGCCTCGCCGACATCAAATGTAGTACAAGTACGTGGTGCTACCAGACAAAGGATGAGATATCCTGGTGGAGCGATTTGTGGGCGGAAAGAATTGTCGTGTCGTCGTTTGCGACAACAGCTATCGATGCTCAGATTGCCACCAAGGGTGACCTTGAGAACTTGGCTAAAGTCTGGCGCAAATGGGGAGATGAGGAAGATGCCTGGTTCAATTTGCTCCATGGAGAGATCATAGCCTATAAACATTAGATAGCTGATTTTCGTGTGGTTTTTATTGTTTATTGAAGTGCTTGGTCTGCCGACCTATGTTGGTGGGAAGAGCTTTCATATTTTCCTATAGATACACGTCAAATATAGCTAAGAATGATTCGAAGTCAACTAGTAGAAAGATCGCCATAGAATTTGAAGGTCGGCAAAGATTACATATACAATTTCTTCAATGGCCATTAAATTAAATATATTTTCTTCTCGCTCTAGATACGTGCTTGATTTTATCCTGTTTAGCGTTATAGTGGGACGCCTTTGAAGCCTTCCCCTTGCCTAATGTGGAACTTCCTCGTCTCCAGGGCTTTGGGAACCAAAAGCACGACAAAACGATCTATACTCCAAGGAGCGCAGTCTTGACACCCTTTCCGTCGGATTTTGCTCTCCACGGCCGCTTCTCATTCAATAGAAACAATTCACCGTCTTTGCCAAACAGTAATTGTCAACACCACTCTCGACTAAGATACGCCCGAGAAGTACTCCTCCGGAAGACCATATATTGACCCATAGCCAAAACCACTGTAGACATTTCCTGCTAAATCGCACTTGATGCCGTCCGGAATGGTCGTGTCTGTCATTGTGAGCAGACGCCAATTCGCTAAAATCGGCTGGCGGTCGGATATCAGAACATCGAAACCGTAGCTAGGCTTAGATCAGCACTACGTATTTTGCCATGGCGTCGATAGGAAGACAAAGAGAACACACAAGCTCGAAGGTCTCATATCGTCTGTTGTGCCACCTCCGTATATCCAGTCCGTATCCGTGACATAGACTGTTTTTCGTCTGGCGAGAAACAAACCCCATTTAGCCGCACAAAACCGTCCAAAAGATCAAAGCGATAAATCTGGTTGGGTAATCTTGGATGAGGTCGATAACCTTGCTCAAAACCATATATAGAGTCGGTAAACCAGATTGTCCCGTCACTATGAATGATAACTTTATTGATAGAGTTGAACAGACGGTTATAGAAATCACTTTTTCAGAAAAGCTGTCTCATAATGTGCCGTTGTCTTCAATTAATAAAGATCACTGGGCAAGGTAATGGATTCCTGGGCACATATGAGTATGCCATCCTTGTATTTTACACCACCGTTGGTCATGGAAATTGGCACTGAGGGGTTTATTTCTTCACATTTCGCGTCGCGTAGACGAACCTTGGTGATTTCGACTTCGAATACTTTTGTAGACGGGTTTGTTAGGCGGTTGCTGGTGATGAAAATCGCATTCTGGCCTTTTATGTAAACGCCGGTTTCCTGCGCGAAAGATTATGAGTCATTTTTCACCAGTAACTCCAGTGTCAGACCATCACCTATAATCGCACGGAATTGTTGGTCATGAAAAAGGAATATGTTTTTTTGACATGCTGAGATTATGTGACCAATTTTTATTGATTCATTTTATGCCGCTGTAACCGTGGAAATTGTCGGCAGAGCGATTCTTATCACGATGTACCTCTATTTTAGTACCCGTAGACCCTCGAGTCCGCGCATCACTGCTGGCGTGACTAATTTGGACTGTAATCTCATCTCTGTGCATCGCAAGTAAGCAATATCATCGGCCAATCTTGCAAGACAAGGTCTTTATTAGTAGAATGCATTCAATCATCGCTAATACATTTTTAAGATGAAATCTACTGCAGTCTAGAGGATGAAAGCTGCATACTCCCTTAGGAGCTGTTAGAAACCCGCGGGTCATTCTCTCGACTATTGTTATACTCTTTCTGCTTCAGAGTATCGGATATTGATTTTCGATTACGTATCGGCGGCAATTGCTCCCGTCGGATATAGATACAGCCGTCAGATCTCCACAAAATGGCGAAGTTTGTCTTCGTATCACTCCAATTTCACCCCGCATCTTCTTGTGTGATGGTCATCGCATTCTGGTCTCTGAAGCCCTGTTACCTCACAATTTTACTTCATACGACGCTTCAAAATGATCACAGGCATTCATCACATTAATTTACTCGTGCCAGAAGGCACGCTGGAGGATGCAACCGAATTTTATGCAAATACTCTGGGTCTGACACCAACTCCAGTCCCGCATTTGCAAGTCGGCCGGATCGCTTGGTGAGTCACGTTCGTGTTATTGATTCAAAAGTGGTAAGTTGGCCTACTCATGATTGAGAATGGGTAGGTTCAACATCGGAGAGCCGGGTGGTCAACAAGTCCATATCGCATTCGGACAGAATGAATCCAATTCGTCGCGCCATCCATGTTTCAAAATCGGATCACTGGACGACCTGCAGACGCTACAGAGGAGAATTTGGGATCATCATGTAAAAGGTGGGAAAGCAGCTCCGAAGGCAGCTGATCAGCCGGGTGAACAGAATTCAGGTATTTTGTCATTTCTGAAAATCTCGTGTTCGTAGACCTACCTGTACTAATGCTAACCGGATGAATATAGGAGCAAAAGGTGTCGAATATCCTACTAGATTTTTTGCTAGAGATTATGCGGGGAACAGACTTGAGTTCACACTTTAGTAAATGATCTGATCATATTTAAGCTGAATGTAAGGGTTCTCTTACTACCGGTAATGTGATTCTATGACTTGATAGTAGATTAATGGACATGCTTTTGACTTCGTATGTTTCAATCTCGCAAACGATCATTCCATCAGACAGATGATTGTACCGATGTGATGATACCAGAATCAAGCGTGATTCAGTAAGCATACAATTTCGCCCCCGGTTGTCTTCGTAGACGTCTGTTCATGTACGCGTAGTAAATCTGAAGTAGAATACAACCCGCAGCCACGAAAAGCAATAGTCCCGCATTTGTCCAGTGACCAGTTGGATACCCCTTCTTTGCTTCATTTGACTTGTATATCCATACCCCAGCAATTTGGCCCGGTGCACCAAATGAGATATTGAGAGCGATTGCAAGACCAGCAGCTGCAGTGGTGTTTACATTGGATGAAAGCCATCCGAGCAGAGGCGGAATACAGGAAAAGGATCCACTCGCAGCTACAATAAGACAACCATAGCGATGCTATCCGAACTTAGCCCAAGTAATCAAAGGAGAAAGAGTTTTATGCATCATGTGGGAACTGTTTCATTAGACATACCTGATAAGCATCTGGCGGTAGAACAGCAGACGCAAGAAAACCCATGGCCCCAATGAAAGAAAAAATAGCCGAGTGAATACCACGCCTATATCAAAGAAAAAGCATTTTAGAGACCATCATGCAAAGATACAACATATCGACTTACGCATTGAAATAGTCGGCTGAACCTGCCACTGATATCGTGACAACATATGCGACTGCATACGGCGGCACAGTCATCAACTGTGCTTTTAGACCTTCATATCCCAAACCAGCAGTGATGGATGGTGTGAACAACGATAGGCTTGAGAATGGAGTCGAAATGCCAAAATATACCTATTTGAATCAGAATTTGCCACAGACAATGATCACATTAATCAGTTGACTGTGCTAGGAGTAGACACGTACAGCATAGTGAGCATAAAGACGCCACTCGGTGAGCACAGTTTTAGCATCCTCCCATGTCATTGCCTTAGCGTTTCCTTGTGAGCCTTCAAGACGTAGTCGACGTTTGGCCAAGTCCTTCTCCTCGGCTTTCAGCCAATGTGAGGTCTCCGGATAATCCGGAAGAAAAAAGAAAATGAGCACGGCAGAGAAGCAGGAAGGAGCGCCTTCAATGATGAAGAGCCATCGCCAGGCAGACAGTCCGTGGGACTGGTTCAAATGACCGACTCCGTAAGCTATTGCACCGCCAAATGCTCCCGCGAGTGTTGCAGATGCAAGAATAAGAGCTACGCGGACTGATCGCTCGTGGACGCGGTACCAAAAAGTAAGGTAGTATACCAAACCGGGGAAAAGACCTGCTTCAAAGACACCGAGTATGAAGCGAATTCCAGTGACCTGGGCGGTGTTCTTAGCGCCGCCCAAGCCCATCGTGATCGCGCCCCACGATAACATCAAAAAGGCAATCCATCTCTAACAGTCGCGTCAATAATGTGACCCTATACGGATATCGAATAGATGACGCACACTAGGTCTCAACTTTTTCAGGAGATAGTTCGAAGGAACCTCAAACAGGGCGTAAGCGATCAAGAAAACCATCAAGGCGATCCTATTGATAATAGATCAGTACGCGTTCTTCAGCTCCGGCACAGTTTATTATGATGGGGTCCAACTAACGTGTACTGGTAGTTTGTCATATGGGTCTCGGTAAGCAAATCATTGTGTGTATCTGCGTTCAAGATTTTGGCATTTCCTGAATTCGGTTTTCGTCAGTCAAACGTCGTCTATCCTGTCCAAGATTAGAAGCCCATACCGATATTCGACCTATCCAGGTAACACAATAAATAGATAAAAGCCGACAATGGAACGATACGTAGGTCCTGCTTCCACACTAGGTTTCTTATGGCAGTATTGTCGAGACCTTCTGCATCTTCGACACTTTCGTGCGTACTTAGGGAGCTTTCCTGTTTTATTAAACTTCAAGGTTAATTGGCCTTCCGAGTTGGGATAATGATCACACATGCCTGTAAAACATCGGTTTCGACATCTTCGATAGTCTTTCTGTGAAGATCAGGCTGGGAACTGGTCATCATGAAAATGAAGGCGCGGCGAAAAGCGGTCAAAATTTGGAAGCCCTGAGGTCTAATGCGAAAACTTGGAAGACGGTGTAGAACTCAGGTGTGATGGGTCACACCAAGTCACTTAAGAGAATTAGAATGCAGAATCAACTTTACAGAATTGTCCGTGTCAGATAACTGTTCCGAGTCAATCAAGGTCGTACTTCGCAGAGCATCGGATAGTAAAGAATGCGGGGAAAGACTCTGGCTACCTTTGTTGCTACGATAGACTCGGGAACATCCCCGATGTGTAAGAATGAAGGCTCTTAGCTTGTTCTTCCCCACGGTGAGTTGGACGAACCGAGTCGATCAACCGCTGAGTTCACACCAATGCGTGCAGTCATAACCAAATACGGAATAGCACCTGAGCTGGCTCTTCTTACTAGTGAGGTGATCATCTCTGATTGGTCTATGCGATGCGGAGTAGATGCATTTGTTCGAATAAGCCCAAAAAACATGGACATTGCGAGATATTACGCGGTTTCAAGAAGGACACCCGAGACGATCCTTGATAGAAAACATGACTGAATTCCTTATCGCTTTTCTAGCATGAGTTGATAGTCGATAGAGACCCAGAAACAAGATGCTCAAGATAGGGTTAATCGCGGAAAAAGAACATTCACCGCTGCGGACGACATGGATTCACTCTCGGGCCTATTTCAATTTCCGCCAATAGTGGTAGAGTATCTTCTCAAACGACCCAATTTAGCTGTAAGACATAAGATGGTTGGTCAATCGTCTTGACTTTATCCGTCTCGTACGTCCGGTCCTTTGCCCCTTGCCTAACCTTATATTCATAATCATCAAGCTTAAATCAATTCTGTAAAATATTACATAAGTGTCTCTATATCTAGTTACGAGACAGATACAGCCTCATATTAAAAATCGTCGGGTAGACGCTATGGCCTGGGCTCCAGTACGCGAAGCTCATCCCTCTTTGATATGCAATCTACAAGATCGACGATAATTCATTCGCAGTGGACTTCCTGTCAGACGGACTGTACGAATATTAGCTTGTGCTGGTAATTTTTTCAACCAAATTGAGTCGATTATACAAATGATTTTCCTGTCACCGCATTACACTCTAGCAGCTTGTGCGCCTCGACCACTTCTTCCCATGTAGGGATCACTGAAAGCGAACAAAAGACTACATGAATGCCTTGGAAGAAGGAGCTTGCCGTCTTCGTGCCGAGAAGGATAATTTGAATGAAGTGGCCGCAAACTGGGAAAAATGCGTACAGGCTCTGCTTCACGTGGAACAAATAGAGGACTCAGAGAGTACGCAGTCCTCTGCAACTCGAACCTGGCATACTCTTCTGGGTAGTTTCGGACAATTCGCAGGACTCGTCAACCATGTTGCCCTAGTCATTGTGGCAAACTCCAGAGCCATTGTCACGATAAGAACAAACATTCAAAAATGCCATATTAACCATATTTGGCCCCTAGATCTAGATGACAACAAAGCACCCATACTTTTCACAAAACTGTGAGTGAGGTAATTGAAATGTGTGGTTCAAAGTAATGCTAATTAGGAGCCGTGTAGTCTACGAAAATATCATTCCTACTTTGAGTTTGACAGAGACTTCTAGGTCTGGCTACATTGACTACTTTTTGCCACTAGCATTAAGCAGTCAGATGGTTTTGAGCTCCGTACTGGCGGCTCCAGCAAGTTGTGTACACTTTACCCATTTCTGGGAAATAGCGGTCCATCGTTTCAAGTACAAATCGATAAATTTCGCGAATCTACAGCAAGCCCCATCACCACGAGAACCTGGATCTATGCTACCACTGCTGGCACTCTCCGCTATCTAGGAACATTTCACCGATGATATTATTGCTGGTGCAGGTGAATTTCGAGCGCTCTTGCACATAGCCCAGTTTTGGAGCCGTTTTATTAGAATCCGGGCCATGGATCGCGAGAGAAGAGTATGTCTTACTTGTTATTATACCAAATAAAGATTTGCGCACGTCTCAGTGTTTGTACATGAAGATTGATGCTTACCGATCATGGAATGTCATTAGAATACTCGTATAACCAAGGTGCAAGATCGCCCCATCGCCTTGGTCATCCCACAGCCACCAGAGTGCATATCAACTACCGCTGGTAAATAATCCCAAGAAACTATACTACATATTCACATCAACGGAGAGCGCCATGGCGCACACTTATCGGATCCATCAGGTTACTTGTACCTCACATGGCGAGCATGGACGGCATTTATCGGTGCATTCCCAAGAGATTGATACTCTCTTGACAGACCTTGAATCAAGAGTTTGCAACATTTCTCTTTCTTTCCTTTGGGGAGAGCTCTCTCATATGGGTCTATTTTGTGGCAGCAGCCAACAGCGTGATGCCTGCTCACCGAGCTTTTCATGATCCACGATTGGCCGAATTACTGTAACACATCAGCCACAGCAGTTTAAAGCGTATACGAAGATTCTCTATTATGACTCTCTGTGCACCTTCTTGAAAATCGAAATTGATCGTTTCATTTACTATGTAGCTATCACGCTTACTGCAAGTACGTAGCCCAGCAGGGGAGAACCGCATCACCTTTCCAGAATTGGGTACGGGTAGGCTTCCAATAGGCAAGTCGTGGAAGGCCAGCCCTGTATGCTCCCCACCCCAAATCAACGAGCAACCACATAGTCGTCTTCTGCGATCAATGCAAAGGGTGAAAATAGCCTAAACGACACGCTTCGGAAGGTCCTTTTGAATGTTTATTTATCAATTGTCTTCAGGCAACTATTCGATACTATTTTCATACCTTGAGAATCACTCATCTTTTTGAATCCAACTATCGTAGCCTTCAAGGCGGCTCTGCCAACTAGTCGGCCATGCATGTAGTGGAACTGTAAAAAGTCGTCGGAACACAGCTCGTCGACCACGTTAAGAGTTGAGTTGGTCTAGAACTGTTCCCAATAACGGGTTACAGTAAGCGGTTACGCTGTTATCGAAAGAAACCCACCATTGTGGCTCSTGAGATGAACATGCCCYTTCTTAGTTTCTAGTTGTGGCAGTATAATGGTTATAATTATCAGAGACGCAGTCAATGTGTGTACGTACACCGGAGGGGCCTTTATTGTAAATTGCGCTCTCTGTCAACTATTTTCCTCTCTACGTTTCCTCAACGGTGATCTCTAAAATGAATTTATTTTCAACTTCAAGTTAAATTATCGTCTCGCTTCTTTGTTGCCTGGCTTGGATTTAAGGGCTATTTTGAGGACTGACTTGTGTCGCGCAGTTCTCGTGATGAATCTCTCTCCAGTGTAGCACAATCTGTTATCACTACCAAGGTTCTCTCGACGAATCAAGACTGTGATCTTCATTTCGATGATGCTTGCAGCTTCTAAAGTCCATGTGGCATTGTTGTTCTCGGATATGTCGCAGGCTTCTCCAAGCATACATGCCTGGGTAAATAGTAAAATTCGACGACGACTTACACGACATCAATGAACGCACACAACCATAGAGCGAGCGAGTAAGTGCCTATGCAATCAGGGCTAAGGCTAGGATTAAGGCTGAGATTATGGCAGGCCTCAAAACACTCACTGTACTTGCAAGTGTGACATGCCTTACTACTAATAGAATCATAGCAAGCTAGGAAACGGAGTACTGTCGTCACTGATCCACTTGACTACTATAGTTAGTTGTGTTTCTATTCATAGATATCAGTCTATGCATAGCTAGTCTCCAATCTCCATACGCTGCAATTTTATCCACCTACCTAGGACGTAGATACTGTCACGAGGCGAATCATTTACTATGTAGTAGACTTTTCATTCTTTGTGTTCCCATTGGCCGGCTGACTGCTTGGAAGGTTCCTGGCCAACGCTTGGTAGCCAATCAGACTACAGTTACTGTAGCCGGGCCCATCACATCTGAACCAGAACGCTCTCTCATTGGTGCGTGCGCAAAGACCTGCAGCTGTCTCCACTTCTTGTACTCTGCTTGGCTGGATTGTATCAAAATTCAGTAGCGACACCGAATCATGAACGGTGTAGACAGAAAATGTCTCATCTTTCCATCTTTCACAAGTGTGCAAATCGTTGATCCTGATACGAGCTCCAGAAAACCCCTCAGTATAACAGCACAATATGTTGGTTGGCTGGAAACCGTGCAAAGATGCCAGAACAACATAAACCGGTCTACTCCACCCCCAGTTCCAGTGGAACGGCCATTCGGTCTGCCGTGGAACGCATCATCGAGCTGTTTGTTGACAAAATTCTTTGTGTGTGAAACCTCCAGCTTGTTTCGCTCGGTACAAATCGCCTTGTCGACGTCTACATGTCATGGTGTCTCACCTCGCCCACCGTTCGCATTCTACAAGTCGATTCTTTCAGTGTGCTTGAAATAGTGGAACTATTTTTCCCAATCGGCTCTTCCATTCTCCGCATAATGATCCAAGATCCCCCCATCATGACGTGTGTATGGGTCTCGTAAGTACTCACTGCTGACATCGGCTCATCCGGGTTTGCAGTTTGATGATTTCTGGATCGTTCATCTCTTGTTCCCTGGATCTTACCTTCAGCAGTAGAGTCAAACAAGGTGAAAAGCTCGATCGATGATATTATCATGATTCTGAATTTCCCAAGATGCAGCGCCTAGATGCTATTGCAAGCATCATGACGTTGTTCATTTCACCCCCAATTATAAAGAGGTGACTTAAGCTAGCAATAACGAAAACCTTTTCTCCAACACACACTGAGGTCAACATTCGCATTTAGGCTTTAGCATACTGCCGGTTTTTGACGCGGCACACAATTTTCTTGTATACCCCAGGCCCCTCCGACGTCCAACGCCATGAAATTCTTTGCTGCAGCCGCAGCACTTGCTGCTGGAGCCAATGCTCTCACTATTCGAGGTGAAAGCTGTTGCTTTACTTTGACTGCATCTGGCGAAACATCTGGCACTGTCGGTCAACTGAATGATGGCCAGAACCGCATCGGTGGTGGATTGCCCGCTGCCACATTCTGTATTACTCCTGGAGGTACCATCACTGACAGCAGTGGTCGTGGATGCATTCTCACACGTTAGTAGTTATCCCTTATAGCTGTCGATAGGCCATCAATATTCCTGTACTGATTGTTGGGCGGCATGAGATAGCTCCTACAACCCAATTGCAATGTGATACAGGAGCTACTGCTGACTCGGGCTTTTCTGTCAGCAGCTCTGGTCAGCTTACCTCCAATGGATCTCCCGATTTTGTCGCTTGTCAAACCGGCGATAACGGTGCATTGAATATTTACACCAACCCTTCCCCCAGCGATGTGACTGGCTGTGTCCATATCACTCTTTCAGCCGACCAATGCGCAACTTCTGCAATTTCTTCAGTACAGTCAAGTACACCAGCAGCGTCTTCTCCCACTGCGTCTGAGACCTCACCTGTTAGCCCCCCTGCTAGTCTCCCGGCAAGCTCTCCCACCAATCCTTCTGGCCCTGGAAGTCCGCCTGCAAGCTCCCAAGGTAGCCCATCTGTCGTCGTGGTCACCGCCACGGAGACTGTGTGTACCCCCGGGCCGAGCACCGCTTCTCCCGCCTCAATTCAGACCAACGCACCCGGGCCATCAGGTACCAGCGTACCATGTAGCACTGATCTCGTCTCTGGCAATTTCGAATTTCCTCATCTCATTGTGCCTATAGACTCGTCCTCTCCTGGCACTGCAGGCGGCACTCAGTTCAAAGCTGAAGTAACGTCTACCATTTCCACTATTTTCAATTTTGATATCCCGGCGTCTGATGCTGGAAAGACTTGCACTTTAGTCTTTCATTTCCCAGAACAGAAGGATTTGCAAACTTCCTCGTTCACCTTTAGCGGTGATGGCAATGTATACTTTGCTGAGTTAAGCTCCCCTGCTACTCAAACTACGACATTCAACAATGCCCCATCCGTCAAGACGGACTTTGGTGTAACTACCATTGCGCCAGGAAACTCCTACGTGATTTCCACTTTCGCTTGTACTTCAGGCGGAGCTGTGGCATTTGAATTGAAAGAAGCTGGAACTACCGATTTTACTTTCTTTGAAGATTACAATCCTTCTCCGTATGTTCTTGTGCCGTCTCATTTTTATATTCTTGATATGCCCTACTAACACTTTGTCAGGATCGGTCTCTTTATTACCACTTGCTAAACGCAACACTGCGAGTGACCCAGCTTACTTCCTCTCAACTGAACCATACCAAAAGCCGTGCAAGGCAAGTAGAAACAACACAATCTTACCCAGTGCGCATTACATTTACTTAACAAGCCTTCAAGGCGCCATGAGTTCACATATTGTTATCATCAACCGATGAACAAAGCTTCGGACCCTATATTTAAAGAATATAGTAGTTTATCAGAATGATATGTGATTTCTATTGCTACAGTAACAATAATGCGTTACTGAAATTTCCGTTCATTGGTTCCATAGGGGTTAATTGCTAGTACTTGATAGTTGATGCTGCGTGACGACGATGCTCAATCTTTTACCGAGAATTCTTCTTACTCAAATTTACACGATAAACGACCTGTGTGCAAAAGTGCTTTTTGCTCATGATAGATAAAGGTGGACATAGCCTAGTTGTGCGACCTACAAGTATGCGCCAACAATGTTTAGTCCAAGGGAGCAAAGCGTAGGCAAGAGCAAAGACTAGTGTCGGCCTCCAAATATATGCCCAAGTCAATGGTTTATGATTTTACAAGATGTAAGGAACACGGTAAAGCGCAGAAGTCGTCACGTTTCTAACTCAGAGCATAGATATTTACTTTCATTAAGACTTGATAAACTCACCTGCTTAGGCGATTTCAGATGAATATCAGTTCGGAACTTCAGATCTCAAACTCATACGTCGCATACATGCGTCGCTCATATCAATGCTGAGTATACAGTGCGAGTTCGCTAGAACATAATAGGTGAGGCGTCATTTCAATTGAGCGGTGTAGAAAGCTAAATCATCACCATCTGATTCGACAGTCAAGATCAGTCGCTTTGATCTGATTGGTATTTTTTTTCTCAATTAAATATCGATTCTGGGTACCTAGGCATATGTACCACATGATGGAATTGACATTAACGCACTTTTGTTGAACACAGCATAATTTGAGAACTCAATCTGCCAAATCGTCAGCATGCAAGAAATAATGACTTACAGACAAAGCATCCGGTAGCCACGCACTCGGAACAGAGAGACCGCCCCCATAATATGTGTTCACCACCAGGGAGTGTGTGTAGTGGGGGTGGAGGGGACGTGGCGCCAGAATTGGATAATTGCTGAACTGTACAGTTGCGAGCACAGGTTCGTCATACGATGTGGAATCTCGTGTATATGGTGATCAGTCAGTCCAAATTGACCCTTGTGCAGGAAATCGGTTATGAAAGCGACAGATAGCCAAAATACAGAGCAGGAAGCATGGCAAGCGTCAAAGTCAAACAAGCCGGAGGTCGAAGGAGGCTATATCTGCTCAATGCGACCCTGTCATGCAGAAACAGCGTGTTCCAAGGCCAACGTGTAAGTATGCGTTGTTCGATTCCTACATATTTTTTACCCCGTTCCAGGACTCACAGCCATCGTGCCTGATTCTTAATTTGTTTTTTCTTTTTGGTGCAGGGTAGTAAAATTCCAATACAAACGACATACGAGTCGCATGAGTAAACATCATTTGATTATACAGCCCAAAAAACAAGTATTGAGTGAAGAATCAAAGTTTCTCATGAATAGCTAGTACTTGCTCAGGCTGCCAACATCAGGCTAGAAGACTATTCTAGAAGAAAGAAGTTGATAGGCTAGATATTGCTTCGCCATCATGCGTGCATAGCGATGAGTTGGCGAAAGCATGAGGTAGCGGGTCTAACTTCGTTGATGCACTGGATAGGATAGGCTCCCAGTCAGCATTGTCGCAGTAATCAAACCAAGTCTGTACAATGGTACCCCAAGTCCATGCTGCGCAATCGAAATGTCCATCGAGGCTGTTTTGGAAACCAAAGTACAGATACAAGTTTTTCTAAGGATATTGCGAGTAAGTTTCAAATTCGTGTTGCAAGGGCCTAAGCTACCTAGTGAGTATTTTGCATGACTGTTCATATATCTTGATCGATCATGCAGAAATATGCTGCAATCAAACGAGAGTGACTGCAATGTTACCATCGGTTCTTTCCAGTATCGCATGAGAACACATATGCTTGGTTCCGGTATGGGTAACCCAAACTCATGAGATTGTGTCCGTGTTATTCTTGATTCTTGTTCGTGTCCATCAAGATCATGTATGTGGATAATTGATGGTCACACAAAAGGCGCACAAGATAGCCTTAGTTTCTTGTTGCAGTTCTGACGTGACAGGTCCGAAATGATCTTCAGGCAGCACACCTAAGATTGCAAGCCTTGCACAGTAACAATATAAGTTGTCTGTCCCGAACTATGTCAATGCCTTGACCAATACGAGGTAAGCTTGAATCTGGAAGAGGGTCCTTAGGCAGCATTAAGGGCCTCGCAAGAATACTTGCTGTTTCAATACTCCGGAATTCATAATCGCCCAATAATACCGAATACAGGTGGCAACGCCTCGGGATTTTAACCTGCTGCCACATCACTGGACGCGTCTAGAGCGTTTGTAACGCCTCTGATGGTGTGGAAGATCCCGGGCGGTTACCATTTGCGACCTGGGAGAATTCAGTACCATCAGCCGAAACGCTTATCTTCGGAAGGGCAAATTTCCCCCCAAGAAATGGATTGATAGAGATCGTTATCCAATATATGGGAATGTAAAATATGACACCCTCTGCTGCAGAATATTCCATTCTCGGAGGAAGTGCTCAGAAGCTACTTCTGAATTCCAATGCGATGCGCTCGTGTTGTTCGGAGCCGCTGCTGCAGCGACGTTCCGTACGGTAGGCAACGAGTCCCGCAATGCAAATCTCTTGGCCAGGCCACATTATCATTCCGACTCCTGGCTTATTTTCACAGTCTTTCATTCTTCTCCTCTCCGCCTAGACTAGCATTCAGATGCTGACGTCGCGCTTTGTCATCTGAAATGTGATGCAGAAATTTTTGATTGGCATTGTACTAGTGAAAATGACGCACTAGTTAATCTCGTCTCGGCATAGTATCGAAGGACTTTTCATCTCGGTCCAACAGACTCCAACTGTGGCAGCAGTACTCTGAAACATTCATACATGGTACAATAAAACCCAGGCATACGTACCTTTGTGTGTGCAGATGGTATACCGTAAAATTGTCGTCTGGCCGCGTATATGTCCGAATCTGAATGCCGCTAGAGCCTCAAAGTGAATGCATACAACATCGTGAATTTATGTCAAAAAGTTCTCACCGGAATTCCCCTAACTTTCACTTTCGATATTTTAGCAAGTTCCAACTCCTGTCTTATATATCCCTCGTCATCCTTAGACTTCCAACCCCTCTTCTCTTTAACCCCCTCTTCTACCTGAAATAGATCTAGTGAACATTGGGTAGCCATCGCCGCCAAATCCGCCACGGTCCGAAACCAGTCTTTGATGGCCCAACATTGTCCAATTGAACACAAGCCAAGGCAGCGGACGCGAGAATATGCCGGCGGAAGCACACTAGCACCAATCTTTCAACCTCCTCGCCCATTTTCCCGGCCTCTGAAAGGATGAACCTCAATGGCTGGAACAGCGGGACGGGGCCTGGGTGGGGGTCTTTGACAAAATGAAGCGCATATTGCTGAACTCTGTCTCCCTCTCTCTCCGACTATGAGCGGGGTTGAGGAGACGTAGATGGGAAGGCACCTTTTGATTGGAGCAGAGGAGATAATGCTGAGGCATATTCGGAGCACCGGGGGTTCAGATCCAGTTTCCGATGCTCATCACTGTGGCCATCAGCCTGTTCCCATCCCCCCTCCTTCTTCCTCTGGCCCCCTCTACGTGCTCAAAGACTAATTGTCCGCCAGTTTTGGCATTGATCTCGGAGTGAAGAGTCTCCGATGACGGGTATAAAAGCCGGCTCGTGTTCTTCTTCCCATCATGGTCCACCTTCTTCCTTTTTTATCACTCTTCCTTCCAGGTTTCCTCACAGTCTCAGAGACTCCACTGCATACTCCACCTTTTTCTCATACTAAGGGCCTTTAGATAACCAAAGCTTCAAAGATTCAACCCATACTTAAAGAAAGAAAAGCCCCTGCCGTGTCTTATAATCTTCCTGGTGATCTTCACTTTCATTGCAACCCGTTGCAGACGAGACCTATCATCTTCTCTTTGACTTCCATCAACAACCATTTGTCAACGGTTCCAGCACTTTGTAAATCACAATGGCCACTCACCAATACTATCAGCCGAGCATGGCCATGAACATGCCTTCGAAAGCACCTGTACCTGCCGGTCTTTATCCCGTCGGCCGCGTGGCTGTTCAACCGGCAGATTTCTCCGATAGCAGCACAACTGGTGGCAGCCGGACAACTGGCTATAGCGGAACTACCAGCAGCTACTCTGGCAGCATTAGCGGCGATTATGAATCCAGCACAATGTCCGGCGTCGACGTCGTCGACATGTTGAACGAACGAGTTCACGGCTCTTTCGATCCGATGCCACTCGATCGAGGATTGGCAACACAAGCACAAACGTGAGTTTTTCACTCCAATGCAATAGCTCTTTTCTCCGTCGTTTCTCTGTGGAAGCGTCTTGACGCTGTATCCGCTTGCCGAGCAGCGTGCGACCATGGTAGTTTGTCGATTGCTCGGATGCACGAATTACTGCGATATCAAGAGCTGCTGCAGCTGACAATAATCCGCTAGGTCTGGACACTTGAATGCGAAACAGCAAGAATTGCTGGAACTTCAGGCACTTGCTCAGCGTCGCTTGAAAGGAGTACGCTCCAGCTTCAACGAGGGGTTGAAAGCGGCGAAGGAAACGAAGAGGGATCTCGAATGGACATCGAAACGCGTGAGGTGAGTTGTCTGTGTGTGTTCTTTTGGGAAGTTGCATTCCTCCGTCTTTGGGAAAGCGCAAGGGGCAACTCGCTCCTTCCCCCAGGACGTGTGTGTTTCCGCTCCGCTCCGCTCCACCAGCGGCGGAGCGACGTTTCCGCTCTTGTTGCAGTTTCTTGGCGCGTGTGCGCGTCTGCAGGAACACATCATCGCAAAGGGGTGATTGGGCGGAAATTCTACGCCGGACGGGGTCAGATTGCGCCAGAACGATCGAGCTAACAGAGAACTCTGATTAGTGCCCTGAAAGCCAAGGCTGAGAAAGCACACCCAGAAGAGTATCGCCGAGCGACCAGCAAGTATGTCTTCGACGACGACTACTGAAGAATCAGGCAACCCTCGCCAAACTGACTCTGACCATTGTAACAATGGCTTTTGTGACGACTAACGAAACGACGCTAATGAAATCTTACGATTCGGTTTGGGAAAGGAAAATTCGTGGCTGCTTTCTGTTTCCTTCTCGATTTTGGGTGTGTCTGCATGCTCTTCTTGCCAATCTCTGTCGACACCCCGTTTTTGATTACGTATGGCTATGTAATTTCGTATTTCTTTCCGTTATTTTACCGGCGTTCTGTCACGGCTGGCTACTTTGCCTTGGAGGTTTGCAATTTGGGTGGTTGAATTGTCTCTATTTCGTGTAATTTCGATACAGCAGATACTCCAATACCAAACGGGACGTAAATGGCATCTTAATGACTCTGCCCTGTATTGTAAAGAGTGTAGGAAGTTGAAACCCTAAGAGGTGGCCCGTTATGGTTAGTGTTAGGGCTTCGAACCATTACCCTAACTTCTTATTGAGAGCGCCAGCAAAAGCCTACTGCATCATTGGCGAGCTAAAGCCCTATGTCAGTCTATGTACTATTATGTAAAGTAAAAATACGAGCTAAGATGTTTATTGTATAGGGACAATATCTAACGCTCAACGTCTTGGATTATACCCCATTCATAGGCGCAATGCATAGTCAAACTGATGCTCAAAGTCTGTAGATATCATACCATCATACTCCATCCGCAGCTATGCAGTAAGTCGAGTTTCCCTGCATCCCCTCCACTGGATCAACACAGGCATTATGAAAGAAACGTCAAAGCATTCAACTGCAAAATTTCAGACGTCCCGTGTCTTACTCAGTGCCTATCATGAAGATGAACGACACCATCTAAAAGATTCACCCTGTTGGATTCGCTGTGGACTCACCATGATCAGAAGAGCCGACTGGTGGCTGGTCTCCAGTTGTTTATCGCAATCTCATTACAATACAACCTCTTCAAATTGGTGTACAAGTTACTAGTCTCATACGCAACGGAGAACTAGCCGGGATCACCAAGCGTGTTGAATGACCTGTAGCTACCTCTACATTTTTAGCTTCTACTGGCACGGCAGCGCATAGAGCTCGTGTTTGGATCAGCTTTTTCATTGCTGTTTACTGGTTTTTGCATTTTCGCAGTTCCAAGGTTCTGAGCTGTGACAAACTCATATGTTTTGAAACTGACGGTTTGGCCGCCAATTTCCGTTCCTTTATTATCTGTATTTTCTCATTGATATTCTCTTACCTTCATTGACTGGTATTGTCTGATGGCAACATGTCGTCAACATGATCGACGCTAGAATTCGCGATGCGACCTTACGACAGCCTGTATATACAAGTTGGCCTTAGGGCTTAATGTTCCCTAATTACCTACATAGGTAGGTACGAAGCCTATCAACTTTCCGACAACATGATAGGTATGTACCTCCAACCCAGGTAGTTAGTCGACTCTGGCACCCTCAGACTACATACAAGTAGAATTTTATCGAGACTGTTTGCTTTCTCTCCTTCATGCTCCGGTCTCAGAGTATTTAACTATGCCATGTTGAAGCTTTCGATCATTGCAGAATGCTGCGTTGTCATCTTGCCTCTCTATAAGCACAACTTCTTATCTGCTGAGGATATATTGCGAGCAGTTTCACATCACCAGTCCTGGGGAATACATAGTCCGACCCATGCGTCAATTTGCCTGGGGTGATAAACATCAATTTAGTATGAAATATGGAGTGTATTGCGACTACCAAACCTGAAAGGTTGCGAGGCCTCACGAAGAACATTGCCCACACTCGCGTTAATCAGCTTTGGTAATTCCGCTGCTGGTGGCGATGTCGATGTTTATGCCTATGAGACCGTTCACGTGGCTCACTTAAGTGCCTAGCGTTGTTGCGATCAAGTGAAAATCCTTCCAGGCTATTGAAGGAGTCTCGAGAATGCGATCTTCGCCGTCTTCGTTGTCTAGATTCCGATCTGGTGGCTCTTTCCAGATCTTCAAGTTCATGTAATCTATGTCTTTGCCACTCTTTCCGCTCTTTTTGGGCGTTTTTGAGTCCGCGAACACCAGCCTTCATCGCTGCCAGGGGATCATTCGCGTCGATACGGGCCCTTTCCCGCTCTTGCCTCAAAGGATCCTCATTCCCCCAAACATCAGTATTTCGCATTGCATTGGAGGCATTTACCTCCTCGGTAGGCCCTGTGGAGTACCAAGGCGTCTTACCGGCAGACTCTTTGAATCCAGCGGCATTCGAAAGGCGCATTGTATACTGATCTTCAAAGGCGCGTTGTTTCTTATGCTTTTCGGCTTCCGCTTCCACATTCTTCTCAGCTCGCTGATTTTTTGTCATATCCTCAGTAAAAAGGTTGATGTGGCCAGCACTATCTGTTATCGAAATATGTTCATCGCGCCCTTTCCATTCGCGGTGAGACGAGAGTAAATCATCCCTTTTCGCGCCATATTGAGCAGCCTCTTCTTTGGCAAATCTGATATCTCTGTCCGTATCATCTTCTCCTGTAATCCTTCGCCGTTTCTTATGCCTCTGTGTGCCATAATCCGCTTCTGATCGCCTATGTTCCGACTTGGGAACTTCGCCGGGTGTAGAGAGACGTGGGGGTGACAGACTAGGAGGACGGTCGCCGCGTAGAATTTGTATCCGACGTTCGGCATCGACTTCTTGCATGCGTCTCTCCTCCTCTTCCTCTCGAGCTTTCGCTTGCTCTTCGTCGCGGCGGACACGCGCGATGTTGTCCGGATTGAAGACGTTCCATGATTTCTTGCCGAGGAGATGTCTGTCATCAGTCAGCGAGGATTTTTGGCCACGTTGAAGAGAGTATCGGCACTTACAATGGCATATTCACTGTGAGTATGGACAGTATGTGGAAGCCTTTGAAGTAAAGACGATGCGACACGGTGGTAACTATTAATTTAGAAAACATCTGTCAGGCCGAAGCGGCTGTTGGCGCCTGAGATATTAGGCATCAAACATATTTCATGCCTCAGGCAACAAACGACCCGTTGTCTTTTAACCCTTCAGCTGTTTTTTATTTAAGCGGATTACTTTGAGTCTTTGGCCAACATCAAATTTTCTAGTTTGTATTTTTGTGTCTAATTATTCTTGCATTCGGGTATGATGAATAAGAGATGACTTTTCTGTGCCAGTACACCTCTAGAAAAGCTTTATACTTTACTGCAATGACCACAGCTGTCGTTTCTTGTCTCCATCAATCTCCCAGGAGACCTCGATATCCAATGCGCGCGAACCTTCTTCCTTCTTCTGATAGCCAACACTGCCTTTGATAACTTGTCCTTTCTTCAACGCAGTAGGTTCCTTTCCACCGTGGTTCGCGAGAAGCACACATTGTTGCCAGTGTGTTTCGGTGTCAAAGGGACCAGTAGTGAACGCGACCAGTCCGTGCTTTTTCAGCTCTACAGGTTCGGTATTCTCGTCGAATTTGAAAGTAGGAGAAGGCAAGAAGAAAGTGTCGAACCAGATGTTCCAACCGTCGAGTCCAGGAATGTCTTCTGTAAGAGTCACTTCAAAATTCTTGAGGAAAGTCAATTCTGCAACGGTAATTGTGTGTAGCGGAAGCGGTAAGAAGACAGCCGATGAACCGACAACAGTCTCGGGTTTAGTTGTAGTAACGATTGCCTCATCGTGAATGTGTTCAAGCATGCTGGACATGTCAAAGCCGTAGACAGATTTCCAGAAAGTCACGTGAGAGTCCAAAAAGTCACTGTCCACATATGGTGCAATGCGTAGAGTAGTATGTGATGGCACCATGAGGCCACCCGGCACCAAGTAATGGTCTCTAGCCCACAACACCGAGTCCAACATTGCTTCGAACAGTAGTCCATATCCCATCCATTCCGATACAATGATGTCCACTTGGGGCACAGGCAGACTAACTTCTTCGATCTTGCCACGAACACACCTGCATTTTGAGTAAGCACTATTGCAAAATTAAGTATGGATTTTTGAGTACGTACGTTATGACATCTTCGAAGCCATTCTTGTAGATATTCTCCCGAGCTTTTTGGATGATGTTGGAATTATCCACCGCGATGACCATTTTAGCTCCGGCTTTTGCACAGAACATAGATAGAATGCCCGTTCCACAGCCAACATCAAGAACAACCTTGTCCTTGAATAAACCTTTGTTATCGTATATGAAGTCGCGATAAGCATCGGTTCGCACAGTGTCCTTGAGCATGGTCTCGTGAATTGCTATGATTGCGCGTTAGTGATTTTGGCAAGAATATCAATATAAAGATCAACAGGGTGGATTAAGCGAACCATTGAATGAGTAAGAAGTGAAATAGTCAGCGTCGGCTTCTTCGATTTTTCCTTTCTTCGGTGCTCCAGGCCCTGCTGCGCTGTCATCGACAGACACACTGGCTAACTGTTCGCCCAATGACTTTTGTACCGCCAGTCTGTACTCCGAAAATTGATTTTTCAGCTTCTCCAACTCCTCCTGAAGTTCCAAAATGCGCTTCTCGCTAGGCGCTTTTCCGTCTTCGACTTCCACGTCGTCTGTCAGGTCGTCGAGGCTATAAAGTAAGGCATCGTCGTCGAGAACCGGTTTCAAATAGGCATCGTCATCGAATAAAGCCGAAGAGCTAACCGAGGGTTCCTTGTTTCCTTTCTTGATCTCCGAGCGTAAATAATTGACCAGTCGAATGGTTCCTAGAAAATCCAGGTCTGTATATAGTCAGTATCAATTGCAGTTTGAAGATTGTGTGGGCTGAGGTAGTCCTAGGTGTTTAATTGACAAAACATGTAACACAACGAACGACCACATACCAAGATCTCTCTGCACCTTCACGAGGTCAAAGTTGTACCTTTCTTTGGTATCTTTCAACAATGCGCGGACATCAGGATAAACATCTGCGCTGAACAGCCCCACAACTGGCTGACTCTCTTCCTCCGGTTCAATGTCTTCCCAGCCTTCATCGTTTCCATTGACGATGTTCAAGCTATCAGATGCAGAATCGCTGTCGGAATAGCTATCTTCCCCGCGATGGGCGTCTTGCAAAAAAGCCGACATGCTAGGCTCTGGACTCTGATCAATGGGGACGTAACCAGTGTGGAATGATTGGATTCAGTCTTTGTGTGGAAAGTTTAGGAAAGTATCTAGACTCTGACGGAGTTATCAGAAATGAGAAAAAAGTTTAGAGATAAGTAGTAGCAGCCCCGCCTGCCCTAAGCAAAAAGTAAAAAAGTTCCGGCCTGGACAACCAGGCAACCCCGCCAGGCTCACCGCCCTGAGAGCTTGTTGTCAAACTGCCCCTTCAGGAACACTCCGGACTCACTGCTCACCACACTGCCAGAAGCTCTGTGCTCTTCGTCTGAGCATGTACATTCTTGCAGAAGTTCATTTACTAATAGCATCTTCTCACTTGATACCCAATCCTTGATCGCATCAGCGGCTCGACCTCAATTGCGTGTTCTCGAAGAATCGTCTTTCGTATCCGCCGACGATAAACGGGCCCTGCCTTCAAGAGTCCAGCCAGTCCATTTGTCCAATTCGGCGTCATGGCGTTTTTGTTCAATCGCAGTGCTCGTCCGCGGTCGCCGTCAGATTTAGCCAAGGTTACTAGAGATCTCTTAGCAAAACTATGGGAGCTKCCCGATTCGCCCAAGGTGTGTACCACGCGTATCTGAACTATCGGCTGTTGACATTGAGCCATGGAGCAACTAACAAAGGGACAACTATAGCTAGAAGAAGACATTTCGAAGCAAATTGCGCAAATGAAATTGATTACACAAGGGACACCAGGTGAGCGGACCATTATACAATGGCTCTGGTCAACGGCTTATACCTTGAAGAGATGGATAGTGCTCCCGCTCTTGTACGCTCCTTATTCGATTCGGTGATACGAGAAGATCTTCTTTTTCAGCTGGCGCACAGCATTCGCAAATTACCCTTTGAAGCGCGTAAAGATACACAAACGATTGTGACACATATATTACGGTACAAGCCAAATAATGGACCTGGAGACCCGCCAGCAATAGATTACATTGTTCATCAGCGGCCGGAAGTCATTATTGAGCTTTGCAGAGGCTTTGAAGACCCTCATAGTGCCTTATCATGTGCCTCCATTCTCAAGGAGGCTGTCAAGTCCGATGTCATAGCCGCTCTCATTCTATATGATCAATCAAACGAATATGAACCGGCGGTTCGACTCAACGACATAAATGCTGAGCAACCGCAGACGGGGGACGGTATTTTTTGGAAGTTCTTCGAGTGGATTGATAAAGGCAGTTTTGAAGTGAGCGCAGACGCGTTTACCATATTCCGGGTAAGAATTTTCCCATACGTTCAGGAAGTCAATTTCTGACGCATATCACACTAATTTTTTGACCTTGAAGGATCTCTTGACGCGGCACAAAACATTAGTTGCCTCGTACCTATCCGCAAACTATAGCCTCTTCTTTGGCAGATATCACCAAATTCTCATACAATCCGACTCCTACGTAACGAAGCGACAAAGCATCAAGTTACTTGGCGAAATTCTTTTGGACCGCACCAATTATAATGTCATGACAACATATGTTGACAGCGGAGATCACCTTAAAGCTTGTATGAATCTCCTCAGAGACGACCGGAAGATGGTGCAATATGAGGGTTTTCACGTTTTCAAGGTCTGTCAACCGCGTTCTTTCGAATTATCCGGCTAGTATAAGGCTAATGGAAATTTATTGCGTAGGTATTTGTCGCAAACCCGAACAAATCCGTGGCCGTACAGAGGATTTTGATAAATAATCGGGAGCGATTGCTCAAGTTCCTGCCGAAGTTCCTCGAGGATCGCACCGACGACGACCAATTCACCGATGAGAAGGCTTTTCTTGTCCGGCAAATTGAGCTTCTTCCTAGTGAGCCTATCGAACCAAGCTATTCCTCTACATCGCGACCCAGCGTCAACGCCGCCGCAGCCTAGGACGCCACAATTTCGAGGCGTCTTTCTGCTAAACCTATACACACACGCATGACTTTGCAAAAGGCCGTTGGGTCAGGCAAAGTCAACGAGATGATGACTTAAGACAAGCGCTTTTCGCCGCTGCTGATTATGAGCAGTTATGAGCAATTCTTTTTTTAATGTTACAAGCTCGGATCGTTGCTCACGACTTGGTTTTTTAAAGTTTATTTTTTGTTGGGCGCTTGGGAGCTGCACGTTTATCAGAAACATTCATTGGCGTTATTTGTGTTCCTAATGTCATAGCCGATGGTACATTGCTGTAGCTTGTCTGGTGCTAAACCTGTAATTGGTAACTGCTGTATACACTCAGACTACGGCACGATGTTATACATTATATATAAACTGGGACTGGGAGGCTGACCATTTTGGTACTCGATTCATTGAGCGTATACATAGGAAGATTTGAACATTGAAAAGTGTCTGAACATAACCCTAACTATCTACCTAGGTATATCCTCATCCACATAAGTGCAACCTAGGATCTGGTACACATCTAAAGCTGGACTCCAGGGTTGCCACCATCTAGCTACTTTCACAGAACTTTCCATGTTAAAGTACCTCGGTAGGCTCCCCGTATCGACACCTGAGGCTCCACAGGCTGCTCTTCGGACTTGACTTCCGCGAGCGAGCTTCCCTCGATAGTTCCAAGCACAACCCGATTCACTTACAGGCTTGACTAATGACATGGAATCCCCTACGTAGATCTCCAGAATTTTTGAAACGTTGGATGATCAAGCCACGACCATCCCGGAAGCAGTTAGTGGCCGTCAGCTAAACGGCCTAGCTGGAAACGCCATTTTCATTCTCACGAGGGCGCGCTGGATGAACATAGATGGCGTGTATACAGATAAAAGCATACTGCTTCCGATATAGTACGCAGCATACATAGTACTCATAGGCGATAGTCGATCATTTGCCGTCTCTTGTAAGTTGTAGCTCGGAGGATCAGCAACTTGCCAAGTAAACTGGGCGTTGGTAGTTCAGATACACGCTAGTCCACAAAAGGCGTAGTTCCAGCTGCCCCTTTCACTTTCGCAGCGACGAAGGAGAACCACAACATAATAACCTGGACTCTCTTTCCACCAAGTTGAATTGCAACCCAGTGTTGATGAATACGCTTGCTACGACTTGCGCTTGCTCTCAGCCGCATCGTGTCCCAGAATCCCGTGTGTTCTGTATAATATATATATCACACCCCTTTGGGAATCCGAAGGCTGTGTACCCCCGGCGCATCGACCTACGTCCTTAAAACGTTTTGTATGAACGCTCGTTCCACGTCGACTGATCTTTCACCAGTACTGCAATCTGGTGAACAATGCTTCCAACCTCCTCAAAATAACGACGACACATATATAAGATGCCGGAGCCCGTTCCATCGATACACGCCATCGCCTATGAAGAGACCGCCCCAGCAACCGCCTCTAATTCGATCAAGCCTATATCCTCCTCAGAAAACACTGCGGCAAGTTCGAACGATGACAAGACGCAGCGTGAAACAGACGATCCAACCTTAGACCAGAGTAACAACTCGACGCGTGCGCCAAATGGCAATGGATTGACTAATGACGAACAGTCGCAGTCAGTACAAAATAGCCTGGCAATTCCCGGCTTTGCCGAAGACCAGAGTCTCACACCATTCACGAATATACCAAGTATCAAGGTAGATGATGCGTCTTCCAGACCCAGCTCGCGATGGTCTGAACGAAAGTGGGGTGTGCTCAAATCTCGCAAATCGACCGAATCCGTGCGACCAAAGTCTGCGAACACGCCGAACAGCTCGGGCCAACCTTCCTTTGAAGGTATTACCATGAGTATTCCTACCACCGACTTCCAAGATCTGACTCCAAGCTCCATGGAGTTTTCCAAACGGGGCAGCTTGGTCACAGCCAAACCCGCCACACCTGCTATGTCCCTCCCGAGCAGTGATCCCGGTCCCTCGTCCTCGCCACGTAAGCGATTGTCGAATTCTCTCCGTGTCAGACAGTCCGTACTCACATCCCGAGCCGTTTCAGCGGACGAAGATATGCTATCGCGTCGGGTCCGGTTGATGTATGAAAAGGGAGAAGACAACGTGACAGATGCTGATGTTACTCGAGCAATCGCAGAGGAGAATGGTATCCTCTGGGAGGAGCAAACTCCTGTTGAAGGCCCTTCGGATCAATTATTCGAGCTGAATGGGTCTACCACGGACTTTAGGAGTATCACTTCGGTGGGTGCAACCAACTCTATAAAGCGGGAGTCAAAAGAGCTTGCGGGAGGAATTGAGGACTGGCAGAATGTCGAAGCTGCCGATGTTGACAGGTATGGTTTTATTGTCCCGCAAATCAAAAGAGGGGACTCTGCAGAACCTCAACCGATCCAGCGCGTTTCAACCAGCCTGCTTCTTGCTTCGGAGTCACCGCGACGCAAGAATACATTCAGAAGATCAGCCGCGACTGTAAGAAGTAGCAGCAGGTCGCTTGTTAGTAAATCACCCACTCGTGACCGGAAGATGTCCGACTCCTCCACCAATCGGCCGAGTTCGTCGCAGAGCGCATACAGCCCGACATTGAAAAGATCGCCATCCAAGTTTCGCTATGCGACAAATCGATTACCGCACAATCGAGATCGCCGAGTCAGAGATGAAGCTGGTGATATGCTCACTTTACCGTTCGAAGTCCCCGAAGTCGCCGCCGAAGATACCCCCGTATCAATGGCTATGAAGAAGAAGGAATGGGAACGAGAGGACAAGTGGATGAAAATGGCGAAACCGACAAAGAAGAAACATGATGGAAGCGGGATGACATTCGAGTTTGATACCAGCAGCTCAAAGCTCATTGAGCGGACATGGAAAGGAATTCCTGATAGCTGGAGAGCTACGGCATGGTATGCATTTCTGGAGTCCAGTGCCAGAAAACATGAGGGTAGCCCGTCGGCTGCAGAGCTGATCAGTGCTTTCCATGAATATCAGAATGTGTCTTCTCCCGATGATGTGCAGATTGATATTGATGTCCCGCGCACGATAAGCAGTCACATAATGTTCCGTCGGCGTTATCGCGGTGGACAGAGGCTTTTATTTCGAGTTCTGCATGCCATGTCTCTTTATTTTCCCGATACTGGGTACGTGCAGGGCATGGCAGCACTCACGGCAACGCTCTTAGCATATTACGACGAAGAAAATGCATTTGTTATGCTTGCTCGTCTTTGGATGCTACGAGGGCTGCAGCATCTTTATAGAGAAGGATTCTCTGGTCTGATGGAAGCACTAGGTGATTTTGAGAAGGAGTGGTTGGGTAATGGCGAAGTTGCCGGCAAATTGGTAAACTTCCTTTCATCTAGGGATATCTGTCTAATGCTAATTTCATGTAGAGTGAGTTGGGTATTCCTCCTACATCTTATGGCACCAGGTGGTACTTGACACTCTTCAACTATTCGATCCCTTTCCCTGCACAACTACGCGTTTGGGATGTATTCATGCTTCTTGGGGATGCCGAACAACCTTCATCAAAAGCCAGCTCAAACGGCACCCATGTATCCAATACTAGGCCAGACCAGCCGGTTAGCTCCTTTGGCCAAGGTCTGAACGTTCTACATGCGACATCGGCGGCCTTGATCGATGGGATGCGGGACATCGTGCTAGAGTCTGATTTTGAGAATGCCATGAAAGTGCTCACCAGCTGGGTGCCAATTAAAGACATTGAACTTTTCATGCGAGTTGCTAGGGCCGAGTACAAGGTCCACCACCATCGCAAAAAAAACGGATAGCTCAGAAGCTATTTTTTTTTTCACTTTGTTTTACGCTCGCCTTTGGCGAGCCACGATCACAGGCACAGCTTGGCCCATGACTGATGTTACTTGCATATGACATGCCAATGGAACGATGAAATCAGCCCCTCCTATACGGATTATTTATCGCTTTTTTTATCTTTTTTTTTAACTACCGACTCCGGTTTATCTCCCTACAAATTTCATTACCATCCGCAAGATTATTTGCATACCTTTCTGAGGAGTTCCGGACAAGGAATATTCATTTTCGACCCTTTCACTATTCTCCAACTCTTTCGAAATTTGCTACTCACTGATATTACGATTATATCACTTATTTCGTCGGCTCTCAAATGATACCCCCTTATTCACGGTTTTCAGACATGACTTTGGAACAAAACGTTGGCTCTGTCTGCGAGCATGGTGACTTCGCTTTGGGAATACTGTCTGCATATACTATAATCTCTAATTGAAATCTAATCTTTCCATTTTATAAAAACTATGTCTTTTCGTCGAATCAAAAATTGCCTATTCGTTTTCAGCACCAGGAGATTTGAATCGACGGAACGAGTTCACAGAAACGTGTGGAGGGAACAGAATAGGAAACTAATGGGTATGTAAGCGCATATCTGATCAAAATCGAAGGCATTTTATGTATTAAGATTAAAATGTAGGAACAGAAAGATCATATAATCAAACGAAGGTCTCCCGAGGATACCTTGACAACAGTCTATAATTTGGTAACCTTCAATTGAACACCATCTCTCGGCCTCAAGACCAATCTCCACATCTTCAGCTCCTCGGGATCCTGGACAGACTCATCACGCGCAAAAGTAAATTGGCTAAGCAAGACACAGAGAAGAATCTTCATTTCAGTTTCGGCGAATTTGCGCCCAATACAGCCACGGGGTCCCTGGAGGAAGGTCATGAACGCGTTTGTCGTGTATGATTCGGGGAGGCTGTCCCAGCGGTCAGGATCAAAGTCATCTGCGGTAGGACCCCAGTACTCTGGTAGACGGTTGATAGCGTTGGAGTAAACCAGGACAGTAGTACCCTTGGGGACAACGTAGTCACCAAGCTTGTCATCGTCGACGAGTTCACGGACAGTCATTGGGATAGGAGGGATGTAGCGGAGTGATTCGCGGCATACATTGTCGAGGTAAGGTAGGTGATCGGGATCAATAGTGGAAAGATCATAACCCTCACGTGTATCAAGATCGAACAGGAATGGGTAGTGAGTCCGGATTTCCTCACGCAATTTCGACTGAATGCCGAGGTGCTTTGAGAGAAGGTGAAGTGTCCATGTCACACCAGTAGCGGTCGTATCGTGACCAGCACCAAGGAAGGTCATGACCTGATCACGCATCGTCTCGAAGCTCAGCCCAGCTTCACCTGCAGCTTGCAGTTTGAGATTGTCGCGAACCAATAGAGAGAGGATATCTTTGTCGGCAGGGTTGGCGGTTGCTTGCTTCTCCTTGATAATCTTGGTGGCGGAACCTAGGATGATACAGCGTGAAGCCTCCATATCCCGATTCATTTTTGCAGGGATGTACTTGGTCAAGGGAAAAAGAGTCTGGAGGCCATGCATCAAACGAGACAAAGAATCGAAAACGAAGACTTTGCGATAGGCTTCTCGCAAAGGAGTTTCAGGGTTCTCAAGAGAGTTGACATCGGTACCGAAGCCGGCTTCACTAATGATATCGAGTGTTGTCCGATTGAGCCATTCCAGAACTTCAAAAGTTCCCGTCTTCTTGTCCTTGGATCGACTGATTTCTTCGTCCCAGAGCCTAGCCATGAGGAACGATTTGCGCCAGAAGATGGGTGCGAGGGTGCGGATTGAGCCGATGGAGAAGCCTGGGGTCAAGGCCTTGCGCTGGTGGACATGGGCGTTACCTTCGGCTAGGAGAATGCCTTCGCCTAAAATACGAGTCATCCATTTGCGAGCACCAACGGGCTTCGGGTAGTTGTATGGATTCTTGACGGTCATTTGCTTCAAGGCGTCATCATCGGCAATGGACAAGCGCTCAGTGCCCAGTGGGAAGAAATACCGGACGATTGGTCCGTACTGTTTGTGCCACTGACGCTGGCAGACTCCCACTTCGTTCTCGATGATCTCGAACACCTGTCCATAGAGAGGATTTCCCGGCACAGTAGGCACATGGCGAAGTGGTGAGACATAGTAAGGGTATATCCAGGACCAGTACACCACATAACTGGGGATGGTCACGGCATACAGCAAAACAAGGGCGGCAGCGGTGCTCAGCGATGAGGCTCTCGAGATAACACCTGCTGCCAGGGTTGCGGTAAGCATCAGTGGCATAAACCGTGGCTTGAACGGGGCCACGCTGCTCGTTGACTGCGTCGCCATATTATGCAATTGACTTGAGCAAAGATAGACAAAAACGAATGGGCAAATATTTCCGAATCAAACACACACGACCTCCCACGAAAGAGCAGGGGGCAGCACAGTCGTTAGATATACTCTCAACAGCAAACAGCAATTCTTACGCGCCCCATTTGGCTGAGCTGTCCTCTGTTCATCATGTGAAAAGCAGTCAAAAAGGGGGCGGCTCCTGCATGGGTGCAGTGTCTATATGGACACTGCTTCCGTCTATCTCCCAATACAATCAATCATGATGCACGCTCCTTTTGGGTCTCACAGCCCTTGATCGCTGATTGGACCCCAGCAAGTTCCGATTCTGAGAGTTTTTTTAGTGTTGACATTATCAGAGGAGCGATCACATTTGACTCCGATATAGAGGTCCAGTAAGGCAGTGATACGTATAGAGGAGATAGGTAGGAAGGATCTGACAGGCGAGTACATGGGACATCTCCGTGCATCGTACGATACCTGTGGTATTGTAAGCATACAGTGCCGGTAATTACAGCGAATTACAGAACACTTGTCCTTCCCTGTCGATTGACAGACCCACTCAGGCCCACTTCTTTGCCGGAGCCAGATCACATTTTAGGTTCAGGCTCCACTCTTTGTTTGCTCCTTTTCACTTTTTCATACTTCCGAAAGTGTGGCGTGTTGATGGTTTTCCATATTGGGAACTCTCCACCCAGATTGCCGATCTAGAAGCACCATTGGGCAATTCAGGTCTCAGCCCTAGCGCATATCAGGGCCTATCGAAGTCTCTTTTGAGCCATGCCTCAAGCTAGCACAGATAGTGGCTGACAATGGCAGTATCCACGATAATCACGGCCCTGCTACATCGAAAACAGGGCCATCACAACACCTAGTGCAGAGCATCCTTGCATCAGCCAGAGACACGACACCAGGCCTTTTTGACGTGTATTCCCGCACAAGTACAAAGAAACATACAGACGATATTCAAGTATGTCGGTGAGAACCGGCCTATGACGCCATGCATTTGGAGACATGCCTTCGGCACTTTTGGGAGGGAAAGTGCGGCCTGCGCAGTCACCACCTTCCTCCAGTTGCAACGAATCTTGTTTTCCTGGAAGCACAGCCAATCAAATACCAAAAGGGAAGGTGCATGTACTCCTCTTGTAAGCCGTCAACAATTCCCTCGACCCTTGACTTCCACTCTCTCCCCCTCTGCCTCTTCTTCTCCTCCTACATCCACCTCTGCATCTTTATCTGCATCTCAGACCCCTCCGCTGCATGGAGTGTTCTTAGAGACTCGCGCTATTGATCCGATTCATTCTTATCCCAGGGATCCGTTGTGTTTTTCCCTCTTCCCACATCATTCCTTCTCTCCTGGCCTCCGATCGTCTCCACATCTCATTTCTTATCTCTCTCGTCTAGTCTACGCCACGGCCTTGCTGTACTTTCCTGCAAGGTTATTCGAATTGCACCAGGCGCAATCGCTGTTGGACTGGACGCGTCAACTGGGATAACACTAGCGAGCACTGTACACTTTTACGCAAGTGCCAGAGTGGGTCGTCAAGGGCTTCATTGCGGTAATTGTCCACTTCGTCCATCATGCCCCTGATTGTCCATGGCCTTTGCACTCGCATGAGCATCTATATATCCTATCGTTTGCTGTCCGAGATTTTTCGATCTTCCGTTTATCTGAAGTGTCCCGTTCGCTTGAATTTCCACTGTCTATATACGAAAGCTGACGGCTGTGTTCAAGCAGAAGATCGGGAACATTGCACTGGCTTTGCAGCCCTAAGCCGTGTGATAGAATTATCGACGTCTTATTTCCTATAACAGCTATCTTTATTCATTGCACATAAGACCTCGTCAACATGTCGACAACCAGGATTGACGCCATCTTGGGTCCGGTCCTTCTCAAGACCTCGCCATGGTCTCTCTTTGACCAAGCATGGAGTGCGATTATGGGTTACCCTGCGGATGAATTCCGTTTCACACAAGAGAAAACACCCATGAGCACTTTCAAGGAAACCGGTACCATGATTGCTTTTTATTACCTTACAATCTTCACCGGCTACCAGTGGATGAAAAACCGAGAACCTTTCAAGTTGTCCGCCCTCTTCAAGATTCACAACTTAATATTGACTGTCGTGAGCGGGGCGTTACTTGTTCTCTTTCTTGAACAGCTTATTCCTTCACTTTGGAACAACGGCCTTTACAAGTGTATCTGCAGTACCCCCGGTTGGACTGACAAATTGGTTGTCCTCTATTACGTAAGTGCATACAAACCAGCGTCCTTGGAAGCTCATTAACAGAACGTAGTTGAACTACCTCACCAAATACGTCGAGCTGCTGGACACTGTATTTCTTGTGCTGAAGAAGAAACCACTCAGTAAGTTGATTCAAGATCTGAGGATATAGTATACCACGTCTAATAATCGGTGATAGCTTTCCTACATACATATCACCATGGAGCCACAGCCTTTCTCTGCTGGACGCAACTGGTTGGACGAACCCCTGTATCCTGGGTCCCCATCACGCTAAACTTGACCGTCCATGTTGTTATGTACTGGTACTACTTCCAGAGCGCTCGTGGTATTCGTGTAGGCTGGAAGGAGTGGATCACTCGTCTTCAGATTATCCAATTCGTCCTCGATCTTGGTAATTCAATTCCTTTCTGCCAATTAGGGCTTCTTGCTGATACTAGTAGGCTTCGTTTACTTTGCTACATGGGACTTCTATGCCGACGAGTGGGGTCTTGATGGTCTGCATGTTGGACGCTGTGAGGGCGAATTAGTCGCAGCGGTTACTGGCTGTCTTACCCTCAGCTCATACCTCCTTCTCTTCATCTCCTTCTACATTGCAACCTATCGGAAACCCAGCGCTCGTGGCCGCAAAGCAGTTCCATTCAAGAAAGATCAAGCTGTCACCGCAACCGGACGCGCCGCAGAAACCTTGAAATCAGCCCGTAGCCGATTTGGAACCGCTACTATGGATTCTGTTCAATCTAGCAAGGGCCAATGGGCTGTCTCCCGTGATTGATGACGAGGTATCTGCATTGTGGGTTCTTAACCATGTAGCGTTCTCACTTCGGCGCTTGGTTTATTAGAGGGGTTCCTTGAGCAAATCGTGCTCTCTAATCATTTATTTCATGCACAGAGCTATTCCTGATTCTTGTTGCCGCTGCCAATGTTGTATCAAGAAAAGTCTAAATCACATATTCTTAACCAATAATCTTAATCAATTTGCATCAAGCTCTATCTTTTCCCATTGTGTCTCTTTGCACCTGATTATCTAAAGCCTCTATCCGCCTCATTTTCAGTCATCAAGTCATGCGTTGCATCGATGAGCGGTCTGCATCTCCAAATTCAAATTAGGAGAGGAACCAAAGCACGAAAATGGATCATATTTTTCTGCTCAGTATATTAGAATAGAGCCAGTCTAAGCAGTGGAGCACTGATAAGGATGATTCGGAGATATCACATTTTCGAACCCATCGATGGTACCAACAGTTCGACGTGGCATGTATGTTGCCTATTCGTATTTAGATGCTTTTAGCTACTATTCGCGTAGAACATGGGTACGAGGAATTACACAATGGAAGTGTAACAGCCACGCTGTCAGTAGTGCCTGATATGTATATCTCGACTGAGTGTGAGCATGCATATAGAAGATGCATTGATCTAGGCATTCGAGAGGGGCGTTTTTTTGTCTCGAGATAGATTGCATATTGACAACATAGGCGTACCTTCTGGGTCAATGTATCAATCACATGTATAGGCCCTGGTGTAGAAGAGTAAGCTGTTGGGCATTTGACTCATTGGTTCTATCCATCGGTGAATCAGGTGCCAAGCCCTACTTCCTTTCGGGAATATGGCTACATTGATGATAAGTTGATGTACTATCTAATGAAAAAGAAAAAAAAAAAAACATGGAATCTAGAAAAGGAGAACTTGTAACAACAAGAGCGGAAATAACTGAAAAACGGATTTACACTAAAATGCTGGTAGCATTGGTGTTCGAGTCAGTGTGCATTATATGTAGCGATATGAATTAGTTATGTATCTAGTCAAGTAAGTACGAGCTATCTAGCGCTGTATATGGGAGGATGTAGGGAAAATTCCACAAAAGATTAATGTTCCAGCCCAAATGTATGATTAAACTGTCTACCACAGGTCACGGCGCATAGCCAACGCATCAGTGTCAGCGGTGAACTCGCCGTGCAACCGATCCATGTCAGCCAGACTCCTGGCAATCTCCATACCACGTCGACGCTCCTGATCCACTCTCTCCCATGTCCATTCTTCGCGGGGTTGCTGTTGCTGCTGGTTGTTTCGGATGGGATGGGGTGGCTTTCCGCTTCGGATTCGACCCTCTTCAGCGACATCTTCGATTTCCGTAGAGAAGTGCGCCTTGAGTGCATCCCATGCATCCTCCATCTTGGCGACCAACTTGAATGGGAGATCGTAGTACTCTTCAAACTGCTTGGTGACTGTGAGCTTTCCTAATGGTTCGTCGCGGAGACTAGCCACGAAATCTTCCTGACCAGGTCGTGGGGGCAAAAGTCCAGAGACCTGGAGCATAATTTCAGGTGAAACAGTTCGACGTCCCTTCTTCCACACACATTTGCTCAAAGCAGAGGCGAATATAGCGTCTTCCTTTCGAGTCAAATCGTTGAGTTTGCCCTGTCGAGAACTGTATCCTTGAGGTAGAAGCGTAAAGCTACGTGGTCGCACAGTGTCCTTTCGCACGAAGTGTGTAACGGTGTATATCCATTTTTCGTCCCAGGATAAAACTCGCGTCCATATTTCGTAGCTTTGAAAAGGCTTCACTTCCTTGCGAAATGTACAACTGACTGCGCCAAGGGCTAGACCGATCAGATCATCAGATACACCGAGAATACCGGTTCTGCGTGGTGCGTTTCGAGCGTAGTCCACACCGCTTGAGAAGAGGGTGCACATCAGGTGAGCGCGCGCAATGTCGAGATCGGCAAAGTATGTGCTGTTGGATTCTGGCTCAGAGCGTTAGTGTCGATAAAAGCACAGTCTTGAGGTTGTATAAACGTACTATGGCCATTGTAGTCCAACTCGCAGAGCGCATTTCCGGAAGACAGAATCAAAGGTTGAAAGAGCTGGGCAGGTGAAGGACCATCTTTTGACCGATTTGAGCGCAGAAGCCAGCGATATCCACGGAGAAGACGAATCTATATCATAATCAGGGCCTGTCTGTCAAAATCGACAATAGATTATGGTTCCAATACTCACATGCCATGCGAATGGAAAATTCTTGAAGTTCTTCAACACCAGAAAGGTCACCAGAATTTTCCACACCAATGACCAGGTCAAAGAGAGCCAGAAGTTGACGAGATCCAAAGGCTCTGTAGTTGGTGCCATCTTGCTGAACAATCACTTATGTTATCTCCAAGCAAAAGATTGTATCTTGTCGAAGTTGAACATCCAGCCATCCGAGATGCTTTATGCAGCTTAAGTCGCGTCTAGGATACAAGCAAAAGGAGACACAGAACACAAGGACGGCCCAGATCTTTCATAAATGACGTGATACCGGTTTTCAACAATATCGTAGTTAAATGGTTGGGTAGAAATGGACAAAGAGGGATATCTAGGGCCAATTACTCAATTACTTCGTGGTATTCCAATCCCTAATCGGGCCGCGTATCGATGACCTAGGACTGAGCCCTTTATCCCTCGGAATACGCCCGATGACTAGCTCCGGATATCTTAATTACGATGGCTTATAGGTAAGATTCTTTGACTCATGTACTTCAATCGCTGCTGCAGATTGGATAGCTCCTTCTGGCGGAAATCGCCGCTGTTTGTCATGAAGAAGTCAGAGCCTTCTCCGCTGTGCGTAAAGACCCGCTCTGGGATAGTCCTCAATCATTGTCTATTATACTATGCATATCCTTGCATGTAGAGTCACATTGTAGAATGCATTAGAATACAATGGACATCAACATGCCCAATGAGTTGCCATGGCTTAGTACTAATTTGGAGCATAGATAATAGCACAGTAGACTTGCATTTTTCACAATACCCTGGTCTAGATATACTCAAACAGTGATTGTATTAGGCACTCAGGAAGAGTGTGAAATGTAGGCTCATATAATAATGACCTTGTTCCTGCAGGGTTGATCCGGGTCAAATGAAGATGTAATGATAACAATATCGTAATGTAATTACGAGTATCAGCACAATACAGTACAGTGTATGTTGCGATCTGGCTCCAGGTGGGGCGCCCCACATTGACCGACCCTAATCTCGGCCGATGCGAGGGGGATCGATAGACACCCGTCTCTAGGGACTTTCACTACCGTGTCATATTAGGGCTTACAGCTCCCTGCCAATAACCCACTCACTATTGATTCGTGCAGTGCTTGGCGGGCACAGCTGTCATGTTTATTATACATCCCGTGCAAGGCACAGATATGTTTTATCACCGCCAAAGGGGAGCCTGACCGTGTATCTGAGTGCTGATATCCTCGTATTCATGCAACTCCTGTATACTGGCAGTCCCCCAGTCAACGTTCAAGCGCCAATTGACGAAAAAGGCAAAAACAAATCAAATAGACATGTGTCTATGCAAATCCCTGGCGTCACACCGCTTATGTCTAATGTCCCCAGGTCATGTAATGTGGAAAGGAGTCTCTACGCCATGAAGGGTGCCACGAAGGGTGCGCTCTGAGAAAAATCGGCAAAGTCTAGCAATGCATCTCTAATTAAGAGACTCCAACTCCTACTAGCAAGTAGTGGGACTCTTAGAATGGGGCAAACCTCCTTACAATCCCCTACCATCTATTGACGTTAACGATCGGAGAGCTTCTTCAGGGTCAAAACTTTCGTCATATGCTTGGGTTCTCAGCTCAAACTATTACAACTACCAATACACAATCCAGATCCTACTCGAGTTTAATCCGTCTCTTTCCGACGCTTATGGAACCTAAAATAGAAGGACAAATATGCAACTAGACCAACCACCCGTTAACGGACTCCCCGAGGAGCCAACTTCTTCACTCACGTTGTCACCTGTGATGGAGACTCAAGAGGAGGACAGTACCTTGGAAGAGGAGCGCTTCGCAGATGCCCTGGAAGAACATACAGTATCAGAAGAGAAGGAAGAAAAAACAGAAGAATCAAAGCGAGATTCTAAGTTTGAGGATGATTTTGAAGAAGTCCCTCAAATTGTTGAAATAAAAGAAGTGCCGGTGATGCAAGACGTTGTTATCAAACAGGAAGACTCTCGGGGCACGAAGCAAGAGACGAATAACAATGACAATAATACTCAAAAGACACAAACGCGGCCACAGCACGAAGATGAAAATACCAGCAACGACAAGCCAGTGTATCCAAGTCAACCTGTATTGATTTTACTGATCACGGGTCTGTGTCTGTCGGTATTGCTCGTTTCGCTCGATCGGACCATCATCACAACGGTACGTAACCTGCTCCTTATCCAAACCTATCTTAAGATGTATTGACACATGCAGGCTATTCCGGCCATCACCAACGAATTTGGCTCAACATCATCAGTTGGCTGGTACGGTTCGGCTTATCTCGTCACGGCCTGTGCTTTGCAGCCGACATATGGCCGGATTTATACACTCTTCGATGTCAAATGGACGTTTCTTCATTCCGTCGCTATTTTCGAGATAGGTAGTTTGATCTGTGCTGTCGCTCCAAACTCGACAACCTTGATTATCGGCAGGGCTATTGCTGGCTGGGGGAGCGCAGGKATCCTTACTGGTGCGTTTGTGGTCGTTGCTTTCACTGTACCGTTACAAAAACGTCCTATATACACTGCGTCTATCGGAATGATGTAAGTTCAGTTATTCTCATGTTAAGATTATTCCACTAAAACGCTATCAGGTACGGAGCCGGAGCTGCTGCTGGCCCAGTCCTTGGGGGTGTCTTTACTGGCAAGGTTACATGGCGTTGGTGGTAAGTACGAATCTAGTATTCGAATAAGCTTCGTTTCTCGGATGAAATAATGCTGATTATATTGCAGTTTCTATTTCAACCTACCAGTAGCCAGCGTGACATTAATTGTTGTGTTCCTTTTTTTCAAAAGTGTCACCGGCGTTTCTACTCGAGTCGGGTACCTACAGCGAATGACTCAAATCGATCTTCCCGGCAGTGCGCTTATCCTGATATCCTTTACTATGCTCTTCCTTGCGCTTGAATACAACACAACCGGCCACGCATGGTCAAGCTCATTGATCATTGGCCTCTTGTGTGGTTTTGGCGTCACACTCCTTATCTTTCTTGCTTGGACATGGTACCGCCAAGACAAAGCTCTGATTGTACCAAAAATTATCCTCAGAAGAACAGTCGGGGCAGCCTGTCTACTCGCGTTTTTCATCTACGCTGTTCTGATTCTCCATGGCTACTTTCTGCCCATATGGTTCCAGGCTATCCAAGGGACATCCACTGAAAGCTCCGGAGTTGATATGCTGACTTATGTTCTTCCAAATTCCGTCTTCAGTTTATTGACTGGTATATTCATTACCAGAGTCGGCTACTTTACTCCTCCAGCTATTATCGGTTGCGCAATTACCACAGCCGGCTCTGGCTTGATTAGCACACTTCAACCAACAACTAGTACAGCCACATGGGCTGGTTTTGTTTGTCTTGTGGCTGCCGGTGTTGGAATGGCGATTCAGCAAAGCTTCACTGCAGTGCAGACTGTGCTTCCACTTGAGCATATTCCGATAGCAACTGCGGCTGTGACGTGTTTCCAGAGCTTAGGAGGCGCAGTCTTCGTCTCAATTGGTAATAGCATTCTGGCCAACGAGTTTCGTCAAGCCAGTCAAGCCAATGAATTGCCCGGTATTGATATTGCAGCCGTTCTCTCAAGTGGTGCCACACAATTCCGATCTACTGTTCCAGCAGATCAACTTCCGATTCTACTCAGCGTGTACAACAATGCTTTACAAAAGGTCTTTATTGCAGCTATTCCGATGGCCGGTATCGCCTTCGTCTCGACCTTGCTTATGGAATGGCGCAGCGTTAGGGTACCCAAAGCTGAGACCTCAATGATTGAAGCAAGGAACAACGATGAGCCACCCGTCTTGCCAGATGTAGAAGTCGAGACAAGGATATCGCCTGTTACGACAAGAGTGGGTTTCATATCGAGGTCGAACAGTAGCCGGGGTAGCGATCATTGAATTCTGCGATTGATTTTTGCATTTGTTCTTTTCCCTGCACATTGAATATCCAGCTGTATTACTACAATCGCTGTTTCCTTTGTCTTTCCCATATATACCCTTATAAGGGCGCGTCTGCATGTAATCTTGCCTGATAAAGCCTTTTGAATGTTGCTGTGTACATAAGCATAGACTATACTGCTTTATTGTCCACTTATAAGTGACTAATTTTGAAATTCAGAAACTTGATTGATATCAATAGCGAAATACTTTGTGGATGGGACGAAACAGGATATTTGAGCTCCAGCATGAAGCTCATGGTGCTCGTTTACCGTCTCAAAAATTCATATGCAGTTAATGCATCCTCGACTTCGAAAGTCGCATATGAATCTATCGGTGAATGAGATTGAAAGCGAACAGTGCTTTCGAATGATGGAAGATGTAAATGGGGCACCGTCGGAACAGGCTGCTGTGGGATTTTGACGCTTTACTATGTAGTTAGTTCAACCCTAATCGTATTTTATCATTAAGGGTTATGGCGCAACGCTCAAAAGCTGCCCTTTCCCTAATAGGGAAATCATCTGTCCGGACAATTATCTATCCGGACATTGATTTTGAGAGCCAAACCTAGTTTGCCTTTTCACGAGCCGAACGTTTGTGATTATGCACCCAAATTGTCAATTTAAGACCTAATCACATATGCTATGGTTCGAGCGTTGCTGCTAAGCAAAATGTACTCCGTCCCTGGAAATTACGTTCAAGCCCTAAATTGCCTCTAACGCTGTTAGCCGCCCGTTAAGCCCCAAAGGGGCAAGGGCGGGCTCCAGGGCCCTGTTAGGCTTGTTTCACCATGACTAAAAGGAAAGGAAGCGAAAATTGCAGGGACATCCGTGACTCGGTTATGGACCAAGGGATGCAAAGTTGACGAGTCTGTGAACATTGAAAGGGGCCTGGCAAGATTTGATCCCATTCTAGTCGCCAGCTCGTGTTCGGGTGCGTTTGATACTTGCTGTGCGACGGTAAGTACATCCTGCAATACAGGCACAGTGGACACTATCCGGATTATAGAAAGATTTATGTACGGCAATGTTGTACAACTACGTAGTACCGTACTTGCGTAGCCATATTGGGATTTACAAGGGTGGATATCCTTCTAGACCTGTCCATCTTGATGAAGACTCGCTTCGTCTATTTCCATGCCGTAAACAGCAGTCGATATTAATCTTGACGGTATATGTGCTCGGCTAACTCGACTACCCGCGTGCAATTAGGCAAGCTCCGACTAAATCCGGACATCTGATACGATGATGCCTTTTCTATGTGTATATGCCTGGTATATGCCATCTCTTTCGGTGAATAATCCCACTCCGAGGCGATTATTCACTTTGGAGGTAACAGTATGATTGGTCCGCAACGACAAATACACAGATAGGAGCTGGCCAATCAGAAGGCATTAATTAAAGATAAGTGGGGTAAGATGGAGGCCCGCATGTCAGCGCTTTTTTTTGATTGGCAACAGCACGCTAAAGGTTGCATTGCCGTCTTTCCCGTCCGCGCAGATTGGGAGCTCAAGGTTTGGCTATTACCGAAACGGCATCGACTCATCGTGGCACCCGCTTAACACTGTTAATGAACATCTTGGCGTCCGTGCACAGTGGCGCCGAGCTATATTTCATTGGCTGAAAGAGACCCACTATGGTGGCCCTTAAGATTAACCTGTCAGCCACATGGCCTCAGGCTCTCAGCTCTTCGGACTTCTTTCTGTTTTTCTGTCCTTTTGTCAGTACGAGCTCTCTATCTCAGGCCTGAATACTTCAGATGCCATCACACTTGGATGAATCAATGCGTCCGAAATGCATCCCGTCGGACTGATGGTATGCAATCTCGGAATCTGATCTCTGATACGTATATCGTTTAAATATGCCCATCATGCATGCACTTGCATGGAGAGCTGTGGCACTAGCTGCTTGAGGAAACGCTGCTTGCTACCCGAAGGCCAGTGCTTGACATATCCACCTGGCTGCTTCTGACTCTTAGAGTCCTTATCCTGGTATCTTGACCAACCGTTCGTTTCGGGTTTCAAGCTATGCATAAACTTCGAAAGAAATGACGAATATCAAAACCCGAAAGGTTTGGACTGGACCGCACTGAAATTATAAAAGAGCAAATGAGACCGCCCAACGATACAAAGTGAATATTAAGTTGAATCTCTAATTGTTCCAAGTCGGAAATGTAACATTCCTTTCTACCTTTCACACTCCCGAAGAACTGACGGGAGCTCTACGAGGGCCTTCATAATTCCAACTTAAACATTCATTTCCGAAAAATTCATTGCTGACGGAACGCCATTCTAGCCACATGTAGACCTAGCGGCAGCCCATCGTTAAACCTTGGAACTTGGAAGATTCTGCGCTGCGTGGAAAATTGTCCGTGCGAGCTGCTCTTTATCCCATTTCCGGATTAGGCCAAGAGGGACACAAAACAGCTCTGATTCTGATTAATCAAGACACCTGAAGTAGCTAACTAGTCGACTAAATTATGTACGTAGCACGTAAGTTACTTACTTAGTTAATTACCTACTACGTAGCCAGCCCATACTAGCTAGTTGCCGTTTTCTTGTCTGCTTCTTCTCGCTTTCCTTTTTTTTTCTACCTTTTCTCTTCCTCTTCGAGTTTATCTTGGGTTTACTTTTTCCTTCTCCCTTTTTCATTTCTTTGCTCCATTGAATGGACCCTTGTGTCTATTTGTTCACTCCTTTGTTTCTTCTGCTCTGATTCTCTTGTCTTCCCTATACATTCCTTGACGGACCCGGGGGATTTTCTCTTCTCTCTGCTATACATTCACGCTCAATCGAAGACTGCGAAATCGTTTTTCGATGTCCATTGCGACCAACCTTAGCTGCAGGACCGCTTTCGCGCACATATAATTTCGACTTGTGCGTGTACTTTTGACCACATCTCAGTCCAGGGGATTGTCATTCATTCATTCATTCATTCTTCATTACAACATCGTTTTTTTTTGTCGATTGACCTTCGGCGTCAGCAAATCTGGCCAACCCGAAACGCCATCCACTTTGACTTCGACTTGTCTCCGCTCTCCGGCTACAGTTTCATTTTCTGGCACTACTTTCTCAAATTTCTTCTTCTGCACGCACCGGCCATCCCAGCGACCTGAAACGGTCTAGCTTGTGCCGCGTGCCCTAACCCTAAAAAGGTAATTCTCGACCCGTCCAACCCTCTCCTGCCCGTTTTGTCCTAGCTCCCCCCCCGAACCCCCCGAATCGGCGTCAAGCTGCGGTCTTGGCGGCAAGACTAGCCTCGCGCTGGACCCGCTACTTTCCCTTCCGGGGTTCATACCATTTTCCGTTGGTCGTGGAGCCCGCGCCAGTCCCGCGCTTGCGCCTAGATTGTCGTCATCGCCTCAGGCTCTCCTTCAATGAAAATGTCACGATCCTCCGGAGATGTGGCTGTAACTTACACAACTTACGTGCTTTTTCCTATTTTTATTCCCTCGTTCTCCCCTTTTCATTTTTCATCATGGTCTTCCCACAAGCTGTGTCTGCTGTTCGTCATGAGCAGTCCACATGCCTATTGCTTCCTTGATAGCTCTGCTTATGGACAGTCGATGCGACTCCTTCCCGCCTGTCTCCTCCCGTGTTCTTTAATATGCCACAAAGCATATGATCGATAGTCTTTCTATGCTATGTTGCTCACACTAAAGCCTCTCCCGCAGAACGGAACGAACGGCCCTCATGAATACTCTAGCGTCCGACAGGCTGTTCCCTCTCGCCGTTCCCCTTGGACAACCTTCCGTGCCAGTTCTGCTCCTTCCGCTTCGTCTTCGAAACAATCTCGAGATCCAGATCCAGAAATGGACAATCATCCGAGGAGAGAGCTCCCCCCTCCATCTGCGATGACTCGCCCCGCGGAATCGCCCATGCCGGCTGTAGGATCACAAGGCCAACTCCCTACGCTGGACCCAGCGTACTATTCGGAAGACTCCATGCGACAATGGCTGCGCACCAAAGCGGAGGAAGATCGGAGACGGCAGGAAGAGGAGCGCACCCGTCAAGAAACGTTGAAGCTGGAACAACGACGGATTGAGCAAAGTATGCTACGCGATGCATTCCAAGCGGGTGTTCCCCCTCAGATGGTGCCTTTGATATTTGTGGGGATTGGCGGGGGGAATCTCAGCATGTCACCAGATGTGGCTCAGCAGATTGATTCGAGTATACAACAAGCGCATTCATGGCAGCAACAACATCGTGCACATACGGTCCAGCAACAGGTTGTGTCCACTCAGATAAATCCTCGTCTTCCGCCCCCCGGCACAGATCTGTCACAGTCCCTCCCACTGGACGTTCGCCGAGATAATAATAGGGCCATCCCACCGAATCCTTACGCATCTCAGCCAGCGCCAGTGCGAAACACATCCCCACCACAGCATKTGCCTGCGTCACCAACTCAGACACAACTCTATCGTGGGTCACTACAGCCGGCTCGGTTGCACTCCTTCGGAGACTCACAGCCTCAGCAGTCGGCCATGCCACGTCTAAATACAAGTGAAATACAATTTTCGCATTCATCGCATAATATAGCTACTACTCAACCTCAACCTGGCGCGGCTCCTTCCTATGTGCCCGTGTCTGCTTCTGCTCCCCCTCCAGCTACAACCAAGCCCGAGACGCAACCCACTCAGTCTCCGTCTATTTATTTCCATCACTGGGTTCCGCCGAGCCAATCTCAACCAAGTACACCGTCCACTAGGGGACGGCAAGAATCATCTTCGCGACCTCATGGTCAGGGCGAGGCTCATGCCTCCCCCGGACGAAAACGAAAAGCTGTCGGATCACACCCACCGCCTCCGCCGCCCGCATCGCAACAGGAACAACCCTCACCAGCGTTTTCGCATGCGTCACCGCGTCGTGGCTCCACGGCGCGAATGGGACAGGGTGCAAGCCATTTTCGTCGACAGAGCGATCTAAGCCATGGCTCTCGACAAGAGCACTCTGAATCTGACTCGGACAATTTTTCGCGTTTTCGCCCGGGACGCGAATCAATTCTAAATCCTATACAGCCGAGTTCAAGGAGAACGAGCTCGGATGCACCGCCGGGACAGCCGCCAGGACGATAACCTTGACAGAATTCGGCACCTGCAGTTACATGGAGCACATACCTTTGTCGCTGTCACCGATGGCCAACATTTTACCCTCTCTTAATAATCGTTATGTCCGATCTACCAACTTATTCATTCATACCTATTCTCTTCCCGTTCCATTCCATTCTCTTATTGAACATACTTACTACATACACTTTGCTGTTATATACCACATGAACATTATCGCTCGGCAGGAACCGGTTTGGCGCCATGTTTTAGATTCATCACGTTTGGAATTGGTCCCTTTGCAAGGAGTAAAGCAAAGGAAGGATGGCTGGTTCGGAATTCAAAATGGAGGTTTATATATATACTAGGTAGTATGTGGGCCATCTACGGATGGTCTAATGAATAAATTAAATTTTGAATCGATTCTTATGCTCTTATTATAAGCTATTTATCTGGATATCTTTGATTTTTATGACATACAACATCATCAGGTGGTTGGAAAGTAAGTAATCACACCCTATCAAACCGGCTCAACACCTCCGTAGGCACAGTCGGAATATACTTCCTGGCTCTTTCCTTATTCGTCCCGCCAAACCCAGCACCGTAGCTGATCAGCATGTCGGTGCTTGTGGGTAGTATGAAGGGAAGTGTCATGGATGGGTCGAGGAGGTAGCTGTCCGGTGCAGAAGAGGAGAAATGGTAGCTGGGGGACGACATGATGGGTGAGTTTAGAAAGACGCTGCTTCGGGGGGTTGAGGGGCCGTTGGTTTGTTCGTCATGGTCCTGGTCGGGCGCTGTGGCGATGGTGGGTGTTTGGGGTGTCTCTGGATGCTCAGTTTTGGTGGGGCTTGATGGCGGAAGAGAGGTGGGTTTGTTGCCATCATCTGGAGATGGGGATGGCTGAGTGCTCGCCGCAATGGCAAGCTTCTGTAGCTTCACGTGCTCGCGGTATAAGAGATCTGGGTCATGTTGTAAACTGACCAAGAACTTTGTAGCGTTCTTGCTCAGTCCCTTCTCTCCAACCTCTGCGCGATAGGACCTCACAGCCTGGAGAAGTTGGTTGGGAGTAAGTTGTTGTAACTGTAACAGTGTTGTGATTAGAGCTTCATGGTCGTCGCCCAATGATGAAAAGCACTGTAGCCATTGTAGCAGTTGAATTACAGGCCCAAGATGTTTCCTTGCAGAATCTACGGTTGTGTCGCCTGTAGTAGTCGTTGAGCCATTTTCATAATGCTCTGGCTTCCTGTTATTGTTCCGCGCCCACTCTTCTAGCGCCGATATATTCATGCGGATTTGCATTGCTTTCGTACGGGCGAGGTATTTCTTCGTGAGCATGATGCGATTGAATAGTTCCGCACCAAGCCAGTAGAGTAATTGGGAGATAATTTGTGACGTGATTATCGAATGCACATCGTACAAGTCTAAGACGAAGACTGTGGAGGAGAGTAGCGAGGTGATATTTCGAGGCGACACCTGTGCTCGCCGCTTAGGTGATGGTGGACGGAATCGTTTCTCGGGAGGCTCAACTTTTGGTTTGGGTTTTGATTTGAAGAGTTTCCATTCATTCTGGAATGTAACGTCGCTTAATCCCGGTATTGTCTCATGGTCAAGCATGGCCTGATCTAGGACACGATTCATTCGACGTTCCGCGTCCCGGATGATCAGAATGAAAATTTCATTGATCAACTCCGCCAGATGTAGCTGAAATTCTACCGTTGACATCATCAGACCTGGATCCTTTTTCAGATAGTGCAGGAGCAAAGTCGCATTCGATATCCAAAATGCCAAAATTGTCATATCCCACTGATGTCGCTCCACCACATCGTTGATTTTGTCTGTCGCAGACATCAAAAGTTGCGCCAATAGCTCGGGGCTGGCATGGTAATGCGCATATCGTGCGCTTAGAAAAAGAAGATTCGCCGGTACTGGTTTCTGTGAAGGTGACCGTTGTGGTGTCATGTTTGTGATTATTATATTCAGTATCTTTTCCAGCTCATTGTCTTGAAAGACAAACATCTGGTCATTCAAACACTTGTCCCAAACGAATTCCTGTTGGTCGTCTTCAAAATCATCGGGTTCCTATTCACTATGTGTCAATCCCAGTACTTATCACTAGCTTGAAATTAAATTTACCTCAATCTTCTCATCAAGGCCTAGACTTGATAAGTCAACCTCCAAATTCAGCGCACTTTCTTCCATCATCATTCGGCGTTTCATTTCGTTCTGAGCCATCTCCTCCTCGAAACGACCGTGGCTGAATCCCGAATCATAAAAATCGTCTTCAATTCCGACAGGCCCTATATTATATCCATTGTCATGCAGATATTGCGAAATGTCCGTTCCGGGCTGCAGGAAATCGAGAGCTGTTCCACCAGAAGAAGACTTGATGTCAGGTGAAGCGCCATGGTCCAGTAGAACTTTTGCGATAGTTTTATGTCGATTTGTCATAGCCCACATCAATGCACTCCATTGATTACGATCCTGCTTATCGACGAACGCTCCAGCGTCAAGGAGCGCGGAGACAACTTCTTGGTGGCCCTGCGGCAATCTCAATTAGCGATCGTACGCAACGCCGATAATCTTGACACTCACAAAACAGCTTGCATATATCAGAGGTACCGCCCCCTCTTCATCTGGTTTATTCACATCCACATATTGGTGAGCATGGCCATTAACCAGTTTCCGCACTCGGTCGACATCGCCGTTACTTGCAGCCATATTGAGACTTTTTTGGAGTATACTCTTCTTCTCCTCCTCGGACAATTTGTCGTCTAACGCGATATCGTCATCGTCAGTTCCGAGTGAGTCCATCTCGCGATGTGCCGCTTGCGCCGCAAGCATTTCTAACAACCTGGCATCGCTATCTTCTAGTCGCGCAGTGGTATCGTCGTCCTCACGCTCGTAGAAGGGCTGCGCATAGCGTGCACGTAATTCGTGTTCTTCGTCATGAGAGTGGTCGTCGAGCGCAAGGCTGAAGGATAGTGGTTTCGCGGTAATCGGCGTCGTCAAGTATTGCGATTGACCTAGAAAGCAATAGGAACCAGTAAATTTCCTTCCTAATCCGAAATTCTCTAGCAGCAACAGGGATAGTGCCCACCTTGCCATCCGTCATACATCTCCGTTTCAACCGCGTACTCTGGCGCTCGTCTCCGGTCGTCCAGCGATGTCGGTAAGTCGGCAGGCAGCTCCCTAGGTTTCTTCGGTGTGCCGTCTGGAGAGAACCCTTCATTCTCTGATTCGAAGTCAGCCCCGGCATGGGGGTCGCCGATATCCATCGTGGTGGTGACTGTTCAGTGAGATGTATGCCCAACTAGAACGACTGCATCTGAGGGGATGGAGCAATCATTTGCCATAGACAGTCAGTACATGCATGTCTATGAGGTGTACGGGTCCACACAGTCAATAGCAGTACTGTTGTCGAGATAGGGGGGCTCATTCGTTAGTGAGTGAGAGAGAAAAGTAGTTGTAAGCGTCAAGGTTGTTTTGATGTTCGGCGGTCGGTTTCGTGGTGGGTCCCCCGCAGGCTGACTTCTCCCAAAGTAAACCGACATGACGCAGTTTCATCCGCGGGCCGTGGCTGCCATTGTTCTCAGGCTTGCAAGATTTATACATGTGTTTTTACCTATCTATATAAGGAGAGGACAGGATAAACATACTTTCAATTAATTTGAGGTGTTCAATGTGATACCTAGGTAGTCGACAGCTGTAACAGAAAAACTGCTGCACGTGACCACCACGGCTCTGCCCACCCCTACGTCCTATTCATCTATGGTGATTCAAGAAACAATCTTGGAAATACAAGGATGGCCTTGCAATTGGATTCAAGGTCGAGAGTAGATAAATAATTGATGATGTACGTTATGAAATAAAAAAAGATGATGATGAACCAATGCGGGATATAAATGCAAGTATAACGATAGATGTATGAAAATGATGTCGGATCTGAAAATAAGTGTCAGGATTGAAAACAAAACGAAACGCTGGACAAAGGAGGGGGATTCGTGGAAGAAAACAGAATTGGTGCACGTGGATAATGTTACTGTCGTTGACATTGATGCTGATGCCGCTAATAATCACTGTTGATGCAAAAATGCAGTCATTTCTGCTATGCGCAAAAGGACAAAGAGAGATTGAAGGTATAGAGAGTTCACAACAGATTGATGAAGGGTCCAATTATTCCAAGCTTTTGCTGAAAGCCTGAATCTGGTCCTCCGGCAAGGAACCAATCCACAGACATTTTTCAACGACTCCCGGGACAGGCTCAATGTTGTACTTGTTGCTGGCATCGATGAGACGAAGGAGACATTTGACAATTCTAGCCGAGGTTCGATATCTTTCAAAATTGACGAGTGCATCTCCGTCACGGGTTCCTGCGACTTGAGATGGTTTCTGAGCATTGTAGGTCAGGTCGTGAACGTATAGACCCACAAAAGGAATACAGCCATTTTGAAGATTCGCAGTCTCCATTTCGACTCTCAACTCGTGAAAATTGCGCAGCGGTTGTATCAGAGATTCCATGCTGTCAAGAAGTCGTCGGTCACTCAAGCTCACCAGATTCCAGGTCCTTTGTAACCGTGTGCAGTCGACTGAAGACAAAGCGATCGCAATTTGTAACATTGTCGAGTAGTTGCATGTTTGTCTGGCGTGCGCAGCGATGTGGATGAACTTTGAGATCGTCCGGGCTCGCTCTGACATATCCCGTGTAAGAACAATCTCAGAAAGAACCCATTTCACCATGAGATTGAACCGGCCTACGACAATATCAATCCCTTTACGATCTTTCTCAGCGAGGAAATGGACCCAGCTAACGATTGACGGCGAAGTGTTGTTCCACTTCATGTCAACAAGATCCTTCCAGTCAACTTCGTCCAGAGCTGATTTTTCCACGAGTGTAAATTGTTGAGCAAGTAACCTGGAGTTGTAGGCAAGTACGAAAGGAAAATGACTTGGCATATGTGGTATGTCAATGTGCAATCCAGCAAGCTTAGGTTCAATGCTTGGAATCTCATCCGAGGTATGCCGTCCCCGATATTGGTCACCCATACGGGTAGGTGATGGGCCTGGAGTCAATGTTGCCGGCGGATTCACAGGAGTTTCCGGTTTGCGATGAGCAATAGTTGGCGCTGCTTGTGGAATGGTCATTGGTGGTGAGGGAGGATGCGCAAGAGGATGAGGAATCTCCAGAGATTGGGTTGCGAGAGAGTCCATGCTGCTTGATGCCCCTAAAGCGTCGTCTTTTTCAATAAACTCGACAGAGAGTTCAGATGAGAGCTCTGATCTACTGTCCACATCTTCGTACTGCTCTGAATGCGGGTCGACTTCAAGATATTCCTCCATGTCGTTTGTGATTTGTCGGATTCGGTCATTGTCGTCAATTAATTGAATGGAAGGACGGGGAGAGTCGATACTGGCGACGATTGCGTTGACCGGGGCGTGTTGTATAGACTGACGAGGCGTAACGTGTGCACGAACATCACGAATTGGCTTCTTCATAGAGTCATCACTCAGTCCCCTCTCGAGAAGAGGGATAGAATTATCCGAAAACTCTGACTCCACGACGGACTCGGTATAAACTTGTGATTGCGAACCGCTTTGGCCGGCAAATATTGTCTCGTCAGATCTCATCGGAAGTCTTTCTGAATTGCTCGCTGCTGTCATAGCAGTATTGGAAGAGTCTCCTCCATAGTAAAAGGGTTGAGCTGCGGTTCCCTGACTGTCGGAGAGTGTCGGAGAAGGCCATTTTCCTTCTAGCTTCAGTAATGTCGACTCAATTCCACCATCAATATCATCAGGAATGCGCGAAAATTCAGCTATAGCTGCTTCAAAAGAGGGGCGAAGATTCTGAGACGAATGTGTGTTGATAAGGTCGAAGCGTGGTGGCGTTGACTGGGCCCTCGCTTGAGAGGATCGCGAAAAACTTCGTCTGAGATAGTGCCGCGCCGAAGATGTGAACGATTCTGTCAAAGAGGTATCTGTTGCGAATGACTGCGGTCGTTGATCAGCAGCAAGATCATGCACATTCTGAATCTTACGCAGGTCGCCTCCAGGTCGCCTCCTCAATAGACGACTCATTGGCTTCTTGCCAGATTCTACATCTCCAGCTTCGCTATTGGCATCAAAAGAGTGACTAGTGCCACTGTGAAAAGATGCGTACTTTCGGAGACGACTGGATATTGACTGACTTTTTGAAAAACGTTCCATGGATATATCAAGCGGCTGGGGTTTCAGATGGCTTTTGTCGTGTCTGAGTAGCTCCGACGATGCTGCAAAGGGTACATCGATATCGCCAGGAGGTAGGTGATCATGTCTTGATACCAAAGATGGTGAACTAGCGTTGCTTGTCTGGGTTGGGCCCATCCATTCCAGCCCGCCTGAAACTACAGGTATGTCAAGTCCGGTGTCATCAACAATAACGATGGACTTGCTTCCCATAGTTACTTCGCTTGCAAGACGTTGTGGGCTGAGCATTTGCGGTCTTGGGTGGCCTGGTTGACTTCCCAATCGATCCGATCCTTCTGAGATTGATGGCGTAGGAGGTTTGAGGCCAATGGCTTCGCGGTAGTCTCTCACGCTTTGCTCAGATATACAATCAACTCTCAGAGGTGCTTCAGGCTTTGGTGGAATTCTGCGATCTCTGTAAATGTCGTTTTTAAAGGCCACATTGACTGGAAGTGTAGCGGTCTGGGCTCTTTGAGAACGAAGCGAAGGGTAACCGGGAGGTGCTGCAGAATTTTGACCAAGATTCCTGGTATGCAACGCACGACGTATGGAGCCAATGACCGTCCTTAGTGCAGGGCTGGCTCCAAGGGGTCTGATATTGCCTTCCGAAGCACTGCGTGCATGGTGCTCCTGTAGTCCATCTGAAGCTTGCGATATAGTAGGTGAAGGGGGGGAAGGTCCTGCAACTTTCGCATCTATAGGCGGGAACAGATTTCCACGAATGAGACTGCCATTACCGCCGTCAGAGCTCGGCAGTAAAGCTTGTTCTTGATCCTGCCTATCCGCTAATGCGCGAGACAGGGGAGCACGGTCATCGCGGATTGAGTCGGAAAAACTCCCACTACGCTTGTGAGCATGAGTTTGGGGGTATCTGAATGTGCTTGAAGCCGTCGGTGACCGTGGACCGGTCGGGGTATTAGGTGACGGCTGAATTGCAACCACAACAGGGTGAGGTGCATCTACTGCGCTGATCGGTATTGAAGCACTTTTGCCTGGGAAAGAGCATGAGAGTGCTTGGACGCTCTGCTCGCTCGACGAACCTGGCATACTGCGTGTAGTCCCCGATGATATCGTCCTCGCATGCATTACCGGATGACCAAGGTTTCGTACATTTTCCAACGCATTTATTGACTGGGTGAATTGTTGCGTTTGAATCTTGGTCAAAGGATTTTCCATAACAGCTTCGTTGATGGTGTTGGCGATCTCGCATAGACTGGCTGCGTAGTTATCTTGACTGTCGAGAACTTCCCCGGGTAAAGCAGGGTTGTCGGGACTGGTAAACAGCGGACTATCCCAGTGCATCAAACATCTTCCATGCCAACAGCGCTTTAAGTCTACCAAAATCTTGATGTCACTGACGCCTGCACTTCTTCGAGCTTTCAAATCATCGTACATATGGTTGATTGTATCGCAAAATTGTACCCGTAAGTCTCGGTTGCTAACGAAGTCGTCGACGAAATAATTGAGAATCCAATGTCGTAAAGCCGCAAATGTTCGGATTCGAATAATCCGTCCATCAGGTTGTAGTCTGTTGATAGCCCACTCCAGTCGCGCCAGCAACAAGCCTAAAAGATCTGTAGTCGATAGGTAAGACCGAAAAGTTAAAAAGAAGTCTGATACGAGTTCATAATCCATGAAAACCTCGGATGAAATTTGCGCGACTATGCGCGCAGGTGTAGCAGCGCTAATGTCCGAAGTGCCAGGTAGGTACTTGACCAAAGCTGGGTCATCCATGTTTTCGGCGAGCAGGTCAAAGACAGAAGGTTCAATGGGATGCTGTACAGAATATATACCGGATCTGTAGGTTGAATTCGAATTTCTCGCCTTGGTGGCAGATGGAGCCACACCTGAAAACAACGACATTGCGACTGAAAGCGTTCCTACCGGATGAGAAAGACCGGGTGAATCGTAGGTAGATGGTATGCGGTTCTGGCCACCGTTGCCTGTATTGTCCTTCAAGTATACAGACGGGTTGGTGTTGTCCGATGTATGCGTATAAACCGAACTTCGCAATACTGGTGTCCCCTCCGCATTGAACTGCATAGTCCCAAGGCGATAATGAGGGATAGGCACCTCTAGAGCAGGCATGGAGGTAACGTTGACCGAATCATGAGTGTCGAAACGGTCAATCACTATTCGAAACTCGTCGCCCGCTTCAGATTGGCCGTACTCGGAGATTGTTGAAAAGGAATGAGCTCTCCTACGTCGAGGCTCAGTATCGCTGGCATCGCCATTGACCTCCGCGATTTCTTCACGGGCAAATTTGGGACGGAGCTCGGAGAATTGAGAGGATGACCAAATACTGTGTCTAGTGTCGGGGCCGGCTGTTGGTCTGGGCGGGGATAGCTTGGTTGCGTTGACCGGGGCGGGAAGACTCAATTTCGGCAGGGATTTGCCATGGCGACGTCGGGAGCCTGACTCGACTAGAGGCCTATTGTAATTACCCTGTAGTAAGCATTTATGCGATACAATCTCAAATTGGAATCGAGCTGAAATGATGTCATGTCATGTCGATAGCAAGCAGAAATAAGATTTTCCATACCTCAGGTAAAGCTTCCCATTATTGCCGACATTGGCGACCGCGAAGGTGTTATCAACTCGACCAGCTGAGACCATATCATGCGCCAACAGTCGTTGCGGAAAGCTTTCGTTCCCGCCGCCTTTCGTTCGGAGTAGCGACGAAGCTCTCTGATGCGGTCTTCGTCCCTGGTCCGCTGCCATTGCTCTACCAGCCCGTTTAGTCGAGCCGGACTGTGTTACCGTATGGGCACGTTGGAGAGCATTAGGTTGAGCTCGTAGAGGACGAGAGGACGTGTTTGAAAAAGCCAACGTAGATGCCCGCGAAATGGGCTTGTGTAGTGAAAATTCGTCCTCCGTAACAGTGGCGGGTTTATCGGTGGACTCGTCGTAAAAGGTCGTCATTGTGCCGCCAAATAAGTGAGGCAAGCGCGAACGCGCCTCTCTTTGTTCAGTTGATAGCCAAGGCGGACTGATGTTGGCAAGCAGACCGGTTACTCTTGCAGAGCTGGCCGGGTTGATAACTCGATCGTGTAACTCGGCATTGCCGCACACCGCAATGCTGGCGGGCGGATTAGATGTTCATGGTCCCATTGAATGCTATGATTATCTATCTTGGTGTCAGGAAGCTGTGTTGGAGGCTGTTCTTCGTAGTCGGTTCGTCGCGACACAAAGAGGATAGAAGTGTAGCGAAGCGCGGGTAGGGATGAGTATTTGAAAAGCGTATCCACCGAGCCACTCGCTTGGAAAAGGCCCCTATGACGGCAAGGCGAGAGCAACCGTGAGATGGACCAAATGAATGGGGACACAAAACACGCCGCAATTTGTCGGACGCGAACGCACGGAGCGCACAGTCGATCTTGCCGGCTGACTCTTGGGGGACCGATTGCGTATACCGTGACGGTGGATAAACACGTCCGAATGTGTGCTGCAGGAAGATATCAGCAAGTCATTGGACGTCGGTTGCAGGTGAGTTGATGTGTCTATGAGAAGAAGCATAACAAGTGGGTTAATCTGCTTCAGTGCGAGGTGACAGGTCAAATCAGGTCACGGGATACACATGCACTGTACGCGATGACAACCTCGGCGGGGTATTGCTGTGACGGTAATTATACGCTATTCTGCCCGCTCAATGGTGAATATAGCACTGCCGTTGTGGATTGGCCCTGGTTTAGAAACCGTTTCTTACAAGCGTGACGGTACGGCTAGTAAGTTTACACCTAGCTACGAACCAATCAGATGGCGTATCCCGGTGGCTGGGAATATGGGGCCCCATGATCGCGCTTCCAGCTCTTCAATCAGTCATACTCTAAGTGTCACTGTGGCACTGAGTGAGCTACGTACGCACTATAAAAAGATCCATACATGTATGCCTGCAGGTATAATCTGCAGCTTTGAAATTGCACTGAATCTTCTGGATATTGGAGCACGAGTACTAGATATTTGCATAGTTATACATTAATTCCCAACTCAATATAACACTTCCAACGTATACACTCTACCACAATTTGCATACGGGCTCCTTGTGTGGACACTGGAAAGCTTCCTGGAATTCCCTCGAATTGGCCATTGTGCCCTATCTACATGTTAGTGTCATCCTTTTCAGAGCGATCAGATAATCGGACGTACCAAGATTCGAGCAGGCTTCGGGGCATGCGGGTCAGTGTAGATACCTTGCACTGCCGCTTCCTTTGTGGTTTTGCTGCACCACCAGTTCGAGTATGAGATGAAGAAAAGCTGCTCTTTGGTGAACTTCTCCAATCCGGGCAGTGCCTTGTCCGAGTGTGAAGAGTCGCGTTTCTTCCAGGCGCGGAACGAAGCTGACAGGCCTCCTGCATCGGCAATGTTCTCACCCAAGGTCAAGCGTCCATTAACATGCAGGGGCTCTGAATCTGGATCTGGGCCGGGAACGGTAAAATTCGAGTACTGATCAACGAAGCATTGCGCGCGTTCTTCGAATGCCTCAATAGTCTTGTCATCCCACCAATTAGTATAGTTGCCAATCTGATCATAATGTCTTCCTGTGCTATCGAAGGCTACTTGCGATGTCAGTTATACCGTCAACGAGAGATCATTTCAATGATACCACATACCATGCGAGAGCTCATGTCCACTGACAGCACCAAAGGCCCCATAAGCCAAATACAGGGGTGCCCTCGGTCCATAGAAGGTAGGAGGCTGCATAATTCCAGCGGGGAATACGATCTCGTTTCCAGGAGGGTTATAGTAAGCGTTGACAGTTGGTGCGGTCATCCCCCATTCGTCACGATTTGTGGGGCGCCCCAGCTGAGACCACATCCTCTTGAACTCGAAGTTGGCCATTCCAATCGAGTTCTCAAAAAACCTGTCACTGGAAATGTCCAAGCTACTATAGTATTTCTTGACCTCCTCCGCATCCATCAAGTCGGGACTTCGTGTTGGATAACCAATCTTCTGGATGATGTTGGCAACCTTTTGTTTACCCAGCTGCCGAACATCTGCAGACATCCATTTTGTCCCATCAAGCACATAAACAAATTGTTCCTTGATGTCGGAAATTATTTGATCACCTAGCTCTTTCGATTCCTCTGGGAAGGCATCGAGAACGTAGAATCGACTTAGGATCCAACCAACCCCAGAATCAAGATCGTTGATGCACTTTCGCCATCTATCTTGGGTGGCTTGAGGGTCTTTTCCAGCAAGACGATTATTGAACTCTCGTAGTGGCGTAACTTTGGGGTCCTCTATATCACTGTAGAATCTCTGAATGGCCTTGAACTTGAAGAACGCTAGGATAATTTCTCTGGGAGTGTCCTTGATAATTTTCGAGACCTCTTTCAAATAAGACGGGGAGCCAATAATTAGTCGGTCGGTCTTGACGTCCTTCGGTGAGAGCTCCGTGAGTATATGATTGAACGATATTTCAGGAACAAGCGAGCCGGCTTCCTCCAAAGACTTCGGGTTATAATACTGTGTGACGTCCTCCTGTGTCTGAGTGTCTGGTGTCGCGTCGGCCAATCTCTTTTCGAACAGGACAACGTTCTTCGCCAGTTGGAAAGGAGTTTCCACTTCAGAGCTTTTGCCGTGATGCAAGTTGAAGTTGCCAAACATTTTCGACGCAAGAGATCTATAGTCGTCCACAACTTTGGTATCGTTGTAATATTCTCGCGATGGAAGACCGATACTTCGTGGTGGCGTCACGAATATGACAACATTATCGGGATCACGGTCGTCGGGCTAGGCTCTATCGTTAGATGAAAATGTCTCAAAAGTAACTGTAGAGGGCATTACAGATATAGAGAAATCAGTAAGAGCTGAGACATCAGTCTGCATCAAATACAAGAGTGCATCGGTCAGATTATTCTCTGAGTGTTTGCCATGCGAAGAGTAGATGGTTTCAATGTTTTTTAGAATCTCTTCCAAGGGCTCCGATCCACGCTTCTTGAGAGCATCGACGTTGATACACGCATCGTAAGCGGACTTTAACTTCTTGAAGTTGTCTTTGTCTGCAGAGGAGAGTGTTGACTCTTCAGGGGCCTCGGGTGCTTCAAGTATATGGCGTAGTCTCATTTGAGCGTTCTCTGCCATCAAGGTTCCAGCAAAGACGGAGCCCTGGTCTGGTCTCATATCGTGACGGTCCCTCCATCCTCCACAGACATACTGGTCAAAGTCGACGCACGGGTCAATATCTTTATAATGAGGGTCAAGGTTATAGAGAATCTCGGAAGCAGCGTGAACGCATTCGGGCTCGAGGCATAGATCGGGACCAGAAGTAGTATCGGCACTCGGAGAATCTGGGACTGTGGACGTCAGACATCATGAGCTTTCATATTTGGAGCAAACGCACTTGGATAAAAGTGATATGTAGCGAGCATTACAACACTTGCCGTCATAATAGTCCACCTAGCTACCGCAAGGAGCCTGGACGCAGATGTGCGATTACCAGCCCGTCGGGGTCTGTGACTTGTGTCAAGGGAGTTTTCGGTGGTCTCGTACTTCTCGTCGATATAAGTGGTTTCTATATACGAGCTGGCTCGAAAGGCCGAAACGTTCCTATCACCGAAAACACAATATCAGTTTCATGACAAATTCAGCTAATCAGTGGCTATTCGACATACTCGGAGGGTAGCCCTCTCATTATGCGATTTTGGTGAACGTCACACTGCGGCGTGGGTTTGAGTATAGTGTACTTGATAGCGTTCTGACCATCTGCGTAGAGATTAAATGAAGTAGGATCGATTCAAGACACAATAGTTGTGTTGTAGGATGCTGGAGGATGTTGGAGGATGTTGTAGGATGTTGTAGATTGCACGTTGATGAATGGAGTTGGTTGAGGTCATCGATCGGTGCCTGGGTCCACCTGAAGCTGACTGACTCGTTATACAGTATGTGATTGGCTGAGATGCAGAGCTTCCTCGGCCCATCAGTGGGGCCGAAGATGGATGTCGGCCGGGCACCAATCACAGTAGAGAATCATGAAAGAAGAGTCGCAGCTACTATTGAAGGACAAAGGGTCGTTGATTATGCAATCACTATGAGGACAAACCATATAGGCTTCGTTACTCATGAAGAATTCCACCTTTCGAAGATCTCAAATATATGAAACAGACTGATAATAAGCAGCTGCCTTGTAAGGAAGTCCAATATCCTTCACATACTCATATGCAACATCGCCAACGCTTTCCGAAGCAACTACCTGAAACGGCAAATGTGGACTCAAAGTCGCGGTAGAAGGGCTGTCAGAAGGCCATAGGTCATGGCCAGCCCAGTGCTTTGCTGACGGCTGGAGGTTCACTTGATGAATCCAATGAATCCAAGTCTGGAATGGAATAGCAACTTGCATAGTCTGGTCTGGACGGCAGAAGGACTTATAAGTGCGTAGCATCAATGCCATGTCATCGCCAATCTGACAGGGCGTGGTAAATATATGATCATGTGGTTGCAGAGTGATTGACGAATCAGGCCGTATACTATCTCTCACGACAAATCGCCCGTGAAATGTGGGATACCGAGTTGCAATTTGAGATACGGATGGTGGGCCGCAATCTCGGTGTGTCCTATCAATGGCCGAGTTCCTGAAATATTCTTGGATCATGGTCCTGTCGCTGTCCTCGCCAACATCTGTATTCTGTTGATCCCACAATTCCCAGATATCGAGACATGCTCCGTACATCGCATACCACTGATACGGACACTTGTCACTGGCCGTCCAAAATGGGTGGTTCCGAAGACCAAACCAGTAGTTGACAACTTGAATAATGTAGTTGGGTGCATTTTGAACCATGTGCTCGATCTTTGCCCATTCCATGCGATACATCCAACAGAGCCATAGTCTGTAGTATAATCCTTTCCGGGGCTGGGATGTAGCAAGGGTTTGTACTTCGTTGAAGTGGCGTTTGACGTCGCCTATTTCAGGGCGATCCAGGTGAAGTTCTTGGTCGAAATGCGAATGTGCTGAGTTTGAGAGGTGATGAGGATCAAGGAGTTGAGTTTTATCCTTGGCAGAGTCGTACAGTGTGAGTGCCTCCGCGTTAGTGCTGGTACTTTCGGAACCCCTTCCTGTTAAAGCAAACTTTCAGATACCCGTGGACAGGATTTATATTGCGTTGCTTCCGGAGCTTACCAGCGTCATAGTTCCAGTTTACGTCTTCATACTCTTCCTCAATTTCACTCACCCAGCTATCATCTGCAACCCATGATGCAGTTCTGTGGGTAAAGTCGACCTTGTCATCTCTGTCATGCAATAAAGATGCCTTAGAATTCTGCATCGAAGGCCCAGGCGATCCTTCTACGACCTCCATCCAAGAATCACCATCGGAGTCTTCCGCGTCGAAAATGTGGACTGCCATATCTCATGATATAGTTGATGATGCTTATAAAGAAAGGGAAACTAACAGCTGGAACAACAGAAAATATATGAGGGTAAGATGCATAAAGCTAAAGATCGAACATATGACACTCGCGCAGATTAGTGCCGCCCGAAGCAAGGAGCTATGAGGTTGCACAATTTCGTTGGCATCTTGTTTGGACGAGGTGGAACGAGAGGTGTGTGACTCGGTGTTGAGGACGAGGCTGAAGCAGGCAGGGCAGTCACGTGGTTGTTGCTGCACATTGGATGAAATATCGACATACAATAACATAGACCATCTACATACATGAGCCTAGAAAAAATCAACGCCACTCAATTTTCCTAGCGCCTGCTATATAAGCTCACAGCAAATCGTTTCGGTGAGTGTTTGATAGGCACATATTATTCCTCGACGGATTGAGGTGCACGTCACATTATAACTGTTCTTCAACGGCGCTCCAGAGACTAGTTCTCAAGACGTTCTTCATCCACCAATTTCCAGCGGCATCTTTACCCATAACAGCAAGCGAATTGCGAGGAGAGAATCCAACAAATTTCCCAGTAACAAAAATAAGCAAAGGTCTGCCTGTCAGATTCGCTCGCGCCGATTGAGAGGGATTTTCTATTACTACTGCCGAAGAAAAGTCCATTTGGAATAGTTTTCCTCTGTGCCAATTTGAACAGGCAAAAAGGAAAGCTCCTATATCACCATACACAGCCGGCTGGCCAGTCTTTTCTTTGGCCTCCCTCTGCGTGGCGGCTATAGCTTGCACCTGTTCCACGGTACGGTGTGTGTCAATTGCATGTCGAATCCGCGAAGCCAAAAAGCTTATAGGCTTGCTAACAATTTCTCCAGCAGTGGTTAGAATAACAGTAGGCCAAGTAACGTTGGCAATCAATGCCGTGTCCGCCGAAGGAAGAAGGCCCATTTCTGCAAGCACGCCACGAATGTCAAATACATTCAAGATAGTGATTGGTTTAGAAGGCGATGGATTGAGTGCCTTGATAAAGATACGAGTCCACCATGAGAGCAGAACGTCACTTTCACTGATAAATGCGGGTTTTGCTGCCTGCGAGGGGTCGGCGCTCAATTCGCCGAGTGCGGTATCCCGTAAATCCTTCAAGTATTCACCCGGCACATAGATGAGTCGCTCTTCGTCTTTACGCCACCAGACCAGTTCAAAAATGTACTGAATCACAAACACAATAAAAGCCCAGCCTTTCAGCATGCGATCCGCAAGTACGTACTTGGATGAAGCGGTCATCCGATGAATAGTTGCTAGAGGATCCTCGCCAGCATCCATGATTGGAGGAACCTGATCTTCTCGACCGCGTAAAATTGCTGTCCAGCCTTTGAGGAGAGCCGTAAAGCCCATGGCGTCCATGAGCAAATGTATGAATGTTATTGTCACAAATGTCACATCTTTGAGCACAACTACGTGGACCGCTAATTGAGGGGCGTCAGAGAATATCCAGTCATCCAGACGCTCCGGCGTTCTAGCACCACGCAGATAGGGTCGCAGAGGATCAAAAGGACCCAGTAGGGTTGGTTTTTCAAGCTTGCCGAAAGCTAACGCCCTCATTTCGGGATGCTCGGATAGAGTCATATCATGCTTGTCTGTGCTAAATAAGAAGGCAGGGCGCTTCTCAGTAAATTGTTCTGGAATATGATATTCTAGTTCTTTGCCCTTTTGCTTGATAGTTAGATATTGCTGTTCGCCGTGAAAATTGCAGCTTGCGTGGAGGTTAGACTATCTTACATTCTTTCTTAGTCTTGCGCCGAATTTCTCCCATCCTTTCTTTTTCAGTAGAGTATCAAGAGCGTCTCGTAGTTTTTCAGGGTCAAGCACGTCGTTAAATGTGAGTGTGATGTCCAGGCTCATTCCACGTGCATAATCTTGGTCGTCCCAGAACGAGAGCGGGATTCTGCGATCACCCGGGATGATTTCGGGGGGCGGTCTGCTGGATGAGAAGATGCCCATTGTAGAGACGGGATTCTTGGAGAAATGTGTCAAGGCCGTCCTTGATGAAGAAAGTATCAGCGATGTATATACAGTACCGATTTATGGTCACGCCAGTCCAGAGACAAGATGAAGAAAAGCTTCGGTTTGTTGACAAGTCGAGCTGACCCTTTAGGGTAGAGACCCACACAAGCACCACAGCCAATCGAAGTCATGGCTCAAAGAGCAATTAGATACGCCCCACTTCTACGAGAGATAGAGGCGGCGATGTAAAAGACCAAGCATTGATTAGACAAACAACTAATTACAGGGAGGGACATTATCTGAAAACGGACCACTTCTAAGGCTTATCCTCCCAAGTCCCTGTCAGGAAGTCCTTGAGCGATGTGAACTCAAAGTCCGGGAAAATCCGGTTGAAGTCGTCCGAGACATCCCATGCGCCTTTTGAACTGCTCAGCAGAAAACCAATAGCTACTTGCTTGAGAAGAGCTTGCGCCTGGTCATCAGGCACCGCGTGATGGACTGCTTGTAGATTCCATGGAGACTTGAGATCACCAAATTCAAGATCTTCGACTTTTAGAACAGTGACGTCGAGGGATCCTCTAATTCTACGGCCGATATCGATAATTTGTGAAAAGGTAACTCGATTTCCTCTGATACCGCCCGTCACAGGCCACTTGCCGTCATAATCAATTGCACGTGCGACGACTGCTGCAAGATCTGATACCGTTGTGAATGTTATGGCGGCATATTCATGATCGTCCACAACCATTGCCCGCCTGTTGGCAAAGTCCAAGAAGGTTTGTAGGGGGTCAAGATATTTTGATGTCTTGAAAGGGTAGGCCAGGTAGTCGAGGAACAATCCGGGTTGAAACAATGTGTACTCAAGGACCTAAGGAGAAAGTCAGCTCGAAACATCAACTCGATCAAGGAAGTATTCACATTCTCTGTTCCATTCACCTTTTCCAAATACTCTCTGATCACTCCCTTTCCACACCACCAAGACATATTAACGATATCCTTGCTTTGATCTGGTCAGTTATGATACACTACACATGACAAGAGGAATTCTCACCTCCCATATTCACTTGGTGCAAAGCGTTTTACACCCGCAGTAATGGCAGCATCAATTAGATTCTTCTGGGACATTTGATCGGGATCCGAAAGAATTTGGACAAAAGATAGGAGGGTATGAGTTCCGCGGAGGGTTTCAACCAGGCTTTTCTTGTCTTCGTAATCTACCTTTTGCCAGCGTATTTCAGACGCGATAGAGTGCACCGGGGTGTCCTACAGTAGTTATAGCATAATGCGAACGGAGCAATGGTTATGATGTTACTTACACTTCTACTCAAAATGACGATTTCGTGTTTCTTTGCCGCCAAAAGAGCGTCAATGATCTCTCGAGCGACCTCTACAAGCTGTCAGTGTGTCATGCTATGTCATATGACATTTGACTCACGCCCAGAGCCACCGGCCACAGCAACTTTCACTATCCTTGGGTTTCAAGAGAATGGGATTCTTGATTTTGGAAATTTTTGTGGGTGTATTGATGCAGTCATGGTGAAAGCAAGGTGCATTATATACTCACTCGAGAGTATTTTTTATAATTGCGAATCCATTGTCACTTGATAAAAACAGCGTTAATTGGCCTGCCTGAGTGATTCAAGCAATTCTTAAACGGGAAGGCGCATGGTGGGTCCAGCGAGCGTCTTCCTCCGCCGCGGCGGAGTTCTTTGCTCCTTCTTCCTCCCACCACCGTGATATAACCTGGACGAAGAAGCACCATACTTGGGAAAGAATGACCGTACTGCCTTGAATGTATTAAAATGGAAGACCAGAGGAAACACTCACGGGGTGACCTGTTGGAGACTTGCTCCATGGCGGAGACAGCAATCACGGCCAAAAAACGGAAGATACGGAAAGGAACACTGTCTTGTTGGGAGTGCAAACGGCGGAAAATCCGATGTACATTTGCAGCATCTACAGACGCCATTTGTGATGGATGCAGGAGTCGCCAAACCAATTGCATTGGTCAGGAATTTCCTGATGAAGTGGCATTGGCTAATAGGAAAGTTGATCGGCTTGGGCGAGTGGAATCTCTGGTTGAGCAGCTGGTCAAGCGAGGTGGCTATGAGAAGTCAGACATCTTGACCAGGGGTCAATCAGGTCAAGAGTACCCACCGTCAGCGGTAATTGGCCGCAAAAATGTTGTTTGCTCATGCGCTCTACTAATGATGAGAAGTGTGGACCCCATTCGAATGACATTGAAGCTGGACTCCMCCAGCCGATTGGCAGCGACTTTAATTACATACGTTGTGCCCTAATAGCCACGTGGCCCAGCCAGCAGGATCTTGATACTATCTTAAGCATACCAGTCAGAGTCTCGGTTCTGCTGCATGGAGTGGTCTGCAAGTCGTATTCTGACTATTTCTGTGGGAAATTTCCATCACTACGGCAAGTACTGCAGCTACCTTCGCTAACTTGTCACCCGGTTCTCATCGCAAGGAGGCTACTTCTACTATCAACCTTCTTGCAAGGTATTCCTCCATGCTTTGCTAGTCAGCTAAGTAGTCTGAGTTCGGCCTATCTGAAAATCATGTCTCGCGCGTTTAGTTCGGCTACTCGGCTTGTGACTAGCAACGATGAACTTGTCAACTCACTCGAAGGAATTGAGTGTACCATGATCGAGAGCATGTACTTGAACAATGCTGGGAACCTCCGCCGGGCCTGGCTGGCAAACCGGAGAGCTATGGTTATGGCACAGATGATGGGGCTCCATGGAAGTGTCAAGTCATCGAGCATGTTTCTAGAGGAGAAAACACGAGATCGTATCGATCCGGACTATATGTGGTTTCGTATAGTCTGCTCAGACAGATATCTGTCCTTGATGCTCGGCCTTCCGCAAGGTTCGCCTGAAGATACGAGTTCAGATGCTTTAGAAAATTTCATGCCTGTGGACCGTATGGAGCGCTTAGAGTCAATTGCAAGCGGACTCATCCTACAGCGAAATAGGACTGAACGAACCGATCTCGTCGCAACTCGCAAGATCGATAAGCTCCTGCTGGAAGCTGCCGAGTCGATGCCACCAGACTGGTGGGTGAGCTCCAATTTTGGTACCATTGCCGGTAATGATGGCAAGGCATTTGAAGAAACGATCCGTTTCATGATGCAAATCGCACACCACCATCTCTTAGTTCAATTACATCTACCATATATGTTACTACCATCGTCTATCAGTTCGAATTACGACTATAGCAAGTTAGCAGCTGCCAACGCCAGTCGAGCCATTATCACACAATACATCTCTTTCTACGATTCCATTTCGGCGCCGGCGTACTGCCGAGGCATCGATTTTATTGCCTTCATTGCAAGTACGACTCTCTGTCTTGCACATATTGAATCTCGTCGCCAATTCAAGGATAGTGTTACGTTTTTCCAGTCTCTTGAGCACCAACGCTCGGGTGACCGAGGTTCGTTAGAACGCCTGCTTGCAATTATGGAAAGAATGGCAGGAGAAAGCAGCGATGTGGTTGCCAGAAAAATCTCTAGTATTCTCCAACCGCTACTTGACATCGAAGACAACTCCTTTAAAGGAAGCTGTTACCAGATATGTGCATCAGAAGCCGTTGAGCCGGAATCTCGGTGTATTGGTCAGACGAAGGAAGCTGTGCACGAGCTTCGCATTCAAATCCCGCACTATGGGATTATTGTGATAGAACACCGTCCTCAAAGTCACACTCTGCCACACACAAGCATTATAAATCCCTCTGTTTTGGAGCCAATCCCGAGCCATGATGTAGTTCCAGGTCAGGCAGCACCATGGGCATTTGGATCACTACCCGGCTTGGAATTTGACGAACACGATTGGGCATTACAAGGAGTTGATATGGCGCTGTTTGGTAATCTGACTGGGCAAGGATTGAGTTAGGGTTAGGGCACATATGACGACCTAGGACTGATACAGTCGATGGTGACTGCTTCTAGAATAACGTTCGAGGTCCCTGCGTCGGATATCTACGCACCCACCCGAACTATCACAGATCTACTTCTTGCTTGTCTCCTGTCGTATGATCGTACCGTCGATATCAGGATGGTACATCTGCGACTCGCTGGGATGGTAACGTGCTTCTGGGCTTATCAAAGTAGATGAACCATCCATTCATCCGTGATGTACACAACCGCAGAACGAGTTGAGTTCATATCAATACCGACAGAGTTGACAGATCCAAGTTCATGGCACAATTGGATGTTACCAGCTATCCATGCGATACAATCGGATAAGAGGCAGTAACTTAGGTGGTAGTATTTAAGCAGATGATACCGTGGCAGTGGGTTGAGCTAAAGCTAAGCTGATAAGCGGCTGCAGCGAGGGAGATACCTTATCAACGCTAGACAGCATGTACCAGCAATGGTAATCGTTGTCTAGTCTTATTGGTGGTTGTTCTTTGATGTTGGTACGCAGGTGACAGGTGAAGGTGTGCAATGCGACAAGCCCAGAATCGTTCTCCTGACTCGAGAACCCTGTTACTGTGACAGCTCGAGTCTTTGTTCTGGGATCTCATTGACTGTGAGTCAAGTCCAAGACATGCCTGACATATCGGGCCTGGAAAGTAATCTACACGCGCTGATTGGGCGGCCGGGCTCCACCAGCCGCGCGAATCAAAATGGCCACGTGAACACCTTCTCCTTTTTTCGTGAAACATGATAACCGAGTCCAAGAGAGAGAGACTCGAGAGCCGTTGGTGTTAGTGAGTGACTTAGTGTAGTCAGCGCAATCCTTCGTATTACTAGTCCTACCGAACCATAAGACAGACAACGATGGATGGCACGGTATCCTTGTTTTCATTTACGTATGTACAACAACAGTGCGGATAACTCCAGAGTCTCGTGCCTGGAGTCGAGATGAATGCTGGGTGAAAGTGAGGGGAAGTGGAGAGAGCTGGACACATGGAAACATGTGTCAAACACGCTGTCCTAGGTGAAGTTGCCATGCGACGAATCTATCGCCTTGGATGCTCGACGAAACAGCAGCATCGATGTTGTAGCGTTACATAATTGTTTCGATGGTCTATTAATAAGCTTTTTTCTTCTGGCTTGCTGGTTGTTGCTTCTTTGCTTCTAGGTTCTGGGGCGAAGGTTAACCTAGTCTCGCTAGTCGCCAGTGTTTCGGTAGTAGGTTCCGCCACGAGACACTATTTACATTACACATAGTGTCATATACATTGGAGTGACTGTACAGCGTTCGGTGGTCAAGTAGCTGGCTCAACCTTTTCGGTTCAACTGTCAAAAACAATAAATTGCTAAAATGAAAAGATACAGTCCGAATGGCACACAACATCCGATGTTACGGTGCAATCCGGGGAGACGCCGCGCTAGTCCCGAACGGTACACGGAAGGTTGCAACGCTGCTATCAAGTGGGGCATTCGGGGGTGGTGGCTGGCCAATAAAACACATGGTACTAGGCCATGTTTCGTAAGGCTCGTGGCCGCCCATGGGTCCAGGAAGATAAGAATAAGGGCAAGCAGCCAATGGGAAACGGCAGATTCGATAGAAGTGGGGCTGACGAACTGCTGTTGTTTCTTTGTGCGGGAAGCTGCTGACTTTTCTGTACTTTTCGGTTACTCACGTATAATAGTTACTCCGTATACCTACAGCAATAGGGTACTATTCTACTATGTATGTGCTGCTGTCCCGGTAGCTCTGTAAGTAGTAAGGAGGAAAAAAGAACCATGAAGACGGCATTAAGGTAAAGAGCTTAATCAGAAACAAATCTATATTTTCATGCGGCCAATCAGTTCTGTCAACATCCGTAGAGTTCATATCATGAGGCTGACGGGGTTGCATTGGAAACACGACCCCAGATCCAGCAGCTCAGAGTCCAATTTTGACATGTACTAAGTAGTAAGTAACCATAGCATGTTGCTCAGTCAGTCAAGCAAGCACATTGATTAAGGAGGCCGTCAGAAGTAACCAAGCGTGCTAACCTGTTGATGTGACTCCACTAGTAGCTTAGCTCTCTTAGTTGTTGGTAGCTAATCGAGTGGGGCGGCTCTCCAGCTGCGATAAAAAGATCAGATCGCCTCCAGTCCAGACTCGACTTTTTCTTTCTTTTCGTGTCCGTCTCCTCTTCTGTGTATAGTATATAGAGTGCATATATATATATACACATATATCCACACGTATCAGCAAGATATTTGCTTATCTGACATCAACTGACCGACACAATGGCCGACACCGTCGAACCCCAGGTCGAGCCCTACCCCAACGAAAAGGCAACTCACGAAGCAGTCATTAACGAGGCATGGACTCCCGACCAGCTGCCCTCAGGATGGATGTACAGACATCGCGGTAGAATTCCCTGGTACGCTTCTCCCGCGATCCAGCTCGGTCTAGTCGCATTTGTGTGTTTCTTGTGTCCTGGTATGTTCAACTCTTTGGGTGGTCTCGGTGGAGGTGGTAAGACCGATGCTACTTTGGCCGACAACATGGTAAGCTTTTGGATCGTCTCGTCCAAATATATGGAATCTGACCTAAGTGTAGAACATCGCCCTCTACTCGACCTTCGCCGTTGTGGGTTTCTTGGCTGGTACCATTGTTAACCGTCTGGGTGTGCGCTACTCCATCGGTTTCGGTGGTCTCGGTTACTCCATCTACGCTGGCTCCCTTCTCGCCTCCGTTCATGAAAATGTTCCCGGCTTCAACATCTTCGCCGGTGCTTTCCTTGGTGTTTGCGCCGGTGTCCTCTGGGCTGCCCAGGGTGTCATCATGGTGTCTTATCCAACTGAAGCCCAAAAGGGTCGCTACTGGGCTTGGTTCTGGGCTATCTTCAACATCGGTGGTTGTATCGGTAGTTTGATTCCTCTCGGTCAGAATATCAACGTCAAGGTGGCCGCCACCGTTAACGATGGTACCTACATTGCTTTCATCGTTTTGATGGTCATCGGTGCTTTTTTGGCGCTTTTCCTCGTCGATGCCGACAAGATTATTCGATCCGATGGTACAAAGGTCATTCTCATGAAGAACCCCAGCTGGTGGTCCGAACTCAAGGGTTTGTACACTTGTATCCTTGCCGAGCCATACATCATTCTGTTGTTCCCCATGATGTGGTCTTCCAACTGGTTCTACACCTATCAGGAGAACGCCATCAACGCCGCCTACTTTGACACCCGTACTCGTGCCCTGAACGGTTTCTTGTACTGGTTCGCTCAGATCTGTGCTGCCTCCGTTATTGGTCCCCTCCTCGACAACGCCAAGATTCGTCGTTCTCTCCGTGCCCGCGTCATGTTCGTCACTCTCATCGTCTTGACCGTCGCCATCTATGGTGGCGGTTGGGCCTGGCAGAAGAACTACGACCGCGCCGATGTCGTCACTGACTCCGCTCCCTTCTTCCAGGCTTGGGATTGGAGTACCCCTGGCTACGTTGGTCCTATGTTCTTGTACTTCTTCTACGGTGCTTACGACGCTGTCTGGCAAGGTTGCATGTACTGGTATGTTCCTCGCCACTTTCTTTCATTCTATTGACTTTCATGCTAACATGATTAGGATCATGGGTGCTCTCTCCAACTCCGGTCGTCGTACCGCCAACTACGTTGGTTTCTATAAGGGTCTCCAATCTGCCGGCGCCGCTGTCATGTGGTCTCTCGACAAGAACAAGCTTTCTTACAAGAAGGAGTGGGGCACAAACTTGGGCTTGCTTCTTGGATCTCTCATCATCGCTGCTCCTTTGATCTTTATTCGCATCAAGGATCACGTCGAAATTGAGGATGATTTGGTCGATGTCGATGAGACCATCGAGGACGTTGTCCCCACTGTGGTTTTAGAGAAGACTGAGAAGGTTTAATCACTGGATTTCCAGTGTATGAAACCCGGTCCCATTCTCATTATCAACATCGGCTTTGTTACATAGTCTGAAGTGTGTGATGCGATTCGATGGATGATGAAACTATATACCCTATATGTCTGCAACTCATTATAATATCGATAAAGTGTGGAAGTGCGATTGATACGTGTAATTATTGAGCCTTATTTGGTTTCATTCGATCAAATTACTATACCTTTGAAATCTCTTGCTTGATCGTAGTCAAACTTTGGACTATCCAGCCCATCACACAGCTATTGTAGAGAAACGTGATCAAGCGAGTTATGACACGTCTGCATGACAGCATCGTACAACCCAATCTGATGAAGCATCGGCGACGGATATGTGCTATTCGAATATCACCATCTACGTTGCATACTGCGCGTAGTTTGCTTCAATTTATGCCCGCAGACTTTTTGGTCATTTTAATGCTATGAAATAAATAATGTGAATTACATCGAAGAAGAAAAGAGGAAAATTCAGAGAGGGCTATTTACCTAGTCAACTTTAGTAGCTAACTACTTAGTTCCAATGTATTAATAAGTAACATCTATGCTTTATCCTTTGTCCTCCGATTTAGCCGTTGGGATGAATGATGATTGTTGTCCTAGTTCATGCATCCAAGTCGTTGCTTATTATCTAGGTGTGGCACGTTTTGTAAAAAGTCTACAGAAAAGTTAGTCAATCTTGGATGAAATAATTAGGATCTTTATATGTTTCTAAGGTTGTGCCTAGTGCTGCCTAATATATGTATCACTTGTGCAGGCAATGATATATATCCCGAGCAAGTTAGGTCTGGTGCCTAGAAAGCCCTAATTGTGCAGGTAGGTAGGTAGCATTGAAGTTGAAATTTCTATAGATCTATGAACGGATCGTCAAATATTATGATAATTAGATTTATTGAATTTCATACTCAAGACCGTAAATTAAATAAATCCACTCTGAGCGAATGTCAGCTAGCTCATAAGTATACACCAACGTGAGCCCCTGTCAACTTCAAGTTGACAGGGTGCTTCTGTACATTCTGTCCAAGAACAGTAATCTGGCTAATCACCACGTTGCCAGTGTCGTAGCCGAATGTACCCGTCATCGAAAACAGGCCGTCTAAGTACTCAAAGTTGATCACAGAGGTCTTCGGCTGATTGATGCTATCTCCATCATCCAGATACAAAGTTCCGGATGCTTGGCCAAAAGTATTGGGTGCAATGACAATCTCAAAATTTTGCTGACGCAACAAAGCAGTTGTATTGGCAGAAGCAATTCTCTGAGGGATGATACTACCGCCCTTGTAGTATAAAGGAATGCTATCAAAGGCGATATTATTCAAGGTAACTGCTGCTCCATTTCCTGTCACGGGCTTTCCGGTGTAGAAGTCGTAGAATGTATCCTTAGGGAAGTAGACTGACACAGACGTCGAGTTCTCGTCAGTCACAGGTGCTACGAGAATGCTGTCACCCCAGAAGAATTGGTAAGGAAGTGTCGCGGTATTGAGATCAGAAGGGTACTCGAAGAACATAGGATTAATCATGGGSGAGCCAGTCTGTGTCTGTGTCCACAGCGCCGTGTAGGCATAATCCAACAGTCGGTAACGGATGTCGATGGCAGCACGTGCAGCCTGAGCAATAGCTTCAGTTCGGTAAAGTTCATGTGGAGGCGAAGTGTTGTCCGAGTGATCACGGAAGAATGGTGAGAATGCACCAAGGAAAACCCAGCGAGAACACAACTCATCAGTAGTCGTTCCGTCATAGCCACAAATATCACTTCCAACCATAGGAACTTGATAGATAGCAGCGAATTCTTGGAGTTCTGCAATTGTCCAGCGATAGTGGTCCCAGTCCGCGTGGTTGTCACCAAGCCAATGGCCGACCTGACGGCCAGCACCGGCAAAGGTGGACCGAGTAATCCTAAGTAGTCATTAGCAAGCATTCATAGATGGGACATGCTTGATGCTTACACAAGAGGGCGGACGGTAGGTCTACGATTAAGCATGGCATTTCGGCTGGTAGCGCTCATCATAGTGCCGTACATGTTGTGAGTATCGTATTCAGCAAGACCATTTTCATGAATGAGATCGGTTTGAATGGTCAAGTTGCTGATAGAACCAGCGGTGTCGTTGATGTTGTACTTAGGGTTGACCAAATCCCGACCAGGAAGACCAAGCATGGAACCATCTCGTTTCTGTAATGCAGCAGCAACCGGTGAGCGAACAAGAGGGACAGGTGAGATTCCTCTCTTTTGAGCTCCTGAGCTGGTAGTAATGGTATCTGAAACAGATTGTAGTCCAGTGTTGCAGTCACCCGTAGTGATGGTTCGGTTGCTCTTCTCATATATCCAGCTACCGTCGCTCTCCTTGCGAACATATTCATATGAGAAAGTGCTGTTGGCGGGCATCTGCACGGTAAGCTGCCACTCTGGGTAGTTATTGGCGCTCATTGCCACAGCTCCAGAAACAACTCCATCTCCAAGAGTAGGAGAGTTTCCAAGAACATAGATGTTTTCGCCATAGTATGTCTCTGCATACACGGTAAAATTCACGTTAGCAACACATTGGGGTTGGAAGTCAGGTCCGAAGCCGGCAATAGGCCGAGGAGAAGAAATGCGTACTGCCGGAGGGGCAGGAGGATCACCGGCAGACTGAGCAAATGCAGCGGGATCAGAGCAAGGATATGTACAAAAGTTAGAAGCTTCGTTCATGTCAATCCAGAGGGCGTCAATATCGACACCATTATCGGGACTGAAGAAGGTTGAAAATTGATTGTTCCAGTAAGACTGCGTGTTTGATGCGAACCAGTCAGGGAATGCAGCAACACCAGGCCAGACCACGCCTTGATACACAGATCCATTGGAGACAGTCAAGAAGGCACCGGCGTCGACACCATCGTTGAATGGGGCATAATCCTGGTAAGCCACTGCAGGGTCAACCATCACGATGTAATGTTGATCATGTTCATGAAGATAAGACACAATCTGGCGGACGAGGTCGACGGGGTATCTCAATGGGTCGAGGGTGAACACTTTTCGCAAGTCCATGTAATCTGAAACCTTGTTAGCACTGAAGTATGCCGGTAGTAAGCAAACTCACCAATGTCAGTCCATTGAGTCTCGAGAGGAATGTTGGCAGCACTGTAGTTGGCGATAATTTCGGCAACCTCAAAGACATCCTGGTATCCGTATCTGCAATTGTGGAAACCAAATCCCCAGTACGGCATCATGACTGCCTTGCCGACAGTCTCGGAATATTGAATGGCAACATCCTTCGGAGTTGAGCCAGCTAGGAAATAAAAGTCCAAAACACCTCCTAGAGTGTTATACTCCAAATATTGACCATTTTTATCTTGGTTGATCTTGATGTCCATTCCATTGCTGTTCAAGAGAAACACACCATGAGTACCCTTGGATCCACGATGGTCGAAGTATATCGGATGGTTTCCGTACAAGTTGGTGTATTGGGGAGTCAAGTAAGCATCGCGAGACCAAAGGGTACGAGAGTAGTTGTTTGTTGGCAGTGGAAAAGGATCGGTGCTTTCACCCAGGCCATAAAGGTAAGGGTTTTCAGGAAGACTGGTGCGCAGTCCAAGGTATTGAGATTCAAAAATCAAGGGCTGTCCAGCTGTATCGAAAAGCACCTCGCCATTGGACTTGCGGGTTACTTTGAATGAGAAGGGACTGTTTACGATTGTAACCTTCAAGTCAGACTTTGCCGGCTTGATGTTTGAGCTAACTGGTCGTGGTAGAACGGAGGTGGGCACTTGGTAGACCTGCTCGGCTGCGTCGTAGATCTTGACATGAAGGCGCGTTTCTGGTGATAATGGTCAGTGACAAAAGACCTCACGAGTCTTTTGATTACTTTCTCTCACCAGTCTCGTATTCAACTTGCAGTACTAAATTGTCCAAATCCGTGCCATACACATTGCAAGCAGCTCCCGCTAGAGTGAGATCGGCACTGACAATGCTCCCCGCGCTTGTTTTTACATTAGATGCTTTGTAGCCAGGGCAGGAAGCTGCATCACGAGTTGCCAATGCCGCAGCACTGGCACTCGCAATGAGGCATCCTGTGGCCACTAGGCCTTTCATGATTGATGTTGACCGCATTGTCGTGGGTGAGATTGAGCGGCACCAACACAGAGCAATTGATTCCGATGAATCATCCCTTGCATCGCAGGGATCATCGCGTGCCTTTATACAACCCCACCGAATATTTTTTTTTCCTGTTCCCAGCTTCTGTCATGTTCTGTTCATTTCATTCATGACCGGGTTTCGTACTGATACGGCCGACCGGGGCCTCAAAAAGTAGGCAGAGCGCGTCAATCCGTCATCTCTAGTCGAGGAGCTAGGTCGCTAGCTGTGCTGCTGTGGAGCTGTGCTGCTTTGGCGTGGAGGAATGGGTTAGCACGATGTCACCCTAGTAAGCTGGTAGCTCGTAGTAAGGAGATTCTAGCGGGGTTGTGGGCATCGTCTTTTCTTTCGATTGTCCGTGAGCCAGACGGGTAGACGCCGGAAATTTGATTTGGTCTGCTTCTGTAGTACAAAGTTGCCGATGGTCACTCTGAATGTTGACTCGGTGAGTTGAGTTTTCTGTGTTGCGGTGATCTTCAGGTGGAAACAATGATTAATCTTCCTAGTTAGTTTAGACTGTTTAGATGAGCAGCCCGCGCCTTCCCAAATGGGCGCCGCCAGTGTCCAAATTCCCCGTGGGGCGCCCGCCACCACAATCACAACTTCGTTTATTCTCTTCCTTAGTCTTTTTCTCTCTCCTTTCTGCTTACTTTTCGACTAGCCTATCAGCCACTGCTAGGCTCTAGTCAATGCTTATTTACTACTCCCCTAACTCCTTCAAGTACTCTGCTATACCGATATTCTCTAGTTTCTGCTTCGACACCACGGCCTGTCGGGAATTCCGGCACACTCACCTCACAGCGCTGCAGCGGCGATGTCGGTCCTTCTCATTCTGCGAATAATCTTCGATATTTCCATCGATCGGTTGGTGTGGGTTGGAAGAACAAGGAAAATGCAGCCGGATATTAAATCAAGTTGTTGACCCCACCTCAGCTGCGTTGTTTGTATGGGAATTAATCACTACTTACAGAACAGTGCATCAAAATCCCGACCGAGAATGCCTGGTATGCACCGAGTTGCTCTAATTTCCGTCGMAAGCCGATGCGATTGACCGTGAGAACAACCGATCAAGCGACTCATGAATCATGAAAGCGTTGGTGTTATAGTGCACGCCATTTATTGGATAATCAACAATAGTCTTTCCGGCTTCAACCCTATGTTCATCTAAACGACCCGCAAATACTCCGGTGGCTGTAGTAGCCCGGCGTGCTCCAGCAATCAAGCTCGGATTTGATTGCCTACCCCGCCTCACGGCGCCGGGATCCCCAAGGCCTGAGCCCAGGCCAGGGCATCCTGGTCAATCTAATCTGCAGGATACCGTCATATCTGCGGACGAAGGATTTTTCCTTGAGCTAAGGTTGCTAAGCGGATCTATCTTAAGAATGAGCTTCGTATGGATCGGGGAGATTCCCCCCTCCAATCTTCCTTTCGCACTACTCCGTACAAGCGTCAATTTCTAAGATCTGTTTCTGCAAATTCTGGACATCATGCGATGTTCTTCTCAAGGACCGCTTCCACAATGCCGTCTCCATCTCCCGGCGGCGCCCAGTACTTAACTAACTTGAGTCCGGCTTTCTCGAGTAAACTTCTCCATCGTCCGACTGTTCTCGTCATGCCAGAATGCAGTACCATCATGCCCCAATCCAGTAAAGCGGGATAGAGGTGGCAATCAATATCCTGCAAAACATTCTCTCCCAGCAACAATCTGGAATACCCCGGTTTCATCGCTTGGGCAACTTGTGAGAAGATTCGCACAACATCGTCATCCGGCCAGTCATGTAGTACATGATGCATAAAATATATCCGTGCGCCTGATCAAAAAATAATATATTAGCTGCCATGCTACTAACCGAAACCAAGACACCAGCATAGGGCCAGGGCTATTACCTTGAATTGGTTGTTCTTGAAAGAAGTCGTGTTTCAAAGCCTCGATTCTCGGATTCCTGTCGTAAGCGTCGTCGATAACCACAGGAAGATCTTCCAAAACATATCGTCCCTTCGCATCCGGAAAGGTGGTGATAAATTTGTTCAAGTCATGGCCCTTTCCACCGCCTAAATCGACCAGCAGGACATCCTCATCTTTCCCACTTGATCCATTGATAAGCTCTTCCTGAATTGGGAACCAATGGACCCAGTGTGGCCTGCTTCCACGGACACCGGTCATGAACGTATTGAATATTTTAGTTACTATTGGATCTTTGGCCCAGTAGTCGAAAGTCGTCTCCTTTATGCCATGGGCGTATTGAAACGGGCCACCGTGGACGTCGTCGGGAGATTTGTAGTCATATTGTGCAAAGTATTTCGGAAGTTTGCCATATACCGGAAGTGAGAGGTACCTGTAGATTTGATGAGCTATACGACCGTATAGCAACGGGAGCCACTTACATATGTTTGACGCCAGCCTGGAGGGACTCACTTTCTTTCAGTGTGCGAGTTATGGCCGTTGGCTTGAAGGATGTATTTCCGACCTGATCCACCCAACCCATCGCCGAGAGAAGTCGAAGTATACGAACTATCTTCGTTAGTGAATCTCAGCACGCGGGGATAGAATGCTCCCTAGAGACGTACTTAGTAATTCAGCATCAGCGCCCGTCTTCATAGCTAGCTCGGATATATCCTTCGATTCCGGTCCATCTCCAAGGTGAAGGAAAAGATTAAGATCAACAGCTATCCGGACCGCAGCGGTTTGAGCAGGCTGTATAAGACGTATTATTCTTTAGTATAAATAAGAAAAGATGGGAGGAGCGTTACAACCATACCATGGACGAGTTCATCAATATCACCTCTTGCGGTCTCTCCAAAGCCACAGCCAATTTTCGAACGAGATGTGCGGCGTCGGTGCGAAGATTCTCATTTTCATAAATGTAGCCAGCGGATTCTTGCTCTATGGCAAATAATTCCTTGATCAAGGAGGATATTCTGGTTGATTGTGAGGAAGCCATGTTGCGCCAATAGCATATGTCTAGCAGTCAAGGAAACAAAATTCAGATCAAGGAATGTTCCCTTCCATAGGTGTAAAGCAATTATGAGAGCTCGCTTTTGAACTCCAGGTGGTCGTCACTCTATATCTACACCGGCATGCATCCGAGGAATGTGAGGTGGGTTACACTGCATCCATACAGCGAATAGATGCATCTGCCAATAGCTGCGTGCGGAAGACGCCATTTCCGGATGCCTCGGACAGGTTCATTGATGCGATCTATCTTCTACTTCGTTCCATATCGAACGAGACAATGCAATAACTAGGAAGTTGCTTGACATGCAGATTTAGGCCAATCGGCATGGCACTAGACCGGGTTGGGAACCAAAGTAGGGTTATATCATCACAACTGCCTCGATAGCCTTTATTTTCGTTTCTCTCCATTGGACTTTTAATTACGGAAGTCGAGTAATTTGCTGGGTTATCTAAAGCGCCGTGGCTGTTCATGAGAGCACTCTTCGTGTAACCTGAAAACATGAGAAGAGCAGCCTAACATACCTGCTGAAACAAAGAATCCATAGGTCAAGTACCATTTTTCACCATGGTATTAATATATTCCAGCCCTCTCCAATGTCTGGTACTTTGAAGAAATTCAAGGCAAAAAAAAAAAAAAGAATGCGCGCTACACGATCAAGATTGCAGAATTGCACAAGAAATACGGTGAGATAATCGCGCCTCGCCACGCTGGAGAAACTTGAGACCCGATCATCAGGATTAGTTCTTACGAGTTACATGTCAGCGATTTAGATTCCTATGGAGTCGCTTACCTGAAGAAGGTCACTGGAACAAGTACGACTGGTCCTATGATGCGTTTATAGCTCCAGGTTCAGCGCTATTGATAATCAAACGTGGTACGGGACAAAATTTCCATTCAGCTTTGAATCCTCGGAACCATTCAAGCTTCACCGACCAATCACTAACCACGCATAATTATGCTAAGCTCCGGAGCTATTATGATCTCCATCAAAGGTTAATCAATGTGGAGATATAATTGGCTCGTTCGTACATTGACTTCGATATGGCGGATGTCAGCCCTAATCTACAGTTAGTGGATTGTGATTGGTCGGTTCGTACAGTCTTATTTGAAGATTGAGCTGATACTACGTGCTGTGACACAGGAGACAGGGAGATGATGTATAAATTGATTGTAAGTCTCTCTTCTTTTATTTAACAATATCCTTCAAAAACATATCCAATTTAATCAATCCAATCCTAGACACAATGGCCACTCCAAGGTACAGCATCCCTGAGGAATTCAAGGACCAGCTTCGCTTTGTCGAGGCTGCCGATGCTCGCTCCGATGATGAAATACTAGCATCGCTGCGAAAAGCAGCTCCCTTGACCTCTTCCGAGAAGAATATATGGGCCTTTTGGGACTCCGGCATTGACAAGATGCCCTCCTGGACCCGTCGCAATGTCATCAATTGGGCACGCCTATGCGGTCCATCATGGACAATCCGAGTCCTGGACATGGTCCCTGACTCTCCTAACAATGCATTGAACTTTGTACCACCTGCCATGCTTCCACAGGCTTTTACGAAGGGCACATTGAAGGGACCCTATATCGGACCACATAGTGCAGATTTCCTTCGTGGCGCCTTGACATATCTCTATGGTGGCGTATTCATGGATGTGGGCATTATTCTCGTCCGCAGTCTAGACAAGATATGTTGGGATATCCTTTCCGATCCCTCCAAACCTCAACAAATCAGTGTGCCATGGATGTACGGCACAACAATGGCGAATCACTTCGTCGCTGCTCGCCAGCATGATCCTTTCATCAAAAGATGGCACGACCTGTTCGTGTATCTCTGGGATGGAAAAGATATCTACGAAGGTCTATCATCAAACCCGCTACTGGCGTTTACTGCAAAACTGGACTTCTCCGCCTCGCGAAGCAGAGGATTTGCATGGGATTTTCAGGTGGGGCCGATGGTAGTGTTTGACTATATTACCCAGGTTACTGCGTGGTTGAGATTGTGCATGCTTGAGGATGCCGGAGATGGCTTTAGTTGTGCGGATTACGCGCAAAAGAACATACTCTGGTTCGATGCGCTGGAGGAGGACTGGGCGGCGGAGAAAGTCATCGGGTACCAGGGTGAGAAGTTGTTCGAGGTTTTGACAACGAGGCTTGATGAGGACCCGGAGTCGGATCGATATAAGAAGGCTTACGAAGCTGTTTGGAGAATTTTAACAAATTCGAGTATGCAAAAGGTTACTCATGGGAAGAAGTTGACCAAGACTGCGGCTTTGGGTGTGTTGTTGGATAAGCCTGAGAATGCGAACAAGGATATTGAACCTGGGACTTTTGCAGATTTGTTGAGATATGGAAGTGTGCACTTTGAGCAGACTCGTTCCCAGATTACGATTATACAAACTGAGAAGCCAGCGGAGACGATGAAGAAAGGAGTATTTGAGCCTTAGAACGGTCCGATGGAATCTTCCCAAAGATATAGAGAAGTCGTTGAATAAACTGAAATGGAGATGCAATTGCTTCTATCCAACGTAAACGACTCAAAGTAAACCGTCACTGTAGAGAAGAAAACAGGAAATGAAACTCGCTCTATGTCACTAGTGAAATGCTTGAATGCACAATCACTATTTCTTTTGCTCCGTCAACTCCAACAATTGGAGGTTACCCTGCTTTTCGAGCGTACTCTGGAGTCTTTTTACCAAGCTGTCCAAGGCACCTGGCTCAAACCTCTCCATACTATTCCTCCATGCAGCATTGCCTGCGATCTTTGCACGCTCCCACATGGCCGGTTGAAACTCTGCGATGGCGGCAGCAATATCATCAGGATTGGAAATGATTGCATTTGCAAGATCCATGCCATCCGTCATTGCTAAGTTCACTCCTTCACCGGAAAAGGGGGTCATGAGATGGGCTGCGTCTCCGATCAGAGTCACTTTTTTGTGTGATGGCCATCTCAATCCCACGGGAAGCATGTACAAAGAGCTATATGCAATATCACCATCACATTCATCAAAGACTGCGCATAGTTTCGGCTCCCATTGCGCATAGTCCTTTTTTAGAGTGGCACGAATGGAGTCTTGGTCGTTGATATCGATGCCTGAGTTTTTGACACAGTTTTCCGATCTCCGGCCAAATGCGTAAACGAGTATAGAGTCATTGTCGTTGCGTTGATAAGCCAAGGCCATGCCGTCATCCTCTCCAATCGCATAATAGGTTCCTTTACCGACAATCTCTGAGATGGCAGCGTGTTTGGTGCTTGCATCAGTCAAGTGCATCGTGTAGGCGGAAATGCCGGAGTAAAAAGGAGGCACGTAGCAGCATAGTGGTCTGATCTTTGACCAAGCTCCGTCTGCTCCTACGATCAGGTCCCATCCTGATTCTGTATGATCTTTGAATTGGAGGGAGTCTTCAGTGGCGGCGACCAGGTGGTGGTCCCACTTGATGACACCCTCTGGAATTGAGTCAATCAGCATTTGACGGATCTGACCGCGATCGATTTCAGGACGGCCGACATCCCGGTCTCTCAACTGGATGGCTACTTTGCCATGCTTGTCAACAGCTGTAAAATCTTGATCGTCATAACGAGCATACTTCTCGAATTGAGAGGTTAGACCGCATGCTGCTAATGCGGCCTGTCCAGTGCCGGGATGTAAGTCGAGGGAGCCACCTTGAGTGCGAGCTTCGGGGGATGCATCGTGTTCAAAGACAGTGGGAGTGATACCGTTACGAATGAGGATAGATGCCAGTGTCAGTCCGGCAGGACCACCGCCAATGATAGCAATTTTGGGAGACATTCTTCTCAGCCTTTATATGATCAGACAAGGGAATGCCGTTTATTGTAGAGGTATCGTAAAAGTCTTTATAATTTCTGGAGTTTTGGATTGATTGGTTGTTCTGTAATATTCAATGACATTTGATACAGCGCAGAGGCTGCAATTTATGCCTTTCAGCTTCATGATGTGGATGTGTCTTGATTGAGAAGTATTCAGCGCGAAGAACACATCTCGGGGCTGATTCCGGGGTTAACAGTTGAAGATGCTGGGAATAAGCGAGGAGCTACCCGAGGCCGATGCCGAACTTCGGTGTTAAGACGGAATGGGGTTAGGGTAGATTAGGGTTGTCCCGAACTGCGGAGCTTCCGAGCGCCCTGCCATGACATCATATCTTCACATGCTTTTCTTTCCTTTCTGCCTCTCAAGTCTTTTCTCTTCAGTCTTTCTACAAACATCTCCCATTGCATTCAAGGAATTCTCTTCATCTGCAATTTCCTTACAAGACTGAAGTGTACCATCTTCTCGTCTCATTAGCGGTTGCAATCGCAGAAATACAATCGACTCAAGTCTCACATTCGACAAGAAAGCTATACGTCATGGAGAACCCAGGTATTCGACACCACAACCAGACCGCGAGAAGAAACATACTGATCTATTCATGCTATAGTCCGCGAAATCCAGACGGTCATTAAACTACTTACTCAGTCCCCGCCTACCCTGCAAGCATCTACAATTGAAAAATTCTTCACTCCGAATGCCTCATTCTCCCACCCTTTCTGCCGGACCTGGTCCTTCAATGGGTCGCGATGGCTGATTCAGGCCATCTACCGATTCTACAAGATTTTGTCCCCCCGGATTGATCTTGAAGTAAAATCAGTCGGTATGCATATTCGGTCTTATCCTACAATGTTCAATGACTTTTGATGGCTAAAAGCTCGTATGGTACAGCTTTCGATCAAGACAACCTCAAACTCTACGTCACCATCTCCCAAATCTTCTCCATCTTCATCATTCCCTTCTACCTCGCTCCGGTCACCCTCACGACTGTCCTAACCCTAACTACCGATCCAAATGAATACCGCGGGTACAAAGACTTTGAGAAAACTGGCCGCCAACTCCAAAACTCCGACCATTCCAACGAAGAAACCAAATTCGACGGTGAGACCACGAAATACTGGATTTCCTCGCAGGAAGATTTGTATCAAACCACCGAATTCGTCAAGTTCATCTTGCCGTTTGGTATTGGCGTCTTTGCGGTTTTTGTGTGGCATGTGTTGGCTACGGCGGGTTGTGTTTTTGGGTCTTTGGTTTTGTCGCCCGTGACTTGGGCGGAGGAGAGGTTCTCGTTGAAAAGAGAGGTGCGTCAAGCTTCGGGGCATAATGTGTCGGAAGTAACGGGTCATGTGGTTGAGCATTATGCCCATGATGCTGCGGGACTGGTCAGTGGGGTTGCAGAATCTGTGCAAGAGAGGCTGAAAGAGCTTTGATCTTGTTTTTACCGACTTAATTTGCTCCTGAGCTGAACATATACGAATATGCGCCGGATTTGGAACACCGTCATCTTACTACTCTGTTTATAATTCGTCGCGTGAAGTAGATATTATTGCTAATCATTCAACCCATTTGTTTTCAAGCCACCAAAAATTTCAAGAGAGAATCATTCACAGTAATCTAAAAGTTCATCCTTGTACAAAGGAACTTAAGCCAAAGCACCCATTGGGTCCCATAGAGGAAGAACAATGGGATCTTGCTTCAACACATCACGAGTCTCCTTGCTGACGAAGCGCGGATCGACGACAGCTTGGTAGACGAATTCATCCATCCACTTGTCCGTCATGACGAACCATCCTTTATCACCTGCACTCTCACCCCATGAGTTTTGCACTCTCCACCGTACAGGTTTGCCGTTCTCCACGTGCACAGCCGTCAAGACCATGGCATGTGTCATTGCAGATTCTCCGGTCTTTAAACGTTGTTCTTTCGTCAGGCCCAGCTTGATGTTAAAGCCTAGATTAAAGTCGAACAAGTCCGTATCCATAATGCCGGATGCAGAGTCGGAGAATTTGCCAACATCACTGCCGAAGAAAACAGGGATTCCAGCTTTCAGCATGGATATTGCTGCCGCCTTCATTGTCTGTCAAGTCAGGTCAGTGGATAGTCAATCTAATATCCAGCTTAACTTACCTCCATTTCGACATTCACATATCGAACAGGAACACCGCCAACCACATTACCCAGTCTGTTTACGGTCAATAGACGGTTGTATTCGTTCCTAGGATCGTTGACTAGACTGAAGAGCTCATTCACATCTGCACCACCGCATGCTCGCACAGTCTGCCTATCTGACAGCGTTGATGCAAATTGTGTAGGCTTCGTCACAACTTTGGTGTACTTATTGTCGGCGTCATAAAATGCCCAAGTAAACTCTTCGTCGGGACTTGGAGGAGGTCCTAACATGATGGTCAAAATGCCGTGGATCTCCTGTAGGAAGTGGTTTTTATGCACGGCAATCAAATCGGTCGCGCCAGTAGCAACTAGTTTCCGCAGGATCAGTGCTTGCTCACGCAACTTTGTCGTGATGAGAGAACCCATCTTGCTGCTGTTTTTGGCGTTGTACGAGTCAGGATAAAGTGTCTGCGGTACTAATCCGTACTTATTAACTAGGTTAACCACAAAGTCCCATTGGCCACCATCGCCGACTGGACTTGCAAAAAGGGCCTGCACCAAACGACCCTCAAGGTCCTCTCCAGCTGTCTGAATGGCGTGTTCGAGGAACCAATTGGCTTTTTCGATCTTGTCCCAGTAGAAGAGATAAGACTGACTGAGTTCGAACTCTTTGAGGTTGTACTTCTTCATGATAGCAACACGAAAGACATTAGTAGACGCAAAAAGCCAGCATCGGCCGGACGACCGTTGGTTGGTGATTGGAGCTCCTTCGAAGGGAATCTTGATATTGAAAATCTGGCTATCGGTAACGGCTGCGTTGTTGTTGGTTAGGATGGCCGAGACGGGGTTTTGTGATAACGCCGAAATGGCGAGACGGTTCTATCTGGTCAGCTGGAACTCAACAACCTACGATCAACGGTGTCTTACTCTAGCTGAAGACAAAAGCTTCTCTTCCCATTGTCTGGCCTGGTCTAGAGAGATGGTGCTGATCCTGTCGCTCGCCTCGTATGGAGGAGGCACTTCATCTCGTCAGTAAACATATGGGCATAAATAACAAATAATCACGTACAGGTATCATTGTCAACAAAAACATATGCATTTTTGTCGATACTGAGGCGGCCCATGCCCGCCACAGCCTCCTTTTCGTCAATTTTGGAAGTAGTCTGGCCCATGGTTCTCTGAGTTGTATATTCAGGATTGAAGAGGTTGAATGAGAGTAAGATGGAGGAAGGAGAGGACGATTCGCGGTCACGCGTTATCGTCCGAAAGTGGCAGGKGCGACATGCGGGGTTATCTGATAAGGATCACTCAGCCAATAGAAATCGACTTTATGTAGTTTCTTGATTATGATTGGAGGACCGGCCCCGCTATCGCCATTGTGGCATCAAGGTACTCATGCGCTAACCGCATACGGATAGCTCATATAGATATGTTCTCACTATCTATCTCAAATCCTCGTAGTATTTGATCATTTGCAACCACATGAGTTAAACCGAATTAATGTTATTTACAAACGAAAAGGAAAATTGCTATTGAGATACGCCCGAAACAAAAGCATCGAGCACATCATTCATTGATCCGCTCGATATTTCTCACATCTCATCGTTCCTCGATGTAAACTTGCTTTGTATTTGCAAAAGACTAATAATCGCATGTATGCGTGTGGAAGGCATTCAAGCTAGCGGTAAAAATTACCGGCACTTAAGCCGGTGTGTAGAGAACAAGTTCGGGTTCGAGGTGCAGTTTCATAGAATGACGCACTGGTTTGTAGGTGCAGCGTTTGATTTCGGAATCATCATGACACTCGTGTCTTGAAGCTTGGTGGTGGAGACGCTCAAGAAGTGTCCGGCTTCCATTCTGATTCGAGATTTCTGTTGTTGAAGGAAGGTCTTAGTGAGTAGGAGTATCTTCGCTTTGTTTTGCAAGTTGTTTCTGTTGAAAACCGAGTCAGCGCCTTTAGAAAAGAAAGTAGTTGTTACGGTGCTCACATTGATTTGGTGCCTACGATTTGACACAGGCTAATACCGTGGATTCTAATATTTTGAATGAGTGTCTGGGATGTTTGTCTTGGTGTCTCAACGGCAGGGAGGACAAGGCTTTATATAGATAGGGGCCACGAGTACCTTCCTTGAATCCCATTGTTTCCGGTTTCATCAACCATGTACTGAAATGTTTCAGAGTCTCTTTGACGCCATATTCGAAGCATTCTTAAACCTGTCGCCACGAAGGATCAATGCAACCGTACAAAACTATTTATAGAGGAATACAAAGATCCGCACAACGGAATATAATCACTATCTTCAAGAACATGAAACAATCGTTTGAAGGAGGTTTCAGGCATTTAAGGGCATATTTATAACACTCTACTGACGCCTGCTATTTCCGCCGAGCTCAGTATACATAACGAAAATTAGTGTTTTCTTCATTCGATGCCTGAGTGGTCATACTCATCTACTATATTTACACTATGTTGTCTACTATCCTGTTAGGAGTGGGATCTGGGGCCGTTGATTTCAACTATATACTATAGAGCATGAAAGAACGCTACAGTATAGTCTTCATCCGCTCTTCATAAATGAGATTACCAATACGCCGTTTCTAGCTCAGATGGTCCATTTGATAAGGTTCCCTTCTAAATTAGTAGCATATTGAAAGTACAACCAAAAACCACTCTTCTATTCACATAGCTGGATTTCTACCTCTAGCATATCTACTAATCAATATTTTCAAGCTATTTACAGGGATCATTACGAATTCGTGCTTTCACAGACACTAAATACTGTTATCTATTCACTGCTTTTATACCTTTAATTAGTATATTACTTAGCTGCTTTTACAATTCTTCTCATAATTTCTCTTACTAATAAATATCCAATTTTTAAATTCTAATTGACTTAGGCTGACTAGTGCCATGCATATCTTAAAATGACTATAAAGAAGGATTGAATATGCGTACCTGAAATTGTGAATTGATTCGCACTGAACCGAATGTCACTTTACTCGCCCAACCAAGGTTGATGACTGAGTCTTATTTCATAAAACAGGCGGTGAGTAATGCTTTCCGTCTCACAACTTCACTTAATATATTCCTAGTTCCTGTCACACCGTTTCAGCCGCCGAATATTCACTAGTGGCAGCATTCGGTGCCCCAATGTCCATGGTGCCATGGTCTAGCTAATCCAGCCTAGTGGCCAGTGTGCTACGATTGAGGAAGTCCTTTCGAAATGATTAGACACTCATGCTTGCTTGGCCGCAGCTGACATTTGGGGGCCAGCGATAAAGAGTTTGGGTATAAATCCTTCATGTTTTACTTCAGTATCGTTTCCGGTGTGAAAAAGCTTTTCTTTTGAGAGTCAGGTCTATCAGTCAACTGTCAACACAAACTGATAGTTCATTATACCGTTGAACAAGGTAATTAGCTGGCTTCATGTTAGTTGGGGTACATGTATATTAGCTTCATTCATCTGACTAGGATGTGTACAGAACAAAATGAAGGTCTTCGCTACCCTCGCCGCCATCGTATCTGTTACTACTGCGCAGGCTACGCTAGGCTACTGGAAGCTTTATTGCGGTGATTCCGTAAGTCGTTTTAGCCCTATTGCTTTTGAAATGGTGTTGACTGTTATTCCTCAACTGCCAGTGCTCAACTGGCACCCTCATTAACCAAGGAAATTTCATCACTAATGTCACCACTGACTGCACTTCTCTCGGCGCTACATACGAGTACTGCTACCTCGAGGTCCCTGAGGAGTACCAAGCCATTTACCATTTGTCACTCTCCGCTGGCACTGCCTGCGGATTGCCTACTATTCTCGGCGGCGGAGAATGCACCAGTGCTGGAAGCTGGGACTCCTATGAGATGGTCTACAGCGCTTGAGTCGCATCGTACTTTAAAGGGTGGAGTTAGTGGCGGGRGAAAAARGGCTTCTACATAGCAGTCAAATGCAGCTTTATTCTGAGCTCTGAGAACCTTTACAATTAGATATTCCTAAGTATCTACCGTTGTATAGGTATTCAGTGTGTAAAATTCAATTCCTAGCAGCTTCCAGCTTTATCGCTTCACTTCGCGTTTTAGATCAATTGAGTTCACGTGATGCGTCAATTTCTTATTTACATCGATCTAAGAGACCATACTAGATATAATAGCACTATCTGATTGAGCGTTATCAGTTGGAGTGGACTCATAATTATGGAGTTCCTCTTATGAGCATTATCATATCTAAAGGCTATGTAATAGCCCTAACCCTTGACTAACCTTCAGCGATTTGACCAGGCTTTGCTTAAGCCTTTAGATATGTATAATGTGAATGAATTCTTGGTTTAAGTTTGCGGGGGGGGAAATGCCAGGTCAATTCCTTGATCTGTTACTGTATTTCCCATGTTGGAACACGTTTTAATTTTGAAAAAGCCCGGTCCAAACGGGAAAGGGAAGAAAACACAGTGGTCTTTTGAGGGTGAATATATAGGATATACCAACTTTCAGGGATTGTTATTCAATCTTCTACGTTTTGAATCTAGTCTTATTTCGGGCAACGGAGCGTTTATAAATAATATTCCTCGGGTATATTGGGCCGTCCTAGGAATTGGAAGATGGGATCTCTCCTACCTGCAGAGGCAACCTCCGGCATTCCACAAAATGAACGCGAAAAATAGTGGACTGAAAATATCTCGCAATGAATGAGTACTCTCATCTTTGTGAGACTACGGCATATCTGATTATAGCTCGGATATATACAACGTGTTATCTGAAGTGTCTTGGATAGGTTGGGTAAAGTAGTTTGATGAGTCAAACCCCCTACCTTAAACTTTGCTGCACTGTACGTACGTTACTTTGGGGCCTGAACATGGTTAGTCATTCGGAGAAATTGGTATTGGCTGCAAAATCTTGTAGTTTTAGTATTGTCTACCGGTATCTAAGAGTCCTGGTTCAATATCACCATTTTCTCCTTTCCCTTTCACTATACCGGTAGCGGCAAGTTCGATGTAGCGTTTACAGCAAACTTGCCTTCAGCCTCTCCAGCCCTTGAAGAAGCACATTCCGCGGCATAGCAAAGGTAATCTTGAATACCCCTTGTTCTTTCTGCAAGAAAGGAGCGAATTCGGTGGCCTCGCCAACAATGACGCCGTTCTGTCTGGCCTTGAGGATGATGTCCTGCAATACCTCATCTTTTTTAAGTGTTACCAAAGCGTTAGCCCATAGTCCAGCGCTGGCATGTAATAGCTCAATTCTACCAGAAAGTTCGAGGGTGGAAAGAATTTCACGGCAGATTTGAAAGCCTTGGGCAAGTTGAAACCGGACAGAAGAGATGAGATCGGGAAGCGAGTCCGAAGTCAGGAGCTTTTCCGTAAAGTGTGCGGCTAGTGAAGAGACTTGCCACGCAGTTGCAAAAGAAACCCCTGCACGGACTAAGGGATGATAGGAGACGACGCAACCCTGTCTTATAATCTCAAAAGATGCTCTGATCTGGAAAGAACAGGAAAGGAAAGGAGAAAAGATGAATTGATAGAAAGGAGTCACCCACCGCCCGGACACCAGAGGCTCCAAAATCCTTAGAAGTGCTCCACAAGACATGTACCAGACCCCGATCAATCAGACTCTTCATCTCAACACCATCTTTGTCGGAATTTGGACTCTTCAAAAGTGACAGAGCTGACGCAAATTGATCAGCCTCTGTATCGAAAACGGTATTTGCAAAAACTTCATCCGAGATATAGTGTATATTTCGCTCATGGCAAAAGTCCATCATTTGTCTGACGACATCTTTGGGCCAGCAATTCATCATAGGATTATTTGGGTTTGAGGCAAGTACGGCCTTGATGCGTTTGGGGTCTGGAGCGGCGCTGTATGCTGCTTCCATTGCCGGGATGATGGCAGATGAGAGACTCTCCGTTGCCCAAGACAGTGAGGACGAGGGCTTGACAAAAGCTGGGATGATGTGAGCTTCGGCATGGAACCGGGCGTACGGATAGTATCCCCCTATATTGGTATGAGATCAACCAAAAAAAGAGAGGAGGAGAAAGAAGCAACAAACACCACACTGGCGCTGGACAGAGAACAGCATCACCAGCATCACACAATGTAAATATGAGCGCATCCAGCGCGTTGCCCGATCCAGCCGTTGGCACAATATTGTCGGCCGTTACCGACTCGGCGGGATGGAAATAATTTGTAAAATACTGCGCCAGCGCCTCTTTCATTGGCATATCACCAACGAAGCCTACAGGATTGGCAAATGCCTGAAATTGACGTCAATGAGCATTTCTTTCTCTGCCTGTTTTGATTCTGACGCACATTTGCAGTGATGCTGTCGCTCATGGCCTTCTTGCACATGTCAACCATTTCCAGCTTCATGAGGTTGTTCTCGCCATTGGCAAGATCAATATCGTCAGAGCCGATCTTTCCTCGAGCAGAGAGGGCATTGGCGACTGGCAAGAACACCTTGACCGTAGTCGCCATACGTGTAGACAGCCCGTCCGTGGCCATAGTGTCAGCTGGAGTGGCCATAGTACGTATCACTCGTTGTTTGATTTATGGGTGTAGGTTGTATAGTTCTGGCAGCTGTTGGTACATGAATGGAAACCAAGGAGGTATCTGTCTTCACGCAAATGACTAGTGTTGAGATTTGAATTTTTAGCGCATAGAAACAAAATGTAACGTGGTTCACTGCTGAGCTAGCAAGGGACCAAGGGTACAGGGTAACTAGTGTTATCGTACGTACTTGATAATCCGAGTGGGTACGGCGGACGAAATCCGAATTCGCTACGGAGTAGTCCTTTACAGCGCCATGATAGCAAGCTTCATGGGCTTTGAGATGTACGCTTATATTGGAGGATTTTACCACTAGCACCGAATAGGGAGTAAGAAGATATAGGGTGGTAATCTGTTGTAATATTGACCTGCCAAGCTAACATTCCTGTGGCCGATTCCTGTCCTTTTTATACCTGAGAACGCCATACAAAATCCTGACTGTTATTCTTTCAATCTGTGTATCCAAACGAGTCGCCAAATGTGCTACAAGGTGCGCTGCAAGGTATCAAACATTGTGCTATCAAGGGATTGTAAATGACTCTATCCAAGTTGAGCGTAGGCTGTGTAGCTGTATTTTTGGCCAACAGCTTATGCCCATTTAGGGTATCTATTCGTACGTTCATGTTAAATTATTGTCGGCAATCCCCGGTGTTTTCTTTCTTTTCTTGGCGACCTTGCCCACTTTTATTGTTTATTGGTGCTGGGTAAGATTGCGGCTGAAATACTGAAGGGAAACAAAGATACGTTTATTCCTTTCAGCTGGGTAGATGTATATATTTTTTAGTGTAGTGGGCAAACTAAAGATCAATCATTCTCCAAGGACTGAGGCCGTAATGAACATTCTGCTATTAAAATAGGGTTTCATTTGACAGGAAATACCTCCCGTCTCACTATTGCCTATTCAGACAGGAAGCTGAGTGGATTTATGCGCTGTGCTCACCACGTTCGGGATAGCGGTATAGTAATCCTGTCAGTTATGCCTAATCTAAATTCTTATACGCGAGTTAGATCAAACTACCATTGCACCTAACTGTCTGACCAGACACCCACGCACTGCCCGATAGATAAACGATAGTCTCCGCAATTTCTTCTGGTTTCCCCAGCCTACCAAATGGGGATCCTTTCGAAATCTCATCAACAAGCGCTTCCGATTTTCCCTTCAAAAATAGCTCTGTCGCCACCGGGCCAGGAGCAACACAATTAACAATTATCCCATTTGGTGCAAGATCCCTGGCTAATACACGCGTGATTTGTTCAATTGCACCTTTGGTAGGGACATAGAGTAGGTGCTCCGGCTTGACTGTATTCGAGTGACATAGTGTCGTGCTAACGAATACGATATGTGACCCTCGAGGCATGTATGGTACTGCAGCCTATATATCGTGAAGTTAGCAACAAAGTCTAACTACCTGCGTGTTGTAACCTACTTTTGCCAGAAACAGAGGCCCCTTAACATTAAGAGTAAAATGAGTATCAAAAAGCTTCTCAGTCATTGTCTGGAGATTGGCGGTTTCAACAGCTGCAGCATTTGGGATCAGAACATCGATTTTGCCAAATTTGGCAACTGTCTGGTCAACGATAGTCTGAATACCACTGAAGGATCCTGCATCAGCTTTGATGATCAGAGCATTGTCAGCGCCTAATCTGAGAACTTCAACTGCGGCCTTTGAGTCGGATGAATAATTAATTGCCACTTTGGCACCAAGAGCGATAAATTGTTCAGCAGTGGCTCSCCCAATGCCTTTTGATCCTCCAGTGATGACAACGACTTTGCCAGCGTAAGACATAATGAGTTTATTTCTCGTTACTGTGAATTTTGTTGTTGCTGCTTATTTATATGATTGAGGGTCTTGATAGACGTGCACTTTTTGCATTATAGTCTCATCCATCTCGGTCTTTATGCTTTTATAATATATCTTCTACCTGACATCCTGATTTACCAGCAGCATACTACGGAGTTTAGACTTTTCTCCGTTGCCGTCAAACTGATCATCACCAACTGCGGCTTTCGCATCGGCTTTATGGCGATAAGATGCAATTTTGCTTTAAGTCCAAGACAAAATTGCAAACTTTATATGGGTCTATTAAGCATTCTTAGCGCTTGGATTGACTCAGTGAGGATAGACAGGAAGAAGCTTAAATGAGGATTTTTGTCACTGTTCCAACCCCAAGCCATGTTGACACCGCTGAACGGGCCAAGGCGATGAGGTTTCACAATACCAAGGAGTTCCCCAGGAATATTCATTTCAATTACTTTCACGTTTTGGGGGAATAGCTTGACCAAGGGCTTTGTTGGTTGTTTTATTTTTAGATAATTGTACTGATCTAAAGGCATGCTTCATCAGGAATTATGCCCTGGAGCAAGCCCTGCGCAGGCAACACTGAATTGTGGATAACTAGTCCGTTAGGACATATAAAGTCGATTAGACATAGTTGCCCATTCGGCTTAGCCCCCGGGCGTTAATAGATTGTGTGTATGTATCTGTCAGTGACCAAATGCATCCGCAAATAAACCCATCCTTATTAGAGACAGATAAGACAATGGTGGCTAGTGTCGAATGGATCTGTCACAAAAGCGCGATAAGATATTGTGCTAAATCAGCTGAGTTGAAGGCTAGTCCCTGAAAAGTATTTAAAAGGTTTAATACAATTTTTAACAGCAAAGAATTGACTAGCACCATTGTATTGTGTTGTCTTTATCCTTGCTATCTGATGGCTCAACATGCCCGCTGAAGGTTTCACTAGGTACAGTATGGATGGATGGATGATTTTATTCACCCTGACTCCTCGCCACACTAGCGATATGGAGGTTACTACCACTATCTATATCTTTGTAGCTCTAATTATAGTCATCATCATCACATTGCTTATAAGCAGACTTTATGCTTTGCCTAGGGGCCTGTGTTTGACCTTTGTCTTAGCCCATAGTTACAAACCCTTTTAGATGCTTCCGCAAAGTCTAGAATGGTATCTAAAATACGACCCTACACAGAGCTGCTAATAATTTCTTGTGTCTTTGCTCTACATGTAAGTATGAGTGGTACATTGTTGAAAGCGTTGCCTACCTCTTTCTGTAGTCTTTGTCGTTCTGTTGTTAATCTTGGGCAGTCGACTAAAATATGGACGACCGTTTCTTTTGCTCTACATTCACATTTATGATCCTCGCGATGCTGGAGAGCTTTCCCATGGGTTGCAAGCTAGGAGCGTCCCGTTCTAAGCCTGGTTCTGGGGTACTCTGTGATTTACAGTATTTACCAGCCAATAGGAGGATCTCCGTTGGGTTGTAACCTTGTTAGGGCTTTTTGCAAACAGTAGCGTTCACTCCATCCTCTGAAGCGCAGTGAAGGCTAAATTTCTATTTCTCCCCACCCAATCAATAAGACCCACGACTACTGGGATTAGCTTCTACCTATTTGTTATCCAAGTCGTTTCCAACATCCGTAACACCAGTGAGTAACATTGACGGAATAGCGCCAAAACTACTCTCGAAGGAACTGCTCCGGCAGCGCATCCAAAGGAGTTCGTAAATCTATAATTATCAGCAGTGTCGTGTCTCGAGAAGAGACACTAGAGATCCATCTTTCAACAGATTGCATACGGTGTCCAAGGATGCTACTCTAATAGATTATCCATGGCGTTAGCAGTGCATGGCGTTCTTCCGGTTCTATTTCGAGGCCGTCATTGCCCATGGGGCCAGGGGCGGCTGATCCTGCGGCTGGGTAGATCCATATTCGTTTTGGGTGCCATTCGTTTACAGCAAGTTCGGGCGTAATCGTCGTTGATCGGGTAGCTTTTGCAAATGAAAGTCGGCCTCTTAGGTACGAGGAGAAATGGTTTCCTTTCGTCATAATAGGACACGACGAGACCGAGTCGCGCAAGGTGTAATTAAGGATATCGACATTCTGCGTAAACATAGACATGGAGGCGCGTAGCCTTTCGGCGTGGCGGTCGACTTATGGTCGGGAAGAAGTTTGTACGTCATTTCGACAGACAGAAGGCCAGGCTGGCCACCCATCTAATTGCATCTCTGCCCATGCAAGGTGAATGCTCATCCACGACCGATTACCCGTGTTGAACGGCTGAACAGATGCCTGCGTATCTTAGAAGAAAGGGGAGTTAAGTACCCGAAGGAAATCCGACCAATATCGAACATTAAGATACCCCCTGCATCGTCCAGCTAACATTCAGTGGACCACTCGGTGTATCGAGGACTCCCACTGGCCCACGATACATCTCCTGGAATAGGCTTACCTGACTAGGTCAAGAGACCTGGCCCATTTGGCATTGCACACAGAATGAAACTGGTCAGAGCAGGTAAGACACCCGTACTCTATCCGTGAGCCGCACTCGTGTAGGCTCCTTCATACATTGATCCGTTGGTACCGATTCCCTCCCAGAAGGTGATAGTTGGATTATTAGTGAACATCCAACTATACACTCGACGTATCTGATCTAGAGCTGTGAAGGGATCGTCGGAGAGGAACCGGGGTTGGATCCCAAAGTAAGAAATGAAAGCATATAGGCGCTCAGAGAACCCGGACCCAATTCTATCGTTAACGTAGAACGGATTACCATAAGGCAAAGCTAGAGAATTAAAGTAGGACATTATGTTGTCTGTTTGTGAAGACAAACTAACGTATTTCACGGGTAAGTGGGCCACCTGGTAATCTCATACAAAACGGAAAAATCAAGTACGTAGGCATTTGAGCGGTAGTTACATGTCCAGAAGCCTACTTTAGTGAAAGTTGTACTCCTCAATATCTGATAAAGAATGGTTGCCGTTGCCATGGGCCGAATATTGTCAATACGAAATCATGCGATCGACGTCCCGTTCCCACAAATTACAGACGAAGACAAACCTACGGACGCAGAAGCTGTTATCTCGCCAACTCTAAATGTCAAATCAGTCATGCCGGTATTGCCGGCGATATACTCGAGTCTGTTTACATTGCACGACCGCGAAACGGCGTTTAGCTGAGCCGCCATACGTAACGAAACATGGCTGAGAATCTTAGAGTTTACAAAGATGGCACCTCGAACTACGTGATTACTTATTGCCTGATACGAACGAGTATCTGGAGTTACAGATCGACTACGGTCTTGCTTGTTTGTTATTAAAGAGACCATCACCGACATTTCCGAATCCTACTCTTGCAGCAATGAATCATGTGCGGGTGTTTCGAGGATGGTCTTGGAATCATGGGCTGAGTTGGAGGCCAGAAATGAAAACAACAAAACATGTTTAACGTTCCACGACATGCTTTTGACGGGCATGACGTGGCTGTATAGTCGGTGGAGATCTCAAGTAGACGACCACTCGACGACCGAACATGTGGCACAGATATGCAGCCGACTACTAGATTCAGCATTTCAAGGCGAACAACGTTCCGTCAAATACGTTCGGCTTTTCAACAGGCTCATAGAAGTGGTACTGGCACACTGCTACCAGAACGAACGGATGTATCGACCTGGACTTGCTGGACGTGATGGCCCCGAAGGAGAGGTCGATCTGAATTGGACGGATCTTAATTTGGATCAGATATTCACGGAGATGGATTTAGGATCGCAAGTTGATGTGGCGATGAATGCGTGGTCGTCTTCGTTTTTTGTTCCTGAATAGATCCAGATACTACTCGCCCTAAATTTTTTGTGAAGGAAGAAGTCTAAGGTTGTCTTCAAGCATTTTTACAACTACGTCTGTACAACATTGGCCAATTTTCTCACTTAACTTTTGCTCAATCATTTCTACTTATTATTCAAATGACAACACTCAAACTCTACCCTGTCGTAGTCGAAGACTGCTCTGCACTCGCCGACATCTGGTTGGCAGCCTTTTCCGACCCCGCATCCCGCGTGCTGTTCCCTAATACGCTTGGTGTGCGTCAGTGGCTCGAATCCGCTATTTCATATGATTTACTTCAACGGCCGTTCCAGCACTATGTTAAAATCGTAGACTCGGACGCAACTACGAACAAAGGCCAAAGACTAGCCGCGTATGCAAAATGGGATCTCTCCACGGCCGAAGAGCGGGGAGCCCGATATCCGGCGTGGCATGCTGACATGCCTGCTGAACAATGCGAAGCGTTCGTGATGCGTGGGGAGAGTAACAGGAAACGCATTATGGGAGACCAGAAACATATTTGTATCTACATCGCTCCGTTTCCTTTGATCTCCACCATGCTAACTGTTCTAAGTCCTTGATATTGTTCTTACGCATCCAGATTACCAACGGCGGGGAGCTGCATCGATGCTTCTTAAATGGGGATGTGAGTTGGCTGATTCGCAGGGCCTTCCGATATTTGTCAGTGCCAGTCAGGAGGGGGCACCGTTGTATGCCAAGTTTGGGTTTGTGGATCGTGGTGCTGGAGGCACGACTTTGATGGTTCGTCAGAACGAATAGTCTCTTTTCATAGAATACTTTGATATTACACCGAGAAACTTTGATTATATCACTTTATTTTGAAGATTCAAAGGCAGCTACTTGATCTAGATTCGTAGAGAAGATAGTGCCGATAGGTTCTGCTACACATAGGATTTTGGTGAACTTTAGTTTCAGCAGCTCATAGGGTTTGGCGTCAAGTTGACAGTTATCGGAGTACAAGCTAGCTATTTGAATACCCTCGATATCGATAAACAAACTACCATAATTACATACGCTCTAAAACGTCAATCTTGACCCACTTATCCTGGGTTTCTCTGCTCAGAGGTTTGGAGCTAGATGTTCAGAGATTGAAGACTTTTTGGGGAAGAATCAGAATACTCCCCAAAGATCAACTCCAAGTCTTTTCCCCCGGAAGTCTGGACTGATGATCGGGGAATACACCTAGCCCGCGGTACAGGTTATCAAAGCTACAAGCCGCGAGAAATTTAGTAATAATAACGGTTACAATAACGATAGCTACTATACCTTCATAATAACTTATTCTCTTAGCTCTCTTGATACCCTCCAACAGTTGGATTTCTGTTCCAGACCCGTGGAAATACCATCCCCATTAGAGAAATACTCGTTTCCAATCGCTCTCCAGACCTGTCAAGAATCCCACTGGCATACACTTAGGACATATGTCTTAATTTAAAATTCAGACTTGCGAGAATGCTCACTCTACTTCAGAAGAGGGGAGACACACAATCAATTTTGTTCACGCATACGATAAATGCACCTATGTAGCGATCAACTTCAAGGCTTCATGTTCATAACCATTATGTACCAGTCTCTTCTATTCAGCAAATTGGCTAAGGAACTCCGAGGCACGGGCTGCTTTCCTTTTAATAGTTTCTGCATGGCCTTCGCTCCTCACTTTGAGATCGACCTCGTACGGCTTTGGATGATGATTCAATGTCTCAACATATGCACTCGTATCTAAGTCTTCGGTCTTTCCAGTTATAGGATCGGTTTTTGGGCCGATTTCAAATGCCCAGAGAGTCGTCGCAATCATATGCCAGAGGCTGCGTTCTCCAACGTGAATACCGGGACAGATGCGGCGACCTACACCATAACCGTAATGGTGTGTCTTGCTATTAGTTTAGGTAGATCACGGTGATTGACTTGATAACTTATCTCTCGTCATGGGATCGCCCTTTCCAGCATAATCAGGAGCCAGGCCTGGATGTCCGAGGAAGCGGTCTGGGTTATACGTTTCTGGATCAGGGTACAAGTCTTCATCGTGGTGAAGCGCCCAGGTGGGGATTATAATAATTGAATCTTTCGGGATCAGCATCCCTCGGTACCAGTCGTTTTCCCTTACACGATGTGGAAAACAAAGCGGAGCGCTGAATTTCAGTTATTATCTGGCTCATAATCCTTCACAGGGTACTTGGGCGAAGCCTACATTGGCCGGATGCGTAAACTTTCCTTGATAATACAGTTGATGTATGGCAGTTTTGAGAAATCGGACCAAGTTGGTACCCTAGATCCATGAGCAGTTTGCAGGAACCACTTCGTGGCACACTTACCTGTCTGGCCCACAGACTTGATCGATCTCTCGACGAGCTTTCCTCTGTACCTCAGGATGAACAGCTAGGAATAGAAAAGCTGTTTCCAGGCTACTGGCCGTAGTTTCTGCTCCTCCTTCAACTAGTATCCCAAGGAAACAATTCTCCCTCTCGGTATCCAACGGAAGATCCATTGTCTGAGTTCCGTCTAGCAGTCTGTCTGCTAGGCTTGACCTTTTGTCCCCCTTCAGACGCCTGGCTTCCAGACGCCGTCGAGCTTCAGCCCAGGTGTCGCTAATAACTTGACTGATTTGAGACGCACGGGTTTTCCATGGGCTCAGAAAATCGGGAAGATACCTCAAGAAAGGAAGCTGCCCAACCGGAGGATAGGAGCCGGGCTCCAGGAATTTAAATAATATGTAAGATACATCATGCACAGTATGACCCCACCAGTCATCATACGACGATGCCCTAAACCCCCACACAATGATATTTGCAATTGATGAAACTGTGCGTTTGATATGAAAGAAGAAATTGTCTGGAGTGGTCAGTAAGTCCATTATGAACATGGCCACTTCCGCCTCTTGAACCAAGCCAAGTTCGCCATCAAGCCGGCTTGGGGAAAGGGCAGCCGCAGCGACCTTTCGCTCAGACCTCCAGAGAGCATTTGCATCCCAAAAGGCAAAGTTATGCTGGCCCACAATGGACACAACCTCGTCAAGGGGGCGATCGGAGTAAAGAGCTCCTCTCTTTTCTGTCAGCTCCTGGATTGCCTCTCGATCATTCAACACCACCATTGTTGCATTTGCCAGTTTCAGAGAGAAGACTCCACCGTATTTATCTCCCCATTTCTTCATTCTGGATTCATTTACATTATTTCAGCAATAGTACTCCTTTACAATTGGTATGACTTACTGCCGGTATAACCCCTTGGATGCTACCTGGTGGATATTTCCTATCACTGGAAGGGTTGGTGGGCCTGGGGGAAGCCTCTCATCCCGAGATCCAATTCGAAGAGCAGTCAGGATTCCATAGAGGGTGAGAATTGTAGCTAAAGTCAACAAAACTGACATGGTGTATCAAAATAGCAAAATCACAAAATACCCTGAAACTGCTGAAGGATGTGATTGTAGGATAGTAGGGGTATAAAAAGAAGGCAAATCGCATCTTCCAGCTTCCTCTTTATTTATCAGAGATGGCAAGGAGAGTACCAGTAACCAATACCACGCATTCAGCCGATGGAAATCCAGTCATTAGTCATTCCTTAACATAATCTGCCCCCTCTTCCCATCATAGCCACGTACAGGGGCACGTTTGACCATTTGGGAGTATTGTACCAGGCTTGGGCCAGTGAAAAGAGCAGAGTGACCATCCAACGTGAGTTGCGGTCAAGAAGATGGAATGCAATTCGCCAGAGTTTTCTCGGGTCATTGATCCGACGAGGAGTAACAGCGATCAGTATCCGATCTATCACAATGTATATTTGGGCTGATGTGTGTCTAGCCCCTAGCCCGTTCATAACCAAACAAATTGCCTCAATATCGAACTTTAACTTTTGCTAATCTGCTGGAATATGCGTAATAACTACATGCATAAGAACTTTTTCTCCTGCTTACTCAAAACGATCTGCTGATTGTCATATTCCTGAGTGCCTATGGAGGACCCTGCTTTACTTCTATTTCCAACAGATGTACGGCGGTGAGTCTGCTATCTGGAGGGTTAAATTTGGGGCGGGTGCCCAGTGTCTCCCAACGTGACAAGTTTTCACGCAAGAATGGGTAACACATTTGCGCCGCAAACAAGAAACATCCCTGTTCCTACCTATCTGGCATGGGTCAACGCCTGGATAGAGGTACTCGCTCATCCAAAACAAGATGATACAGTACTCAGTCTGCAGGAACAGACAAAAACTTTTATTCAAGCAACATCATGCTCTATCCCGGACTACGCATCTCTTAAGCGTGTGGCTTTCTCCTTTCAACGACGTCTCCGCAACGGCGAAATCTCTCTAGGTGGAAAAGCTGCTCCTTCTTGTACGGAGACAGATCCAGCATCCGGGGACTACAGGCCCGTCTCCAAATGTTCCTGCCGAGGGCTTTACCCCATCCCAGAAAATGCTGATATCTTCGCTGTCCTTGCGCAGACCAACTGCGTCTCTGTTCGCAATACCATCAATGCACTCCAGGCTGTAACGGAACGCGAAAATGAATGGAGCTCTAAGTCATGGTACACACCTACTGCACTCAAACTGGCAGTGGACGAGCTTATCTTGGCTAACTCCGACATCCAACCGCCACCGGACACCTGCCAGGGACCGGCGTCAGTCACACAGATACCCCCTGTCCTGGCACCAGATCGGCGGCCGAACCCGAGAACGGATAGTTACCAGGATGTTCACCGTCAAATTTACCCGCTCGCGGAAGGCATAAAGTTCTGCGTCGATGCCAAATACTATTTCGTCCTGGGAACTGTCCCTAACAATCCCGCGTATGACGGAATAGTCCGCGCGATTGCAGACTCCGGGAATGATATCCTGATAGGAGATTACTGCGAGGTAGCAGATGAGACGACGCTTAACCTCCTGCAGCGAACCGGAGCGGCCGCTGTAGCGTTCCTAAAGCTCTGTGTGCTCTCTGGTTCCTTCTCTCCATGGGCATTTGATAATATGATGTCTTCAATTCTTCACTTTCGGGTACTGGGGTATTACCGCGACCACGCACGAGAACATAACCTTGTCCCGCCAGGCGTGTACGGGAGCCGCATGAAAGGAATCACCGCTCATCGATGTGTCGATCTTGGGCTGTTTGTTGCCGTCGCTGCTGCATCCTTAGTCACTGGGAAAACAATTGGTGTATCGGAGAAAGATATGTTGATCGAGGCATGTACGCTGATTAATGATCTTATCGATCTGCGTAGTGATACAGCACGCAGACAGCGAGAGAATGTCGTGCTAAGAGGAGTCCGGGGCAATCTGTGTGAGTATTTAGATTCCCTCATTGGGCTTTGTCTGGAAAGATCGGCTGCCGCAATCCGGACGAACAAAACTTCTGCGCTAGTCGTGATGGCGTATTGTAATTGGGCTGTGATGGGCTCTCATCACAAGTTGTTCGAGTTGAGCACGCAGGTCTCTAAAGTCACAAACTCTACAGGGTGCAATGCTTGTGTGTATCACTCTGTGGATAACCGCCATCAGTATCAAAACCTGCTTAGTGCGTTGGCTCCATTCGGGACGCTAGGGCAGGACGGACCGCATGTTGGTCGAACCAGAGCCGAGTTGGATATCGGATTTGGGATATGTCGACTGTCCGAGAAACAGCATCTAGCGTGGTTGGCGGATGTAACACGGAGCCTTCTAGAGCCGCTGACGATGAGGAGGATTGTAGACGTGGTGCATTACGCGTGGACAGGCAGTGTGGGTGATGCAAACTACTGTCCTTAACAAGTTCTTCCAAGTTGATAAACTCGTGGGCTGTTTCTGCACGGATGTTAAATTATCTCAGAAATATATCTCCCAAGGCCAGTCTGGACCTTTATTATGTGTACTAGTGATGTGTAAGTCACCTGGAGCCAGAAGCCTTAATAGAATAGACACCACGCTGTTCCACGGAGTAAATGTTAGGTTTCTAAGAGAAAGCTTAACAAGCTTGGGTATTGGCACTATACTTCTGCGATCTATGAACCTATTTGCTGGAACAGAGACCTTATTCCCAGTAAGTTTGCCGAACTTCTGGAGTAGCTTAATGGTTTCGTGATCTCCACCGGTAGGAAGACAGACCAGCGACGCACGGGCTAGATCTTTCATCGACAGAAGGACAGGGATTTCAAGGCAGGTTGGGATATCATTAGTGTCTCCGTACCTGTACTGTGATGTGGCTAATATGATTAGTTCTAAGACTATGCCGAGCTATTCCAAGTATGGATGAATGATTTCATTCCCTAACCTCCGGCTACGCACTTCTAACTCATCCCTACGGAGTAGACCAAAAATTCAGTTATTTTACAGCATTAAGGTTTAATCTAGTCCTATAAAAAGGCACTACGTACGTATTGTTATTTTCGGAGCTTGGTTACACCAGTATGTAGATCGGCCCGTGCATCATGGGTCTCCCTGTTCGAACTTCCAAAAAGTAAGGCATTTGTCCGTTCTCACGACGGTAGCTTACCATAGTCATGGTGTAGATGACAAGATTAGGAGAATCGGACTACACTCTTCCAATGAAGCTACTCAGTGAACAACTTAGGGTCGATCTTCTAAGAAAATATTAGAAGAAACATGATCTCGTTCATTTACAGCCCCTTTTGCGAGTTTACCTAGAGTATTGTACAGCCAATTATTGGGCTCGAATTTCGGCCGCAAACGTATGTATTCACTTATCGAAGAAACACATAGCCAATCTCTTAGTGACCTGGACAATTATTAGTGTCGGAGATAGCATTGATGATATGACTTCGGGACACACTGCTGGTGCAGCTACTGTACTCCTTGTAAACGAACGCAATCTGCATTTGATAAAGCATATGCACACCGATATCTGTATTTCAAGACTCGATGAAGTCGTTGATATCTGGAAAATGGGTTCGTGGGTGATAATTATGCTGTTTCCAGCAGCACGTAAGGCCCTAATATGGTATACCTAGGTACCTTGTCACGAGTTATTCCTCAGCACGCCGAGACTTGCATCGATGACTCAAGGGAAGCGACACGTAGCGAGTACTAGTAGTCCATTCTGCATAACTTTGCAAAGACGCAGAACGACACCGATATCAAGAAGACAACGCTCCGCGTAATCAATGACATTCAGAGCCCTGACCATTATCATTTCCCATTTACAGACTAGCTAGAATTATACTAATTCTATCCGTACTTGCTTGATGTCACGAAAAACCATTTCTTGACTCTAGGAATAGACTAGTTCAGAAAAAAGAAAGGAAATGCTATGTCCGTATTGGGAACGTCTGGGCCATAAAATGACTACCCAGGTGGACATATAACTGCGTTCCGAGTGCTCGGGTTTCACCGCAGATATTGGGCATCATTCCGAAGATGTGTCTGATTTGACTCCTCCTAACGGAACATCTGCAAATACTCAGGCACAAAATGCAGCACAAGTATCAGCAACGGCCCCTCTAATCCCCTTCTCTTGATTTTACGTAGTATTTGTAAATGGAATATGCCCGCTTTAAAAATAGGTATTTAAAGAAACGAATAAGTGTTGAGAAAAAGCATGTCAGTAAAAATGTCAACCAACTTAGATCATACCATTCAGAGGCTTTTATCAAGTGAGTAGAGCGTCTAGCTAGGTGACGAGTAGTTCATATCATGTGAAGCCAATCTATCTACGATGACACCCCGGCACCACTATAATTATTTATTTGTGGCCATCTGCTTTATATTTAGTTTTGGGATGACCTGGGGTGGATACCCAATTTATGTGCCGGAAATATATATTGCTAAAGCCAGAGCTTACTTACAGGAAAAAACTGGTAAATCGCATACTGAATGAGAAGGATCTTTATAGGTATAGTAGCCTACAAGCATGCCCAAAGGTCCCTAGTGGATACGCTATGTAGGGGCGAGGGCAGCACCTTGACTTATACACTGTTTGAAATTGTTAGGGGTTGAGCCCCCAACCCGAGTTCGTGTCTGTCATAACCCATAGCATCAAACAAATATGTAGAGCTTTGTTAGTTGAGTGTTTTTGGATGTAAAGATAGCTAGCTACTTTCGAATTTGTCGTATTTCGTTTTGAAGGCGCCTCTCGAAAGAGATTCGTACTTCCGGCAACGGGGGTTACCGGGATATATGTAGAACAGCCTTAACGAAAAACAGTACCGTCGACAAGCAAAAGAAAGCAATAGAGTAATACAATAGAATTGTAAACAATATATGATGGGTATGTTCGACGACCTATGTGACGCAGCAACTAAACAAGAAAGACCACCGACAATTGTGTGGGGAGAGAGGCTGCTCGTTCTACTGTAGTTACATGATGATGATGATGAGGATGATGAGGATGATGATGCGGAAACGACAGCACCAAGAATGACAAAAGCGGAAAAATTGATCTCAACAAAAGGGAATCCGTGACTATACCGTAGCAAGAAGAGGTGTCGTGTCGTATAATCTTGTCAATGAAATTTATTTAACTCGATCAAAGAACCAACTTCCACGCTTGGCTGCAGGTTCTTGGTGAGTTGCGCCGTTGGCATCGACACCACCACCACCTCGGAGTGGTTTGGCGATGCGTGAGCCGCCGAAGCTGAGGCCAGGTGCACCCTCCATTGAAGTTACTAATCCGCGCGTTGAGCCTTGCTTGGCTGCTTCTAATCTCTCTTTCACTGCAGTCAGTTGTGCCTCGAATCTGTGATGGTTGTTAGCCTGTTGATCTTGTAAGACGTGGTTATATAGACATACCTGTGATTTGCTGCTGTGAGCTTTTCTTGGCTATCTTGCAGCAGGTTCTCCAGACTAGCAATGCGCTCATTACGAGCAATAAGCTTGCGTTCTGCAATGGCAACCTCTTTCTTCAAGCTACTATTCTGTTCCACCAATTGTCGTTGCACATGGGTAAGTTGCTCAAGATTGCGTTCCAGGAAAGCCATCTTCTTCTGTTGAGCACGATTGTTCGAGGTCCGTAGAACGTTGTTGTATTGCTCACGAGTCTCGTCAAGAGAAATTTCCAGCTCGACAACCCGCTCACACCGGTTCTGAAGATCGCGCATGAGTGATTTTTTCATGTTGTCAAAGTCTGCAATCTGCTGTTGCAAGGTTTTATTGGTGATTGCAACAGCGCCGCCAGTATTGCCATTTGTCGCTGCCTTGACTTGAGAGTCTGCCAGATTTTGACGTAGCTGAAGCAATTCCTCGTCCTTGCGAGCTAGCTCAATCTTAATCTCGGCCGCAGCTTTGGTCTCGGCGTCGCGTCGTCCGACGTACAATTTCTCTAACCTCTCCCGAATTTCATCGACATCATCTTCGCCTAGATTCCGCTTCAAAATCTCCTCGTACTCGTTTTCCAGCTCAACAACCCTCCTCTCCAAATATACTCTCTTGCCGTCCTGCAGCTCATGTAATTCACTTCGGTCATTCATCGAAAGCTCAGCTTGTCGGACGAAGCCCTGTGTTTCTAACAAACTAGCCCGAAGCTCCAAGATATCATCGGGCGCAACCGCCTCGCCAGCGGCACTGACTCTGTGAAGTGAATCCACCTTCTCTATTAGAGCCTTCAACCTCTGTTCGTTATCCGAAAACACGTTGACGCTCAAATCGAACCCTGCCATCATCTTTGCCATACGTTCAGCCTTTTTCTTGTCTTTCTCGTCAAGGGCTGCACTGGTTTCCTTAGCACGCATGCGAGCATCAAGAAGCTGTTGCTTGACTTCATCCAATTCAGCAGTCAGTTCAGCATTAGCTTCCTTCAAGCTATCCATGGTAATTCCAGCTTCTTTGCTTTCATAAGAGACTTTCTCCAACTGCATCTTCAGTTCGTTCATTTCGGTGTTTAGTTTCTCATTGTCCTTTCCAGTTCGAGCAGACGACTCCTTGAGATTCTTCAACTCCTCCTTGGCCTCTTGAAGACTTCGCTCCACGTTCGAAATGTATGACTCCTTCTCAGCGATTTGGTCTTGAAGTTCGTTTTCACGACGCAAAAATTCTTCCCGTTCGTCCTTTTCTAGAACAATACTTGGCGTACTAGAGCGATCTCCTATCCGCGAATCTGGTCGACTGGGTGTTTCCGCGCGTATTAATTCTGTTTGCAGGCGCGAAGGGGTCGCAGGACGAGGCGGTTTAGGTGCCACGTTCTCTGAAATCGCAGGTGTCCAGCGCTCCTTGGGAACAGCTTCACCAGCCCGCCATAGCTGCAATTCGCCTTCCAAATTTGAAATATATGTCTCGAAATTGGTGACCTGGCCTTGCGCCTTTCGTAGCAGTTGCTTCAACTCTGCAGGGCTTAACTCTGCATTGATCTTCGCCTTATTCTTGATTGCCTTGGCACGAACACCAAACCGCAGCGTCGAGATCGTTTCGGCATCGTTGTAGCTACTTGGCGAACAGTTGATAATGAGCGTCGTCCGAGAATTACCTCCCAAAGATTCTTGCAGAATTCGGGTGAGTTTTGAGTCCCGATATGGGATGTGTGTCGATTTTCCGTCGGTAAGCGCATTTATTACCATGCCGAGGGCACTCAAACTCTTATTGATCTTTTTGGCTTCCTCCAAGGTCTGTCCACTAGCACCCGTCTTGCCAACCTTTTCACTACCTGCCAAATCCACCAAAAAAAGTTGTCCACTCTTCGCAGATCCGGTTTCGACGTTCTTTTGCGTGACAGTAATAACGAAAATCGAATGCGAACGAGACGATTCCTGGTTCATATTGGTGGCCGAAACAGCTCGGGCTGCTCCACCGCGGCGCATAACCTCGTAGACTTCATCAACGCTAGAAACATAAATTTCCAATAAACCTTTCACATATACACCTCGGGACTTTTCCTCATGAACAGGCAGGTTGTCGTGTTGTGGAACTAGCAAATCTCGAATGCGCTCCATGTAGATCTCCATATAACTAACTCGAACGGTATATTCGATATTGCTCGGGCTCGTAAGAATCGAAGCAAACATCTGCTCGACAATTCGTGGAATAATACCTTTGCCCATATCATCGTCGATATCCGTTCCCATCATGGTGTACGATTTACCGGCACCGGTCTGACCGTAAGCGAAGACCGTTCCATTGTAACCGTTGAGAATATCGTCAACCGTCGGCCGAATTGAAAAGTCGAAGATGTCCGTTTGCTTCGAGTTCATGCCAAACACCCGATCGAAGGTGAAAGAGCTATTACCCTCCCTAGACTAAACGATTGTTAGGGCGAACGTGGTATCACGGTACTTGGTCGCTTACATTAATCTTGCAGGTGTCATTGGCCTCGAATTCGACGATCGGTTCTCCGCCTTGGGCAAGTTCGGTCTTATTCTGCGGTCGAAATCGCGCAACGACTAAATCAGTTGTTAATGTAAGCTTTCTTGATAGTCCTCGGCGACGACGTACCCTTGATCGTGTTAGGACTCGATGACGACCTGCGTAAGCGAAAATTAGTTGATAGCTCCTAGAGATACCTGCCCACCTAAAGTTCTTGTTGTAAACATATGATTACTTACGCCATCTTCAACTTTGAGTGAGCAACAGCTCAACTCTCCAAAAAACCAACGAATAAGAAACGCAACCCCAGCCGGGGGGTGAAACCTGAGGAACGACTGGACCGAATGAAAATATCAAAACTAAGTATTCAACACTTGTGTTGGGCGAGTATCGCGGCAGTACCGCCTAGTTGTAGAGAGAAAGACGGTCGAGCAGTCGAAGAAAGGGAATTCGTAAATAGATACGGTATCAGCCGTCAGGGGTTCACGTGCGCAAAAGACGAAACACGCGCCAGGGTCCCGGATCGAAACAATCAATCCACTTGTCGTGCTACGTATGCCCCAGCAGAACAAGAGCAGAAACTGACGTCGACGAGAAGGGGGGGATTGGCGATAGACGTCACGAAGAATTTGGCGATGTTTAGTGTCGATAGTGACCGTTGGGCCTAAGTAAACAAGTTGGTTGTTGATGCCGATTTGACTGCGCCGGTGGAGTCAACATCCTAATACGGTTTAGCGCTGAGACCGTCCCGCATCGAGGTGGCATGCTTTTACTTCTTTATTATACCATATATTTAAATAGACCGAGAGTACTTATGTCAAGGATCGGTAGTTGTCAAGATATTTCCATTAACTTAAACACTTAACTGCATATGTCTGGTAGCCACAGGAACATTGATCGAATGAGAAGGTTACAATAAAAGCTGTAGTCGAACAGAAGAACCCGACAATAGTAAAATAACATTGTAAACAAGCAGCGGTGAACCACGCCATAAACTCCGCGCTGTGCAAGGCCGAAGCGAAACTGAAGCTATTCAGGTGGAAAAAATTTGTTCGGAAGGTCAAAAGAGCACAGACAGCATAAGCACAGAAGGCCCTGAGCCAGGAAGGCTCGTGATGAAAGTTTCCGAGTCTAGTCTTCCCAGCTTTTCTCCACGGTCTCACGCACTCGTTTGACGTATTCACGGCGGTTATCCTTGTACAAGTTCGAAGCCTCGACGTTGGCGGGGGAAGAGGTATTGGGATCGTTGAGTAGACTACCACCAACAAGTTAGACAAATCTTCTTCGGCAAAAAGCTCATGGATCAGCTTACCTTTGGATGCTGGTCAAGATAGCAGCTACATCATACGTAGGACTCCAGCGGTTTTGTAGGATATCCAGACATAACTCGCCAGTACCGTAGACATTTGGATGGAACATTTGGCTGATGAATTTGACGCCGGGTGGTTTGTTGGGATATTGTTCTTCAAAGTGCATAACTAGGCGAAAGGTTCCATCTTCGAAGGGCGTGTCGGCTGGTCCAATGATAACGGCGTTCCTAAGGAAATACTATAAACCTGTACTGGATGTGATGACTTTGGATTTGTATACATACCATGTCATGACATTGTCGGCGACGGGTGACGCAGAGACACCGGCCGGGGGATCTGTTTGCATACGCTGCACGTTGTTAGCACATGTTTATGACACAATACGAGCTTGGATGAGTTTGAAGTAAAAATCGTCAGTCGAACCATGCATGGGAGAACTAACCTTGAAATCACGCATCAAACGACGGCGGGCAGATGTCGACATTGCGGGGAGTCTAGATGGTCGAGATAGATACGGCTGGAGGGGCAAATGCTTCAAGGTCTGAGCGAAGGGACAATAGAGACAGCACACGTGCGAACTGTGTGTGTGTTTTTGTTGAAGGCCGAAATATGATTTTTCTTGTAGAATAAGATAAAACAATGTGAAGAAGTGGTGATGATGACTGCTGATTCCCAAGGCGAACAAGATAGAGACGGCGGAGGCGTTTGTCATCAGCCAATCATCCGGCAGCCCGGAGGTCTTCAGGCACCAAGGCATCAAAGTATATCTAAGCAACCAATCAGCGGTAACGTCATTACAAAGGCACGTGAGCAGTCTTGTTCGATTGGCTGATGGTGCATTAAATTGTTCTATTTCTGAAAGTCTAGATGATTGACTAGTATGAGCTTCTTGACTCAATCATGATAACATCCTAGTCCTTTCAAGATTAAGTATCATCTGCTGAGATTGGAGTAGCCGGCCGATGGAGGGGAGGCACCGATAGCTCCATCAGGCAAGCATGTGACGATAGCTGCTGGAGCAACCTGTTACGCTATACAACTCCATCGTTTTGAATCAGAATTTGTATCCCTTTTTTAAATATCAGACGAGAGATACAAATAATCATAAAACCATAATTCACTCTGTATGCATAGTTAAGTTACGAGAGCTGGTTTGACAAAGAGCACCAGTCGCGGAAAACCTCGGCTATTTCGGCCAGCGACGGCGGAAAGAAGGGCGGAACAATTCCCTACAACAACACTCGTCGCTTCCTACATCTACAACCACTCCATCTTTCATTACTCTCTGTCCTTTTAATTGCTCTTGCACATTCTCACCTACTCTTGACTCTTTCTTGTTGCCTTTTTTTTTATTCCAGATACCCCACCATGCAAGTTTCGAGAGCAACTAGCCGCCTGGCTCTTCATGCGGCCCATCTACCCCAACGATCATTCAGCACATCACGAACCGTGGCAAAGGAGATTCAAGATGCATATATTCTAAGCGCAGCGCGAACGCCAGTCGCAAAGGTAATCACTCAATAAAGTCAAATTACTGCTGTCGAAACATGCTGATATTGTGTCTAGTTCAACGGCTCATTCGCCTCTCTCTCCGCACCCCAACTCGGCGCCGTCGCTATCAAATCAGCCCTTGAAAAGTCGAATGTCCCCGTCGAGAAAATCACAGATGTCTACATGGGTCAGGTCTTACAGGGAAATTCCGGTCAAGCCCCAGCGCGCCAGGCTGCTATTCTCGCAGGCTTGTCAAGCTCAGTTGAAGCTATTACTATAAATAAAGTTTGCTCTTCCGGGTTGAAGTCAGTGGTATTCGCAGCTCAAAATATTCAGTTGGGACTCGCTGAGGCTCAAGTCGCCGGAGGAATGGAGAGTATGACCCAGGTCCCATACTATTTGCCACGGGCCAGTCAATTGCCCGCATTTGGAAATATGAAGGTCGAAGATGGTTTAATCAAGGATGGCCTGTGGGATGTTTACAACCAGTTCCACATGGGTGTATGCGCTGAGAAGACTGCTTCCAAGCACAATGTTACTCGAGAAGAACAAGATGATTACGCCATTCAATCCTATCAACGTGCCCAAGCGGCCTGGAAGGAAAACAAGTTCGCCGATGAGATCGCCCCCGTCACCATCAAGAACAAGAAGGGAGAAACGGTTATCTCCAAGGATGAAGGATTCGAAAGCTTGCAAATAGAGAAGTTGAAGGCTCTCAAGCCCGCCTTTGTCCGCGATGGTACGGGAACAGTTACTGCCGGAAACGCCTCTACCTTGAACGATGGTGCTTCAGCTTTGGTGCTCACCAACAAGGAACTCGCGCAGCAATATGGCTCCGGAAGCCGCGTACTTGCACGCATTGTCGCATCTGCCGACGCCGCTCTAGACCCTGTTGACTTCCCAGTTGCTCCTGCCAAAGCTGTACCCATTGCTCTTGAGAGAGCCGGCATCACCAAGGATCAAGTTGCTGTGTGGGAGTTCAACGAAGCTTTCGCCGCCGTCATTAAGGCCAACGAAAAGGTATTTTATCTCAACCCCCTCGCCAAAGTCTTTTGCTAATCAGGAACAGATTCTCGGCCTTCAACATGCCCGCGTCAACCCTCTAGGTGGAGCCATCTCGCTCGGCCACCCTCTCGGCAGCTCCGGTTCTCGTATACTCACCACTTTGCTCCACCAATTGCAACCCGGCGAGTACGGTGTAGCTGCCATTTGCAATGGTGGTGGAGCTGCAACAGCCGTTGTGGTCCAGAGATTGGACCAGGTCGAATAGTTTCACAAAATTTGCACCTTTTTGTTTCTTGATGACCTATCATGTCATGCAATGTATAACGTCCTATTGAAGCATTTCATCTTTGTCATGTATCGTAAATATCATATATGATCCAAAGGCAAGTGACAATCCTCGATTAGTCTATTAAGGCTTTACCAATTCGAGCAGTCGGCCTGCGATAGGATCCCACTCCTGATCCCATCTGCGTAAGCTCTCATTTTGAGCACCACCTCTGAGGTTCTCGAGTTTCTTAGGGTTGCCGAATAGATCCGTAAGATGAATGGCCAGTTCTTCTGAGCTTCCAAACCCGCGCCCATTGACGCCTTCTGTGACTAATTCCGGCCAAGCTTCGAATCGATTCCATCCAACAACTGGCAAACCAGCGCCAAACATATCCACAACCTTCATGGGCAAGTCGACACCACTGCTGCTGGTGTGTAAGCTGACACCTAATGATGCACACCCAAGAAGCTTAGCGTAATCGAGCGTGCTCAGCCAAGCTGTTTTGATAGTCACTTTTCCGAGTTTGCCCGCCTTTTCGCAAGTAGAAATTTCCTTGAGATACATCTCCTTTTGAGGTCCCTTGCCGGTGATTATCGCTAGTACTCTGGGCAGAGCGGTATTTTCAGTCGTTGCGACTGTGGAATACCGACATAGAGCATCTATCAGAACAGAAAAATCTTCATCGGGTGTCCAAGATGTTGAGCTAACAAGGACGCGCACATCTCCACTTGCCAGCTCAGCTTGAGTTGCTGTCACCTCTGCAAGAGACGCTAGAAACTGTACTCTTTCATCCTCGTCCAATATGGGTACAAAATGACTCGCAGGTCGATCGTGTAAAGTCAAAATTGGCGCCTTTGTGATCCCAAMCTCCTCCTTCAAGACGCGAGCCATGGCATTGGTAACGCAAAAATGCGCAGTTGCCCATCCACAAAATAATCTCTCGTACCACTTTGATATCCGAACTAAGGGATGTTGATCGCCTAATTTCAGCGCCAAGATTGAGTAGCCAAAGTTGTGCCAATCGATAATGAGCCTGGTCTGTCGGAAGAAGCCAACGACGGAAGCGAGGGCGAGAGTCGGGATCGAAGGAGGATTCTGAACGAGCAGGTACTTTGCGGGTTTGGTACGGTATGCGAGGCATATCCACAGGGATAAAACTTGAAATAAAACTTTGAGAGGTCCGAAGGCAAGGAACAGTAATTTATTGCTGGTTTGGAGGATGTTTGGATGCGGGGGTAACGGAACGATTGAGATGTTTGCATTAGATGTAATATCGGGATGAGGGTCGGATTCTAGAGCATTGAGAATACGTTAGTCGCAGATTGTAGTAGAATCATGGTGAGCTGACCTTGGTATCCAATAATGTCCACCTGGCCTCCATGGCGAGCAATGCTTAATGCATGGTACTGCATACGCGGGCTTCGCCCAATGTCTCCCAAGACTAAGATTTGAACAGTGACTTTCTCCTTGCCATCGTCACCTTTCCCTTCTTTCGCGCGGCGCGGAATATACTGCGAAGGTAAAGCTAGGATGAGGACCGTCAAACAACTAGACAGCCAAAAGGCGATGCTAATGGCTGTCTCGATCATGATTGCGATTTTTTTGAACACTGTGTCGTGTTCATAGTCTTGCCGTAACTGATTTAAAACGTGTTCAATACTCTATATTGATCTGGACTCTTCGAACAATTCAATAATCAAAGTCTCCATTTCCTCGACGTTGTTCAACGCAGAATATTCTCAAGGCAAAGTCATGGTTAAAAGTTGTTGTTCGTCGTCCCCGGAGGAACTTTGTTGACGTTGACAGTCTACCGGACTAAGCCGCAATGGGAAGGTGGTAAATATGTGAATCTTTCTAGGGCATTAAGAGGCACAATTTTCATTATTTCTGTCTTCTTCTAGTAACCTTGCATGGTCAACACCATCTTCCTTTGTGGTCATTGCATAAATATAATGGTGGAAAGTTCTCCAAAGCAACATCAGGTATGACGTTAACGAGTAAAACCCTCTAGACCAACTCGAGTGAAGTAAGCGAAGGCAATCTTCCTCGCGGCTTCTTGATTAGTTAGCATTTCATCGTGCTTGAGATGCTTGAGTGTAAGGCCTCTTCTCGCCATACAACATCCACACCCTGTCGTACAGTGCATCATCCCGCCGGACACTCTTTCCCTGGAACAACGCCCACGGTCGTACGTATAACAACCACCAACGGCTTTGCATGCACTGCGGGCGTTTTCGCGGGGGAATTGGGCCTCAAAGCGAACAAACACACGGCCACAGCACTCTTGACATGACCTCGGCACAGGAGGGCATTCTGGATTTTTGCGACCATTTTCACCACATTTCAGTGACTCTATAATAATGAAGTCGGTGGGTGGAGATTTGTGAATTGTCTTGGGGATATTGTAGGCTGGCACTCTGAAGACGGGTATCCGACATGAATCACAATGAGTTGAAAAATGGATGTATGAAATGGAGTGTAGCCTGATACAAGTAAGAGAGCATGCAGAGAAATGAATAGAGAAAGGTCGTCTGAGCTGTACAGGCAGCAACCACCATACTTGGCCAAATAAGGAGAGAAACAGGCTGCCAACGAAGCAGTCCCAAGGTTCCTTGTATGAGTGAACAATTTTAACTGATATTGCCTAATTGAAAGGCAAAGCTGCAGAAATATAATACGTGCTACTTGAGCTGCTCATGTTCATATCCGATCTACTCAGGTAGGTACTCTGTGTAAATAAATTCTATCATTTAGGATTTAGCGAGTTGGGAATTTAGAACAAGTACGACTGCCTAAATGATTATCTGGTATGGATGTGCTGCTGCAACTAGAAGCTATACTCACATGCTTCATAAGGCAGCAGCCGGCCAGTCATTGTAGCCTTCATCTGGTGTCTGGTATGGCCCATAGAAGATCTCATTGCCGCGATCGTTCTCAGCGAAAGGAATGCCATGCCTTATACGAGAGATGACATCAGGGTTATAGATGAACGGCCTGCCGAATGTAATCAAGTCGAGCTTGTCCTCCTTGATCAGTCTGTCGGCTTCCTCTACCGTATAGTCATGATTAGCCATGAGCATTGAAGGGCTTCCCGGATATTTAACAAAGGGTCCAAAATCGAGGACCGGATCGTAGCCCTTGGGTACAGGATAAACTTCTGGTCTAGGAAAGAGGCTATAAAAGTCACCAGTATTCCCGGGACAGTCGGCTCCACGACGAGAAATGTTGATAATCCCAACCTTGTGTGAAACCAACTTTTTGATCAAGTAAGTGTATGTCTGTTTCATCTCTCCGAAATCAATCATTGAATCGTTTAGGAAATCCGTGGGGCAGAGTTTGACGCAGATAAACTCAGGTCCACCAAACACCTCACTAGCAGCATCGACAATATCCAACAGAAAGCGGCACCTGTTTTCTACCGAGCCACCGTAGGTATCTGTTCGTTTATTGGCACGTCTGCATTGAGAATCAACACTTAGTCAACCCTTGAGGCCTTCCACAGTGACTCACGAGTTGAGAAATTGATGGGGCAAATAGCCACTGAGGAGAGAAGCCTTTATCATCAGCACACATCATTTGTCGATTCAGCATCTGCTTATTTACCCTTGAGCCAGCAGCTCTGTGCCGTCAAAGCCGGCTTTTTTAGCGAGCACCAGGGAGCGTCGATAGGTTTCAACAACCGTTCGCGGCTCCTGAATCTCTTCAACATTTTCCGTATGTCCCTGGTAGCGCAGTCAGTCATAATGTATATAAAATGGACTCAGGATTGTATCTCACAGGCGAACCTGGTAGATCACGGTATTTACCACCTTCGGCCTTGATGCTGGACGGCGCCAAAACTTGACCTTTCATTTCTTTCATGATAGGCATCTGATCATGTTGGACGCGGCCTATCGAAGGTCACTATCATACATGGTTTTTAACTCTTCTTATCTCATGACTTACCCGCATGCCAAGCTTGGAAGAAGATCTTTCCCCCTTCCTTGTGGACTGCATCGGTCACTTGTCGCCAGGCCTCGGCGTGGTCCTTGGTAATCATGAAGGGTGCATATTCCCAGTCACAGCCAGTCCAATCGACGAAAGTGCCTTCATTGACGATAAGTCCGACACCATCTCTGGCTCGATCAGTGTAGTGCTTGACCTGCGATGGGCCCGGCTTGTAGCTGTCCACGCAGCGGTTCCTTGTCATAGAACCCATGACTACTCGGTTTCTCAATGAAAGTTTCCCGCCAATAGTGACGGGTTCCAAAAGACTTGACATGATGGAAGATCGTTGATTGATGACTGCTATAAGTATGATTCAGGAAGAATTGATGTACGATGAATTTGGAGTAAAGCTGGGAAGCACAGGTTGAGCGAGTAGACTGAGTATTTATACACTATGGAGCGGGAGAAATTATTTTCAAGAACACTTGAGCTTTGTAAATACGACTGATGAGTAATTACCAGTGAGGGTATTCACAGAGCTCACTGGAAACTACAGAGCCCTGATCTGTGTAATTGTTAATACACAAAATTCCGGGGATCATCATATATGAATGATATTGCTAGATCCTATCTGACCAATGATACAAGCCGAACTCCGATCCCTGTCCTTCCACCTAAGATGGACGTAACCAATCAAAGATCTCCATCTCCAGAACGCCGATGCTTCGTCCGCCCGAAGCCGACGTAAATACCAAGTTGATCCGTGTCATCTCTCTCTCTAATCCGATTTCATGACTGATGCCGCGATAGAGCCGCCAGCTTGCGTTTCTAAATTCAGCTATGAAGGCTGCCAGATCATGCTTTCAATGCCGACAGTCCAAGCGCAAATGCATAAGCCCAGGGCCTGGCAAATGCTGTGAATCTTGCCGGCATAGAAAATTGAAGTGCAGTGCTCAATCAAGACATCAGATCAGAGAGCGCACACCCTCAGTTGCTCAACCAATATCTAGCGAGAAGCAAGCCAGATCGCCTGCTACACGTAGTGGATGCGAGAATGCGCCGAACCTGCCTTGGGCGACGAAGGTGGAGCTCGTTGAGATCTACCTGGAAAATGTCCATGACCGACCTCATAGCATCTTCCATCCGGCAACACTGCGATCTAATTTGCGCAGTGGCGCTGTTGGTGGAGCATTATTGTGTGCCATTTGTGCTATCGGATCAAAATTCTCAACAAACCTTGATCATCGCAGCCTCGAATCCCGCTTGACTTCAGAGGCGAAGCGGCTACTGCAAGCGGACCTTGAAAATGTTTGCCTCGAGAATATTCAGGCAAGTATCCTAGTTGCAACCCTGAGTTCCGGGAATTACCCAGCCTCGTCAGAAGCATTATTCGTTCGTGAGCGATTTCTGCTGATCATTGTTGGACGGCTACAGCTACTGATAAGTGAATAGGTATTGCTACCAGCATGGCCGAAATTCTAAAGCTTGACTCGTCCTTTTCTTCTTCCGGCACCATCACCCAACTGGAAACGGCGCGGAGAGTCTGGTGGTCGCTTTATACGGCAGATCGCTGGTGTTTTTCAGGACTCGGCTTGCCTCATCGTATAGAGGACCTCGATGGGTCCTGTGAGCTTCCTATGGATGAAGCGACCTTCCGCTCGCTTTCGCCGGAACAAAAGACCCTAGATGTTCCCTGGAAACCCGGAATTTGGGCCCATCTGGTCACACTTGTCCGCCTATCTAATCCGATCCAGGATTTAAATCGCCGTGTCGCTAGAGGTAATGCAGATACTGCAGAGTTAGACCAAGATTTTGCAGGGTTGGAGCAAAAGCTAGAATGCTGGAGAGAAATGCTTCCAGCGGATATGCAGTTCACCATACAGAACCTTCATGGCTATCAGCATAATGGCCTGGGGGGCCCGTTCATTTCTCTTCATCTAGCATACCATCATTCATCAACACTGCTTTATTTCCGTTTTCTGGAAGATAAGCAAAATCCACAATCAAATTACTGCTCCTATGTTGCCCGCTGCAAGCACCATGCATCATCCTTTAGTAGCCTGCTTCAACTTTCTCGCCAGCTGGAGGGGTGTGTGTCCAACTGCCCCACCATCGGCCATATGACGACTGTCTCATCATCGGTCTTACTGCATACCATGCTTTTCGGGGACTTGGAAGAGCTTCCTAGAGCGCGTCGAGAGCTCAGCGCCAATTTCGAGGCTCTAGTAGAGCTGCAGCAATGTTGGCCTGCAACATCTGCACTGGTAACCACCACCCTTACCATTATTTGGTCTGACAACTGACTTTGATTATTCGTAGATCAATAGATTGATAATCTTTCAAAATGCGTGTCTCTTGTTCACTGAATCCCACAGACTGGATGGATGGATGGTACGGTTCCTCTTGGAACATTCCCTTGCTCTAGAAAAGAGGGAGCTGCCGTTTCCACCCTCGAATGGAGACTTGGGCTCTCAGCGCTTGTCATCCAAAGCTAAGGAGTGTATAGACCAAGGACGCTATACAAACTTTGATTCTTTTTGACTCCTGGCCATGTTATCTTGTTATATCAAATTATACGAGATCCTCTATTATGTGCGTAACTTTTCGCCAGGTCACGTTCGGCAATCGATCAACTGCTACGCGTTCTGTGTTTCTAGGAATGAGGCATGTCAATGTAAATCTACCTCAAAATCGACTCCGTAAGTAGCTCTTTCGTAGCCAACATTGAGCTCTCCTGTTTCCGTCTCGTCGTCTGCTGCTGCTGCTGCTGCTGCTGCTGCTCCTTCTTCTTCTTCTTCTTCTTCTTCTTCTTCTTCTCCTCCAGATCCTTTCATTCCTTCTCCATAGTTTCCGGGGTTGAAAGTACTGCCTTCTCGCTGTGCATGAAACATCGACTCATGTTAGCCGATCATTTTGACCAGGTCAAATCGGTTTACAGGCGTAATGGGAGGAGCTCCTATCGGTAAGCAGATAGGGTTATTGTTTGCCTGGTTTACCAAAGTCTGATGTCGGATGGTTCGTGCCTGTGACACCGTCTAGCGGACGTCAATCACTTAGGCTACACATCTCCCTACTTCCTCCTAGCTCATCCAATCTCTTTAGAATCCCCAACAAGAACATTGTATAGAAAACATTTGTGGCCTATATATGTAGAACTGATCGTTGGCGCCGTTGTCTTACACTTCTTTGAGGTATGTATGAGAATGTTATATTCGATTTGGTGTATCTGAGCATCTTGTTAACCATAGTGATCTTTCTAGAACTTCCATACTCTCAAGAGGACTTACCAGACCGAACGTACCTTCCTCTACAAAATATTCGAGGGGAAGAGACTACTGCCCTCAACGATCTTCCTTCCTTATTCCTGCTACTCATCCTCATTTAGAACTATGTCACAACAAACCGCAGCAACTTGGCTATCAATTAGCCTCCTCGATTCTTATTGCAATATGACGGAGTCTGGAGCTATAATGACCCGATCATGCACCCGATGAAAATTGTGTCTTTCTTCTTGTATATCACTCGTCGATTAGCAAATTTCATAATCCTAACGTAGTCTACAAAAAAGTAGGAATTTGTAGGGGGAAAAAGGGGTTAACGTTAGGGTTATATGCTCAATATCACGTGGAAGCTGACGATATGGGGAGCTCTGTGATTGGCTGCGGCGGGTCTTCCAAGGTTCCCAAGGACGTCCGCTTCTCGATCTCTGAAGATCCTCCAGGGGTCTTATTGAGAGCTGGCAATTGCAATTGTGATAAACGGGTGCCCAAAGTCGACAGGTTATCATGATAATATAGTCAATATATCATCGCTGTTCGACTCTTGCTGTCTTGTTTCCTTTCGCCTTCGAGTCCGAGCCGCAGGTGAACTGCGCGACCTCCCCGCTCCAGATCGGTCAATCTATGAACGACCCATGTCGTGAACGAAGTCGAACCATATGCGCCGAAGCCCATCCGTATCTTGCTCCTTAGCAGCTAAACAGGATGTCGATGTCCGGACCAACACATATACCTTCGGGCTCTTTCGGGCACAGCCGACGGCCACCGCGAGGACACATGCGCTCTGGCAACTGGTCGCAATTGCCTGCCTCGACAATGACCCCGACTGTCGAAAAAGAAGAGCATGAAGCATCCGAACCTGTTGAAAATACTGCGAACGGCCACAATCATCACCACGAAGCCGAGAATTCTCATTCGCATTCTCATAGTCAAAGTCATAGCCCAAGTCTAATCTCGAATCACAATCATTCTCATTCCCACGGCCACAACCACAGCCATGGTCATGTACATTCACATTCTGTGGTCGGTGCCAAGGTAGAAAGCTCAGGCGACTCTCCAATACTGGGAACCAAAACTTCGGATGCTTACACAACGCCCTTCCAGGGCTCCGAGAATATACCCCTAAGGTTGGTGAGGCCTCGGTCGTCTGGTCTGTAACATCTGCTGATTTCTACACAGCTATGAAATTACCACAGGTGTTTTGACGGCTATCCCGTGGTCGTTGCTATCATGGTACATGAGGCAATACACAGCCCCCACCTCCCACAAAGTATGGCGAATGCTGAAGTCCGCAGCCGCGAAGCAAAGATTCTTGAAAACGTACTCTCCAGAAACCGCAGTCGATACAGTATGGTGGAGGACTTTGGTGTTGGTATCCGTCACAATGCTCTCAATGGGCGGAATCGCATTACTTCGTCGACAACGCGCCGGTCAAAGCCTTCAAAACGGGTACGGCTTCCAGCTTAGCATCGGTTCCGCACAAAAGGCCCTTCTACGCGTTCTATCTCTAATACTACCTATATACGCCGGCATGGTCATTGGTGGTACAATGGTGGCTCTAGCATTGAGTCTAGCCTACGCGGCAGGCATTCCCACTATATTCCAGGTCGAATGGAATGGTGGCAAACTGCGAGAAAAGCTTGGGAACAAGAAAGCGTCCTTATTTGTGCTTTCTTTATTTATTGTATTGAATGTTCTTGGTTATGATTTTCCTGTTGATACCCAACCGTTCCGCGGATACATTGCATTAATTGTTTCGATCTTCGTTCTTCGTCCACCTTTTGCGACACCAAGAGATTCCATTCCAACATTACAGAAGTCTGATATTACCTCAGCATCACAGCTTTTTGATGGCTTCATGGCCCTCTTCGGTCAACAAGCGTCAGCTCTATCAMCCATCCCGCCGATAGCATCTCCTGAAGACATTCAACTCACCCTAGCCTCCGGCGGAGTTGTCGGCTTGTTTTGTGTGCTGGTAGCGCCTTTCCGTGCAGGCAACATACCCTTTGGTACATATGATTTGATCAAGACGATATTCATTGCGCTCGCCTTTGCATTCTCGATGACATTTTCATCCCCGGCAGGATTACGATCACGCCAGAAGATTGGTTTTATTGCTACGGCTTTGGTGCTTGTCTTAACAAGTGCAGTGCCTCATGAAGAGAGCAGCCGTATCGCACACATTGCCTGGTCAATTTTAGCTGCCTTGTGTTATTTGGCTGCCGCTTTTGATGACCCCAAACCGGGTGAGGTCACACCTGCAAAAATCGAGCTATCGTCCATGACGAAATTTCTTTTGAAACACGGCGAGTCGTGGCCGATTCTACACAGCATTCTATCGAAGGAAGACTCGCGCAAGATCTTCTACTTCATGTGGTAAGTCCTTTTTTCCTGTAGAAGATAGACACACCCGCTAATTTCATAGTCTAAACTTTGGTTTTATGCTTGTCCAATTGACCTACGGGTTTGTCACCGGGTCGCTCGGTCTTCTCAGTGACAGCATTCACATGTTCTTTGACTGTCTTGCTCTTGTAGTTGGTTTATCAGCTGCAGTTATGAGTCGGTGGCCTCCCAGCGTACGCTTTCCATATGGCTATGGCAAAGTTGACACCCTATCCGGGTTCGCCAACGGAGTGTTCCTAATGATCATCAGTTTAGAGATCATATACGAGGCAGTGGAGCGACTGATCTCTGGCAGTGAGATGCGCCGTATTGAGGAACTTCTTGTCGTCAGTATTGCCGGTCTTGCTGTCAATCTCGTTGGTATCATGGCTTTTGACCATGGACACGCACACGGTCACGATCATGGCCATGGTCATGACCACTCTCATGGCAACGAAAACATGCACGGAATCTTCTTGCACATTTTGGCCGATACACTCGGTTCGGTGGCAGTGGTCATTTCGACTATTCTAGTACACTTTTACGGCTGGTCGGGCTTTGATCCTCTCGCATCTTGCTTCATTGCGATACTCATCTTTGCATCTGCCGTTCCACTTGTGTCAAGCACGGCGTCCTCGTTATTGCTTGCCATGCCGGCTGATGTAGAGTATAATCTGAGAGATACTTTGGCTGGAGTGAGTACATTGAGAGGCGTGGTGGGTTATACCGTGCCTAAGTTTTGGTTGGATGATACTTCAACATCAGCTGGACACGGCCATGGACACGGGCACGATCATGGACATGGACATAGTCACGATCACAACCACAGCCATGGCCACTCTCACAATCACCATGATCACGACCATAATCACGATCATGACGATCATGACCACAGTCATGATCATAGTCACGAAAAGCATACCTCCGAACCCAAAATCCTTGGCATGATCCATATCATCGCTTCCCGCAATGCTGATCTCGAAGACGTCCGACGACGAACAGTCGAGTTTCTCAGCGAGAAGAACATGGACGTAGCTGTTCAGGTCGAACGAGAAGGCGAAAGCAAATGTTGGTGTGCTGGTAATGGGAGTGCGATTGGGAGTCGATCGCCTTATATTAAATAATCTTTGTAGTTATAGTAAATGATTGCACATATCTTCAATATAAATATTTGGTTCCTCATTTTCCTCAGTTGTTCATAAATTTGATCGTAATTTATGATTAAATATTTTATCTACTCATCTTGATACTTTCCCCCACAGTACGCGCATATATCATATCGTTCATAAAGCGAATCATAGAGTTCCTTCCTATTCTCATCCTCGGCAACCTGTTCATGCCCAACTAAGGTATAATCAATGCCCTCATCACGCGAGAGGACGTTCATGTCGCATACAGAACAGAACATGGAAATGTACGGTTCTTGGATTGCGAGGAACGTCAAGGCGCATCGATCTGTAACCGTATATCAGTATTCAAAGCAGTATGCCGAAGAGAGGAAAGGGACGCACTCCAGGTATGGCCATTTGCGCATATAGTAGTATTTTGGTCCCGCCAGCTCAGACCTACATCCCCCTTTCCGCGGCGGAAGCATGTGCGGCATTTTTCGTAGATCCAACCTATCGGTCCTTCTAGTACGGACGCTGGTTTTGGTGTTTTGCCGAGTACGGGGTCGGTGCTGGGCTTGTGGATATCACAGTATGATAATTCCTCGTCGATAGAAAGGTCAAAAGTAGTGGAGAGATGTGTCAATGCTTGACGGGCTAGATTCAGCAAGACGTCGTTCTTGGAAATTTCCTGCTGTGCACCGTAATTCGCATTTATCGCGCATACGCATGCTGAATAGATGAGCCTAGCGGAGCGGAGATTACTTTCTTGCAGTCTGCTCGCCGAAGAAAGTGTATAGTGCAGAACTTCATCGCGCTTCATGGCCATACGTTCATCCGATAAATCAGCGGGTTTAGGAAACACCGCACCAGGCTCCGGTGGCGTGAAGAGGATGATAGTGCTCTCCTCAGCTCTGATGGTGTATTCGAGCACGTCTCCTGGATGCATCGTAAATGCAACGGCAGTCCAGCCGTCGAATGTGGCGAGACCCCAGGTCCGTACAATGCTCATATCGCCTAGTTCATATTGGATGCTGTACCTTTGTCTGTAGCGCTCTACTTGCTCTAGCCAAGGGGTTTGAGTTTTGGACAGTGTCTCTTCTAGTAATGTACCAATTGTAGAGAGAGGGGTCGCCTCGGAGAAACGGCCAAGGGTTGTCAGATAGATTAAGCGAGTGTCGTGGGAAACTGTCGATGATGTTGGTGCTACAACTCCTATTTCTACTTAGTTTGTGTTTTTGATAAGATCAGAGTAGACATACCAGATATGGGTTCATTATATTGGGAGTACATAGTGCCCATGCTGCTGTATCCTTGGTCATGGAATGACCGTTGATGAAAAATAACGCTCTTCTCATCGACTTTCCCTTGCATTGATGACTTCAGATATGAATTGTGGTCAAAGCGAAGTGTGGCTCSCCCACCAATATAGCCTGACACCAGCAAGACTCTGGTCTCGTCCTGTTCTCGTCAGTACCTGGATCCAGATATAGACGCGATCTATACATACTACAGGAATCCATTGTAGTAGTCCAGTGAAGTTGATACATTCCAGGCTTCTGGAAGATAGAACAGTTGTATTGTGTGTCAGTTGTCCTTCAACGGAAATTGTTTGTCTATCTTCCAAACTCATACGGGCCTGTACATTGACCAGATGCAGACTGCCCCCAAGCACTAGCGCAATCATGGCATGATATTTCAGCCTAGAGTCTTTTGTGCCATTCTGTTGGTCATCCGCTCTGATCCAAGGGCCGCACGAAATATTCAGTACTCTAGCCTTAGAGTTTAATGCATCAGCCCACAATGACCCCTGGGGAACCGGGCTATACTGCCTTTTCAGATTTCCCAGTTCGATATGATCAATAACATCAATAGAGAATCTCCATCCAGAAACCTTCGATGAATGATTTCGTCTCACACGAACAAGAACAAGATCATTGCTATCTGTGGCAATGGTAAGCAATTGCTCGCCCCATCGAAAATCTGCACGGTCATCCTCGCCACGAGCATCATTCTTCAATGGAGGGCACCACGCAAATGACCGAATGCGAGACGCGCTGATCGATTTAGGTCTTTCTTTCGACTCAAAATACTTCTCAAGCGCTTTGTTAACAACAAAGACACGGGACCAGGTGCGTCTCTGCCCATCCGCTTCATACAACGACAATAAAAGATTAGAAGTCAATACAGCAAGAACGCACCGCCGATGTAGTCCCAGACCTTCGTTTGACCAGGCCAGTTGAGATACGCTGCTTAGCGATTGCTCGGCGCCGATGGAGAACTCATCTCGGCCAGTAGGCATCATGACTTTCCATTCTTGGTGGGTGAAAACATTGGTTCGGACTTTGGTGGAAGTCCATGGCATCGATTTCTCTTTTTCAAAGAGGGGATGAACATATTTTGGTTTCCATTGGGGGAGCTTACTCAATTAGCCGAGTATTGTCTGTTTGTTTCGGAGTAGCATACTTGTAGATGGACCGTGTCTCCAGCTGCTACTGCCAGCTCCCCGTCGTCAGACCAGCTTAGACAATTGTAGCACGACGGATAGAGGTTGAGATCGAGGGCTTCGCCCATTTTAACAGTTGAGGAAATCTATTTTTGATTATTGCTACATTTTCAGACAGTCATGAACAGGTCAAAGGAGGAAAGTGACTTTGCGAACGGAAAGAACCATTTCTTTCAACCTGAGGCAGCAATTCACAAAAGGCTTGGCACATTCTGGGTACCTCTAAATTCAGAATGAATTTGTATACTGTCTGCATGGATTACTTTATATTTTTGAAATATATCTTTGAGATCCTTTGATTGAGGCATATGTAGCACAAGGATTGGTGATTTAAAAAATCTTCATTCGTCAATGTACATGCAGTATGACTAGTGTTGATGATCATATACATTACTTACACCAATAGAATGAACAATCAAAAATCAGCTCGATCGGACATCAGAATCAATCCTGCTCAAGCAGGCGATTCGAGATCCTTCACTAATTGTAATGCTAATTCTGCTGCGCTGTCGTCCCTATGATTTGTCGACAACACCATGCTATGAATCCCAATCGAAAAACATATCCGTGAAACCAATAGAATGAAGTCAAACACCGTACACCGCTATCCGTAATTCATGTGCGAGTGGCTGCAAAGCGAATCGAAGAGAATATGCAATATCATAGGCCAATCAATCTAGTCCTCTCCTAGGCTATCCCTGACGCACTTCCTCACGCGTTTCTTGAATTCTTTTGGGTCATCCCTCCACAATCTCGCCGCTTCAACATTTGCTGGGCTCTCGTCATTGGGGCTTGACAGCATCGAGATGACCGACAATAGAATAGTCTCTGGTGTCTGCACGGGTGACCATCTCTCCGCGGCCGACTCATAACCATATTTATCTTCCTCGGGAGGATGCAAAATCGAAATACAGACGTCGCCATTCGGGTAAATATTTGGATGGAAAATAGGAGTCTCGAACTTCATCTTCGGAGGCATATGAGGATATTCCTGGGGAAAAGTGAGTCGGGCTCGAAAGAATCCTCCGCCGTAGAATTTGCAGTCGTCCGAGATCATGAGCATGACTTCCCATTCAAAAACGTTGTTGTCGTCGACTAGGCCGCAGCTGATGCCGGGGATGTCTTTGTCGGATTGCATCTGCGCTAGTTGGCGAGTGAGCATGCGCCCAGCTGGTGTGGTCGCCATTTCGTTGTATATCTGGTGGTTCTGATATGAATCGAGTTCGGCGGGGTTGCGATATCAGTTACGGCGACTTCTTATCGATCCGACATCGACAGGGTCGTGTAGATTCGGACAGCGATATAAGACTGGTCAGAATAGGAGAGCGGAAATTTATAGTGGTTAATGTGCAGAGAAGAGAAGAAAAGAGGAACTTGTGAGTTTGCGTAGAGATCAGCCAGGCTAAGGGTCGTCGCGGGGCCGCGCCGGAAGCGTCCCACCGCCACTTTTCATCCTGAGGCTATTCTCGCGCCACTCCACCGAAATTCTACGAGCTTATTCCTGTAAACGTCGCCAAAGTCATAATTGATGTGATTTTCATTCTCAATGCATGTATTTACACTCCAAGAAAACAAAGACAAACTATGCAAGAACGGAATGGCAGCAATAGGAAAAGTAGCACATAGCATCGGCCACCGATGATGCTATGACAGGTTCGAGAATAATCCATTTCGGCATATACAAGACTCGTCATCGGATTATATAAGGGGCAGTCCCCTTACTTCTTTACGCGCTAACATCGACGAAACCCTTGTTGCCGAAGAAGATCAGTATCTCAGCGAAGAGAACCACACCAAACAGTAGACCAAGAGCGGCTTGGAGAAGGAAAACCTTTCCAACGACGGTCAAGAACCGCATGCGAGAGCCCCAGCCGAATGACTTCCAAGCATCGACAATGCCAATCTTGCCCTGACCACCGACAATTTCCGGAGTAACCTTGCCACCGAAGGAGCGGTCGAATGGCACGATGGTCTCGTCATCTTCAGGGAGCATAGAGGCAGCGACACGGATGAAAGTGACCTCGGCGGGKATTTGAATCAGGACGTAGAGGACGAGGAAGAGTGCGAGGAGACCAAAGCCACCGGAAAGAGCAGCATAAGGGGAGCGTGCGGCAGGCTCAGAGCCATACTCGAGGACCTTGGTGCCGTATGCGATAGTGAGGGGAACGAATGTGACAATCTGAGCAGCGAGAGAGCGAAGAGCAGCAGCAGGGGCAATCTTCATGAAAGTCTTGCGCCATGAGGGAATACGAGACCAGAGCGACTTGGTGGATGGCTCCGAAATGACGATATGGATCCAAGCCACTCTCAAGTTGGCCAGAAGAATCTCAGCGACGAATCGTGCAACGGCGCTTCCAAATATGCGGAAGCTTGCTGATATAGGTGAAGTGATAATGTTAATGGCGATACCGGTCAGGATATAGAGGACAAGGCCGCGGAATGGAGCCAAGCGTCCAGCACGAGTAGTAAGGTGGGAGATTGTGCCCTTCAGGGAACTGGTGACTGGCTTTTGGGGAGGCACATCGGCAGTTTCGTCTCCTGTATTCTCAGGGTTGAGCGGAGCGTGGTCATCGTCGATACGCACATAAACGTCGGGGTTAGGATCTTCCACAGCGGCCAGTGTAGTCACGACTTTGCCGTAGACATAGCCGACGCATCCGGAAACGACGGAAAGGAGGGCAATCGTGATATAGAAGAGGATGACTGCCATGAATGGGAAAGGCTGCTTGGGCTCAGGGTCGGAGGGTTCGTTAGGAGTGTCGCTAACGGAGCGTCGCACGAGGTGCTCGGCGACTAGAGCGATGGCCGACATGTTGATATTGACTGTCAAATACGAGGGACTAAAGGAAGAAGTGAATGAACGAATGAACAAAACTATACTGATGGTATTGATGAAATATGATCAAAATGAAGTTGATGACAAACTGGTCGTAAGCAAGAACTAAAAGAGAAAGGTAATCGCAGGCAACTGTCGGACTCCGGCGTATTTTAGGCAGAAAGAGGAAAGAGGCTGAGCGCCGGAGTTATCGGATGATTTATGCGTGGCGTGGCTGGATATAGTCTAGTGTGTCTATTAGCTTACACCTCAGGCAACAAGGCCATCCAATGATTTATATTGCATCCAAGACCCCAGGCATAAAGTGTCTCATCTAAAAATGGACTTAAGTGTTAGGGCTAGATTATTCAGAACATCTACATCAACTAAAGGAGCTGGCACTCATATATAGATATTGACGACGTAATTTTCCGCAGCCCAATGGTATCTAGCAGTACCTAGCTGAGCTCTGAGGTTGTCATCTCAAAAGAAAGCTTAACGTCTCATCCTTCGCGAACCACTCTCTGTCTCTCTCCCATGCCTTTTCGATGATATCTCGTCCCATCCTAACCACGTCCTCAACCCGACTCGCTGTCGCCCAGCCAGGCACACCACTCCAACACACCAAATGGACGCCCATATGCACTGCTGTCCTGTAGGCCTGCTCCTCGTTGAGCAAGTGATACTTTTCAACCAGTCCTTGCATAATCCAGATCCCTGCATCGATGTTTCTGAATTGCTTGATTTCGTAGAGTTCGGCGAGGACTTGACCTAGATCTAGGGCGCGCATTCCTGACTGGGTCATTTCCCAATCTATAATGAAGAGTTTGTGCTGGTTGGGGGAAATGAGGATATTGCCCGTCCAAAAGTCGCCGTGGATAGGGCCCCAGCTGTCGTCTCCAATGCTGGCAGAACTGGATGTATGTGTGGAGATCTCCTGAGCAGCATGTGCTCTGACTTTTTCAAAGACGGACCGATTTTCCCCCAGGATGTGAGGGTATATGTCAATCATATTGAGAAGTCGATCGTAGTTGATGACGTATTTGAGCTGTTGCATTGACTTGTTCTCGGCCAGCTTGTTTCTAAGGGCTATTTGCTCGTCGTGTGAAACCCAGGTGTGGAAAGACGCCAGCCATGACCCTAGCGCATGCCCAATCGCATTTGCCGCTGGTTTGTCAATACGCATGCCTTCGGGGGATAAGAGCCATGTCTTGAGATCTGATGAATCGGGCAAGTCTTCGATTATTTGTGTGTGGGTTGACGGGTTGAAGTCATATAACTGAGGTGTTTTGACTGTGATCGGTGGCGAGAGTGCTGCATCTCGTGCCGCGGAGAAGTTATTCAACCCCTTTAGAACCAGAGCCTCGAAGACCTACGTACATTAGCAGTTCAATCTACGTCTCAGAAATGCTTCACCTACACATCTTTCACCATCTAACTTGAAGTCCCGGTTCAGAGCCACAAAATCTGTCGTATGCTTGATGATAACGTTCGGGTTTTCTCGCTCCGTACTTCCAATAGACTCAGGGTCTGTCAGCGTACCCCGGTAAACGAAATTAGCTGTTCCTCCATTCAAGCGCGTTATCGATGAGCAGGCATATTTAGTTGATGCAAGTTGTGAGAGCACCGAGGCTTCGATGTCGGCGTCTGTAGCCATGGCGTCTGGTATGATTGCACGTGTATAGGTGTGTTAGGTACGAAATCTAGAGGACACGCAAGAAAGTGTAAAGGAGATTTATAGATAATCAATTACTGTCAAGCGTATTCCACATGTTGTGTAGCCCTAAAGCTGTTGTTGTTCCCCACCCTGGTAGATTGATTGAGCCCCGCGACTAATCAGCGATTGTGATTCGGTGCTAATCAAGACTCATTTTGACTAATTTGCTATCACATATTTTACTGTGTATTAGAACGACATATGCCTATATTTGTACAGTTATCTTAATTGATTATTGACAGACGATTGGCGGAGAGGAGAAAGGTATCACAAGAGGGATATAGCCCTGAAGCTCCCAAACGCCAGTACATAACGCGCTGAACGGAATCAATATTTCCAGTTATCTTTTTTTTCACAAACCGTGTCCATCCTTATTGAGGGAGGTAAAAATTCATATTTTCATCAAACGGCAAATCAAAAACGTCATCGGGAAGGATACCACCGCCCATACTAAAGATGCCTTCTGCATTGAATGGCATCTGGAAATCAAAGTCTGGCCCTAGACTTGCAAAATCTGTTTGCGAGTCAGATAATGGTCCGGTAGTTATCACTGGATTTCCAATATCTTGTCCCGGGGCCTGGTTGAACGAGTATTGTTGTAACCGTAGGAGGTGGGCTGTTGTAGTTTCGGGACCGCTGACGCTGTACTGAGCCCATTGCTGGGGATCTGATGTTGTGTTTGTCAAAGGGGTTATTGGTTTATCGCTGGCATCGGTAGTTGTTGGTAGTGATTGTTGAGAAACATTGGTGGCTGACCGCGATAGTCCTTGGCTGTCTTCTTTCGCTTCTTTAGGTCGAGATGATGCGGGCTATGGACGTTGGTCAGCAAATGTCAATAAAACAGCTCCGTAGTAGGGATACCTCTTCTGTCGCTCCAGTCTTTTCCGTCTTGCGATTCAGAAACCAATTCCTCAATAAGTTCATGACCATACCGAACCTTGATGCGGTTCGCCCTCCTGGCCGCATACCACTGACTTTTAAATGATTGATCATCTTGTCAAAGTATTCTTCCACCTTAAGATCAGCCAGCGAGAAAACTCGCTCCAGGCCGTTGTCAGAAGAAACGGCGGAGAACAATTTGAGCAGAGCGATGAATGCATATGCCGAACGAGCATACAGATGTGTGGGCAAGTTGACTACAACCTCCGACTCCATAGACAGTATGCAGTCTAGACATGTGTGAATCGATGTCAGACATGTTGTGAGAGCATCGATTTGAGCAGCAGTCGCCCTGTCCAGTTTGACATCAGTCTTGAAGTCGGAATTGAACGGAGTTCTAAAGTCGTCGATGTTATGCTCAGTATGCATTGCAATCTCATGCATGAAAATACTGATGATACACTCCGAATGTTGCAAAATTGCTATATAATGTTAGTTTACGTCAATGCGAATCGAGATAGCAAGTGTAAACTCACGTGTATAATCTTCAGTGCGAATCTCGCGCCGCCACTCATCCATTTGTTTCTCAAATCCCTTCAACGCATACTGCACCTTTGTGTCATTCAAAGTCAAACTGCTTGAAGGGTCATCCATAGAGAACTGGAATGCAATCTCTTCCGCAATATGGGTTAATTTAGCCCAGTGTATCAAATTGCGATCAGACGGTTCAGCGTCAGGGGAAGTTTGCAGAATCTCAATACACTCATCCATATAAGGAAGCCATCGACATAACAACGGCCGACGAAGTGCCATGGAGGCATTGACCGCCATGACATATGCACCTAACCACACTCGTCTTGTTTCGACAGCATCCGGGTCAAATGAAGTTCTGTTTTGATTCTTGCCCATGATGTCTCGCAAAAATCCGTATTGTTTATTACCTTTTCTTCGAGTGACACGACCCATGCCAATGTCCAGCGCCATGACGACAGCCATGTGAATGAACTGGAAGAATTTGAGCTCTTCGAATTGATCGGGCGGCAGATACCAGATGCATGCCAGAATAATTGATTGGGCCAGCTCCAGGGATTTTTCGCCCTTGACAACGATCTTATCGGCAAATAGACGGTGCGCCTCATGTACCAGAGGCATTTGCAATTCCGATCGAAAGTGGCCAATAGAAATAGCCATGATCACAAGGAAAAGTGTGGGTTTATCGCGCCGTACCGAGGCCATGGTCGTCCCTGGTGGAAATACGACCACTGGAAGTCCAGGAGCAATATTTTTGACATAGTAGTCAAAGGCGTCAACAGCGGTCTGCACATCAATTAACCCGCGATCTATGATATCGGTGAATTCATTGGCAGTGTCTACGACACTTTCGCTGTTGGATGGATTCGTTAAAATCTGTTAAAGATTAGTATCATATCTCGGAATGACTTGCGCCAACTTACTGGACCGGTGAAAGAAGCACTCTGGGGCAATGAGCCGGGCGGCGCCGAAAATTTAGTATCACCACTAGCTGTACGCTTCGTACTTGTACCAGGAGAGGCGGAGCTGATAGAGCTCGCTGGTGGTAGTGATGCTGGTGGAGGGCCGCCTCCGAGCCATCGACGAGTAGCAGAAACCTCTTGCTCCTGCGATCGCCCCTCCGGAGACGTGATAGTATCGACCCTTCTAGACGCCTGAAGACTAGCTGTAAGGGCATCGATCTTCTTTTCCAACTCACTCACGCGACTGTCTGTTTTCTTCTGGCGCTTTCGGGTCGGCGGAGTGACGACACATCTTCGATTCGCCTTGGCACACCGTTTACAAGAGCCTGATGGATTTTTATCGTCCGGTTCACAACGGACCTTCAGTTGTCGGCAGGCGTCGCATGCTCGAGGTCGTTTCAGGTCGGCGAGATGGTCGTCGGGGTCGTGTTCATCACCCGGCAGGCCCCTTGACATTTCATTCAGTAGCGTTCCAAACGCTTCATCGATACCCACCGCATTATTGCCCGTGGAAGAAGGCGTTGAAGCCGAGCGATGTTGTTGTTCGTTGGTCGAATCCGGCTTTATTTGTCCATATCCTGGTCCATGCTCTGTGCGTGTACTGTATTCCAGCATCTGGTTGTGCGCATACGATGTGGGATAGTGTTGCGGTCTTGAGAATACATCTCTGTTGGAGAAAGAGATGCTGTTCTGCTTCGTGTTGTCATTGCCTTGTCGCATACGTGGATCGTTATCCATGCCGCTTATGTCGAGTCAGTCGCCCGTGGTCGTGCAGTGCGCTACTGAACGAATCCATTGAATCTGTGTTAGCCTGGTTGCGATTCAAATGTTCAGGTTGGATATGTAGACTAGGTAGAAGGTGAAGTAGGCCTAGAAAAAGCATGGGGAGTATTTTCGAGCTCAAGAACGCATTGATCAGGCATTCAATAATCAAGACTCAGGAACTAAAAGAAAAGCGTAATACGCACGCCCCAGCACCACGAGACTATTACAGACTAACAGCACTCGTTGTAGACAGTAGCTCCCCCTTCAAGGAGTGAGTTCGCATTCAGTGCGACGACGCGATCTCGCATCGGAGCACGGCGTGTCGGTATCCGGTGGTCCCGATGGGAGATATTCCAGCTAAGAAACTTATCGACGAGCAATCAAGGGGTATATAAAGGCACGGTCTTTCCTTCCTTTCCAGTCAGGTTGAAAACTGTTATATCGATCAACAATCGAAAAATGCGATATTCATGAAGGTTTTGAGAGGGAGAAGGATTGACATGACGTCGACAAATTGATGGGGGAAGGCGCTCTCCGCGTATAGCTACTTTGTGCGCGCTAACACCGTAGGCAGCGACCGGTCGTGGATGCTACCAGGGGAAAATGTCGCATTACGCTCAAACCGTTTTTATGAGATTGATATGATTCGTGTTGTTGAAATCTGTCTAATATCGGTGCTATTGAAGGCATATAAAATGGTATAAGTGGAACGCGTACGCCAGTCTCTCAAACACAGAATAGGAGATAAAACCCATCAAGACGATCCAGCGTCGAGTCTCCTAAAACGCCAATGCTGTAGTGAGTCTAAGTAAACCATGAATCAGTGTGTACATGCCAATGATGTGCTAAGGGTATCATGTCATAATATATATCAATGCGAGTGCCAGAAGTTAGGGGGGACATGCTGAAGAAAGCAAAAGACTGCTAGTTGAGTAGAGATCTAAGAAAATTTATGCACTGGACATTCCTTCTTTCGTTCGAACCAACCCACAATGCAAGACTTGTGGAATTTGCATAAGCATTCCAGACGGGCGAGTTTATCGCCAACTTCGTATTCCTCCATGCAAATAGTGCACTCTTGCGGCGTGCCGTCTTCACTGAGACAATCTTTTTCGGTCGCCGTAAACGATAGCATGCGTAGCAGGTGCGACGATTGTGGTGAGGCCACTCCGGGCGAGGACCCTGATGATCTGGCAATACAATCGCGAATGTGCGCTTCTCGCTCATCCTCACTACCGTCGATTCTACGGGGTGGTAGCTGCGTGCTGCAAATCGGACAGATATCTCTTTCATCAACGTGCGCTCGGTGTGGAGGACGAGAAAAGCGAGTACGGTCAGAGTCTGCCATGGATCGTACTCTTCGCGGGCGGGTGCCGGAAGGATCAAAGGGAACAATCCCACTCTCGGTATCAGGTCTAGGTCTATGAGATGAGAACTAGCTCTGGGTTAGAACAAATTTAGGCGAATAAATTTAACTAAAGCCGGCAAAGCTTACTGAATAAGATTGCACCCTGGCAGAGGATTGATGTGGCGGATGACTGAGACTCGAAGAGGAAGCATGGCGAGAGGAGCCCGGCTGCTGGCCATGAATCGGCTCAACAGGCGTCGGAGTAGCAGAAGATGTTCGGCGACCTAGAAATTCATCCAACTTGAGGATGGTCAGTGAGTTTCGCCGATACGAGTGATGATAGGAACACCTACCACCTGGTTTCGATGAGTATTGTTCTCTGCTTCGTTCTCTAGATCTCTACGAGATCCAAACATTTGAGCACCTGACAAAGAGCGGCGTACTTGATGGAAACGCTGGCTAATAGGAACTGTTGGCATCGTGGCGTCCCAATCCTGACCTGGAAGACGATCAAAACTACTTCGAATAGCCCCGTAGTTCAAAGGTGGAGCGGGGTTAGGATCTGGCACGCATGGATTACAGAGTCGCACTTCTTCCCCACCACCGAGTGCAGGATTGGAAGGGTAGGTTTCCAGATGAGGTCGGTTTGATAAACGGGCAGTGGTATCACGTATGTCATCGGCAGTGAGATCGACGACTGCGCGAGAAGAGTCGCGCCTGTGGCGGGGAGGGATCTCAGCAGTCGCTTGTTCGACTGGTTCTGGTGGCCGAACGATGTACTGTCGAGGAATAGTTATGCGGTGAGGGGAGCACGCTGCACACACGACCCGTCCGCACTTGCGACAATGATGTTTTCGATACCAAAAGCTAAACTGAGAGTTGCAGATGGGACAATGCGTGACCTCCGAGTCTGGCTGCCAGCGGGGCAGTGTGTATTCCACGTAGTTGTGCCGGTGCCGTTGATGCACTGTAGGCAGACTACGACTATGTTGTCGAGATAATGAAGCAGATGTATTGGCAACAACTGAAGGCGGAGATGTAAGATCGATAGCATTTTCCCGCGATGAGCCCGGCATATCTGATGGTATAAGATCGTTGCTGTCATCGCCGACAGGCAGCGATGGTAGTGGTCTGTCTTGCTGGAGTCTACCATGCGCCAAAGAACTTGGTACGCTCAAGGCAGACGGCCGTCTGTGTAGGGTTGCGTCATCATTCGCGGTAGCCGTAAGTCTCCTCTTGCGATCCATGTTCACTAAATGTGCCCTATGTTGTTCGTAAGATGTATCGGCATCTTCCGGCGAACTCGGGAGAAATGGTACAATCGGTCTGGTATCCCCACGATATACGGGAGAGCTGTTGCTCGAACCGGCGAAGTCAGTAGGATATGAAGGGAACGGATCCAGCGGACTATGCGTGAACGACGGCCGAGAGGACATGAATCGATGATTCTGTCGAATCTGTTTCGAAAGATGTGACAAGTGAGATAGAAGTGATGAAGATTCGCGGCGGATATTATAAGGTGGTGCACTAGTCCACCTGAAACCGATCCGATTGGCGTCGTTATCAATTCGTCATCAGTATGCCAGGGTGTATCGAATCGAGGGGTATCTGAAGAAGGGCGTGTGTTTGATTGAAGTGTGGAATATATAAAGCGAGCTCGATATAAAATCCCCTGTCCCTGCGAAGCCGGGTGGCAACCAAATATTATTGTATTGGTCAGGGCGGGCACGTGAGGAAGGGTCTGGAAAGCGAGGACTTCGACGCAACCGGGAAATATTGTCAAGATGGCTGTCCGAGGTTTCGAGGTCGATCTTTCTTCGTTCTAGATCGATTTCTTGTCGAGAAGCGGTCTTTGATAGGATTGATATCTTCTCGACCGGTGGTATGACGATGTCTAGATAGCGTACCAGCGCCCGATAAGGCTCATTCGCGTTGTTATCCGCGAAACTCGAGGAAGGCAGCTTCCCTAGGGAGGAACTCTCGACAAAGATAATACTCAGAGCACAGTAAGCAGAAACCCAAGTTTCAAGCACCCAGAGCAAAGGGAGACAGCGCCTTGGATGAATCATGAATCATGAATCATCAGGGAGGAGACCGAGTGCAAGGAAGGTGTAGATAGCGCGGCCGGCCTGGCGGGATTGGGCCCGCACTATGCCAGATGGCACTAACCATATTAAGATGGCCTGATCCATACACCAAATCAACGACAACACTTTTTTTCTACCACCCAGTCCATCGGACCTAGGTATGCTAAACAGAACAAGGCCTTAGACTAAAAAGGAGTCTGGCGACAAGGGGTGACTCTTATCGTGACCACTTATTTTGGCAGACACGGGGCATCCATAACCATACCCTGAAGTAATTGCAGACATGTTATGAGAATCTCTTAGTTCTTACCACTTGCTAACTCGATACAAACGAAGTATCATTACATTCGTATCTTTTCATGGGCTAGTTTGAAGAACGGTGCTTTCGTGCTTCAGATACCTGTGGATCTTTGTAGAACCTCGATCGAGACTCCACCAACATCAACGTGGAGATTACAGACATACATTGACCCGTTAATAGCGCCTTGTCTCTGGAAGTGGCTACCAGTTCAACAAATGAGGGAACCACACAAAGTCTGAAATGCGCTCAAAAACTGGCCTGATTGGTCAGAATTGCTATATACTCTGCACAGGCAAGAAGTAAATGCATCCCTATTTATGGCTTAATTTGCATAGCACCCGTCGATCAAGAGACGAACTGTATGACAGTATGAGTGAATTTCGTAGGAGCATTCAAGCCCCTCTATTGGGTACTCCTCGTGTGTTTGAGGATTTCATTGGCCCCTTGACAGAAGATTAACATTCCATCCCTCTTTTCACTGTCGAACGGCCCATGACTCGTTTGGTGTGTGGGTCAATCTACCTTGTAGAATCATATTAGCATTGTTGTTGTTTATCCAAAGAGGGAAGTCGGTTTACTCACTGGTATGGTGGTATCTGTCGTGTTTACTTTTTGGCCGTGGGTTCATCAATGCATAACGGATGTCTTTCGCCACGGCCTCTGTCTTGACTGTCACCAAGTCTTCATCGGAGAACATATCCGTCACCCCTTTCGAAAATCCGTCTTTAGTCTTTCTTCCTGGCCTGTTTAATCTCCGCAGAACATACGCGTGGGTCGAACTTATGACAGCCCAAAGCTACCCTCACCTGGACGTCCCATCGACGCGGACAAGCAGACCTTCTAACCTCAAGTCAACATCCAGCGCATCTCCAGTGAACTGCAACATGCAACAATCGAACCTGAGCCAATTGTCCTTCCCTGGACGAGAACCCGAGTCTCCAGCAACACTGACCAACCTTACCATCACCAACTCCATCAAAAGCGACGTGTCTCTCGTCAAGGACCCCGAGTTCTGGCGCCGTTTCTCCGTTGCCATTCATCAAGACGAGGAACAAGCCCGACAACCAGAGCGCAAAAAGACCGAAAGGTAAGCTCTACCTGCCGTTGTTAGACCTTGAGTCGTTGCTAACGGTTGCAGTGAATCGTGGCTCGCGCGTCAACGCAAAAAAAACCACCGTTCGAAGGTCTGGGGCTTCTTGATCGCTCTCATAATCGTGTTGATTGCCTGTGGAGCTGGTATTGCTATTTGGCTTCTGAGCAAAAACAATTGGCTCAGAAAGGAGACACCACATGCAGACCACACTCAATCTTGAGAAAATGGGCACCCCTTTTGTTCGACGCGCTTATGAAAGTTGATGTGTTTGGTTCATTATTTGTTTATCTTCCGTCGGCGAGAATTTCCTGGATGATATCATTGTTTTGCTATGTTTGCTCGTGTTGTTACTGCTTGATGTCGACTTGACGTTGCTGGAAAGGGAGTTTTGGAAGGCGTTCTTCTGCTGAATAATGAAAAGGACTGGAATAGCGAGGGGTTTGGGCGTCGATGGATTTTTTTTTCTTGCTCTCTTCGATGTATATAGAGCTGACTTTGATTATTGATGGCCAGCGCTTGTACATAGAAGCTGGACTTTGGGAGCGGCGCATGAGGAAGGTCCCCATGTACATACTATTTTGGTGAACTCTACTGCATAATGACTAATGGTGACTGCCTGAGGCCACTAAATCAATGATACATTAGTGATTGCAAACTATTATACAAAAGCGTCTTATAACTGGTGCCAGATTGATATGGCTTAAAACAAGCATCAGATAAGCCCGACTGTATCAAAACCTTGAACGCCACGCTTCGCATCTATAGCGAATCAACCCTGCCTTGCAGATTAATATAAAAGGTGCGCACAAAACACATCCACACGTTGATTTCTTTTTGTTTCCATCGTCAGAAAGTGTCTCTAGTATCTCCGACGAGTGGGCTCGGGGCTAGGGCTTCTGCTAACGCTGCGCTCGTCTCGACCGCGCTCCTTCAACCATTTCTTCGTGGCGAGATCAAGCTCTCGTTGCAGTTCAGGTGTCGGCTCTTTGCGATGAATGAAGTTGCAGAATCCGCCTCGAACACATCCTTCGCCGCTGTTTAACCGACAACATGCTTCTCGGAAATCTGTGACGGGCGATAATTCGCAATACACGGGTCGCGCGGCGTACCATCTGGAGTTGAGCGCATCGCATGCTGCTTGGGCGGAGTCTTCGTATTTGAAACGGGCGTAGACATTGCCGATTAAGTCTATTGAAAGAAAATTGTTAATATCAAGCCGTACAAAGAGAGAATAAGATGCAAACTTACGGTCATTGTTATTATCGCAGACAACAATCTCCTCAATCTCGCCATATTTGCACATCTCGCACCAAATATCCTCGTAGAATGCGTCAAAGTGATTCTGGATCTGGCTTGGGTTCATCTTATTCTTCGGGTCGTATGCTGGATTCTGGTAGAGATTTGGCAATAAGACTGTTTGCGAATATGAAGGCTTGACATGTTTTCGTGAGCAGCGATCGCCGTGGCGACAAGCTCCGATTTTGTAGTAGAAGGAGCAGTTGACTTTGTCTTGCTCGGTACCGAAGATCGAGGCAAGATAGTTGGCCATATCGTTTTTTGTGTTTGTGGTTGAGGTGGTTGAGAGACGTCGATATATGAAGGTAAATGATGTCGCTGATCGGCGTGGAGTACAATGTCGGGGAGAATGGAGGTGGTTGACAAGAAGAGATATCTGATTGATAATTTCAGTCGCAGTCGCAGAAGAGAGTAAGGTACGAGTCCGGTGGCGGATAAATTAGTCGAATACGGTCTAGCGCCTTCTAGAATCTCCGCCGGGCTGCGTCCAATCAGACGTCGAAAGCAGGTCGACGATCGATCTTTTTCATTCMCCAGCCATTATTGAACGATTTTTGGGATATGGATCCTTTTATCTGAAGCTTCTGTAGCCCCGAATGTTAATGTTGCTTTTTTCGGCGCTGAAAAGTGGTTGAATCTCAAAATCACTCCCTACTAGATATGTTGTTAGGAAAGTTCTGGATAGATATATATATCCGCTCTCCAATTCAAGACAACCAAGTGTCTCAAAACAATCGTGGAACCTCAGAAAACATTGAATTGGCACAGCACAAGACCAAGAAGCACAAAATGAATCAGCCATAGAAGTATTCCCAGTATCCAAAAATTTATTTACAGCAACAAGGCCTTTCTCAAATAGGTAGTACAAATGCCATAGATAAGCCATCGACGCTTATCAGCGGAGTTGGAGCGACAGCGTCCCGGTCAGGAAGGTCCAGCCTTCCCCGCATTCTATTTATCTCTCGACGATGTCCGCTCATTCAATCATTCTCCAATGAGTACTTTTGTCAACCCGTCGAGCTGACATGAGACAAGATGTTGCCTCCATTTGATTATTTCCGGTATACCCAGATCCGGTATGTCATTCCTGTCTCCGTTCTCTGACCAACGAACGCCCAGAATTCGCCGGTTAGATAGCTTCAAGCTAACGGACCACAGCAACACGAAACGTCGTCAACGTGAAGCGCGATTTTCCTCGCTCAGCCCCGACTATCACTCTCCAATCTCGGCTGCTGACAAAGCCATCATCAATAAACCTATTGAGGAGCTCGTCGGTGAAGTTCAAAATGGAACGGTCTCGCCTGTCGATGTGATTCGCACCTATGGCAAGGTCGCTCTCAGAGCCCAGGAAAAGACCAATTGCATTACCGAGCTTCTTCTGCCTGAAGCCGAACAATGGGCGATTTCTGAAGTTGATCTCAAGGGTCCGCTTGCAGGTATTCCGGTGTCTTTGAAGGATTCTATTCAAGTCAAGGGATTCGACACTTCGGTTGGCTATGCTTGCAAGGCACTCAATCCTTGTAAAGAAGATGGCGCCATAGTTAAGCTCTTGAAAGACGCGGGCAAGTTCTCAAACTTTTCCATGTTCAGTTTGCTGTAGATCTAACAACGTCTAGGAGCTGTTCCCTATGCCAAGACTGCGCTGCCAATGACCCTCCTCAGCTTCGAGTCAGCAAACGGACTCTGGGGAACTTGCCGAAACCCACACGTTCCAGGGTACTCACCAGGTGGTTCAACAGGTGGCGAGGGCGCCTTGCTTGCTCTAGGTGGACGTATCGGTGTCGGTTCAGATGTTGCTGGCAGCGTTCGAGCACCCGCGGCATGGAGTGGGATATATTCACTTCGTTGCAGTACCGGCCGCTGGCCAAAAACCGGTGTTGATACCAGTATGCCTGGTCAAGAGGGCATTCCTAGTGTTTTCAGCCCTATGGCGCGCACGTTGAATGACCTGAGCTACTTTACGAAGAGCATAATTGGCATGCAGCCATGGAAATACGACTTTACAGTTCATCCCATTGCTTGGAGAGACGACGAGAAGCAAGAAGCTAGCAGAAAGCAGCTACGTATTGGTGTATTGAAGTCAGATGGTGAGCTTCGCTAAGTATTGAAGATAAGAGCTTCGTTTCTAATGCTCCTGTGCTAGGCGTCATTCCACCGACACCCGCTATTGAACGTGCTATTGACACGACTGTCGCCGCACTTACTGCTGCTGGACACACAGTAGTGGAAGTTACACCCCCCGAAGCGGCTGACCCTTTCACTGGATTCAACCTGGCCTCTCAGCTCCTCAACTCTGACGGCTGCGTGACGTTCAACTCTTTCCGATACTCGTTCGAACCTACTGATCCCGGCGCCGCCCAACTGAGCAGAATCGCATACCTGCCTCGTGCCCTTCGATACGCTTACTACCTCTACGTTCGATACATCAAACGCGACGTCAAGTGGGCGACTGTGATTCGAGGATTTGGACCCAAAAGTGCAGCAGAACTGTGGCAGATTACAGCTAAACGGGAGGCATTCCGCAGGACATGGCATTCATGGTGGGATTCCGAGCCCCAGCAATATGACTTCATCCTCTGTCCCGCAAACGCCACTCCCGCTCTTCCTCACGGCGCTATGCACGATGCCGTTTCCTCATGCGGATATACATTCCTGTGGAACCTGCTTGATTATTCCGCCGGTGTCGTCCCTGTCAGCCATGTTGATCCGAAGTTGGATGCGTTGCCGTACAGCGGCAAGCGAGGGTACAAGACTGCTTTGAAGGAGTTGGGCCAGTACCATGCCATGGCTCGTGGTGCATGGATGCACTATGATGCCCAAAAGATGGCCGGACTTCCGACTGCCGTGCAAGTTGTTGGCCGTCGATGGGAAGAGGAGAAGGTTCTGGGCTACATGGCTGCAGTTGAGGGTGCTCTGGAAAAGGCGGGGAGTAAATATACCATTCTAGATGTGGATTAATCGTGTAAATACTAGTTCGCAAATCAGTATTTCAACCCTCCTGTTCTTGAGACTGAAATGAGTAGATCATGGTGTGATGATCCATGCACTGCTAAGTCAGAAGCGATAAGCGAACGCCTCATGCGTTGTCAGTCAATCGCCGCATAGATCGGAGTAAACCGCCATCTATTGGCCTGTCACCACGAACATGAGCATCAAGTAACGCGAACGCGTAAGCAAGCAGAAAGCACAATGACGCGCGGCTGCAGAATGACGTCGGTTAAGCATCGTATTGGAATCTCTAGTTGACAGGTGGGATCTGTCAAGTATCATATATTCCAAGGCATCGTCGGTATAGCATCAGACGGAAGTCGGGTAGAAGCGGGGGAAAGTCGAGCGAAAAGCAGGCGTCGAGTTGACATGATATGGCATGGCATGATGTACGTAAAGAAAAAAGAAAAATTCCCGAACAATTATCTTCCTATCTTATCCGCGACAGGACGAGTAAGAAAAAGTGTAAATAGTCCCATGTGATGGTGGCATGGCGTGCATGTTACACCGCTCTATCAGAGTCTCACTGCTCGTCATTCTGATCGGTTTCCTTTGGGGTTTAGACTTTTGTGTGGAATGTTAGATCGATAGAACCGGCACCAAGAAAAGAGAGCCGCCAGAGCCGCTAGGACTGGCTCAGATCAATCAGATCACGAGTAGACAGTATGACTGGAAGAGTAGCGTGGCGTGGTGACATGGTGATGTGTTCAAGAGACTCATTTGGTGATCACTGCTCGCCCCCACGTGTTACTGTAAAGAGACGAAATTACGGTACGGTACATGTATGGCAGACCGTCAGACGGTACACAGACCGGCAGAGCCACTTACTAAAGTGGGGAGCGGCCCGAGATCCATACCAAAAGGGTCAAGTTCCTGAAGCACACAAGCTAACTATATTGGGACATAGAAGACTGAGGATGTGGTGAATAGTGACTGATTATGCTTATAACTTTTAACTAGACTAATTGAAAAAAAATTATCAAATGAATTCAGAAGATTTCTACTGTTAAAATAATATTTTCCAAATTCAAGATTGCAGATTTATCAATTGATCATTATATACAGCTTGAATTAATGGGCATCAAGCAACATCAAAAAGATTCATAAGCATAAAATATGTAAGCACTAATATTATTATGTAATGAACTTAGAAATCAATCAAACTGTCTACTATCAAGGGCCAGACAAGTCAATGGTACCTAAATAGCCATTTTAGGGCGTAGGGCTATAGCGCAACGGAACTCGTAAGTATATGGAGCTCAGCCGTTCAAAGCCACCTCTCCTGATCACCATTTTGACTCAAGAGTAAGCCACTGGACTTTTCATCCAGATGGTCAATGACTTGGAGACACTTTTGAACACTCTCCTCAGGCTGAATCTGCCCCTTGAGCTCAGGATCGGCTATCTGGAACTGCTTTAGCATGAATTCCTCCCCTTGTACTACCTCAGCTGGTTTTTCTCCTGCGATAATATTAGTATACGCTATATTTGCAGCAAGGCATGGAATAGGCACTTACCATCATACGTATTAACCCAACCTGGGCTCAAAGCCAACACCTTGATGCCCTTCGGTGCAAGTTCAGCTGCGTACTTGGCGACCTGGACATTCATTCCGGCCTTTGCGACTGAGTACGCAACGGCATAACTGATGCCAGTCTTGTTGATGAGATCAGGTAGCGCCATGGCGGAGGAGATGTGCACGATCTTTTTCTGAGTTCCTTCCTCAATCAGGGGCAGGAAGGCATTCGTCGCCCATAGACCGCCATAGATGGCTGTCACGAGCGATGGCTCGAACATCTTTTGGACAGCCTCGGCATCAAAGGGAAATTGACTCGGACTTAAGGCCGTAGTAGCAGAGTCAACGGCGTTGGAGTTGTGGATAAGCACGTCTAGCTTTCCGCCTGTGATGGTGGATGCGCCTGAGGCGGCTTCGAGGATGGACCTTGGGTCTGTGACGTCGCCTTTGATGATGTGCACGTTGGGGTATTTGGAGGCGACTTCATTTATGTCGGATGCTTTGGGATTTCGTACTATAGCTAAGACTGTATTGTCTGTATTGGCAGCGAGTTGGCGTATAAACTCGAGGCCAATGCCTTTTGAGGCTCCGGTGATGGCGTATGAAGACATTTTCTTTTAGCTAGTGATGGATATCAATCTGTTGCTGATGCCATTGTGAAAGTCATTACCATAACTCCCTTTATAAATGTTTGGCAAATACAAAGTTGAAGTCGAATTAATAATGCTGAAGAATGGCGGATGACAAATCGGTGCGACCGGAAGATCCGTTCTGCCCGGTCCGCTTTTTCAGCAACACCCACACGACCGGCTGCTCCGTTTCCCCCATCTTCCTTTCATATAGAACGTCATGACTTCCACATATACAACGTCATGACATCCACAACACCAGCTGTGAAGAGAAGAGCATGTGTGGCGTGCACGATTGCCAAGGCGAAATGTACTCCACAGACTGTCAATATGTGCCAGCGATGCGCTCGTCTGGGGAAGTCATGTACATACCTTGATATTCCGCAGACGAAGCGGAAACACAGAGCTGCACCAAGGTATTTCTTCCAACCTATTCAAAAGTTTTATTGTTAATCAAGGATTTAGCCGGGTGGAGCTGCTGGAGAAAAAGGTCGAGCAATTGAAGTCGCAGCTGGCTGTCTTGACCAGACAGAATGGGCAGACATTGCCCGAAACTTTCACACCACTCACCGATAATGACTTGGGCTCCTCTCGCACCTCTGACCTGGACTCTGCAGATATTAGTACGCTGCTAGAGGTTGCTAAAGACCCAGCCCATGGCATCCACCCGCCGACCAGCTCTGTACTGTCGGGCCAGCTGTCTATCGTGGAGCGAGGGCTGATGAGCGAAGCAGAAGCTGAACGCTTAGTTGCGACTTATCGGTTGGAATTTGTCCACAGATTTCCATTTGTACTACTCGCACCTAGTGAGACAGCCGTGCGCATCAGGCATCGAGAACCTTTTCTTTTTTTATGTGTCGTGGCTGCAGCTATGAGTAGTGCGCATCCTCTACGCAAAACTATAACCGAAGAGATCATGAAGCATATCACATTGCGAATTGTAACATGTTCCGAGAGGAATATTGAGTTACTCCGCGGCCTGTTAGTTCATATCGCGTGGTACTCGTATCCTGCAGAAAGGCATCATCCGCGACTATTATTGTTGATTCAGTTTTGTGTTTCTATCCTGTATGATTTGAACTTACACCAAAAGCCTGATATAAATCCGGATGAGCATCGAGCGCTACTCGGTACATATCGGTTGTCGAATAGGTGAGTTTGTCTGCGTTAGGAGAAAAGGCTTTGACTAACAGTTTAAAGCCTGTCTTACTCACTTGGTCGGCCGACTGGTATAGAGCATGACTCTCGGATCGACGAGCGCATTGCAAGTCTAGAATATATGGAGCATCTGTCGGATCGTTGCATTACACCATTTATCCGCCTACAGTCATTTGTGACGACAATGGATGAAGTATATGCTTCTGTACAAGCGAGCGGTGGGAGGACTGCTGTACAAGTTATACGCAACTCACTGCAACGACAATTCGATAGCATGAGGGCACTTGTAGAGGTAGACCTCTCAAGCTGTCCTTCCTCCACAGGTGTGTCTTAATCTGAAGTACTAAGTGGACATTGACTGATCAACTGGCAGGGAACACAGTGCTCATCGAAATCAAACGCGCGGAGATGCGGCTTGACGAGCTATCTCTTCGGGAAAAGCTATGGAATACAGAGCCTGCGAGCCCTGTCCGGATAGCAATGCTGATTGGTATAATCCAGCGGAGCAGAGAGCTCATTCATATGATCAGAAACCTCCCGTCGTCGGAGATTGACCATCTGACGGTATCAACAAGTGCCAATTTATGTGCTGCAATAGGCTACATGCCCATTGCTGTTTTGAGTCTCGTGAATCTTATAAGTACCAGCTCTGTCGACTCTGCCATAGAGGCCCAGGTGCAGGCCGTCGCTGATGTGGCTGAGTATCCTAGTATTGTCACAGAGCTTGCTAACACGCTGGAAATGAAGTTTGAGGGAATGTCTGCTGCAGACAAAGAGGCAGATATTGTGGGGAGCATTTGCACGAAGATGCGGCTGTTGGCACGCTGTTATCCATATCAGATCAGGGCAATTGGTGGGAATAAGCACCTATCCCAAGATGCGAGGCAGCATACGTCCACGATGGCAGTTGACGCAAACGAGGGTATAATGACACAAGCCTGGCCGTCTATTTATGGAGATCTGGACGATATTTTTCCTATCGATGACATTCAGTGGGATCAGCTATTGAGCGATTTTACCGGTTTTAGCTAGCGTGCTAATATTCCCTTCGATGTGAATTCAAAGTTAGGTACATGGTTTAAAGATGATCCAAACTCCGTACTACTACAGTATACATATTGATGTCCTGCGGGTTCAAGGCAACGGCCAAGTTACTCGATTTGGCAGACTCTTCGCATACGTACACACTCATATCCTAAAAAGGAAGGAAGCCCTAACGGGTGGAACGGGAAACGGAGTTTCCGATCAGATCACGGATCCACAAATCCACATATAACTACCTAGTATATTCAATTCTAACTATTCGAAATTTATTAATTTATGTGGATTGTCGTGATTCAACGTACAATCGAATAAAAATGTAGAAATATCAGAGGGATATATGATAAGTAAGGTTAAAAATCTACTCATCAATGTTAGGCTAAGTTGAATCCATTGCTATATATTGCTTGGCATGTGACCTGTGTTTAACAAGATCTCCAAGTGCGGGGCGCCTGACCAAGCCGATCCTTACATAATCTTCCAAGTCGATTAGCGTACTGGGGTAATAATACACAGAACGTAATACCAATACAATCGTGAGACGGTCATTTCACCGTGGGGCATGATGTTGATCTTTCTAGTATCTCGTCTGCTGCGCTGCTCGATTCATGATTTTGTAGTTTCTATCAACTGTTCTTCTGGATGATTCTTCTTCTTGCGTTCCTCATTCCTCGCTCAATCATTCGTTGCATGCTGGAAGTACAGTCTAGGCTACAGCAACAGCTGACAGGAACTAGTCGGACTTGGTCCACTCTGAATGGCAGTGGATGCCTTCGCCACGATTCCCCGATTTCCGTCGACTGTGCCTGACTAGTTTGTGTGCTTGGTCGGCTTATTTATTAAAGACGCAGTCGCAGTCAGTTGAAATCTAAATAAAGTAGTTGTGAGTTCTTTTCTTCCTCTTGATACTATTCTTTCTGCGTTTGAAGTTAGTTCATTGTGTTGACTACCCAACTCGGTTGCATAGCAGTAACTTCAACCTCCCGCATTTTACAGTCAGATCTGAAACGATCTACTCACGAATGATTGACACCAATCACTTTCCAATTTCGTTACTACAAGTCTCAGGACTTTGTCCGCGGGCCGGTTGTAGTATATGTAGGCTCGTTACGCCTCAGTTATGGAGAACCCTAACAGTTCGGGTGGCGATTATTGGGGAACCTTGATCAATGCCGACAAAAGTCCGACTCCTCTGCTGGAGGAACTCTGTATCGCGTTGGCGCAGTTGATGGTAGGACTGATGATATCGATATACCACGCTAATACAAGGAAGCTGATGAGAGCCAAATCTAGATTAAACACGATGCCGGCAATGGATCGACCGATCTGACTCCTGATAAACTCGCTCGTTTTTATCGGGAAGTAGGCGGGAACTACGATACTCTCTTTCTGGAGACGAAAGGATCCGCGCTGTCCTTCATATATCAATCACTCGGGTGTTTTCATACCCTGCAACCAACGACGAACCCGTTTGAACCGCCTTGTATACCAGCTCTATTGCCTACTGGATTCGTGCGATGGCAAGTCATCAACCTTCTGCTATGTCCAGACGAGCATGTGAGATACCTGCAAGAAGCCGTCAGTCGCTGGGATGTGCCAAATCCGTGTGGCGGCACATTTCCAAAAGTCATCCCTCGTGAAGCATTCCCGCAAGCTCCAGACAAAGATATGGTGGAGTGGCATGAAAACGTGAGCAAAAGACTACAACAGGACCATGCAGACCAAAACTCGTCCCGTCGAAGTCCACCCGTTGACTTTGTTCGCTACTACTCGGCCGCAACCGGCGCACGCAAGTATCGCCATCCTTTCTATGAGAGAACCCATCGCTTCCAAGACGGCAGCCCAGCACCAAATGCGCGAGATTTCAGCGATCATGCTGACGAAACTCGTCACCATCGAAGGCGTCATAGCCCCGACGGCAGAGGTTATCGAGCGCGGGTATTTGGGGACGGTGCAGATATTCGACCCGGTTCGCGGACAAGTTCTCGCAATCCATCACCGAGACAAACGGCATCTCCAGCGTCGGCAGCTCGCGTTCCGATGCGATCAAAAACGACTAGCGCGCGACATCGGGATTTTGCTTCGGAGCGGTTGTCTTCGTACCGTAAACACCGACCAATGAACTCATCCGACTCTTCGAACAATGATGACGGGCTTCTTCCGCAGAGACGACATGGATCAATTGATGATCGCCGACATGGACGTTCCACTCACTTATCACCAGCTCGTCCATCGCGGCCGCCACGGCGTCATTCGCATGACGCAACTTCGCCGATGGCAGGTGATTCAGATGTGTCGCCAGAGAAGTCCCGAAAATCACACCGATATGATCGCCACGCAGCTCCTAGGACGCAATTCCACGAGGATATGTTTGACGACACGCCTCGTCCTGGTCGAAAAGCCGACCAGCCTTTACCATACGAAATCAACCCTAATATACCCAATATACCGCGCGTCCACGTCAGATACGATGGATCCCCGACCGAGCCTCGTGCATCGAAACGTGGAAGCGGATCAAGCGGTTCTGAGCGGGCGCGTTCGTCGAGTAACGGGAGCGGTGGTGGTGGTGGTGGTGGTGGTGAGGCAAGCTGGAAGAGAAATATTAGTCCGCATCGTAATGGAAGGAAACTTTCGCATTCGTGATTAGTCAGTGGATTGACTTTTGAAGAAACTTTCCCACTCACTCGTATCTCGAGCAGATCCTGGTATCTCTGAATCGTTATCTTGGATAACTCCACTCAATCTATTCACCGTCACGACGTGCCATTGTATTTTTTACTGCATGATCATTTTGAGCGCGTCGATTTCCCTGTACATAGGCATATACCATATTGATTCCAAGGAGATGAAGATGAAATTTGAATTGATGAAGATATCTTCAAGAGAAAGTAGTGTATATAGTTAGTTGGTCCTTGGAGGAGATGATTTCATGCTGACAATTCCAGGCTGTGGGTCAGTCAAGCCATTCCCCGCTTTCCCTGCCGCTCCCAAATCCGATGATAAGAACCTGACCTTCAAGCTTCCTCTTTCTGGTTTCCTGCTTTCGACTGTACTCTTCCTTTTCACAAATCTCTTCCATCAATTCTGAGTCGACTTTGATCAACTGTTTGAGTACTACTGTCGCTGCACTGCAACCTTACACACCGTCTGCACTCTGCAGTTGTGATCTAGCTTCCGGATTGCAGGCAGCTCTCCCCAATCACATCGCAAAACGGCTATAGCTTCGCTATATAGGCAACACATGGGCAGAAGCCACGCAATCACATCATTATAGCCAAGGGTACTGTCATTTACTCGAATGGTAATTACTATAGGAACTGGCAATTCATTATGATCGTATAAATCATCATCCCTGCTCTCTCTTTTCTCAATTCGGTTTTCACATCCAAAAAAAGGAAATCCTATCTAAATCGACTTGTTCAACGAGCACCTTGAGCAACACGCAACATGTCTCTAGGCCGTGTCTCATACTTAGAGTCATGGGAGCATCATCCGCCGGCGTTCATTCGACGACCTAGTTTCGGTGACGGGCCAGCATCTGGCGACGAAGAATCTATCAATCGGCATTCTCGAACACAAAGCCCAGACCCACACTTTTCTCCTTCTTCATTACCGTCAAGCTTTCCAAGTAGGGCTATTCATCACAAGCTGAGCTTCAATCCTATTGCGGGAAGAGGTTGGGCTCATAGTTCTTTAACCGCGCCGGATGAAGAGCAGAGGCCGTTGTTTCGGCCTGATGTTAGCCCTGATTTGACTATTCAAGATGCGGGTCCAGCGAGACTTGCAGAAGACGGCATTGCAGCTGAGAATGTTTTTCAGGATCCGAAATGGGATACTGCAGAGACAACACCAGCTTTTGAAGTGAGTAGTGGGAAAAGAACATGTAGGTTATATCTACCCGTGTCATGGTGTATGTCGGTACTAACTACAAATTCAGTCCAGGTGATAGTGGCGGTTATCTACTGTTTGCTTGCTGCTGGTCCAGTTTTTGGGTTCGCCGCTATCAAACCGGTATTTATACGAGAGGGTGTGTATCGAAATCGATGTACTAGTGACGAACTGGAGCATGGATTTGGATTATGCTATGGGCAAGAAACTCGGTATGTACATCTAATATAGCCCTATCTTCTCGGCAATAAACTCACTGGACAGACTGAATTTGATGTTCACCATCGCAGCAGTTGCCACAAACATTTGCGCCTTACCTGTTGGCACGTTGCTCGACACTTATGGTCCCAGAGTTAGCGGTATCGTCGGAAGCGTCCTCATAGCTATCGGTGCTGTTCTATTAGCCGTTGCCTCTAAGATTCCATTCGATGTATATATTCCTGGATACCTTTTCCTCGCATTAGGTGGTCCTTTCGTGTTCATCTCGTCATTCCAGCTATCGAATGCCTTTCCTTCACGTTCCGGTCTGATTCTGTCGCTTTTGACTGGTGCTTTTGATGCGTCAAGCGCTCTGTTCCTTGTCTTTCGAATTATCAACGAGAAAACCGAGGGCACTTTTACCGTCCAAAAGTTCTTTACAATCTATCTGGTTGTTCCGGTATTCATTCTACTCGCCGAGTTGTTCGTCATGCCGGGCGCATCTTACAAGACAGCGGGAGAGCTTGTCCTTCAAGCAGAACAGGTCATTGTTGCGGAAGCCAATGACACTATTGACGAATCACTGCCGGAACCCGACGAGGCCGAAAGGCAACGCGAGAATCGCCGTGCCGAACGACAAGATATCGTCAATAACATACAAGACCTTCTTGAAGGCTCCACAAGCCGGAAGATTGATGACATTATCTTTCACGAAAACGCCCCGGCAGCTGTAAACTACCAAACCCAGGAGTCTATTCAAAAACCCGACACACAGCCTCCAGCATCCAACGACATCAAACACAGGTCAGGAGGCGTCTGGGGTGCTATGCACGGAGCCTCCGCTCTGCAGCAAATCCGTAGTCCATGGTTCATTCTGATTACTGTGTTCACGGTGTTGCAAATGCTTCGCATTAATTACTTTGTGGCCACAGTCCGCTCTCAGTACGATTATCTTCTTGGCTCACCAGAACTTGCTCGACAGTTAAACGAGTTCTTTGACCTTGCTCTCCCGGTCGGAGGCCTCATTGCCATCCCGTTCATTGGCACGGTTCTTGACAATGCCAGCACTGCAATGGTCCTCTTCGCATTGGTCACCACATCCACAATTATTGGTATCCTTGGTTGTATTCCCGGCAGTATTGGGTTCGGATACGCCAACGTCGTTCTGTTCGTAGCTTATCGTCCATTCTATTACACCGCGGTGTCCGACTACGTAGCAAAAGTATTTGGATTCCAGACATTCGGCAAAGTGTATGGACTGGTGATTGCTCTTGCAGGTATTTGTAATTTTCTGCAGACGGGTCTTGATGCTTTGACGTTCAAGGTCTTTGATCGAAACCCGACGCCGGCCAATGTGGTATTGACTGTTCTGGTTGCTGTTGTCGGATCCTTCCTGGTGACTTATGTTTCTTCCAAAGCTCGCGAATTGGCGCACTCGCAGACTGATATGACCGGTGAGGAGCAGGCATTGATATCGGAGGGCCAGAATGGGCGCCAGAGCGGGGGTTCGTACGGGGCGGTTTGATTTGGTCGTGGTTCTGCGTTTTCTACCAATCTGAACATCTGTACATCAGCATATCATTTAGCCATATAGTAGATATCTCATTGCCTTTGTTGTCTTCCCAAATTGACGCTATCCTGATCTGATGGTGTGCGGCCGCACGTGGTTCCGTCCGTCTGGTGATTGGGGAGCTAATCGTCAGCTCCTTCCATCCCAACTCGATCTCCGTTTGTAGTGCTCTTCTATAGTGTTCGTCTATAGTTTTGTTCCGTCTCATTTTGGAGTATCGTCATCTTGTAGAGTGGTCTGCAGCGTCTGATGTTGTGGTGTCATAACGGGCTGTAGGCTGATAGAGTATCGTAGTCAGCTTCAACACATCTACTGGACCCTGACTGATAGTTCCTACCGAAGTTAGAGGCCCCTGTCTTACCCAGTTGTAGCAGTCCTTCCTCTAAGTCTAGATAGTAGTCACGATGAGTGGTAAGTGCTTCCCTGGTGGCGTGGTACTGCCCAAATGAGCCTTCTCCCAACCCAGGAAGGTAATCTAATGAGATTCTCTATCTGGAAATGATAGATTCTGCAGTTCCCTATTGATTACCGCCAAACTGAAGCCATAATACACGCTATCTGGGTGGTGATTGTCGGTAATGGTCTGACAATGGTGCTTTTAGCACCCTCTGTGCTGAGGTCTCTACGTTCACTACTCTGGTCCTTCCTAGTATCGATCTGTTCAGCTCGATGAGTAGATCAGTTATACAATTTTAGATACTTGATTACTACGTTCGTTAGCCTCTATAGTAGCCTCCAAAACCAGAGTATTGTATCCATCTGGCCTTCATCCTTCCGATCTTCTACCTCCTAGGTGCTATACAGCGCCCTTTGACGCCTTCCACACTACACATCGAATATGGGAATGATCTTGGTATCTATAGGTTCATCTCGTCAATCTGCATGAACTACACCACAATACAACTATCTGCAGTCCTTTCGAAAATCGTATTCCTCCGTTTTCCTCTCATCCTATACAAACCGAGTCCCTCCCATTCTCCCATTCTGCCGCTTCTCAACCTACTCATTTTGGCAGGAGCGCTGCCCTCGCACCCGGCACAAGCCAATGAGAGCATCAGAATCTCTGAATGACCTCAGTTCCTGCCTCTTGAGCACTCCCAAATCCCAATATACCGCCTTCTGGACTATTTCTAGCTCCCACTGCCGTCCCTGTTCTGCTTTCCTTTCTTCTCTTTCTCTCCTCACAGCACCGCTGCCCGCTTTGTTCGTTTGGTCCGCTTGCGCTCCTTACTGCTTAGTTCCCACCTCTTGGTACCCCCGCGTGTTTCCATTGACTATTTCTGCTGGCAGTATAGTCATGGATCCTATTTTTTTTCCCCCTTCTTCTCCTTTCCTCTCCTCTCCCATTATGGACCGGTCGTCCTCTCCTTTCTTTCTGGTACCGATACCAGAGTGCCGTTCTTTTGTTACTTCCTCCTCTGACCGATCCTCTTCTCCCTTTATTTTGGAACCGTCTGACTCGCCAACGCTTCCTCCCACTTCTGTAGTGATTCGGAAAAAGGTGGCGCCTCGGCCCACGCTTATCCCACCACCTCCTTCTGGCCAGCTGCGACAGCGACCATTGCGTCCCGCCTCCCGATTGCCTGTACCAGTCATTCGTCAGGTCCAACCGCCACGTACCGTCACTCCCCCGCAGTCAGCATTGGTGTCGCAGTCTTTGATGGACCGTCGATGGGCTCGTCAGCAGCGTGAACGCCCTTGGGCTTCCGCTACCCGTTCGACTCCTATTAGACTCACCTCTGCACTAGCCCGGTCCATCATCTCTCGTTCAGCCGTTCGATCGGCACCGCATAAGCCTCTTCAAGGCGCCGACAGTTACCGGAGTGTGAACTCCGCCAAGGCACCAGCGAAGAAGGTTTCTTTTGCTGAGGTTAAGACCGTGAAGGTTGTCTCGCGCTGGATCAATGACGTGCCTGCCGATTATTCGGAATGGCGCCATCATTGATTCAAAGTCATCCAACTGCCGCCACTCTTTTCGACTCATAGAGACAGGAGTCTTCCTTCCTTCATTGTACTAGCCGTTGAGGTCTATGATCGTCCGGATTAGATCTTGTCCAACGCCGATGACCCCTTGGATAAGGGCGTGCAGACGACACTGGTTTGCACTCGCCGCACGTCGGGCTGTTGATTCGTTGTTAGCTTGGCTTTCGACTAGCAGTGACAAGACCCCCACTCCTCGCGTTTGGGTATCTGGGCCATAGTATCTTTCGGCCGCAGGCAATACGACGTTCGTTCATCGATCTCTTGGTTTCTGACCAGCCGACGGTCGATGTTGTTCCTTCATAGCTCCGCCCATTCAGCTTTGAGCCTTCAGTCACTCGTTTACGAATACACTTGTACACCCTGAGCTTTGTCTCACATACATTCTTTGCACAAATAGGTGTGTTCGGCAAGACCTGGGAAGGCCTAGGGTGGGTTAACCAGCTCGTGATCTCAGCTATTAGTGGTGCACACCTTACCGACGATTTCATTTCGGAGACTCGTCGAGGGGACCTGGTGATGCACCGGCTTTTTCCAACTCGATAAGGTGTAAGTATTCTCCTGTTCATGAATCGCGCTAACCACTTTTCTTTCGGGGTGTCATCGCCCCTAGGTTCTGTGGACGCGACACCAACTACATACGTTCATTCTGGTCGCCTTCTGGTTTAGTTCTTAGTCTAGTCGCTTGCTTTCGTGATATCAGTTCGCCGAGGGTTTTTTTTCTTTTTTGTTTTTCCCTCGTAACATCAACTGTTTCGTATATCGAGGCGCTTGGAGTCGCGAGGGGACAGGTTCCCATGTTCCTTCATTGTCCGTTATGTCTTACCCATCATGTCTGTGCCATCATGTCTTGTTCACCACATCTTTCTTTTCTCTCGCTTATCTTTTGCTCATGTGTTTTTGCAATGCATTACTCTCGTATATCGAGGAAGTTGGGGCAGACGGACAACATCATCATTTCTTTGACACCACTTGTTGTTACATCACTCATCTCATATATCGAGACTTTTGGGGTGACACATGACAAGATCTTTCGCCATTTGCAGCATGACTCTGTGAAGAGACGTTTGTGTTGTGATGAAGGTTGCTTGGGGGGGTCCCATGTCGTCGGAAGAGAGTTTCTCGTTCGGAACAAAGGGGTTGGCAGTCGGACCAAGCCTGATTGGGGGAATTAGGGCTAATCGCCCTTCGAAATCTTTTCTCGTTCGTCCCCCCTTTCCTGCTCTCTTCCCTCTCCTCTGAAAAGCAATACTGACCTCCATGAGAATAGAATACAGAGTCCCGCTTCTTCTCAGTATTTCATTCGCTGAGTTCACGCACAAAACCTCGCTCATTTTCCGATGATGAGTATTGAGACTTTATGATGATTTATGAATGGATTTTGTTTTCATAGTCGTTTGTGGAAGGTTACTGGGGGTCGAGTCAGGTTCAATTKACTGTACTGAACGATCGTAAAAGCTCAATAACACACGGTTATCAACCATTTCATAAGCCGAGTATTAATATATTGACATCGACTAGCATTATTACTCATTCAAAGGAAGAATCTCGGGAATAGGTCCAGCAGGCACAATCAAACCCCCTCCATCAACGCCCTGCTTCCTCCCCAACGCCTGCAAATAATTAATCTTATACAAATGCAGATAACTCGTTTTCTTAAACACTCCCCCTCTGGTTCTCTCTGACTCATCCCAGTATAGCAACCGAAGCCAGCGATGGATACGCGGATAATCATGCCGAATCATTTTGATATTGCACTTGAAGACGTGATGATACGCCGGGTCAAAGCGGATCAACGTCGTGTATAAGCGTATATCTGCTTCGGTAATGTGTTCGCCGAATAGGTATGGTTGATGTTCCGGAGCCCCGAGGTGCTGCTCAACTCTGTCTAGTGCTTCAAAAAGAGGGTATACATTCGCATCATACGCTTCCTGCGTAGTCGCAAATCCAGTTTTGTAGACTCCATTGTTGATTTTGTGGTATACCCATTCATTCATTTCGTCAATCTCAGCGCGTAGATGGGCTGGGTAGAGACCTCCACCTGGTTTATTCTCTTCTCGCAGGTCGGGGGGAAGTAAGTCATCGAATTCGGTGTAGAGCATGCGGATGATTTCGCTGCTCTCGTTGTTGACGATTGTTTCTTTCTTCTTGTCCCATAGGAACGGAACGGTGTATCGTCCCGTATAGTTCGGGTTGGCTTTGAAATAGAGCTCGGAAAGATATTTGCCGCCGTATAGGGGATCCCGTTCGGCGGCACCGTCGACGCCGGTGAAGTACCATCCGTCGGGTCCCAGGTCGTTGCCGACTACGACTTGCTGGATCGTGTCTTCGAGGCCCTTGAGGAAACGTACGATGTTGGCGCGATGTGCCCAGGGACAGACGTAGTTGAGGTAGAGGACGTAGCGGTTTGGTTCGGCGGGGAACTCGGCGGTGGGGGAGCGAGAGATGGAGGAGCGGAATGCGGAGTCGCTGCGCCGGAAGTGCCCGTCTTTGTCGGCGTGTTTGTAAATTGCTGGTTTCTGTGAGATGTTAGTTGGGTTGTTGGCAAGCTGAGGGTACAGAGAGGTGTACGTCTGCCATGGTGTGATCTCGTGTTATAATCCTGGGGTTTCAGTGGTTGATTGTTTGATTTTTGCTCCAGAACCACAGGCAGTAAGAAAGGGTCTATATATGACCTCGAGAATCAGACCATATCGATTTGTCAGGATTGCTGTGTCCGAGTCATGGTTCAAGTACGAATTCCGCGATCATAGGAATTATTGCGACGAGAGGAGGGGCATGACGTAATCTAGTGATTGCTAAGCATGCATAATCAGAACTCTATTTTGAATAGCTTCACTTTATTCTTCTATTGATACTTTTGATACTTAGTATTCTATGTTCTGCACAAACAGTTAGTTTTGTGACCTACCTAAGTCTGATCGATTTGTGTCATTCATGTATATATCTGACATTCTTCGCGTCTTATATGTACCTATCCAGCATCCCCCTGAGAACATCTACAGTCGTCGTATGTATTCGCCCACGGCGCCGTGGGACAATCAACTGAACGATTCCTGGTGTCCCTCTAATAGTTCCAGTATAGGAATTTCCGTGCTTATTACAAAACTTGTCACTAGATCCAAAGATGTAGTATATGCCTCCTCCATTGACCTATACCAAATACACTCGTGCTTAGGAGAATCCGTCATGGCTATGATCTCTGAGCGACAACCTTGGTCAAAGTATCAAGCGAAGTAATGGTGAGACTAAAGGGACAATCGTCGCACTCGGTGATGTATCCCCGCCATTGGCAATCAGAAGAGCAAATGATCTCTGAAAAAGATTGCAATGTTCGCATTCCAAGTATTGAGTAGTGGTGTAGTGCCGTCTGTCCTTCCACGATATTTGGCCAGATGACTAAGTTATGCCAGGATAGAGATGAGTTTGGATCTCGTGTATGGCGAATCTTTGCTCGGCATCATTGTCTTTGATGGTAGGGTACGGTGCTCGACGATGGTCACAATTGACGTTCGCCTTGCTCAGATCAGGGGACCGTAAAGATATGAAGCACTCATTTATCCTTCACTGCGAGGAGCATGTTGGTCATCATGGGTTGCATCCCGCTCGGTAGATCATTTGAGATGGAAGTCTCGCTCGGAACGACTTTGGTGAGTACGTGATGGATTGAGGAATGCCAGGTCGTCGACAGCGACGCAGACGTTGAAACGCGATGGTTTGAAAGAAATATTTGTCCATATTTCGTTATTAGAGGTTAGGTTCTGATGAAGGTGAGGTCGTGTGTTTCACGATCGATTTGGAAAGGATGTGGTCTGTAAGTACTCAGCAGTCAGTTGGACTTCAATATCAAGGTGAATAGATTCGGTGATACCTGAATTTCAAAGGCATACTCAGCCCGGTTCTGTTCGTGAAGTGCCTCATGACATGATGCATTTGTCCATTGATTGTTGTGTTTCCTCTCTCAAAGCACTAAAGGTTCGGATGCGTCGTTAGGTTGGACCTTCCATATGTCCAGTCCTCCTGCTAACAGACAATCAAAACCCTCAACGAACCAATGAAGATGAATCTCAATATCGTTATCAAGAGCCTGATTCACGTCAACTATAGAAGAGCCAAACCAGCACGGTGCTAACCCCATTCATCAATACATCGGCATCTTCGTCTCCGTCCTCCGTTGCAATGCTCACCCCTTCTCGCACTGAGACGGCACTTAATTAGCAGGCTGACAAATCTTGGAAAGCTCAAATACCGATCCATGAAGTCGAAAAATGAGGCCAAACAATTACCTGCGCTTCTTGTTCTGATTGGTTGAGGGTGGGCGCGGTGGATCTTGATATACTGCGCTTCGGTTTGTGATTGGCCACGGCTTTGAAGATTATTTATACTTATTTCTGATGACTGGATTGATATGAAGATCAAGAAATTTTGAGTAGAGGAGTATGTATTGGATTTGTAATTCGAGATAGTATTCGGACGAATTTCGACCATGTCGTGATAGGTCCGTTGGTCTCGTAGGTATAAATCAGTTCGCTCCTTCCTAGTATACCTCGCGTATTTGATGCATCAAGGAAACTGCCAGATCTCTCCTCTACATTGCATACTGCCTGTATCAAACATGAAGACCATACTAATACTCGGAGGATCCTTTACCGGCGTCAGTACAGCCCATCGAATCCTGAAACAAGCCTCGAAAACCGGACCTGCCGTCAAGGTCATTCTCGTATCCCCAAACACGCATCTCTACTGGAACATCGCCGCTCCTCGAGCCCTACTACCAGGTCAGTTCACGGATGAAAAAATCTTTCAGTCAATACCGGAGGGCTTCAAGCAGTATTCGAAAGATCAGTTTGAGCACATTGTCGGCTTCGCAAGTAACCTTGACGCGGCCAACAAAAAGGTGGAAGTTTCTGCGGATGCTGAGGGGAAAAAGCTGGTGAGGACAATCAGATATGACTTTTTGATCATTGGAACGGGATCCAGAAGCAAAGAGTTTGATGAAGATGTCAAGGCGCCGTTCAAGGGACTGGGCTCAACCGAAGCGACAAAGAATGCGCTGCATGAGTTTCAGGAGCTGGTGACAAAGTCAAAGACGATTGTCGTTGCTGGTGCTGGTCCAACTGGTGTTGAGACTGCCGGTGAATTGGGTTATGAGTATGGAAAGACCAAAAAAATCATTCTAGTAAGTTTTTCTGCTTTTTGGATGAGGATTCGTGCTGACTTGGAAAAGGTCACGAGTGGAAACACTGTCCTCGAAACCGCAATTTCTAGCGTATCCAAAACGGCATTAGGCATGCTCCGAGATTTGGATGTTGATGTCAAGCTACAAACCAAAGTCACCGGCTCSTCCCSTACTAAAARCGAAGGTCCAAACCAATTCGAAATATCCCTCTCCGACGGAACCACATTATCCGCGGACCTTTACATACCCACATCCGGCATCGTGCCTAACTCGTCATTTCTTCCCGACAAACATCTCAATGCAAATGGATTCGTCAAGGTGGATGAATTCTTCCAAGTAAAGGGCCTCGAGAACCAGCACGTCTGGGCTATTGGAGATGTCAATGACCTGGAGTCGCCGCAATTGATGGTCGCGGATAGACAGTCTGGACATTTGGCGAAGAATATAGGTCTTATGTTGAACAACAAGGCTCCCCTTCCGTATAAAGGAGGCTTGCGTGGTAAGTTCCCCTGTCCAGATGTCTATTAAAGCATGATACACAGTGCTGATGTTAGCTAACCCAGGTATGGGATGCCAAATTGGCAAAAAAAGCGGTACTGGACATCTGGGTTGGGTTAAGCTGCCGAGTTTTATGGTAACGTACTTGAGGAAGAACTTGTTTGTTGAGCGGCTGGCGTCAACGGTGGATGGTTCTGCATATTGATCTTTGATTTTCCGATACCTTTGCAGTCGCTGTTGCCCTTTCATAGACCCAAATAGGAATGCCGCCTCGACGATCATTTAATGAGATAAGTTATTTTATGAGCTGTAAGCATCTGTCGAGTGTACTGAAAGGGACACACATCGGTAGGAACGAGGCCGATCACAGGCCAAAGCCCTAAAGCCTAATTAGTCACTTACTTCACATGGTCTGTAGTCCCAATAGCATGGCGCATATCGTGGAGTTTCAAGCCGTAACACAAATGATCTGTCACGGCATCATTGGCTCGTTCTAAAATTTCTCTTCATGCAGTGTAATGTGCTGAGTGTGGACATCGTACATGATAAGAGCTACAATGCGTGATGTCCCATAGATTTGAGTCTAAGCGTCAGTTTGGAGACGCGTCGGATTTTTCACCCTGTTCTGTCGCTCTAGATGTGCATACTTGGTGATGGAGCGAAAATCTACCGTGATGGTTTCTTTTACAGACATCACGCTCTACAGGTCGTTGCACTTGCTTGATGTTGATAATCTTTATGAACAGTCATCGGCTCGGAGTTCCTCGCAAGAAGGATCAGGATCGGATCTCGTGTTTATTGACTAGCATCGCATCGCATGCGCTAGACTATTGTTTGCTAGCATGATGGTGTCCATGTTTGTGGCCACTATTGGTCAATTGGGAATGGCCGAACCACTAACATCTCGTCGATCCCCACACAGTGTCCACTAGATCTCTGTTCCCGTAGACCGAAAAAACCACCGGAAAAAGCGAAGCAATGGACAGAATGGCGCGTTCGTCAATCGATGACCGTGCGACTTGCCATTACTTCCCCAAGTAATGATATGTGTGTAGTAGTGCCAGTGGGTGGTTTGGAGGAGAGAAATTGAGTGATAGCGCAGTAAAAAAAAGTCAATTACTACGTAGTACTACGAATAATTTGGCAGTTGTCTTCCCGCCCCGAGCGACATACGTAATTGTGCMCCAGCCACAATCTGCGTGTTTACAGAAGTGGCTGGGCACCTAAGCCTGAAAAAGCCTAGACGGGGGTGTATTAGTGCTGCCTACGCAGCAATGGAGCCGAATGATTGGCCTGCTCCAGCGCTAAATCGACGAACGGATCAGGGCTAGTCCTCTTCCAGCGTCAGAGCTATCAACCACGGACTTCCTTGTTCCTTCCTTCCTTCCTTGCCTACAGAGTAAAGAGTACACAGTAAGTGCGGTGCAGCCTGAGAGCCCTCTCTATATCCAGCGTTCACAAAATGCCCTACGTCTGTGTCAATCTACTAATTAGCGATAATAGCTGCATTGACAGAAAACAACCATTGCATTTGGATGAGAGGTTATTGAATAAACCGAACAGAGTTTAGCGCGTGTTCTTACATTGCGGGCAACACGGGCTTCCTTCCTTGGGATCTCCACCTTTCCAGCTGGCCGTCTCCGTCATCCCCTCGGTACGTAGCTTCTTCTTTCAGGTCCTTTTTCATTGCTTATTCTAACTCTCTCATACCTCTCCTTTCTTCCATACCTCTCTGGCCCCTCGTTCGTTTCACTTTCCTTCTATTATCCTCCCCCCTCATTTCATATACATTGTGGACGACAAATTGAATCCCCGATTGTTGATCGCTGAGCGCTGTTACTCCGCGGTCCCTGAACCGCTCGGGACCACTGACGTCGTCGGACTCACATTTCGATAGAATCAACAACCATGGCCGCCAACAGCTCTGAGGCCGAAACCAAACAGCAGGGCATCATCGAAACCGCCCAAGCCGCTGCCTCCGATCCCCAGTCGAAAATTCAACCAGAGTTGATCGAGGAAAAGCTCGTCGAAGAAAGCCGCAAGGCCGGTGCCGTTGCATACCAATTCAATCCAAATGACTCGCCGGAAGAGAAAGCAAAAGCTGCGGCTGCCGTGAGTCTATGATTCTGCCCGCCTTCAAGCTCTCTTGGCACAAGAGCTAACATACATTGTTACATGCAGAGTCTTCCTCCCAATTTCCACAATCCAAATAAACAAAAAGGACTTGCGTTGGTGTCAGATAAAGTACGAATAACCGCTGTTTTAGTTCATGGTCAGGACTTACAAATTTCAGGACATAACGGGCCCCGCTCAGTACGACCTTCCATCTACCGATAAAGCCACTGAGGAGGTAAACCAAGCCCCTACCTTGAACGAAAGCGACAAGAAATCAGCGCAGAATGGACATCTGACCGAAGACCAACGATGGGCTCGCGATCGTACTGGATGGGCACCTCAATTTGTCAAGCCTGAAGAAAAGCGAGAAGAGGCAGAGACGCTGTTGGACCACCGCACCTTTTTAGAGGAAAAGCTCGGAGATAAGTTTTTTGGAGGTAGGTACTTTCTTGTCTTTGACCACATCACCCACCGGAGCAACCAGCACGGGAGACTGCTTTGAGTTCCGTCTAATATATATAGATTGGTATCATAATGCCGCCGTTATCGTCTTTGCCTGTCTATCATCGTGGATCATTGCAGTGCTCGGAGGAGGCCTGGGTTGGGTCTTTCTCGTCATGGCAGCGTGTGGCACCTACTATCGAACGTCTATCCGCCGAGTCCGCCGCAACTTCCGTGACGATATTCATCGAGAAATGGCCAAACAGCGCATTGAAACGGACTCGGAAAGCTTGGAATGGATCAACGGTTTTTTGCTCAAGTTCTGGCCAATTTATGCCCCTGTCCTTTGCGACACCATCATCAACTCCGTCGATCAGGTTCTGAGTACCTCCACGCCGGCATTCCTCGACAGCCTCCGCATGAAGACTTTTGTTCTGGGCACCAAACCTCCTCGTCTCGAACATGTGAAGACCTACCCTAAGACCGAGGTGGATACCGTTATCATGGATTGGAAGTTCAGTTTCACCCCAAATGATACCATGGATATGACTGCCCGTGAATTAAAGGACAAAATCAACCCAAAGGTGGTCCTTGAGGTCAGAATTGGCAAGGGTCTGGTTAGCCATGGCCTCGACGTCATTGTGGAAGATTTCGCTTTCTCCGGCCTGATGAGAGTCAAGATGAAGTTGCAGATTCCCTTCCCTCATATTGAACGTGTCGACATTTGCTTTATGGAGCGCCCCGAAATTGACTATGTCTGCAAGCCTCTTGGTGGAGACACTCTCGGATTCGATATCAACTTCATCCCGGGTTTGGAAGGTTTTATCAAAGAACAAATTCACGGCAATCTTGGACCAATGATGTACCAACCCAATGTCTTCCCCATCGAGATCGCGAAGATGCTTGCAGGCAATCCCGTGGATCAGGCAATCGGTGTTCTTGCTGTCACTCTTCACGGCGGTTACAACTTGAAAGGATCTGGACGAATCGGCAATACTGTCGATCCGTACTGTTCGATCTCCATCAACAACCGGGATGAACTGGCCCGCACGAAAACCGTTCGAGACACAAGCGAACCACGCTGGAACGAGACTCATTACATCATCATCACTTCCTTTACCGATTCATTGACTTTAGGTGTTTATGACTACAATGACGTTCGCAAAGACCAAGAGTTGGGAGTTGCTACGTTTCCACTTGACAAGCTTGAATCAGAGCATGAGCATGAGGGTCTGTCTTTGGACATCTCATATAGCGGAAGAAGCCGTGGTGTTTTGAAAAGTGATATTCGATTCTTCCCTGTCTTGGGCGGGCGAAAGCTTGAAGATGGTACAGAAGAACCCGCGCCAGAGCTGAACACCGGTGTTGCACGATTTACGGTGGAACAAGCGAAAGAGCTGGACGGAAGCAAGAGTCTGATCGGATCACTCAACCCTTATGCTGTTTTGTTATTGAATGGCAAGGAGGTGCATGTAACAAAGAAATTGAAGCGCACCAACAACCCCATTTTTCAGAACTCGTCCAAGGAGATGCTCATTACGGACCGGAAGCATGCCAAATTAGGTCTTGTCATCAAGGATGATCGCGACCTAGCGACTGATCCGGTCATCGGAAGATATCAGATCAAATTAGATGACATGCTCAAAATGATGGACAAGGGTCAAGAGTGGTATCAGCTAAGTGGCGCCAAGACAGGTCGTGTCAAGATGATGATTGACTGGAAACCGGTGGCTTTGCGTGGTATTGTTGGTGGTGCCGGCTATGTGGCCCCTATCGGCGTAGCCCGTATACATTTCAAAGGCGCCACCGAATTACGAAATCTTGAGACCATGGGCAAGTCCGATCCATATGCTCGTGTTTTGCTTAATGGTATCTCCAGCGGTCGCACAGTCACCTACAAAAACAACCTTAATCCTGTATGGGATGAAATTGTTTACGTTCCGGTCCACAATGTGCGAGAGAAGTTGACATTAGAGGTTATGGACGAAGAAAACATGCAGAAGGATCGTAGCCTTGGTGAAGTCGAAATTGCATTGTCGGACTACATTCACGAGGACGAGAACGGGGAATATGAAGTTGATGACGAAAAACAAGACATCAAGAGTGGTCTCCGCATGAACGGACGCGGTGCTGCTAAGGGTATTCTTAATTACAATATAGCTTTCTACCCAACCTTGAATGTCTATGACCCCGAGGAAGATACGGAAGAAGAGGAGGAAGAGGGTGAGCTGGCTAGTCTTACATCTCGAGGACATTCCAAGCAAAACAGCGTCGACTCAACGCGCAAAAGCAGTGATGCCCCTAGGCCTAGCACGGATGTCAAGTCAAATGGCCGATCGAGCATCGACACCGCGGTTTCCAAGGCTGCAACCAATGGTGGTTTGACTTCTCCCACATCGCCAAAGGCAGTGGTACAAGAGCGTCCTAAGATACACATCGAGGCTGCAGACTTGACCAAATACGGTACGTATCAGCCTACAGTGACTGAAATCAAGGTGGACTTACATTCTAACTATTTTCCAGAGTCGGGTCTCATCGTTTTCAAGCTCATCGATGGGCAGCTGTCACACACCAATGTCCAGCTTGAGGTTCTCGTCGACGATCATATGTTCCCCTCGTACACCTCGATGAAGATCAAATCTCGAGAGGCTACATTCCAAGATGGTGGGTCTATCTAATATTTAAGCTTGTAGCGCAAGTGGTCGTGATGCTAACTCTTATTGTAACAGTCGGCGATGCGTTCATTCGAGAACTGGACATGTCGCAGCTCACCCTTCGACTTGTGCAGAAATCCAACGATAAGGACGAAAAGCACGTGATTGCCAAATTGACTGGTGACACATTGTCTACTTTACAGCGCTGTCTTTACACACCCACTGAGTTATCGCTGCGGGCCGATAATGGTGCAGTTAGCAAGATCAAGGTCAGCCTACGATTCATCCCAGTGCAGATGAAGTTGGACCCTCGCGAATCAATCAACAACTCGGGTGAGCTGCGTGTCGACGTGCTGGACGCTGCGGACCTCCCATCTGCCGACCGCAACGGATTCAGTGACCCCTACTGCAAGTTCAAACTCGAAGGCAAGGACGTCTACAAGACCAAGGTCCAGAAGAAGACTCTCCATCCTGCATGGAATGAATTCTTTGAAACGTCCATCAAGTCCAGAATTGGCGCCAAATTCCGTGTGGACGTCTACGATTGGGATTTCGGAGACAAAGCGGACTTTCTCGGCGGAGCCGACATCAATCTTGAGATGCTCGAACCGTTTCAACCACAGGAAATTAATCTTGACCTAGACGGAAAGTCAGGTGCCATTCGTCTTAAGCTCCTATTCAAACCGTCCTATGTAACAAAGACACGACAGGGCCAATCAACGATGTCTGGTACTTTTGCGCCCGCTGGCAAGATTGTGGGAGCTCCGGTCAAAGGAGTGGGCATGGTTGGTGGTGGAGTTGTCAAGGGTGCTTCCTTCCTTGGTCGTGGTCTGAAGAGTCGATTTACTCACAAAGAAAGCGAGGGAAACGGTAGTTCGACACCTGTGCGCGAAGAGTCTCCTCCTCCACAAACACCCAGCAAGTCCGAGGGTGGTCTTGCGCGTGCTCCTGGTTTAGTGATCGAGCCGAGCTCGCCCAGTTCTTCTGTCGATGCACCCGAAAGCTTGAACCGTCGTCACAGCCGCACTAAGAGCGTCAAGTCTCTGCTCGGAGACAAGGGTACACCTGGATCAATCGGTGCCGAGGCAGGGTCAGCGATGTTCACTATCGTCTCAGCCAGTGGATTCCCCCCTTCAGCCAATGTGCGCTGCCATGTCCGCCTCTTAGGTGCCAAGGGCGCCAAGGAGGTACACAAAACAAAGGCAGTCAAGAGCTCCAGCGGCTCAGTTCAATTCGACGCATCTCACGAGACGTTCAAGGTTCCTCACGTTCCGGCGGATGCCCAATACCAGTTGAAGGTGGTTGACCATAGCACATTCGGATCGGACACCAGTCTCGGTGAAGCGCTGTTCTTTGTCGATGACCAAGGTACTGCAATGAGCAAGGAGAAGAACATTACTGTTGGCTCTGGCAGCGTCGTCATCAAGAGTTCTTTTGCTGCTAGTGACGTTTCCAATGGCCGACCTAGCACGTCTCATTCCGTGAACCTCGAAGCGCCGGATGCTAATGGTGACACTCCCGACAAAAAGCGACGCAGCTTCTTGTCGAAGCGCAGCGTTAGTGGTGTATAGACTATTGGTAATGTGAAAAACTGTCCTTCGTTTGGCAATGCTAGGCACCGTACTTGTTTGTTTGATTATGTTGTATACCGTTATGATATCCTGCTTTTTTTTAACCCTTGGTACTCTTACTGTTTATAATGTGTTTTTGAGTGATGCCTGAATCCTCTGCAATGATATCTTATCTTGTAGCTAGATGAATGCATCCTGCCATTACTTTGCTGCTTTTGTCGCTTTATCTTGCCGAAAACTTGGTTGCGACTGTTAGTGAGTTGGCTAGTGGATGGAACTTGAAAATCGCTGATTACCGATCGGGAAGAATTACCTATTAGCTGAGTACTCTGATTATTATGGCTGCAAAGTGTAAGTAGATACTGAAATGTACGAGTCGTCACAAAAAGCAACGAAGCGACAAACAATTATGTATAATTATCGTCGAATGAGATGCTGACATGATCTGCAGCGAGTAGCGAACGAGCCTCCAGCGGCGGCCGCACGTGTTTCCCCTTTTCCACGTATGTACTTTTAATAGTAAAATGCTAGCAGTGGTACATAGAGCTCCGGTGGTCCAAGCTTTCAGGGAACAATCCGTCATTCCTCCCTCCCTCGCGCCTGCCCTGTCCCTCCCCTGACCCCTTCTCTTCTTCTTTTCTACTACTTATTTCGTTTCCTCTCCTCATCTACAACCTCATCCTCTTCTTATTTCTGCTTCACCCAATTCTCTATCCATTCGTGCTCAATTGCTCGCTTCTTCTACTCCCCCCCCCATACTGCCGCTTCCCGTGTGGCCAGACCCCTCCCACTTTTTCCAGGTAAGCTGTGCATACGCCATACCGTCTTTTTGCCATCCTCCTCCCTGCCCCCCTCCCAATGGGAGCAATTTACACAGACACACCCATGAAGCATGGGCCAATCCGATCCATTGATGCGATGGCAACGAGACAGCCCATTGTGTCGCTGCGGTGTGGCAATGTCACAAAGAACAGCCAGAAAGGAAAAAGAGAGACATTGCCATCCTCTAGTCCAACCCAAGTCAAGCCATGCTGTCATCATTCGTAGAGCTTGTATGGCCGACAATTCATCCCGCCTGCCGCCTTTTGCCCCGCTTTCACCACCAGTCGATCTCTCCTTTTGAGTCCAAGCCTCTACTGTTGATTTTTACTCTTTTCTTGTTTCACTCAAAGCTAACCGAGTTTTCTTTCTCACTCGCTGTATAGACGAACACAATCTATCGTCGATTCACTCGATTTTCGTGCAATTATCGAGAGCTTGAGTAGCTCCGATTATACATCGCATTCTTCAGATAACAACAAACAAGTGCAATTATGGCCGCGAAAGCGATTCCTTCTCACTTGAGAGCCCAGGCAGAGTCTGGCGCCGAAGGTGAGAGTTTCCAGCGCAAGCACCATGGAAAGTCTCAGTCTCACATGGTATGTACTCGATATTTGCGTTACAACCCTTATCTTTTGAATCGCTGTTTCGAGTGGGGGCGACGACGATCTACAGTGTGATTGATTCCAGGACTAATAATTGTGAAGGCTTTCGAGAATGCTTCCACCAGCGTCGCTGCTTCTCAGATGCGAAATGCGTTGAATGCTCTTTCCGAGACCGTCGAGGATGGCAGCACTAAGAAGCGCTTCGAAGCTGAGATGGACAACTTCTTCGCCCTCTTCCGCCGTTACTTGAACGACCGTGCCAAAGGCAATGCCGTCAACTGGGAGCGCATCGCTCCTCCCCAACCCAGCCAGGTCGTTGACTACAACGAGCTTGGAAACTCCGCCTCCGTCGAATTCCTCAACAAGCTCGCTGTTCTCAAGCTCAACGGTGGTCTCGGAACTTCCATGGGTTGTGTCGGCCCCAAGTCCGTTATCGAAGTCCGTGAAGGCATGTCTTTCCTCGACTTGTCCGTTCGCCAGATCGAATACCTTAACCGCACATACAACGTCAACGTTCCCTTCGTTCTCATGAACTCCTTCAACACCGACGATGACACCCAAAACATCATTAAGAAGTACGAGGGACATAACATCGATATCATCACATTCAATCAATCTCGCTACCCCCGTGTTCTCAAGGATTCCTTGCTTCCCGCACCCAAGAGCTTCGACTCCCAGATCTCCGACTGGTACCCTCCCGGTCACGGTGACGTTTTCGAGTCCCTCTACAACTCTGGCATTCTTGACAAGCTTCTCGAGCGTGGTGTTGAGATCCTCTTCCTCTCCAACGCTGACAACCTGGGTGCTGTTGTTGATTTGCGCATTCTCCAGCACATGGTCGACTCCAAGTCTGAATACATCATGGAATTGACTGATAAGACCAAGGCCGACGTCAAGGGTGGTACTATCATTGACTACGATGGCCGTGTGCGTTTGTTGGAAATTGCCCAGGTCCCCAAGGAGCACGTCAACGAATTCAAGTCCATCAAGAAGTTCAAGTACTTCAACACCAACAACATCTGGATGAACCTCCGCGCCATCAAGCGTGTTGTCGAAGAGAACGAATTGGAGATGGAGATTATCCCCAACGAAAAGTCCATTCCCGCGGATAAGAAAGGTGAAGCCGACCTTTCCATCATCCAGCTCGAAACCGCTGTTGGTGCCGCTATTCGCCATTTCCGTAATGCCCACGGTGTCAACGTGCCCCGTCGTCGTTTCTTGCCTGTCAAGACTTGCTCCGATTTGATGCTCGTCAAGTCTGACCTTTACAGCTTGCAGCACGGCCAGCTTGTCATTGATCCCAACCGTTTCGGTGGTGCTCCTATCATCAAATTGGGATCCGACTTCAAGAAGGTCTCTGACTTCCAGAAGCGCATTCCTAGCATCCCACGCATTGCCGAGCTCGACCACCTTACCATCACTGGTCCGGTGAACCTGGGACGCAACGTCACCCTTAAAGGCACAGTCATCATTGTTGCTAGCGAGGGCAGCACCATTGACGTTCCTCCTGGTTCTATTCTTGAAAACTGTGTTGTCCAGGGAAGCTTGAGAATCTTGGAGCATTAAACAAGTATCCGAAGGCATTCGGACCCAAAATTCTATAATCATCTTTAGTTCTTTGTTATGCGTTTCCAGCTACTCATTGTCCCGCTGTTCCCGGGGCTTCATTCATACTCTGGCTGTGTCTTGGTGATAATGTTGAGGTGGAGTGACGTTTTGGTGTCGAGTGATAATAGATATTACATTACGCAAGGAGAGAATAGGCTGTTTAATCTGCTAGTTTACTTTAATAAAAGAGTATACACATCATGCAATTCTCTGCCTTGAAATATAGGCTTACCTAGGTATCTTTTGCGGGAATCCACTGATTGACCTGAAAGCTGAACAGAATGATCTCTCCGGATTCAACCATGAACATATTGATTGTCACGATTGGCAACTTCATCATGCCTCCCTAAACCTCATACGCTGAGATGAGTCGGTTGGACCAATGAGAGGGCGGCTTGGATAGTTATCTAGTGGGGCGACGATAGTATCAGAACTGATAAGGCAGATCATCGCTTCATCTTGCTCTTTATGCTACGCGAGACACTTGGATATACCGTCAAGGTTGATAGAAATCTACCCAGTCCCTTGGCTGGGTCTTCTCCATTGTTTCACTAAAGAGACATCTGTAGAGATGCCCGTGGAACCGCGGAGACGCCATAACGGCGTACCGCAGGCCTGCGAACCATGTCGCAAGTCCAAGATTCGATGTGATCACGAAAACCCGAGATGTTCGCGGTGCGTCATTCGAAATTTTAATTGTGTCTATCATCCTGCACCTATGACCAAGCGTCGTCCGCCGCCACAGGCATCGAACTTTGAGACGACAGCTTATGAGGAGCCTACTGACCTGGAGCGCTCCGTCGAATCCCCACACACGAATACAGAGTACTCTTTGCCCTCTGCTCCTGATACAGGCCTGGGACTTTCATCAAATGGGTACAAGGCAGCTTCGAAACGGAACTCGCTGTTCCAGAAGGAAGTTGGTCAACATGAGACAACCCGGTTCTCCGCAGTCTTTTTTGAGAATCAAGACAGTTTCGGCCCTGTGATTGATGATGTTACGAATTCCTCCTTTCAGGAGCCTAATCAAGAATCGGGACAGGAGCTTGATGCGAGGCGGAGAGAGTACTGGCCGCGTATGGAGTTGGCTGTTGACACGCTCCTCAACTTCCCTACGGCGCGCACGTGCGAGAAACTTGTGGAGGGGATTCATCATATCTACGATGTCTGGGTGTCTCCAATCATGATACAGCAGTGTCTGGAGCAGGTATGGAGGGAATACGGCGATTGTCTGGGCGACCATCGGACGCGCGAGTCGGTCGCAATAATGGCAAATGATCTCTTCCTCAACGACAAGAAGCCTCGCGCAATGCCTGAAACAAACGATTTCGAACGCGCCGGCTGGATGAACTGGTTCACTGGGCCTTTGCTGCGGTGGGAAATGGTTGGTATCCTCTTCAGCTGGGCCGGAATGGCATTTAGACACCGACAGGATTGGGATCCGGTTTTTGATTTACCTGAGCAGCAAGGCCGGGATCGCAATAGTGCTGCTGAAAGGATGAGGGAATGCGCTAGTGCCTGTGTGAGGCTCTGCGATGACCATTCGGAAATTAGTGATATCATGGTTATTTGCATGAAGAACAATGTCAAATTGCAGAGTATTATCATCAGCGATGAGAGTGAGTTACATATGTTAACGCCATGGTCGAGATTGAGCTGATTTTAGATGCAGGCGATCGAATACGAGTCGACTATGGCACCGTACGCAGTGCTTTCATAACAGCAGGATTACATCGTCTACCGCAGCTCAGGAAGGTCACGCCATACTCTCAATACCGAGCATGCATTGCCTCGTCCATGTACTACCTCGACAAATGCGAGAGTTTGTTCAATGCTCAACCACCGATGTTAAGTCGTCATTTCTGTCAGTATTCGCTCCCGCTGGATCTGTGCGAGGAGGATATCTACGGAGGTCGCGAAAGACTGGATGCAGCTTTGGCGAGACTAGATTCGAATGGCTGGAATACGGATGGTCGGATCTCTTCGACGACATGGCTTCGGGCATTGGTTATGCTGAGTCCCATCCGAGAGGGAATATTGGAGCTTTCATTAAGAATCAATCAGCAATTCACAAAAATAGAAGTGGAGTGAGTCTTGTGAAGCCTATTTTCTGTATGTCCCCCTGAACTGATGATTTACAGAGACTTGATCGTCCAGTTGAGGCGGATCGTTGCTTCATATCCTCCGCATATTAGGTATGATCGTAACTTGGAATGGCCCCTCAAGTCAGGTGTGGGCTCGCTCGCACGAAGCGCTCATCAAGTGTATATTATCAATCGCATACAGCTTGATGTATTACAATGTCACTTCCTTCTACAGCGCCTACTTGTCTCGCGAAGATTCAACGGTGGTCAGGATTTGTTTGACATCGCTCAGGAGACATTGTCTATCATTGTATCGCTTTGGCTTCATCGTGATGAGTTACAGGATCTTACCCACACTTTTGACTGGATTGTAGGTTGCCTCTTGTATGGATTTACGGTTACTAATGTCATCTAGTCTGTCTCATATGGAATGCCCTGCGCGGGGATCCTATGCATCGAGCTACTCAGAGCGAGTAATTTAGCACCTCTTACACCAGMAACAGAGTCATCAACAACCGCCGCCATACACTCCCCTGTACATCTCTCCCGGTCTCAGGTCATCCAGAATCTGACCATGTTCAAAGCTCTACTTGACTGGACACGTCCTACAGATAACAATGTACAGCTCAGTAGCAAGTTCAGCAAAGTTCTTCAGAGGATCATCGATACTATATTTGACTCTCTGGAGCCTTTGTATGTCGCTCAATCCCAGCAGAAACTGGATGATCAACGGATTCAGAGACAGTACGAGATTGACGATCAGCAGCCGCAGGGACAAAATCTATCATCCGCCACAATAGGCGTTGAGAGCGATCTTAATCTTGATCCTGCACTGATTGCTAGCAATGATATGGATTGGCTGAATACTATTGATTGGACGCAGGGTGGTTGGCTGGAGCAGAGTAACCAGACTTTTCTGCATTGATCGATCGCGATGACCTTTATCTTTGTCGGTACGACCGATCAATCTAACATTCGATAAGCCGTTACATAGATCTGAGCCGGATGTCCTCTACCAGGTAAATTCTTTTCAGGTTGATCGCCTTCTGCCATTATAGCGCCAATCATCTCTGGGAGGCCTATTGAGATACCGGCCATGATTCGGACCATCGATGTCACATTCATACGTCGCGCTCAAGCCTCTTTCCTAATCCTTGTCAGTGCAAGCTAGTTTCATAATGCGGTTGGTCGAAGATAAGAGATCCTAAAAGCACTTGGTAGCTTCGGAGTGCTTCGGAGTGCCATGTCGACCTGTCGGACCTTTGTGGAGACCTGATTCCGGAGCATCGTCGTTCACCAAACTAGAAGCTTGGAGTAGATACTGACAATTTGATCGGTGTTATATCCTATTATTATGTTTGGTTCGTACGTTGTAATGGTCACAACGTGCTGCTTGACATACATTGCCCTTTTTGAGCAGGACGTCAGAAAACCCTTGTGCACGGCATTGGGACCTCTAAGACCAATTACAAGATATGGATCTCAAATCTTTGGCCAATTCCCTTCCTGCAAGTTGCCTACCCGTCAAGAATTCGACAATTCCATTCTGGCATCAAGGTCTCCACGAACTGCATAATCACCGAACAACGGAACAACTTCCCGAGTCCAGCGATGTGGTCATAATAGGCGCCGGCTACGCAGGAATCAGCACTGCTTACCACCTAGTTAAAGGCGACAGCGCCGATAAAAAGCTATCTGTCACAGTTTTAGAGGCACGAGGTGTCTGTTCTGGTGCCACAGGACGCAATGGCGGCCACCTTCGGCCTGACATGTATAGTCCCATGCCTAAATTCATCGACCGAGCGGGTATCGAGCGTGCTGTGGAGGTAGCCGAATTCGAAGTTGCGCATCTCAACGCCATAAAGTCACTGGTTGAGAAGGAAAAGATTGATTGCGACTTCACCCTTACCAGATCTATTGATGTATGGTGCAACGAAGAAGCGGCTATCAAAGCCAAGAAACTGTATGACGCGCTGGTTTCGCGCAATATGAATTATATGAAAGATGTCTTTTTCGTGTTTGGCAAGGATGCGGAGGGCATCTCTGGCGTCAAGGGAGCCAAGGCTTGCGCTTCGTTTACGGCGGCTACTCTCTGGCCGTACAAGTTAATCCTACATCTCACCGAATCTATTCTTCAGACTGGGTTGGTCAACCTACAGACTAACACGCCAGTGACTTCTATTACAAGGACAGCCTCAGGCGGATTCATCGTTACAACTCCGCGCGGCACAACCTTGGCTCGAAAAGTGGTCTATGCAAATAATGCATACGTGTCGGGTCTGCTTCCGCAATACAGTCAGGCTATCGTTCCGTGCAAAGGACTGTGTACTCACATCTCCGTTCCGGAGGGTACGACACCGCCTCTGTTGAACAATTCCTACATCGTGCGTGAAAAGGATGAAGTGGTTTCATATCTGATCCCTCGCGCTGATGGAAGTATTGTCGTTGGAGGAGCCAATACGAAGTATCGCCCTTTTCTGGAGCAGTGGTATAACAATGTGGATGACTCAATTCTGATTGAAGAGGTGAAGGATTATTTCGATGGTTATATGCAACGCAATTTCCGTGGTTGGGAGAACACTGGCGCTCGAGTAGATAAAGTCTGGACTGGGGTCATGGGTTACAGCTGGGATTCTAATCCTCATGTTGGCCCTGTTCCCGGGGGAGATGGTCAGTATATCCTCGCTGGTTTCAATGGACATGGAATGCCTGTAGTGTTCTTGTCAGCGTTGGGTATCGCTAAGATGGTCAGGGATGGTATCGGGTTTGAGGATTCTGGTGTACCGAGACTGTTCCAAACAAGCCAGGAGAGACTTGATAATGCGAAGAGCGGTCCTGTAGGAGGGGATATACTCACTAAGAATTCATAATCAGCTACAGGATGTATCTAATAGAATGAGAGAGTTATAAACCCAGTCGCGAATTTCAGTGCAGTAAGAAGGTAAACCGAGGGTAGACTACCTGGCTTCTTGAAGGCTTAATTATATCCGATCTAATTACACCTTCAATATCCATCTTTGACTTTTGCATTGTTAAGGAAAGATCTGGTAAAATTCGCTCCATATGTTGACATATGACGAATATCATATTCAAGCATCTCTTTACCTAAATATCATTCATCTTTTTTGAGTAGGTACCCTTCATGAATGGAGTACTGGCACCCTAGTACATATAAAACCTATAAACAAAGCGTTCAACGAAGATCATCTACTCTACATCCGTACTTAAGCTGATCTTCTCATATTTCTTGAAATTATCTATCTCTCCCTGCAACCGTGCAAGAATAGCCGGATAGGCATCCGTGCCGAGCAAGATCCTCAAAGGTGGGCTATCCATCATGGCCAAGTCGTAGAACGCCTTTGCGGCCTTTTTCGGATCTCCAGGCTGACTTCCGTTTCGGGCGATCATGGCGGCTTTGGCATCGAGATGATCGTATGCTGGATGACGGTCGGTGAAAGCCATTGACGCGCCGGCCCAATTCGTTCTGCTTCAGTTTAGATACGAAGGAATAGCTTTTGAACTTCTTGTAACGTACCTGAAACCACCGGGCTCAACACAAGTAAACTTGATTCTCCATTCTGGCTTAACTTCCTTTGAAAGCGATTCTGTGAAACCTTCAACAGCCCATTTACTAGCGGCGTACATGCTAAAGCACGCAGATCCACGTTGCCCGCCTACACTGGTGACTTGCTGTATGACGCCGCCGCTTGGACTTTGAGTTCTCATGACAGCCATAGCCTCCCGCGTGACATTGACGAGTCCGAAAAAATTGACTTCCATTTGCATTCGGATCTGCTCGTCGGTGTATTCTTCGAAGCATCCCGTGAGTCCATAGCCGGCATTGTTCACGACCACGTCTATGCGTCCAAAGCGCTCAACGGCCTTGGAAAAGGCCGTTTTGATACTTTGAGGGTCCGTGACATCGATTTTCAGAGCTAGGTAGTTGTCCTCGGTGGCCTTTTCGAATTTGAGAACAGATGGTTTGCGTGCTGTCGCGATGGCGACGTCGCCACGGTCTAGGACTTCTTGGACAAGGTCATGGCCGAAGCCGGTCGAGGTCCCCGTTATTAGAAAGACCTTTGGCATGATTTTTGCTTCTTCGTCGAAATTGTGTCTTAAAATTTGATTCCGTGGTATGATAAAGGGCTTTCTGACGAAAGGGATGGTTTGTGATGAAGTAATGAGACATTGAACCTCCCAAAAGTAATTATCATCAACATGGTGTTATTCATGTCTAAGTACTCCCGAAGTGAGTACCTTGGTATCGAGGTACATTCAAGGTATCTCGCCTTGACTCTGGACACTCCAAATTACCCTGTCAATTGCATCCATATCCAAAAGTAGTGCGGAGATCCTTATCTTCCGGAGTGGACTCCGGCCTTGTCCATCCCTTCGGAGCAAGTCTTATCTACCAATGTCCCCGTGCCTTCACCCTTGCTTTGTTTTTGCTTAACACTGATTGGATTGACTTTTGACTTGTCTTTGATACCATAATCGTCTGTGTGCATCCTTCTAGCCATCTGGTTGATATCTGAACGTCATCTTCAATCTGAGAATCCGCATGGCCTTATCTGCATGGCTAATACCCGAGATAACAACCGCCAGAGCTAAAATTGTTGGCTGTGCAGTCAGGAGACACTGTATTAGGGCTCTGTACAGCTATAAACTAGAGCTGAGCCGTTTGGGGCGTGGACCCATCATCTGGTGTGACCCCAGATATCAAAACCTGAACCATTGTTTTCATCTAAGGGATTACCATAACCTTAGTCAAGATGTCCTCGATTAACAGCTATGTTGAGGGTAATGCGAACGAAATCGTGCACAAGTCAGGCCAGGACGAAAAGGCCACGCCTCACAACATAATGACACTCGTTCCACTAGCCGATGAAGCTACCGGCGAGTTCGAAGAAGTCGAGTCTACGAGGCAAGGCCTTCATCAGCGACACATTCAAATGATCGCGTTAGCCGGCACTATTGGAACGGGTCTCTTTCTCAGCTCTGGTCGAGCAATTGCTCACTCCGGCCCCTTGGGTGCGTTCCTAGGATACTTAGTCATGGGCTGCGTTGCCGGCGCTGTCACCCTGGCGGTGGGCGAGATGGGCACACTTATGCCTCTGAACGGTGGCATCGTTCGCTACGCTGAATACTTTGTCGACCCAGCGTTAGCGTTTGCCAATGGCTACAACTTGGTCTATTCTTACCTCGTGTCTATTCCTGCAGAGATTGTAGCTGCAGCCGTGCTGGTGCAGTTCTGGTCGGACCTGAACAGTGCAATCTGGATTACCATTTTTGGCTTGCTCATGTTGTGCACCGCTTTAGTCTTTGTTCGGGTGTATGGAGAGCTGGAGTTTTTCTTCTCAATGTTAAAGATTTTGCTCATTATCGGGGTCAATATTATGGTAAGTAATATTGAGTAAGCATTGACTCCAGGCGTAACCTGCTAACAAGCTCCATTAGGCTCTCGTCATTACTTGCGGTGGTGGCCCTAACCATGAGACTATTGGGTTTCAATACTGGCGCAACCCCGGCCCTTTTGTTCAGTACCTTGGCATCGGCGGTTCCCTTGGTCGTTTCCTCGGTGTCTGGACCTCCTTGAACAATGCACTGTACGCTTATTCTGGCATCGAGACAATCACAGTTGCAGCTGGGGAGACAAAGTCACCGAGGCAGGCTATTCCACAGGCGGCGAAACGCATCTTTTTCCGTATCTTGATCTTCTACAGTATGTTGTTTAAAAATAAATTCTGATGTGTCTTTGCAATTCTGACTTTCTCATCTAGTCATTTCAATCTTCATGATCGGCCTGGTCGTCCCTTCCAACGATCCTGATCTGGGCCATTCCAGCGGCACAGCATCTACGTCGCCGTTCGTTATCGCAGCCACTCGAGCAGGGATCAAGGTGGTCCCATCAATCATCAATGCTGTTGTGATAACCTCGGCCTGGTCCTCGGGCAATTCGAACATGCTAGGAGGGTCTAGGGTATTGGTCGGACTAGCCAAGCATGGCAGAGCCCCCAAATTCTTCGCTCGACTCAACAAATTCTCGGTGCCTTGGATTGCAGTATCCCTATACGGCCTTTTCATGTGTCTGGGATACATGTCGCTATCTGCCTCTGCAAGCACGGTATTTGACTGGTTGCAAGATCTTGTTTCCATTACTACCCTAACCAACTGGATTACAATTCTGGTTACCTATCTCCGTTTCTACTACGGCTGCAAGAAGCAAGGAATCTCGCGAAAGTCTTTACCTTGGGCCACTCCCTTCCAACCATACATCACATGGGCTTCTCTTGTCATTCTTAGCCTTTTCCTCATTACAGGAGGTTACTCAACCTTTATCAAAGGACATTGGGATAACGAGACGTTCGTTTCTTCTTATATCAACATTCCTTTGTTTTTGATACTCTATTTTACGTACAAGTTCGTGTGCAAGACAAAGATTGTCGCTTTGGAGGATATTCCCATTCAGCCCTTTATCGATATTGCCAATCGAAACATCGAGCCGCCACAGAAGCCTAAGAGAGGACTCGCCAAGCTCAATATCTTGTGGGGTTAATGTAACAAAGTGGTGTCTATTTATTAGGTACCGCAGGCATTACTTCGGACGTTGTGTTTGTGGTGCCGAGTGGATGGCATGAGATCTCTACATTTGATACAAATGAAGAAATATGGGCAAATGAGGACTTCCTTGATGCTTGGCTCTTTCATAGTTCTATAAAGATGGGAGATCCGTCTCTTAAATCATATATGGTCTTACATGATGCAATATTTCATACTCTTGTAGAGATGTAAACGTACTCAGGTAACGGTTGGATATTAGGACAAACCATGCACGACTCGGAAAGATTGATGTGTTGCAGTAGTGACAGATAGTCAGCGTATACCTCTACATACCAGTATCTTGCCTATCTATCTATGTAGGTATAAAGTGGGTTGTATACGCCCTCTCTCCGGCTTAGACCGGTCTTATCCACTTTTGCTGCCCTGGCATCCTGGGATAGCCTGTTCAGCTGCATAATCCACCCTGTAAATGGTAAACCCCGTCCTGATAATGAGCATACAATAAGATAAACTAGTTGGTCTCGTTAGTCTACAAGATAGGGTCCCTCCGGAGTGTACATACTTCTACCGGTGTCCACTCCGTGCGGAGTAGCTAGTATCCACTCCGATATCTTTTCTATCATTAGTCCGAATGGAGCCTATTGGAGAACATCATGATGTAACAACACAAGAAGATCCCATTTCCCAACAGCAAAGCATCTAACTAGAAGTCAAGTCATTAAAAACTGGTGAAGAGTTCAAAGTTTATCTACACTTCGTCTCGCCGACTTCCCTTCTGATCTTCTCAACAGCTTGGCCCGAAAACTTTTAGCTAATCTCAAGATTACCATCATTGTTGTTGCGCGATGGCTGTGGTTGATATTCTTCCCGCCAAAGATGACGGTAAACACCAAATTGAGCAGCAGATCAAAGTGTCCAGCTCCTGGTGCGGCCCTGGGCCCGCCGCATACGATTTTCGATCCGACACCATCACAACGCCAACCTTGTCCATGCTGCAACAAATCGCGCAATCGACGCTAATGGACGATGTGTACCAAGAGGACACAACGACGACAGAGTTTGAAAAGTTCATGGCCAAGTTGACGGGGAAAGAAGACAGTCTGCTGGTGATGTCAGGGACTATGGGAAACCAAATCGCTCTTCGCTCGCTCTTAACACAGCCACCACATGCAATCCTTTGCCATGTCTCGTCACACATTCTCAATTCCGAAGCCGGTAGCTGTTCATCTTTTTCTCAGGCACACATGCAACCATGTACCCCAGCCAACGGGCAATACCTTACCCTTGAAGATGTCAAGCGTACGGCAGTGATCAGCAATAACATCCACGTCGCTCCGACCCGCGTCATCTCACTCGAGAATACTTTAGCAGGTGTCATCACTCCTCTAGAGGAAGTTCGTCGGATATCTGCATTTGCTCGCTCCAATGGTATCAAAATGCATCTTGACGGCGCAAGACTCTGGGAAGCAGTAGCTGCCGGTGCCGGCTCCTTGACCGACTTTCTAGAGTGCTTTGATACGGCCCAACTGTGCTTCTCCAAAGGTCTAGCTGCACCGATTGGTAGCATTATCGTTGGCCGAAAGAGTACCTTGGAGCACTGCAGATGGGTGAGAAAGAGCATTGGTGGAGGTATTCGACAAGCTGGAATCATCTCAGCTGCGGCTCGTGTGGCAGTCGAGGAGAATTTCGGCACGGATCCTTCTGGTAAAGGAAACAGATTGCGCGCAACACATGACAAGGCCAAGGTCATCGAAAAGATGTGGGCTGATCGTGGTGGAAGTTTCAATCGACCCGTTGAGACGAATATGGTCTGGTTGGATCTACCACACAGCGGCATCACAGTGGACGAGATCATCTCTGCTGGCAAGGAGGAGGGTGTCAAATTGATGAGCGGTAGATTAATTGTCCACCATCAAATTGCTGACGAGGCAATAGTTAGGTTGGAAAAGGTTTTTGATCGTTTGCTGTCGTCCAAGGAGAAGAGAAACGGTGAGGTTCAGGAGGCACAAACGGTCTATCGATGAGCGAGGGAGGATGAATATGGACACCTAGAGCGTTCAGCCATGTTTTGTGGATTTCTTGCATAGAAAATGACAAGATAATGAAAGTAACTAGGCCTATATCAATCTAGATACATGGCACTATGATATGTCCACACAATTCACAAGTAGAGATTTTGCCAAATCAAGCATTGACTCTCACATGTAGTTACGTGCATCTAGGTGAAATATTACCTTTCTGAATTCCACTTCGGCTTTGTATCACTGGTAGACCGATGCTCAATGGAACTGTCTGAGTATTATCTTGGCAGGTTTTCCATGTATTTGGCAACTAGATGGTATTATGATATACATGAGACAGACGTAACAATATAGATCTCCTGTAGCAAAAACATTTCTGAACATTGGTATCATTCCTAAAACAAATGCCTTGCTATTATCATATGCTAGCATTAACTCAATCAACTGATCGCTTCCCATCACCAAATTCAAAGCCGACCAAAAATGATCTATATAGAGTGCGAAGATGTGTGAGCCCTTTGATTAGGCTAAGCTTCACGCTTGATCTGGAGGGCCAACCGATAACACGATAGAAATCACTAAAGATTCTTATCATTTAGATATTGGTAGACATTGCAATCATTTTATCTGCCATCTCGGGCAATGTGTCTGCGATGACGGCCATCTCGGTATTGAAAATCTCAATACAAGACTCCTTCTCGTAGATAGAACAATACGCACCGTGGAAGCTGTTTAAATATGCAGGATTAACATTCATGGACTTCTTCAGGTAGTGGAAGGACAGCTTACCCAGCTTTGACTGCAGCACTGACATCCCACATATGCGCAGCGGCAAACCACTTCTGATCCTCGGGGGCAAATTTGTCAAGCATGGGCTTATACGACTCCATGGATGGCTTCATTGCAGCGAGGAGAGCTGCACCTGACGGGGAAGAATCTTGTGGCAAGAATTCATGACAACTGACAAGTTTGTCCGCTGGCATGTCATAGCCTGCACGTCTGAAGTAGCCACCAACTCTTTCCGTGTCGCCTGTTGTCAAGCACCAAATAGTGAAACCATTATCCTTCAATTTTTCCATCATCTCTCGGCAGCCTGGGCGAAGTTCCAATTGAGAATATCCAGCTTGACACCTATCTCTCTCCTCGTCGGTGGCGAATGATCTCGGGTCTTCGATTCCGGCCATGAATAGGACGCGGTAGAAAAGCGCCTTAAAGACCTCTTTGTAGGGTGTGTTGCGTCCGGACATAAGTAACATTGTGTGCTCAAGCTCGGCCGCTTGCATCCACGCGAACCCAAGGAATTTGGCTGTCACATTATGCGTCCGCAGTTTCTGCCCGATGGATTGTTCGATGGCATCAAAAAAGGCGTCGAATGATACGCAAGTGCCGACAACATCGAACACGACGTGTTTTTTGGGAGATTCCATGTCTGTGCGTACTAAATTTTTGAGCGATTGTCGTAGATATCAGTTAAGATTTATGTGTATTTGACAAACGTAATGCAACTCCCGGTTGAGGTCTTCGAATCATCGGCCACTTATTCAAGACAATGGTTTGTACAGAACTATATTATATGCGTTTACATTGCTAGCTTTGGCGCCCAAGGTACCTCTCTCAATTGAAGTTTCGATGGATACATGTAAAGATAAGCCATTTAAGATAATCCATCGGTGCAAGTGGGAACTCCGCGAAGCAACCTTAAAATCATCTGTACGGTGGGGTGCTCCGAGACTACGGAGCAAAGCTCCGCTCAGATATTAGGTACTCGCTCGAAAGGGAAAATGTACAAATCCTCAGATAAAAGTACACCGACAGTCACAACTGACAAGCCGAAATGGCGCGCCATTACTGTCATATATCGTCGCCGGATCCTCTTTCCAGGGAACACTGACTTCAAACACTTGCAATCGAGGCTGTCGAATGTGCATCAATGACCCCAGTATCTGTTTAATATTGTTGTATCGCATAAGCTCAAGGTCATCGTTGAGCGGCGCTCCACTTAAATGCATGTATAGCTCTCGAAGACTCGTGAGATTTGCGAGCACGTTGCAGGCTTGCTGCCAAGTTTCTGCGTCGAAGGGGGCGACTAGGTTCGGGTTTTCTATCATGATGTCTGGATCTGAGAGTATACCGCTTGGAGGTGGTATTGTGTCAGATTTGGAAAGAATGTACATAAATCTGGGAAACGAGTACTCCAAGCGAATGACGCGAAGAAGATTCAGCCTAGATGGGAGGATGGTCTGCGAGAAACTGAGTATAGTGTCTGGGCTGTTGAAGTCGAACTTGTTTCCGCTGTATAGAAGGTCTATAGTTTCTGAGTATCTTCCTAACCGGTTAGACATTTCTTTCAGATAGATTAGCTCGACATTTTGTAGAATATTCTTACATTAATCGGCAGGTCATGAGTACAGAGAGGAGATTCGCAATTTCGCATCGTGCACCGTCCTTCTTTCCTGTGTAGTACCCAGCCGCTCGCGGACCAAAGCGTACGCTAATAGTCGAATATCCCCAGCAGCAATGATCACAGTTACCATTGGACTCATCTTCGTCACATCGAATGGCCAAAAGCCGCTTGGGAGCGCGCACTAGATGTAGATGGTGGTCGCATAGAAGAGATCGCCATATCAGCATACGGATTTCGTATGGTAATCGTGTAATAAGCAATGATTCTTTCTGGGAAAAAGTCTGCTGTTGAACTGTCTTTACCCTCTTGATTATACTTGATAGCACGCGCCCACGGGATCGATTGACTTTGTTTTGGGTGTCATCTTCGTCGTTCAAAGGCAATGTGAGCGCTCGAGGCCGGTTTGTAGGAAGCGACTTCGCGCGGAATGCCTTTCTTTCTTTGCTGATTTGGGCGTTTGACGGAAAGGTGCTGCCACCGCCACAGAAGACCATAATTGCTGCAGCTATCTTCACTCTCAATGCATAAAAATGCAGTGATATGATTAAATGTTACTTTGAGTGCGTTGGACGTTCAATCGATTCAGACTTGTATGCTGCCGCGAACACAGCCCCTCTAATATGACTAACGGATCGGAATTGCTCCTATTGAGCGAACCAACATTAATCGGTGGGATTCTGATTGTATTGGTTAGCTACATGGACGATGACCAGGGCTTAGGACCCTGCCGGTTGCTTAGCACGTACAAGAAGAGAAAATGTCAAAGTATATCGATATGATGCTAAAATTACAGAGATCGTATTGCTTACATACTAATGCTAATGGGTTGCCTGACCAACTGGGGCTCCCTAATAAATAATTAACAATACTGCGCATCATTCTCCATCAAAATTTAAGGTCAGGAGATAATTAAAAGCTTGTGACTGAGCGTTAGCAAGCATATAACATTAATAGCCTCGTATCGAAGAAGTAGCCTTCACCATGTGCTTCTATCCGAAGATGGGAATAGATTCGCATTACAACCAGATATTATCGACTTCTATTTCATGACGATACCTTTTCACGTTCACGGCTACACTTGATAGCTCAGAATCATTCAAGAATGGGATAATCTCTAGGCGGCTCGCAAATTTTTTTTTCATTCGACACCAGAAAGCGATTTTGTGCAAAGAAAGACCTACGCAGGAACAACAGGATAGCTTACGAGTCCATTGTTAGCCAGGTGGAGGATTCTCCCACCTCCTATTTTTCATGGTCATCCCCAACAATACCTTAACTCCGCGTTCCTTAATACTAGTCACTTTGGCTAGTATGTTTACGGAGTAAGTAGATGTTATACCCATAATTCAAATTCCCTCGGTTTACTCGTTCCTCACGTTGTTTTCAACAACTGAACAGAGATCGAGCTAATCTCTACAACTCCGTCTTGCGGCATCATGCCATAGTTGATTAAAGACTTGTAGATGGGAGTTGGTAATTACAGTCCACAATTTGTCTTCAGCGTTCTGCCCGATCAAAATCAATCTATAGACTCTACCGCTTCAATCTCGTCTAGCCCTGGACAATTCGATGATGAGGAAAAGGAAGAAAAACCAGCTTTCCACGGTCCTATTACAGTCGCTAGGTATACGAAGATGACTTTGCGATCAAATCCATGGATGTCGCAGTGAATGCAATTTGGTTCAAATTCCGGGAGAATGCCACTACCACTAAGAGCTTGCTTGCTCCCATGCAACTTCCACGATCAATACCAGATTAAATGATTTCTTATTCATCTTTTATTTCGTTTCTATCTTACACACGGAGTCTCGATCGTTTCCAAAGTCATTTCTACCTTCATCCTCCGGCACTGTTTTCGGTGTCGCATTAACAAGCCCATTCATTACTCTCGTACATTCGATCATGGCTTTTACCAGCAGTGCTAGTCTTCCAACTGAAACGATGCTTCATGACCCGTGGAGGATCTTGTGGAAAATTTACTCTAGCGCACGATGCTTGAAGAGAAAATGACGAAATGGATCCACACACAGATCATCACGCAAGAAGATTTCAGCTTCACGGAAGGCTTTGGGCGGCTGGCCAGCCAGAAGCAGCTGTCCCATCTCAAGCTTCTCGGCAATATCACAGATTCGAAAAGATCGCCGGGTTTTGAACAGCGTTGAAACCCGTGTCTTGATTAAACGTCTTTGTATTCCACTCACGTCTTCAACCGATCCGCGTCAGTCCTTCGCGCACAATGTGGGCATAGGATTTACAGCAGTCACATTCTCTCAATGGTTCGAGACCCTGGGTTCAGCTGCCTTAAGACATGTGGACATGGTTCATAGGTTGGCCGATATTGCCTGGCAAGAATACCTTGCTGTCAGGTTGCGTACTGCACTGCATGCGTCGCATATTGGTTTAGCAATTGAGCAAAGATGGGTATCCAAACATGGACAGCCCTTGCTTTCTTTCGGTCACGACCTAGAAGCAAATTATTTGCAATAAATTATCCGTAGCCAGGACTCGACTCTCTCTTATTTTCTTATTTGATTCATATCCTTGATTTACCGCTGCTTGTCGCATTCCAGACCAGGTCACACAAACTGGCTGCCACATCACGGCGCGCATAGGTTTCACAAGTTGCCTACACCGCTTAAAAATGTGTATATGGACAGTTTCAATATCGAGGCTTCTATCAAGACTTGTATTTGAAAGTATTACCCATCAGGTATAAAGAGTTCGATCATAAGCTTTCTTTTCTATATTGTCTGTATCATCTATTCTTTTTCACGGCAGCGTTTACTTTTACTTCTTCTTTTCCTCCAAAAACCATTATCTTGGAATCAAGACTTTCTAGTAGATGATCGAAAGTGACCAAAACTCAAGAAGGATGGTAACAGCGGCCCATATCTGGGCCCAAGACACGTATGGTCTCACAGAAAATCGGCATTGGTTAGGTAGAAGGATATCTATACCTGAGATAATGAAGAGCCTACTAGGAATCGGCATCAAGTACATCTTAACATGGAAGCGTCAGCCAACCCTAAAACACACGGACAACATTTTCCAAGAGGCAGAACGATCGAGTTCCCGATGTAACCACGACTCCATAAGGAGACCATCAATCCGAGCGAGGTTGGCATGCCACCTTGTGAAAACGCATATTCAGAAAGAGATTCGAGAGGCAAAATCAACGTGCCAAGAGAGTGTCAGTCTCTTCCGAATGCTCACTTCCAGCCCCGGCAGTACAGTCTGGAACATCGAGCTTCGTAGACCTCCCGAACTACCCTTTGTCCCACAGAACGGCAAAAGTGATTCTAATATTCGTGTTTGTATTATCGGAGCTGGTATATCAGGCTTGTATCTTGGAATGCTCCTTGATGAGCTGGATCTCAAGAATGTCAGTTACGACATCCTTGAGTCCAACGAACGAACTGGTGGGAGAGTCTACACGTACAAGTTTGGGCCTGGGAAGATGGAATATTATGATGTCGGGGCCATGAGGTTCCCACGGGTAGGTGTTCCCTGAAAGACTAGATAGGATGCATATTGTGGAGGCTTACACAAATTTAAATTCCAGATTCCACCCCTAGCTAGGTGAGGGCCTTAGCAGCGGGAAAAGACCGTCCGTGATTAACAATGCCCATAGGACATTCGATCTCTTTATGCGGTGTGGTGCCCAACTCATTCCATACAATTACGGAGGGGAGCAGTGCCCCAATTTGTTCAATACAATCGGTCTTGCCCCAGGCAACGAAATGGCAACGGGTCATGACCCATTCAAATTCAGTGTTTCAGAGGGGGGCCTTGTGCCAGATATGTAAGGTCTAGTCTATCAGCAAAGTAATTATTCTGTTATACTAAATTTAGAACGGAATAGGACAGTCATGGAAGGACCAGATGGTATCCTCAAGCGAGCCTTCGATCCTTTTATTTCAGGGCTAGCCGATAATTTCACTGAGGGATTTGACGAGTTGATGAAATGGGATCATTTAACTACAAGAGACTACTTGAACAGGAAGATGTAAGTCCAACGGATATTGAGGAGCAAAATTTATAAGCCGGTAAAACGGGGAAGAAAGGGTGGTGGTGGTTGACCTTAACTTCTTCGGTACAGGGGATTGGATTTCTACTCGATATGGTACCTAGAGACTGTTTCAAGGTAAGTATTCGAAAACCGTCATAGCTTGGCTGTATCCCAATCAACATTTCATTTTGCTGACAATACATTAAAAATCTGGCAGTGCCTCGGGTCTTTATGATCAGTCACTTTCCGAGGCGGTTCTGGATGCCATGGACTTTGATTACCCTACAACAACCGGAGCCAAGGTGGAATGGTATAGTGTCAAAGGGGGAACGTCAGAAGTGGTGAAAAATATGGAGAAGAGATTATCACGCAAACCTGCGCTTGGTCATCGCGTAGTATCGCTCTCATACGAGCCGGCCAGCGATCCTGATTATCCAATGCTAGTACAAGTGGACGGAGAAACGCAGCCGAGGAGCTATTCGGCTGTTTTCAATACAGCTAGTCTGCCATGCTTGCGCCGAATGAATGTGGGTGAAGGGATCCTCAGTCCTGGCCAAAAGGCTGCCGTGCAGAGCATCCACTACGATGCCTCCACCAAGATAGCAATTCGATTCAAGTCGGCCTGGTGGAGGAAATATTGCAATATCCAGGGGGGGCAGGCAACCACAGACCTGCCAATCAGAGTATGCGTATACCCATCTGCAAGCTCAACTAGCTCAGCTACGGAAGGAGAAGAAGAAGACACACCCACGGTGCTTCTTTGCTCGTACACCTGGGGCCAGGATGCCCAGCAGCTGGCTTCTCTTGTAAATAGCAAATCTGAGTCGGCTCGTAGAGAGTTAAAACAGCTCCTTACTCACAATTTAACTCTCTTGCATCAGGAATATCTTGATGCGGCATCCGGTTTGCCGTATGGCTATGCGAGAATGCTTCACATTATTCTTGACGAGTACGATTCTTTTCACGGGTACGATTGGTACAGCGATCCTGCCTGCTCGGGGGCATTTGCCTATTTTGGGCCCGGACAGTTCAAAAATTTCTATCCGGAGCTGGTGAAGCCTGCTGCCAATGGCCATCTATTCTTGGTCGGTGAGGCTTGCAGTGCTCATCATGCCTGGATTTCGGGGTCGCTCGATAGTGCGTATCGGGCCTTATTGCAACTCCTCTACAAATTGAAATATCAAGGCCGCTTGGGACCGGACGTTCTGGAAAGGCTTCAGACCGTATGGGGCACATTAGATGAAATACCACCTGAGGTTCTGGAATGGCAAGCGTTTTTAGCAATGGTCCGAGAGACAAGTCCTGTCACTGGCGGTGGTTGAAGATATGGTATGCGCAGGGTTATGAGGTGTTCGGTAAACTACCTGTTAGATGGTTTGAGACCTTCTCACTCGCAAAAAAGTGGCTTKCTTGATTTTTTAGGGATATATGCACACAAATATGCTAATAAACGCACAATAATCGGGTTTCCTTCGTGGTGGTTTGTCCGCTATGTGCTCCTATTCTGTCTAATTACAGATCAGAGTATTTAAGTTATTAGGATCCTTCTACAAGTACTCCAACTTACTGCTCAGGTGCCCTACGGAATTTTGAAGGATTCGTGCCTGAAAGGTGTGAGCACCACAGCCACGCTCTACTCACACGGAATTTTCAGAATTATGTATTTACATTTTGTGGTTTGTAGAATACAACTATCTAGCGAGGTACAATTTAAATTTTCCAGTTGACTAGTTCTAATACCATCGAATACAAGTGCGATCTTGGGAAGATCAGAAATTGAACTATCCATTTAGATTGAACATGTTAGACTAAAAGTAATCAGTCTGGTTGCTTGTGTTGACAACTGCTGCTTTACACTCATAACCAACAATAAATGTCTCATATAGCTGAATCAGAACGGAAAAGTAAAAATCCATATACGGGGCGATTGTCTGACATTAAAATGAATAAGAATAAAGATTAAAAAAATCCCCTGAAAGGAATGCTCTAGCGACACAACGACTGTCATGTCATTACTGTCGCCAAAGCGGCGACATAACCCTATCTAACGCCTTTGCCCATTGGTACCGTGATTTTAGCAGAGGTTGACGCGACATTATGACTGCGTCGGAAAACGGTCTTTGGTAACGCCCGAATGCCGCAATCACCAATATATTCACTATCTGAAACCCGGAAAAAGTCGATACGGGTCAGGTATCGGATATTTTCCTGCAAGGCACTCACAATGGAGCGTGAAATTGCAGGAGCCTGGGTGAAACTCGACCTTTGAGGTGTTCCAAGACATCCATTGGCCGCCTCGAGGAATTGTATGACTGGCCACATGGGATGGAGTGTACCTGCTTGATCCACGTCGGACTTGACTGCATCTAGCCACTGGTTTGTAGTCCAGGCCTTGATTTTACGTGACGAAGCTGCCTGAATGATTTTCCAAAATTCTGGTACTGGAAGACAATCCAAGACAGGGATTGTGTGCAGGCTACTCGCGGGGTCGTGATGGTTTCTGCTCCGGTAGATGAAGGAGAGGGACTCCTCCACTACTAGAGATGCCACTCGATTGACCGGGGATATGAAAAGCCATGAATTCGCGCTCTCTTCGGAATTATATGCGCCCAGCCGTAAAGATGCGCACACAACCCTCCAAAGATAGTCATCGACATTGCAAATACCATTCGCGCTAGATCCCATGATCAAACCGGGTCGGATAATAGAAATTGGGTTTGAGTAAGACTTTTTGAATTCCTTGATGAGTAGCTCCGAAGTAAATTTTGACTGTGTATATCCGTCAACAGATGACAGTTCTTGAGCAATTTGACGATCAGACTTGTTCTCAACGCTGGGCACCAGAGCTGAGAGGTATGTAAATCCCGTAAAGGAACAACTAGGATGGGCGAGAATCTGAAGGAACTGGATAGTGCTCGTCACATTCGCTGCTTCCAGAGACCGATAGCTTTTAGTCCAGTGGACAACAGCTCCATTGTGAATGATCCAGTCAAACGTGCCCTGGCACAAATTATCCCAGTCAGTTTGAAACAGCCCGAGTCTGGTAGAGGACAGGTCTCCAGGACACGCGATAATCTTGCGGGCATGTCTATCTCCTTCCCACCATTCGGCGGTTTCTGCAGATTGTTTTATCCGGCCCAAAGCATCCTCCTTACTTTCTGCCCGCACCAAAACCGTTACAGAGACAATCTGTGGATTTTGCACCAGTTGTCGAAGGATCTCGGTGCCTAGATACCCTGTACCCCCGGTAAGGAAAACACGGCCTGTCTTCTGTCGATTGGGTTGGGGAAGAAGTGTGGCAGATGCCATGAATTCTTCGTAGAGATTGAACGAAGAATCATTTGCTTCCTGATGGTGGGATGAAGAGCGCGCAGCTTCCTTCTTGCAGTTCTCGATAACTCGTGCCAAGCGTGCCACAGTCAGGGTTTCATCGGACAGCATAGCGACAGTAAGGTGGACATCAAACTGGCGAGATAAATTGCGACACAGAGCCATCAACTCGATTGAATCTAGGCCAAGGAAAGGAAGAGGGACATCCTTGCCGTGGAACCGCTCCTGATAGTCAGAAATCTTGCTGGAGCCGAAAGACGAGATAGTGTCTGATMCCTGCCACACCATCGCATCATTTTTGTCTAGGGTACATATTTCCTGTTCCTGGCTTATAATAGAGCCAAGTTTGAATAGCTCTGGCGTGGTCAGGGCTGCTGCTCCTATTTCTAGTGCTCGTCGATTAATCTTCTTGGAGGGCGTCAGAGGGATGTGCTCTACTTGGATGTAAGTCGACGGGACCATAATGCTCGGCAGAGCGCTTCTAAGTATTTTATCTGCCACAGTAGCTCTTTTCGTGAAATCAGAATTGCCAGCGACAGGACAAAAAGTGGTCTTGGGCGTTTCAATCGTCGAGTTACCACTACTGGTGATGTGGACAAAAGCCACCAACAGGGGTTTGGCATCGTGTTCATGGGGCCGAATGACTGCTGCAACGACGTGATAACCAGGTCCCAGGGCCTGTTGCACATGCTGCTCAACCTCCCCAACTTCTACCCTTTGACCCCGAAGCTTGGTTTGCTGGTTTTTGCGGCCAACATAATTGCATGTGCCATCGACATTGTACCGCACCAGATCACCTGTTTTATAAAATCTGCCTTGGCTGGGCAGGCCATAATAGGAGGTCCTCCACCCGACAGTGGCGGTGGTGCTGAAGAACGCTTCACGGGTTCTTTCTATGTCGTTAAGATATCCGGAGCCCACAATTGGACCTTGTATAAGCAGCTCTCCAATCGTCCCAATGGGGACAAGAACATTGTGGTCATTCTTATGCACTACCCAGAAGTGACATCCCATGCTGTATCCAATGTTCTGTGGGTTAGAGTAGGAAGACGAGGGACGAATATGAAGGCATGATGCCGCCGTCGAGCATTCAGACGGGCCATAGCCACATATCAGATTGACCTTCGTGGACCACAGTGCAACCTGTGCTGGCGTCATAGACTCTCCTACTGCAATGACCGTTTGAAGATCAGGCACTTCGTCTGGGTGGATCAGTCTCAACATGGCGGGCGTAATGAGGATCAAATTTATATCCATCCGTTGAATGGCCTGAGCGAGGTCACCTTGCATCTCCGTCTCATGTGGGATGCAGACGCAGCCTCCAGTGCAGAGAACGGTTAGTATTTCAACCGTGAAAGCATCAAACGCGTATGACGAGATCTGCAGCACACGCGTTGCTGGGGTAATGAGGAATCGGTCACGATGTGCTAACACGGAAGAACAGTAGGAACCGTGATTAATAAGCACGCCCTTTGGTTTTCCTGTCGATCCAGAGGTAAATACAGCGTAGGCTAGATCATCATGGGACGGTTTGACGGCAGACAGAAGCCCACCTCTGGCGTCATCCAATGCAACCCCCGCCGCTGTTACTACCTTGGTGTTGATGGATTTTTCATCATCAATAATATATATGGTCTGGTGCTCGACGACGCCATCTAATCGCTTGGAGTAGGCAGCTGATGTGATAATCAAGCCAGCATTCACAGCATGACAAATGTCTAGATGACGCTGTTGGCCCTGGTTGCCATTCAGCAGAACAAAAGCAGCACCCGTTTTCATCACTGCCAAGATTGCGACCGCAATCCATTTTGACTTTTCAAGTAGAATTGGTGTAATGTTTCCAGCCTTGACTCCACGCTTTAGAAGGCTGATTGCTATGGCAGAGGACAAGCTGTTTAGCTCCTCGTAGGAGAAGTCACCGTCCCAGGAACATATGGCCCGCTCCTTTGAGCGGAGACGACACTGAGTAGAAATCATCTCATGGATACACATCTCCGCTGGCGGTGGCATGTAATTGTTCCATTCCATCAGCTGGCACTGATCGCTAGGAGCGAGAAGATGTATCTGTCTGAGAGTACGGTCCAATTCGCTATCCAGTTGGTCAAAAATATGGCTAAGCTGGGCCATCATTCGAGTCACCTGTTTTTCATCCAATAAATTCTCATCGAAGAGAGCTTCAAACTTGACTGATTCCGTTCCTGGGTAGCAGAGAAGAATGAGGCCATAGCCTGGGAATGAATTGATAGCTCCGGTTTTCTCTTCAACGTTACTAGAAAACAAACCAGACGGCGAGGATGACGGGACATTGCTCACTACAGATGTGCTTGATGGAGCAGGAGGCTGCACGACCAGGAGATTCTGAAAAGCACAAGCTGCCTTTGTATCGCCGCCCATCCGGGCAATGTTCTGCACGCCAGTCTGCTCATACGGTAACATCGCGGTGAATTGGGTCTGCATCTGCTCCAAGGTTGCTCTGATCGATGTCTCAAAATTTAGAACGCTCCGGAATGGCACGGTTGCTACTGTAGGACCAAAAACCTTCTCGATGCCAGGAAATGAGGCCATACGACCACTAACGACTGTGCCAAAAATGACATCGTCGGAGTCCGTGTACAGGGAGAGCATAATAGACCATGCCAGGTGAATCCTAATGGAGTCGCTAAAGGGACATTTTCTTTTATGAGTGGGGGCAGTTGACTGGGTAGTATATTCCACAGCTGCTGTCGCTCTAGGATTGTAGGTACTTGAAGGCAGTTCTGGGAATATAGCAGCGTCCACATTGGATAGCTGTGTTGTCCAAAAACTTAACGTGTCGGTCGACGCACCACTGTGAACGTATCTCACAAAGGAGGAGAAAGATGATCGTTCGGGCGACCGACCATAGTATGCTGCCTCAATCTGATGGGGGATCATGGAGAGCGACCATGCGTCATACAAAGAGTGATGCAATGTCATGACAAAACAGGGGAGAATATTAGCATCCTCAGTGCTATCCTCAGTATAGGCAAATCGGACCAATTCCGTTCCAAAGCCCATTTGCTCCTTTTGGTCGTTTATGAGGTAGGAATCAAGGCTTTTCATTTTGTGCTCCATGAAAGGGGTCGGTTTCGGAATTTCAACAACCTGAATAGTTTGCCCTGATGATATTTGTATGATGCGAGTGCGAAGAATTGGGTTCGCACTGACCACAGCCATCCACGCCCTGTGGAAACACTCCATATCTATACCTGGGTGCAATTTGTAGACAAATTGATCCTGATACACCAACGATCCGCGGGTCGTTGTCGTGGTCATCAGGCCTTCTTGCAAGGGCGTACAGGGGTAGATATCGCTGATATCCGACCTGAAAATTTGATATTGCTGCTCCGCCGTTGACAAGATTGAATCCCTGGTTTTCTGATCGGAAAAAAATGCAAAGGGCTCCTCCGTGGGCGGCAGGACTAGTGCCGCAGAGCAATCACCAATTGTTTGCGCAATATCCAGAAGGGTAGATGACGATTGAAGCAATTCCTCCGTTCGAATCTTCAACCCTTTTCGTCTAGCTCGAGCAGTCAATCGGATCGCTGTCATGGAGTCGCCTCCAACCTCTATGAAACTCTTCTTCATGTCAATCGACCGGGAATCGACCTTCAGTATCTCACCCGTAAGCAATCGTAGACACTCCTCCTTCTCCCCAAGTTGTTCGAATGACTGCTCCTCTGAGCATAATGCAGGGATGGTTATTTTCAGGGACATTTGCTCGGCAAATAGGCACTGAAGCTGCCGTCTGTCAAGCTTCTTGTTCCGAGTGAGCGGTAAGCTGCTCAGAGGCACAAAGACGGTCGGGACCATGTATCGGGGTAACTTTTGGGACAAGGAGAGCTGCAGATGTCGGAACAGGCTTTCAGCAGTGACACTACTGGCTTGGTCTGCAACAGCTAGTGTGCAAGTTACGAAGGCTGTTAGCTTCGATTCATCTTGCGCGGCCCCCGGCGGTTTCACAGCTTCAACACAGACGTCGAGCGAGGGATCGATCTCGCGGATCGCATGTTCGACGGCTTCCAAGTCGACCCTTTGTCCGCGGATTTTGACGATGGCATCATCCCTACCCACATACCGTATGGTTCCATCCGGGTTGTACTGCACCGCATCCCCAGTGCGAAAGAACACGGGAGCGGTGGCTGCAGGACTGAACAGTTGCCTCCACTTCGGTGGTAGGATAAAGGCCTTGCTAGTTTTTTGCGGATCATTATAGTATCCACTAGCAAGAAGATGTCCTTCGATTACCAGTTCCCCAATAGCACCGATTGGAGCGAGTTGATCGACATTGGACAATTGCACGATCCATGTTCGACATCCTACCCCACTGCCAAATGTTCCCGGAATCCAGGAATCCTTTACGATACGGCATGTGGACATGAGGGTAGCTTCCGCCGGGCCGTAAATGTTTAGCAACTCAAGTTCATCCGCCCACCGAGATGCAAGGTCGGCCGGCACATTCTCACCTCCCATTCCAAGCGTGACAAGGCCCCGTAGATCCTCTGGCTCGAAGTTCCGCAACATTGATGGGGTAAGAAAGGCCCACGTCACCTTGCAGTCACGAATAAACTGGCAGATACTGTTCAGCCGTTGCGTCTCCGAAGGAATGCAGATGCATGCGCCTGTTGCCAACGCCGTATACGTCTCGTATATGCTCATGTCAAATGCATACGAAGAGAACTGGAGAACTCTAGAGTTGCGATGTATGCTTGCCGCACTCGCATGGTGGTGGATGGTCGTCACCAAAGCACGATGACTGAGCAGAATTCCTTTCGGTTTCCCGGTACTGCCAGATGTGAAGAGAATAATAGCAGGGTCTTCCGGGTGGAGGAGCAGCCTATCTCGCTCAGACGTATGGTCGTGCGGTTTTTCATTTCCCCAATTTTTGCTTTGGTGGGACGAAACTTCCACAACAGAGGGCATGTGTGTCCGAAGCCGCTTGGCCTGGGCTTTGGACGCAATACCCAGGATAGACTCTGACTGTGTGATGACATCTGCGATGGTCTGGTCTGGATAATTGGCATCGAGGACAAGAGTAACCCCTCCGGCTTTGAGGACACCTAGTTGCCCTACCATTGTCCATATCGACTTCTCGAACAGTAATGGCACGATGGAACCACGGCATACACCATGGTGGGCTAAGCGGCCGGCTAGCTGAGAAGATAGCTCATCTAGTTCCTTATAGGTAAGCTCTCCATCCCACGATATCAGGGCTGGCGCCCCAGGAGTAGTTAGAGCTGAGCCATGGATAACATCGTGGACAAGCTGTGCAACGGGCTCTGTGTTCTGTGCTGCGCACCACTTTTGGATCGAAGCGAGATCCGACTGACTTGCGATGTTTAATTTCCCTAATTTCGTGGTTTCGCCCTCCAGAGTAGCAGCATATTGAATCTGCTGCACTAGGTGCGCCATTTGTTCGACAAATCTGCCTGCTTGCTTTTCCAATATCAAATTTTCGTCAAAGCGGGCTTGTAGGACAAGTTTGCCATCCATTTCTTGTTGACACCTGAGTGTGAAGGGACAATGTTTTTTTTCGGTGAGCACTGCATTATCAAAATCATCATCAGATGCCCAGTCAATTCCTTTTGATTGTCCATCTGTGCTGGCACCAAGGAGCAGGATGAGCAACTGGGCCTCTATCGCAGAACGCCCGTCCCCTACCATTGCCTTCCTTTCCTGTTCCTTTATTTCATCATTGCTTCCGCTATATGAACTTTGACCTTCAAATACCTGCATTCTTATCTGGTCTATGGTAGCATAAAGGTCCGCTGCAGGATCCACGTAGATGTCCAAGGACATAGAGGACCTCGAAGCTTCGTGACGCTCGTCATAATTCTTCCATTTTGAATACGCCAGATTTGTCTCAAGAGATATTTTTGTTGAACCACAGTACTGAGCAGCCAGAATCGCCCAGCTCGACAGCAGCCTCTCAAGAAGACAATTATTACTGGCACAATGTAGCAATGGTGTGCAAATTGTGATCGGCCTGGTGAAACACAATTGGGATCTCGCGTTCTCGTTCTTGTCCCAAGGGCTCACAAAAAAGGATGATCTGGATGAAACGCAACATCTCTCTATTGATGCTGGTGGAAGTTTGAGAGCAGTATCACAAAGAACTGCCGTGGGATCATTCACACTATTGGAACGTACCATTGGTGCCATCATCTTCTATATTTTTCTACCACGCAGAAACACTGTTATAGGTTGACAAAGGTGATATGAACAGATGAACATTTACGTGACAATGTAGGCACTTCCCTCCAAGGCACGCTGTAGGTTTATAACTTAGCAAGCGAGGTCTCTTTTCTTTTTCTTCGTCTTCCCTTTTCCCAAAGAGATTTCAAGATCTGCCTCATTCAAAAAGATGATCCTTGACTTCATTCCTAAAACCTCTTCTCAAGCAAGGGAGCTCTGGAAGGACCAGGAATTACACAATAGACCGAGAATCTTTCTCAAGCTGCACTACAAATTACTGGCAATGACATGTGTAGGTTATTTTTCTTTTTTTTTTTCTGACTCAACAGGCAAGAAAGTCTAGTATTAGGCATTTTGCAGCAAAGCGGAGTCTAAGCGCTGTAATAAATTACTCGCAGTCAGGTTGTTCTCGCACAAACGCGTTATACGTGTCAGTCCGTCAGAAAGGAGTTGACAACATCATTGATGTATCTATGCCAACTTATTTAAACAGTATTGTAATCAATATGTCCAATATGATTACAGTATTTTGGTGATTCTTAAGGCGAAGAGTGGATACTTTGAGGAACTGAAAGGATTTCTTTATACACGAAGTGTCTCATCAGTGTACATGCATGGCAGTGAAACGGCAGGAAATCGGAGATGGAGAATGACTTGTGTCACACAGTGAATTAATATCTACATGTAGTAATCAACTGAATGTGTAATTTCATGTATGCTCTTTTTTCGGTCAATTCATGTAAGGATCATACATCACGTCAGGTCAATGTCAACTTTGACAAATGGCACAAATAGCTGACATCATATACAGCAAGACCACATTGTCTCGGTGCAGTTAGAATCAGCATTTTTAGGAATGCAAATTCCAAGTTCCTTGAGAACGCCTGCACGTCAAAAAGAATGACCAATCCAAGCTTTTACTAGCAATTGCCAGCCTTATCGAAGGCTCCGGGTTTGGTTATTAGAGAGCCATTGAAAAGAGAGGAATTTTCTCCCAATGACTCTTGACACGAGCAGGGTCTAGGAAATAAGCCTATTCCAAGGTCAGGAATTCGAGGCTCTGGAACTTGAAATTCACGAATCTCTAAGAGAGCTCCAAATATGAAGAGATATCCCATGCGATCCTTTTTCGTAGACATGGAGCCGGGACATCCAGCGAACCAGCTTGGATTCGGAGCCTTTCCACTATAAAAGGAAGAGATAGTAGATATAGCTATTAGTACCATTAATTAAAAATTCTTTACGTGATCTTATGGAGCCCCAGTGAGCAATTGAGGCCGTTTCAGACCGTAGTAGATTTTAGATGCTAAGGTGCGAGAATAAAGAAAATCGCTAGAGCCACTAATAGAGATACAACGTAACTTATATTTTGACATAGAAGAGCCAAGTTGTGCTACCTACATCCAGAGCATGAACCTTGATTTATAGGCGGTTGATCTGATTGATAAATACTGCGGAATAAGACATAAAGGGCCGCGTCTCAAATCCGTAAAACCATAGAACACCAAGGGTGCAAAATGATAAACAGTCAAAATAGCCCCAACGTTGTGATTTCTTTGTTCTCAGTCACTCAAGCTAGGAGCATGCCTCCGTTGGATTCAATGATTGTACCTGTAACATACTGGTCCTTCATCAAGTACACATATCCCTCTGCCAAATCCTCTGGCTTACCGCAAACGCCAAGTGTCGAATTCCGCCTACATCGTTCAACTTCGCGCTCGTAGACATCGCCTAGAATTTCAATCACCCCTTCAGTGAGGACTGCGCCAGGTGAGACAACATTGACTCGGAGGGGCTTTAGATCCACCGCCAGAGCTCGCATCAAAGCCTCTACAGCACCGCAATACGCCGCATGGAGTGCCCAACCGGGATCGGGTTTGACGGTGTGAGATCCGCTAGTCATGGTAAAGGAACTCTTGTGCGTCATGTGCATGTACTGGGGAATCAGTTTGGCAATCATAACTGGAGCCACCAAGCGAACAAAGCCATGACCTTCTACCTCCTCAACTTTGGTGTCCTTCAAAGGAGGGGGCCAGAGCATGGGCGCGGCGGTGATAGTGATATGATCGATTTTGGAGTCTCCAGCGGCAACTCGAAGAAGTTCATGAAGGTTTTGCTCGAGGGTTTGCTGATTGGAAAGGTCACAGACCTGACCAGCAATGGTTTGGCCGGGTTGCAGGAAGGACTTGTACGCAGTCCGCAGGCGATATAACGCTTTTTCCAGTTTCTGAGGGTTAGAGCTTGCAATAGTGACACTGGCTCCGTTCTCAATCGCTGCTTCAGCAGTCGTGAAACCGAGACCAGATGATCCGCCTATGATGAGCACACGCTGACCGGCTAGCTTGTTGATAAATTTGGGGACTCCTGAAGGTGCCATTTTTAAGGGCGAAGAATTTATATTGTCCAAGAGGGGAGCAAAAAGAATGAAAACGAGAAAACGAAACAGGGCTTCCTCTGTTCTCATAAGGATTGCTTACAACAGTCCTTCGTCGATGATACAATATCAAAGTTATTTCCAACAAGCCTTGTGAGACCAGTATGATTGATTTTCTAACCTGACATTCCTGTTTTCTGGCGGTGTGTGGTCATTTTTACTGTCTCCTTGCTTCCCAAGTCCAGAAATGTTGGAGCAATACAAATGGCGCTTGTGGATGAAGTAGAACTGAGGTGGATCAACTTTGCACAGGATGACTGCTATAAATATTTGATGCAGAAAAAGGTGCATGATGCACATAATTACAATGGAGGTGAAGTGGCTGGATCGGTTATAAACATCACAGCACACGGATTCGTAAGCCGCCGGACGACATGCAGCTGAAGTAAGGCATGGGAAATGAGCCCGGTCTAGTGTAGGACAGACATACCAGACTTGACTGTTGCCCCATGGTGTAACAACGGAAGAGATGCTCCATTTTCTTCACGCTGTGACCTGTTCCTATATCAGACGAGAGAGAACAGCTGGCTTCTGGGTTTGTCACACAAAGGAGGGTTTGAAATATTCTAATTAGTCAAGAGAAAAAAAGCCAGAAAACTCTTCATTACAAAATAAAATGACTGTCGACAAGCGAATAATCACCATTTTTGGCGGAACCGGTAGGTCGAATGCAAGACGCTTGCTCGCTGCCAGCGTGCTCCAGTTTGATGGCTGACTGCTCTACGTCTTTATTAGGTCAGCAAGGTAGTAGTGTTGGGCGCTCACTCCTCCTAAACAAGGACAAAAGGTTTTTTGTCCGAGTGATTACCCGAAATCCATCGTCAGAAAAAGCACAGGCAATTGCAGCCCTTGGAGCCGAGCTCGTCAAAGCCGATGCCTTCACGGAAGGGGAGATTGAAGCGGCCTTTCAAGGCAGCTGGGCAGTCTTTATCAATAATGACTCGGGTAACCCGGTGAGGTGTCTTATCCTATGTTTTCATTTTAGGGATTCAAGATGAGAATCCACCCAGGAAAAGATCGTGACTATTAATACTGCAGGCCCACGTACTAGGTCCTGAACACCGAAACGTTCCCTACTAATTATGACATTGAGGCGACCATCATTGACGCAGCACACAGAGCGGGCGTCCAGCATGTTGTGTATAGCTCTGGACAGTCTATCTGTGCAGCTACAAAGGGTAGGGTTCATCAGGAGGGATTTGAAAGTAAGTGGCTGATAGATTTGGAAAACGAAAGATCTTTGGCCCCCAATACCGAATGCTGCATGAAATTGACCATCTTCAAGCCAAATACCATGTCGAACAATATGCCAGGACAAAGCCATTCACGACTTTCACGGCCGTTCTGCCTGCGGCCTTCTGGGAGAATTTCAGGGATGAGAATTTCTGTTACGGGCTGGGTGGCTTTCCATTTTACCGGACATGGGATGGAAAGCTTCAGCTCCGAGCCCCATTGTATGGCGGGAAAGAGGACATGCCTTGGCTCAGTGTTAAGGATGACTTTGGGGACATTGTGCATGGGATCTTCCTCAACCCCCAGAAGTACAATGGCATGACTATTCAAGCATTCAGTCAACAGCTGTCCTTCGCCGAAATGGCACAAAGCTTTACTGACGGTATAGTCCATATCTCACATTCCAACTCAGCACCTCGCAATATTTATTCTCCTCTCATGATTATTAGTGACTAACGTTTGTGTGTGTGTGTGTCATGTTTGTACAGGTACTGGACAGAAATGCCGTTATGTCCAACTAGCCTCTTGGAGAGATATCCCAAGTAATAATACCAATTGTCGGAAAGAATTTCGAGAATTCTTCTTCTACACCTTCTCTTGTGGAGGCAAGTTTTATGGACTCGCGCCTACTGACCATACCCATCCCGTTATGTTGAAGAAGGCAGCAAAAGAGGCTCAAGGCTTTCAGGATGGATACTTGACCACATTTAAAGATTGGATCGCACGGGAGTTGGCGGAGAACCAAAATGGTAACTCCTGAAAGTCAAAAGGAAGAACGCAATGGAAATTTCGCAATTTGATCGGTTCATCATCTGGATACTCCAGGAGCTTAAAAAAAATCTAAAAGAATCAATTAAGAGTTATATGAAAATGAAAAACAAAAATCCCACAAAAAATAAGGATTATTATATTTGAACAACATAGAACCGTTGAATAGACAGAATTGGGAAGTATTGAAAGATGTAAACATTTCTGTTTTGAAGGGTGAATAGTTATAATTGGGGGATATGAGGAGAAAAAGGGGACGCGCAGGAAGTCACGTAATGAGAGGAAAGACACGTCTATCTTGATAAGATACGAAACAACCAGATATTATTGGGAGAATTTTGTATACCTTATACTTGTTACAATGAAGAATATACAATTTGGTGTGTAGAATATAGTCTGCAGAATGGGCAATTGCCTGAATTTATAGTAATCAAGACTGCTTCCTCTACATTGTGTTGAGGTGTCTATTAGGGCTGGGCGGACAGACCCTAACAATATTTGTCTGCTTAGTAAGTACCATGAACAATTCAGCGATTATCATTCGGTTGAAGGTTCCCAGTAGCTCTCGGCCCTCGAGCTCTTTTGAGAGTCTTTTCAATATGTTGGATGTATTTTACATACACTAGATAATTTAATAAAATGAATTCAACTCCTTTAGTAACTATTTTTATACCTGATATATTAAAGAAAGTTTAGATAAATCTTACAATCTTCTCCTTATTGCGCTTGTTATGACTTTTATATAGATTCTCCGCGGCGATCCAACTGAGTAAACGAATCGTATATAGCCCGTGTCAGCTACAGTAGAAAGTTTCAAAGCCTGTACCAAAGAGATAAAGTGACAAGCCCGAGACTCAAGCTGTGGAGAGTGAAAATGTAGCTTGAAATGAGGATGTGCTGGACAAATTGTGGGAGCTACGCAATGGGGAATGAAAGAAGGAGGTGCACCCAAGGGGTGGTGGTGCAGGCATATCTGGGTACAAATTTAGCCATCCAGTTTGAAGATATTAACTTGAAAATCAAAAGCATCTCTGTACCCAGGCAGCAAGAGAAAGAGACAAGGAAATGACTTCCAGGAGAAAAACGAGAGGTCGTGGTGGTTGCGCGGCTCTCCCGCTGATCTCAGCACGACGTCATAGGAGGTACCCGTAGGGCAGGCAATACCTCCGACTGCGTATTCATTCCGTATACCCTCATTCTTTGCGATATTCAAATTTTATCGTCTAGAGTTAGATGACCACGATAAAATAAAGCACCCCGGCTAAAAGCCCACACACACATCCTCACAACGGCTGTCTTGACGACATTTGCGCACCGCGCAGCATGCGTCGATACAGCAGCCATGAGTACGGTACCAGATGATCAGCAAAATCAGCAGGGAAACTCAGGCGAGACCGATTCTGATGGTAGCACACAGATAGGTGGCCAGAACAGTTTCAGACCGATTGTGCCCGGGCCTTCATACCCCGGTCCTGGGAGGACACCGGCTGATTTGAGACGGACTATGGGACCGGGATGGAATAAGAGAGTGTCCACAGCGTGTCTAGCGTGTAAAAAGTCGAAGCGAAAGGTATCTCTACGACTTATTCTCGTCGTAGCGCATGCTTACGACTTTACTTAGTGCTCCGGGACACCTCCATGTGATAATTGTCGAGCTCTTCACAGAGAATGTATATTCGACGAGTCACTCGATCAACGACGGCGCGTGGCTGCCAAACGAACGGCCGAGGAACTGGAATATCATCGCGATATGCTCAATGACTTGTTCAAAGTAATTCGAATCGCAGACGAGAAACAAGCGCAAAGGTTGATGGAAATGATACGGAGCGATGCAACCCCGGAAGAAATCCGCTTGTTTATAGACGAAGTCCTTGTCCAGCTACAAACATTTGAGCCACCAAGTAAAGCAAAACGAGAAACGGCAGCACAACTGAAGGAAATCAGGAGTCGAGCTAATATGCAAGGATCAGCGCCTTCGTTCAGACGCCAAGTTATGGATGTCAATTTCTTGTGTGTCATTCCACCTATTCAGGTACCGGCTAGCCCTTGGACGACTGCGACAGACGACGACGCCTTTGTATCGCATTTGGTTTCGCTATATTTTACGTGGGATTATCCGTTCTATTCGTTTTTGGATTTGAATGTGTTGATCAATCATATGAAGTCGCGCGATCTTCATTCCGAGTTTTGTTCGCCATTCTTGGTAAATGCTCTGTTAGCGCATGCTTGTGTGAGCTCTAGTTCTTTGGTGTGATTCAAGTTGCAATACTGACAAATTTTGTATGCATAGAGCTACTCCGAATATTCGGAAGCATACGGCATCCCTGGAGATATAACCAGTAAAGGAGCCAAATTTTTGAAAGAAGCTGAGAAATGTTTGGAGAAGCGAGGAGACGATGTGAGCCTTTCCATGTTACAGGGGACCATGATTTTGTACGAAAGGTATGCGCTGCGCTAACATCCCTTGTAGGGACTTACGTCGGGCTAATGTGATATTTCTAGGTATTCGATGACTGGGCAGGATGACCTGGGTTATGCTATGCTCTACAAAGGCATCGATATTGCCGACAAGTTAGGGTATACAGGCGGCGAAGGACAGACTATTGATTTAAGCGAGAAGTCCAAGGATCTCTACAACTCGGCGGTAAAAACAGTTTGGGGATTATTTCAACTTGACACGTTAGTCTTATAGATAGCTCCTCAGATTGTTGACATTATTCTGTGATACTGAATCTACTCGAACAGGGTCGCTCATGCCGCATTCCTCAAACCTTGTCGCATCAAGAACGTTCGTCTCTGCAGGACACCTGCACTTAGCCTAGAGCGGGATGCAGATTTCTGGACCGCTTACCCATCTCAAAAACCACCGCGAAAAGCTTTTTTTGTCACCTACTTTGATAAAGCGTGTACATTGAGCGAGATATCGCGGGACATTTCGACAACACTTTTTGCAGATGAAATTGACGATGATAAGGAGCGACTCTCGGCTGCTGTGGACTCGTTGTATACGAGAATGAAAAAGTGGCATGAAAGTCTGCCGGCTGAGTTTCACATGTCGAAAAAACCGGCTCCCCATATCCTGCTCCTGCAGTAAGTATTCCGCACAAATTGATAGGTAGAGGTGAGATACTGATAGACATACAAAAGTATACGATATCATACAATGCTTATCAGCATGTTCAATTGTCCTCGAGGTCACAACTATCACCATAAAGCAACAGAGATAGGCACACCAGCCAAAGCACCAGGATCTCAGATGCCCGAAGGTGGCGAAGACCCAGCATCCATAGCGATTACATCTGCTCGCGCAATCGCCAGACTTATCCGAGTTCATCAAGAGGAGTACGGAATAAGTAGATCACACGTCTTTGCACTATTCGCGGTGAACCTCGCACTATTCCTGTTGCTAGATCTTGATGTTTATGATATCTCCGATCCGGATTGTCTTTCATTGACATCTGCGTTTGCGATTATCACGACAAGGTCGATGCTGGGACGGGAGGTGCGGTATATCTTCTATCGCTCGGTGAGCAAGTCGAAAAAAAACGGTGTGTCGAAATGGGACCAATTACCAGAAGGTCTAAGAGAGATACTCGGAGAGGATGCAGATGACTCTTCTGATTCCGAGGGCAACCATAACGATGAGCATAAGCATGATGATATCGGCGACGGCTACAACCATTATGGTAATACATCGACCAGGACAACGCCAATGACAGCGACAGAAGAAGACGAGGAACAAGCTCAGAAACCGAAGAAAGGATGGGGTCCTCAAGAAGGGTCAAAGGGGTTATGTGAGATGTTGTGTCGATATGAAACTATGACATTGGGACGGAAGGATCACGTTACGGGGAAGAAGTAGAATCATCAATCGATGTTTCCTGTGCGATTATCTGTACTTTAGCTAGCGATTAATGTGAATTTTGTGCCTACTGATATTAATCCCAGTAAAGTGCTTTTTGTATCTGACGATGCCCAGTGTCAATGCCCGGTGTAAATTAGGTTAGGGTTATAAGTATTATTAGTATGTATGAATGAGCTGCACTTTGCGCAGACAGCTTTTGAGATCTGAACTAGTAATCTAGCATACCCCTTATACTTTTAAAGAACCAGATATCATGTGAGATTATTCCACTTTATTGATCAGCTCACTGTCTAGGCTTGTTGGACAAGCATTACATTAGTTCTTACTCCGTGTCTATGATAGTCTTCCCTGGCACCTCGGTATTTCTCTGTTCTCGGCTTTGGTGTGGTTTTATGTATGTGGGAGTGCCATGTTTGGCTGCTGGCCAAATGTCTTGGTCTTTTTGGCGCGGTGGCTGCGCCTTGTGAGACTGCCGGAGAGTGAACCCTTGACACTTTGTAGGACTTCTAATTCTATAGGGAGCTATAAAGTGCTTTAAGGCTCTAAGTATATAGAAGAGTGTGTCTACACCAGCTCGGAACGGAGGGGATAATCCCCAGCGATATTGACACTTTGGAAACTGTCACAATTACCGTGTTCTGAACAATCCCGAGATGGTTACAATACCCGCAAGCCATCACAGATATGCTGGTTAACCGAGGTTTCCCGAAAGCATACTCCGGAACACCTTTTTTTTTTGAAATGGATTGAGAGGTTACCGTTGCTTATTTTCACCAAGTGTGCTTCAAATTATTATCCATCATCTATCTGATTTTGTTGCTTCTACTGTATCTACATCTACATCTACATCTTACACAAAAACAACCGAGATGGCTCCCGTCGCAGAGCAGGACATCGCCCCACCAAACATATATTCGGTCAAATCCTGGCCCAAACCAACCCACCCAGGGCTGATACAGGTCGTCCGCAGCGACAAACCATTCGGCTCAGGCGCCGTTTCGCTCGTCTCGCTGCCAGCCGGCGCTGTATTCGCGCATATTGAACCCGACGTCATCAGCGTCGTTCCCGAGCAGCGCTACACAACCGTGCAGGTTGACCGCAACGCGCACATCGAGCTCAATTCCGACCTTGTTTATTGCAATCACTCATGCGACCCGTCAGTCGTGTTTGATATGCATAGAAACGAGGTGCGCGTGGTGGAAGGCCGTCCCTTAAAGAGCGGTGACGCCCTAACGTTTTTCTACCCGTCAACGGAATGGCATATGGATCAACCGTTCGAGTGCACATGTGGGAGTTCTAAATGCAAAGGAAGGATCGATGGCGCGGCGAATATGCAGAGGAGCCAGCTAGAAGAGTATTGGTTGAATGACCATATTGTGCAGTTACTGAAAGAGAGGGATGATGTGAATTGAAGTATAGACGGTCTCAGTTTAATCGATATGAGTTCTGAGTAACTCCACTACGCATGTAGGGCTGAATCCTCCAGAGACATTGCATCATTAGAGAGTTTAGGTAGCTTATCTGCTATGGTGTGACCTTGGCCTACCTGGCTAGTATATCCTCAGTGCTGATTGGTCGGAGTCTGTAAACTTAGGGCTAGGTCTAGGGCTTGTGCTTTTGGGTCCATCTTGGCCCTATGTCTATACACTGTGCTTGAGTACACTGGCCTTAAACATAAATTTCTTCTCTAGAACTCATTTTGTATAGTAAGAATATCTAAACTAGTCCCACAAGGCTACAATCCGGTCGACAGGTGACTATGTACATGACTCGAATGATAGATAAGAAAGATGAGAGAGCCAGAAATTCAGGCTTACCTTCGGGATATTGGGGCGAGTTCTCGTTAAGACGCTTGACGGGCAATGCGAAGAGAATGAATTAAAGTCGTGCATCCTAATCAGTGGTCTATGATCAAGCTCACATGAACCTCGTCTCTTGAATTAAGAAATAAAGTGTCTGCAGTCTCGATGTAAGATATCCTTATGTCTATTCAATATTTTTGTCAGGAGACTCATAGCAAACAAAACTTAGGGCTGTTCTCAAAGTGAACGACCACGCTAATCCTGGAAAGGATTAATGTACATGACTCGTGATGCAGATCATTTCCATTGTGGGTCTGCGGGCAAAATATGTTCAGGTTTGTCTAGGGTTACGACGAAGGCAGTACTCATGGCTAACCTTATCTTCCATCCTAGAGTTGGACACCTAGGAAGAATCCATGCACAAATTATAATTAGGAGAAATTTTTGATGTCTCAAAAGTCAAGTCTGGTGACATGATCGAAGCGCATTAAGTCGGCGATCTTGATTGTATTGCAGTACCACAGTAACACAGGATCGACAGCTAGAAAGTACCCGAGGTTGTATTCAACACAAAAAGAAACGCACTACTGCCTGACGTCGTATGATCGACTACGTAGTAATCCATGCAGAATAGTCTTCAATAATGAATAGAGAGTATTATTTTGACTACCTAATAGAGTAGCTGTAGATCTACTACCAAGCTGTATAATGTAGTCTTCTAAGTGCCTGCAGGTAGAAACCACACTGCTGTCATAGATACATGATAGACTGGAGGTATCAATGTACGATCATACCTGCAGTAGAGCCATAATTCTTTAATCACACTAGAATGCAAATTTACTTCCTGTCAGTCTCCTCCACAGGAGGATACTCGTCTACATCCAAAGCGTTCATCTCCTCCTCCTTGGCGTTCAAGTGACGGAAGGTGAAGAAGAAGATGATACCAGCGGCAAATGAAGCACAGGCCAAACCAGTAAACATCCACATGATGGCAGGGTCGTAGGCAACGGGAGTCAGGGCCTCGCCAATAGCAGATCCGAACGCGTTGGTCAACAGGTACATAGACTGGACGAAGGACTTCATGTTGGGAGGAGCCTTGGTGTAAGCATACTCGAGACCAGAGACAGAAGCGAAAATCTCGGAGATACCGATAAGCATGTAGGCAGGAGTTTGGATGGCAATGTGGATGTGGTTTCCCTGAGCAACTCCGTCGATTTCAGAAGCAGCGCAGAGAGGGGATTCGTAACAAGGACCAGCTTTGTAGATGTAGTGCTGGACAATGGCAGCGTAGACCATGGCCAAGGAGGCGACGACGAAACCGAGAGAAATACGGCTGATGGGCTTGAAGTCGATGTGCAGCTTGCGGAGAAGAGGGTAGACCAAGGATTCGAGGAGAGGAATGAACACAATGATGGAGATCGGGTCGAAGTTCTGCATCAAATCGTTGGGAATACCGTGACCCTCCATCTGACCAGCCTGGGTAACGAAGTTGTTGGAGAATTGACCGTAGACAACCCAGTAGATGGGGTAGAAGCAGAAGACCTGGCAAGCAACCAAAGCACGCTTGACTTCGTCGACAAAGTGGTCGTCCCAGCGCAAGTTGCTGTTGCCACCGTGCTCGGCCTGCCAGCTTGGCTTGGCAGCATCCATGTTGAAGTGCTTGATCATCATACCCATGGCCCTGAAAGCATCGGTGATAACGGAACCTTGTGGTGCGCGAACAATGTAGTACTTGCGACCAATGACCAAGACGGCAGTACCGACAGCGAACATGCATGTGCAGAGAAGGTAGGCCGACCAGAAACCAACGTCCCGCTCCATGTAAGGAGTGGCCAAGCCCGACAAAGAACCGAGGTTGATACAACCGTAGAAGATCATGTAGATACGCTGGACGGTGACAGCAGGGTCGACGATCACTCGCTCACCGTTCTTGTTGGTCTTGATGGCCATCCTCTTGCGAGTGTACTGGTCGGCAATCAAAGGAGCAACGTTACTCTTGATACCACCAGTACCGAGACCAATCACGATAACCGAGGCGACGAAGCCACCGAGACCAGCGCCATGCTCAAGAGAGGTGGGGAGCGAAGTGAAGAGCAGGATGAAGAGACCAGCGAGATAGACACCGCAGAACATGGCGATAGTCTTGTACTTGCCCAAGTATTGATCGGCAATGATGGCACCGAGGATAGGGGTGACTGAAACCTATTAGATTGTGACAAGGGAATATAAAAAACGATCAGGTTCGCATACCATAGCACCAGAACTGGAAAAAGGTGGAAAGACCAGTAGCACCCTGGTGACCCATACCAAGAGCACCACGACCCTCGCTACCGTCGAGAGGTCGCTGAATGTAGTTTTGGAAGATACCAGAGACACCGTAGTAAGTGAATCGTTCACACAACTCGACCATAGCAACCAGCCAGGCGGAGAGCGGCAGGTTCTCCGCAACGTGCTTCAAGCGGTGCTTCTCTTCCTCCGTAGGAACCTCTCCATCGGGGGTAACGTAAGGGAGCTTTTCGTCCACCTCGGGAAGGCTTCCTCCTGTAATGTCCTTGGTGGGGTGAGATACGCCCTCGACATCGTCAAAGGTGTGGTGCAGTCTGTAGTTGAGAGGGTCAGTATGAGATTGTGCGAGGTGGTCGCGTTGAGAAACACTCACTGTGCAACCTCAACCTCGTGGTCTGCAGCCGCCATGGTGAAGTATGTTGTTATTTGACAAAGCCGCAACGGCTGGAGGAAACCACAGGGGTATTGGAGAAGAGAGGGAAGGGGCAGTGAGGCTCTCCTGGGGAAGAAGAAAAAAATCGCAACAAAGAAGGGGAACTGGGTGCGATTAATACTGCTTCGCGACGGGGCCACGGACAATATTTTTCTTGGGTTCCATGAGTGTCGGTGCAACCACGACCACGCGGACAGGGCCTTATCGGCGGCAGTAGGGGAATGGCTCGGACACAGCAATCTGGAGCTGCAAGCAGCCAGCAAATCAGGGACGAGCTTGTGCCTGAGCAAATCAGAGGATGGAAGAGCGAGTGGCAATGGGAGCGGACAGGATGAGAATCGAGAGAGTTTTCGGAGACGACCGAGCAGAGCCCACGCGAGACTTGGCCGGTTTAGGCAGTTGTTCCAGGGCGGACGGCGTGCCAAGCCTCGAAGGGATTCCGCTGGTTGCGCCTGCGCCTGCCGTTCTTGGCATGCTGCTTGGCAAATGTAACCTCACTCAGTTCTCACTGCATACTACTTCCACTACTACCACTACTACATGTTCGTGTTGATTCATGTACAGACGGAGAGTCCTTGTCGACGTCCTGTCGCAGCTGTTCATCACTATCGTGTCAATTCTGCCAAGTGGGTGGACAAAGAATGATCCATCGCACAAATCGAATAAAAAGTACGTAACATTATGATCGCCAGACTCCACCCAGACACAAGCAATAGCAACGACCCAGTGGAAAGGCTCTTGCAGTGTAGGTCAGTCCTCGCAGCAAATACTACGCGCCAAGCTTTGAGAGAATTTTCTAAGGGTCAATCCCGCCTTCGCCATTCGTCGGACCCTGGAACTCTCCACCGGACCCATGCTACTGTCTGTGCGCCATGTCTGTCGGCGAGAAAACTATGTTTTAAAGACAGCACAACAGACTAACTACCGCTCGATAAGAAGCAATGTCTTAGGTAAAACCAACGTTGAGCCAAGACTCGTATACACCAACGTCCCCAATAACATCGTCGTCTGCCTCACGCCAATGTTCACGGTCTCTCTTGGCAATTTGCCGATGCCACCAAATGGCTTCAACGCCGCGCTTGGTATACGCACCCCAGCTTCGAGAAGACAATTCGACCTTCCTTATCTGATGCAGGTATCCATAGACCCAGTCAAAACGTGCTGTTTGTCCACTTTGTTGGGTTTACTATAGTACAATGCAATGGGTCGATAGAGCTACAGGTGGACGGCTACAGCCGACTCTTAGCCAGTCCTTTGCCGAGGGCCATGTTTGCATTTATCGGCTAGTGCTGAGGATATCTTACATGCGGATGTTATAGCCAACTCCGATAAAGTGGAAGGATTCCTTGGAATGTCCGCGTCCTGACTCTGACATGCAGCAGATTGGCCAGGTTCCAATATCTGCTTGACACTATGACTGATTAATCTTGTATCAGTTTATAATCTATCTAGATACTTCATCTTGGCGAGATAGGCACCGCTTAGATTCGGAAAAGACAGGCATCTTATCTAGAGACAGTGAATACTGGGTAGATGACTGGATCAGACAATCAGCTCATGTTATGTGACATTCATCTCCAATCGACTGATTCAGGTCAGTCACAGCCTATCAAAGCCTATCAAATATCCGGCGTGACATTGCCAATCCGCGCAGCTGTATGGGTTCACTCCAACCGACCAACATGGGGTGCGATTGATCGACCCAGATTTTTACTTGTTCTGTCGATTTACTCCTCAATTGACCTGGGGTATGTTCTCCCGCATACATGAGGCTTTGCACATCGAACAGCCTTCTAGACCAATATTGCGCCATGGCTTGAGCCTTCTACGTAGAATCATGGAAGGTTATTGAGCCCCTGCGTATAATTCCAGGATTTCCGGTTGGTAACGGATATTATCGATTTCAATATTTCATCGTTTCCCTCCGGTGCTCTTTTCGTGGACTTGAGCAGCGTTTGTCTTCGGGATAAGTTCCGGTTCCGGTTCAGGAGGGAATCTCCAAGACAAATCGCTCACTTATCACAAGACAAGTATTTACCTATGTACCTAGGCATCTAGTCGGGCGTGAGGGGAACGACATGCTCTTCGAACGTGATGGCAATGTGCATCAAGCTACATGCCCGTAATCTGGTCCATACGTACCTAGGCACAACCAATCCCAATAAATCTTAGCCGGTATCTACATATGTAGCAGGTTCCAGCCCTGGATAGGATATTAGCGTTCGCTTTAGCTGGCTCTATTATTCTAGCCCTAGAGTAGGATATGCCACCAGCTCTAAATGATTTCATCCCTCCAAATTGTACTCTGACTTGTATCAAAATTAGACAAGATCGTCCAATATCACCGAGTTGCTATCCTGTTTGACTCCGTGGTATTCAACAGAATATGAGATGTTCGCCTTGCTGAATACTATCCAGTTCCGAAAATACAGTCACCTTCTTGCAAGACAATTTCATGTGATTCTCCCAGTTACAGACGCTTTGAATACGATGCTAGTGGTGTGCATCACTACTGAAGCTAGTTTCCTTGATGGGCAGTTAGATACTAAGGGCTAACCGAAACACACGACATCAGGACACTGCATCCACTAGTCGACCGGAACAGAGTTGCTATACTTACCTAGATACCTACCTAGATTCCTGGGTACGGGATCTGGCATTTCACGCTGTGTCCTGCGGTGAAAAATAGCAGATAACATCGAAACACTTGGCTATTGACGTCTCACCAGGCCATCAATCCAAGTTCTAGGCACCTTGGTAAGCTCCGTCTCTTGTATATTGTCAACAGTCAATTGCATAATCAATGTTCATTACAAAGAAATGTAGAATATACACGCTGTTCCAGTTGCAAGATCTTTAAAAAACACGAATCTGCCCCTTGCCAGGCAGGTACGATGAAAGATTCAAATCAATGCAAAGATCAACCTCAAAAGGAAAAATCATTATCAATGCATGGTATCACTTTTCTATCTCCTTCCGCACTTCATTCTCACCGATCATCCCCACCGTTCATCCCAGACGGTATGCTCAGTCTTGTGTTGGTCAACGCTGTGCCCGTTTAGACACTGTATTTAGCCTTGGCACGAGTGCTACCGCTGTGTGCGCTGTCGGTATGACCTGAAAACTCAACGACATCCGCCTCCTTCAGACGCAAGACCTCCTTGAAACGACGTCCGATACTCTCCAACACCTCTTTACCCTTTGCAGCGGTGCGAGCCTCGGTGCTCTTGTCACCAGGCAGACTCTTGCCGACGGTACGAGTCCAGAGACCGATACGGTAGAATCCCTTGCGAACATTGACCACGACACCCATGACCTCGTTGTCGTCGTCGTTTTCGAGAGTTTCGCCAATCGCGGCCAGTTGGGCGTGCAGCCAGAGTTCGTCGATGGGGACGGCGCGCTTGTCCTTGAAGGAGTAGGACCATTTGCCGCCGTGTTTATTTTGTTGGTCTTCCCATTCGGGGCGGATGCCTTTTTTGAAGAGGTGGTAGTCGGCTTTGAGGCCGAGTTCGGAGGTGGGAGTGATGTTGTTCTGAACAGATATCAGTACTGAACTTTTAAAACGGACATGTGGGAAAAAGAAACTCACGTAGATACCCCAGAATTCTTCGACTGAGTTGAATGTCACCACTTCTTTGAGGAGGTCGTTCCAGTTGTCACCCTATAACCCGTTAGTCATCGCCAATATTTTGGCCTAGACAATACGCACCTTGCCACTGGGGGGCTTCGTAAACCACAAAGTCCATTCGTTCATCAGAGGATGCTTGACATTAAAGTTCTCGGGGTCGTGGAAAACAGTGACAACGTCACCATTCTGCGCAGCGGTTTTCTCGTTGATGGCAGGGGCAGTGCCGTTCTCGGTTGCGGTCGCCATGATTGCGGTATTCGTAGTTGACGACTCCCAAATCTAGACTGAGATTCAGGAGAATAAAAGTGAGAGGTGAGTAAGAAGAGGGAGAAGAGCGAATGTCCTCAGGAAGGTGGCAGTTGCCTTCGGGGTGGGATGATGGGAAAGAGCGCAGGGCACACCAAACACCACCAAACAACAACCGACGGAACAAAAAGGTCGAGAGAAAAGAATCCTCTGCGCCAGGCAGACCACAAGTCGGAAAATACGAGTTTATGGTGAAAGGCGACAAGGCCTGTTCGAGTGGTGAAATGATCGAGAATTCACTTTGCCGTCGGGCCCGTAAACTCAGGAAGCGGATCGATCAAATGTGAAGCAACTTTTTTTGGTGTGGCCACCCAATCTGCGGCAGCGAATTCTCACCGCCCGGAGATATTAAGGCATTATTTATTATTTACTCAAAGTATACCAATAAGTTTGCCCCCAACCAATTTCAATTAAGAAATAAGTTTCTTAATGCATTACGGCAAACATACACATAATACATTCCAAACATCGCTAGACTAATCCATCTATGTCTATGAGTATGTGGTGATATCAACATGAACCAGACCGTATACCAAAGTCCTATCCCAAACATGTTCGCTAAAGTGACAATAATAACAATCAAGCCTTGCTGTTGACAAAGCTCAAGTAGCAATTCCATCCTAAAAAAAAAAATCAGCAGCGTCCACAATGCCTCAGCCGGAAAGTCGACTCACCCAAACTGACCACGTTGACAACTAAAACACGGTACTCTAGCGGAACAAGGGCAAAGTTGCCCAATTGCACTGTTGACCAAACTCCCAAGTTGGTCTTGTATGTGGGCCAGTAAGCCTTGCGCAACTTCTCCATGGGGTCGGTACCCTCCATGATGGACATGGAGGACAAGAAACAAAACAGGTTGACGGGTGTGAAGAGGAGTTGGTCTGCGGCGACACGAGCGACGACCGTTGCGGCGGTGCTCTTGAGGACGACGTGACGTTGGAGGACGCCGTACCAGGCAGAGGCGGCAGGACCGAAGATTGCTGTATGTCAAGTTAGCTTGCGTTCAATTTATCGAACTCAATTCGATCGATGCATTCATACCTCCTCCGTAGAGAACCATGCGACCCGTTCGAGCATAATCATGCTTATCGAAACCTTTCTTGTCGACAACCTGCTGAGCTAGCACGTCTCCGGCTCCGAAGAGTGTCTGTGAATAGGAATCAGTACGCGCATGGCAGAATCGCGGCCAATGGGTCAAGACGTACAGCTGTGGTGATGCTCGAGGTGAGCAGTGGCCGCTGGGCCATTCTCGCAGCGTACCTAATAACATTGTCAATAACTGGCTTCTTCAGCACTTGCGGTCAACATGTAGGACAGGACCCACCAGCGCAACATTTTGCTATGTACTAAAAAATTGAATGAATTGAAAAGAACGGACTACTGGGATGAAGACAAAAATATGTAGAGAGTATATTATTTATCATTGATGGAGGAGGAAAAAAGAATGACAGTCAAAAGTTGAGAGGATGGATGCCATGGAGCCATGACGACAGATTAATAGTCGTTGCTCGAGACGAGAAGCTGGTAGGCCGAGATAAGCAGGACTAGGCCCGTCTGCGTTCCTCGACGGCGCCCAGGGGGTGGAGGCAGCCCGGCCAAGCGCGCTGAAAATGCTGGAGATCTTACATCCCAATAGCACTAAGTTGACTTCTAACTTGATTGAGAGGAGGAGATGGGGAAATATCGATCATGCAACCAATCAAGGCACATAGCGATCGGGGGGCGTGCCCGGTGAACGGGGTCACCTGACAGTTTAGCCTTTGTTCTTCGTTGCTTTTTTGGACTGACCCTCACTTCGGCTCTTATGTAAGCAGCCGCTAAAGGCCACTCAATTTGGACGTTAGGGCTTAGGGCTGCAATCTCTAGGGCTCCCGCCCGCTCGCTTAGACCTAAAGTCTGCCAAGCACTGTCATTGGTCAGCCATCGGAGCCACACTAATTATTCTGTATAGACGGTAAACTTCTCAAGGCGGGCAAGCCAATCTGCGAAAAAAGTTCCGACTTCGACTACCATCTCGACAACCCCCTTTCGTCCCCGGTCGACTCTCCCTACACATACAGCAATCATGGCTGACGCTGCTCCTCGACGTGGAGGTTTCGGATCTCGCGGTGACCGTGGTGGTGACCGCGGTCGTGGTCGTGGCCGTCGCGGTCGTCGTGGTGGTGCTAAGAGCGAAGAGAAGGAATGGCAGCCCGTCACCAAGTTGGGCCGTCTCGTCAAGGCTGGCAAGATCACCTCGATGGAACAGATTTACTTGCACTCTTTGCCCGTCAAGGAATACCAGATTGTCGACTTTTTCTTGCCCAAGCTCAAGGATGAGGTCATGAAGGTACGATTGGAGATTACGCTGTTGGATCAGGCATACTCGACAATTGGATTGGAGAAATGAGAACCAGATTTCTGGACAATTGGTCGAAGAGCCTGGTTCAACTATGCGGAAATCATTAAATCTGTGAGAAGAGAGCAGCGCTGATAACTCCAACAGATCAAGCCTGTCCAGAAGCAGACCCGTGCCGGTCAGCGTACCCGTTTCAAGGCCATCGTCATTATCGGTGACGGTGAGGGCCACGTCGGTCTCGGAATCAAGACCTCCAAGGAAGTCGCTACCGCCATTCGCGCTGCTATCATCATTGCCAAGCTCAGCGTTTTGCCCATTCGTCGTGGTTACTGGGGTACCAACCTCGGTGAGCCTCACTCTCTCCCTACCAAGGAGAGTGGCAAGTGCGGTTCCGTCACTGTCAGAGTACGTTTTCCATCTTTAGAAATTATTTCGAAGTATATCGAAGTATATATCGAAGCATCCATACTAATCATACCAGCTCATCCCCGCCCCCCGTGGTACCGGTCTCGTTGCCTCCCCCGCTGTCAAGCGTCTCCTCCAACTTGCTGGTGTCCAGGACGCCTATACCTCCTCCTCCGGCTCCACCAAGACCCTCGAGAACACCCTCAAGGCCACTTTCCTCGCTGTCGGCAACACCTACGGTTTCCTTACCCCCAACTTGTGGAAGGAGACTAAGCTCATCCGCAGCCCGTTGGAGGAGTTTGGCGATGTCCTCCGTGAGGGCAAGCGTTACTAGATTATTGGTTTCATGAGGGTTAAAAATGCATAAAATACCTATTTCTTCTTCATTGTTTATGGCCGGATATGACTTTTCACCTCCAATAGACGCTGAAACGAACAAACGTCATTGTAAAAGCAGGTTGGGATTGTAATTTGAACTACTAGCGTAAGAGCTACAGAAAAACAAGCTTGGTCAATTTCACCTACCGCTGTAGACACCTTCAACATTAGGTACCCCAGTATACATGATTGAATGACCCATAGGTATATATGGTAATTAGTATTATTGGTCTCAAACACCAATATATCACTTAAATATCAATATTTCAATTCGAGATTTCAGCGAAAAGCATGCTTTGATAGGTGTCCATCTCCTTTGAGGGTGAATCCTATTTAGGAAGTCGACATGAAAAAGGGAAGGACCGCCAATCTTGTTGCTTCATCTTTCAGCAGACAGTCTAAATCTCCATTATTCTTATGTTTATATATACTTTATGGCTTAATTGTATAGAATGCTCTCTTTCTTCTTGTTTTTCATCATGCCCTTGTCTCCTAGGGTTCGAGATTCAGGGCTTCAGTTTGTCCCCATGTTTGCTATGGTTATCTTTCAGCGTAGTCTCTGAATACTCTCTCTTATTGTCTCAACTGAACTCCCTAAGAATTTGCGTATTATCGATGCACACAAGAAGCACAAAGACGGATATGTGACAGTCTGGTCGGATCTATCTACTCATTTCTCACTGAGCGTTTGTTTTCAGACCTTATATGATGAACAAGCGTGACCTTTCTTCTTTCATTCAACCCTCAATGTTCTCTCAAAGTCCACATTCATTACTGCTGTCTTTCATTTCATCCACTTCCTTTACCTTTCCAATGATTTCAGAGCAAAGACTGAACCAAATTTCAAACTGATACACACCAAACTCGCCATGACTCGACATGGGAATAGGAAAAAATCAGTCATCCCAAGACTAAGCATGTCGCGTTTTAAACGAAACAACGAGCACAAATCTGGCACTCCTACGGAGGGAACGACAGGTCTTGGAAAGGATGCTTCGCAGGAGACAGTAGGTAAGAGCTGCAGAAACGACAGCCTAAAGCATGCCTTGAGACAAGACTGACCAAAGAATAGAGAGTTCTGCGCTATCCCATGCTACCACCTCGTCGCGTTCGTCTTTTTTAATTCGTGTGTTACCAGTCTGGCGGGAATATGGGTTCATCTGACTAACTCATTCATCCAACGTATAGAGAATTCTCGACAAGATACCAGCTTGCTTACCCTAGAAAACAAGCCTCAAATCTTAGAAGATGCAGAAACACAAGAACCCCTCGTTCGTCGCCGCTCAATGAGCGATACAGACATAGAGCCCATCTACCTAGGCGTCGACTTTGGAGCCCTACTCCGTCTTCGCGGTAGCATCGCCTCTCAAGACACTCTTTGGATTGACATGTGGCAGCACTTTCCCCCTAGCAAGACAGTCGTCCCTCTCGACGACCAATATTTGTCCTGTTTGACTGCTTTCAAGAATCTCCGTTGTCTATGGGTCACTGGAATGCTAAAGTCGTACCAGAAAAGCCTGTTTCAGGCTATCTGGAAGATGGAGCACCTCGCAAATCTGCAGTTGAGAATGGCAGAGGAGCCGCGCCTATCGCCAGAGGGAGAGCGCACTTTTCGTCCTATCGAACCAGGTTGGTCTCCTTTAGTGAATGACGACATGAATCATGATTCACCGTAAGTTTTGCGTCAACACAGATCCAAGTAGTCGTGGAGTCTAACAAACTTGACTTGTAGAGGAGATAGAAAAGGGCGCATTTTGAAGCAATATGGAGACGCCGAATTTCTCGAGAATCAGGTCATAGAAAATGCCAAATCAGACCCAAAAATCAGCCATCCAGAGCATAACGTGTGGTCAACTCCCCATCTCCCTATCGTCCACCTTACGTTACGCGGCTTCGTAGTCAACGCAATGCCGTTCTACAGCTGCTTCGATGCCAATAAACTACGCACAATTACATTCAAGGACTGCTACGATGCTGGGTTCTATCTTCCGGATGACATGAAACATGTGGAGCTCAAAGTTGATTCAAAGTATGAACACAGAGCCACAAATGGACGAGGAGTTTCGACGGATCAAGAGGTGAAGTGTCTTACCTACAAGGATGGGAAGAAAGTCGGTCAATCCCGTTTTAACTCTTCGTCGTCGTCGTCGTCGTTGCAGGATCCTGCCGAGCAATCGACTTATCGTATGAAGCAAGTTGAATCGCCGTCATCCATTCCGCGCTACGCTGCTTCTTCTTCGCCTACTCCTTCTTCGTATTCGTCGTCCACCACGATGGTATCCGGTCAAGGATTGAGAAAGTCTCGGTTGTCGTTGGATTTTCGAAAACGTCCGGTCAGTTCTGTTATCGAAGAGGATGAGGGGGAGGAGTAACCTTTTTTTTGAAGGACGATCGACCTTTCCACATAGGGTGTCCGCGGTAGATATGTGAACGTCTTTATGATGATGACTTGCATGTTTTACGACTCATACCATGAAACTATCGCAACGTTTTTTTTCTTCTTTTCTTCTTTTCTTCTTTTCTTCTTTTCTTCTTTTTCCTGATTTTTGCCATTGCTGAGTATTGCATTTTCTGAGTGAGTGTGTATCATACAGGAACAACGTTGAATCAAAATACGGTTTGTTAGGTGTATATATATATCTAGACCCCGCAGCTAAAAAAAACAGCGATACTCCCATTTGCGTACCCACCTAAAGGTCTGCATGTGACTGGAAGTATTCTCTACGATTTCAAGGTAACCTAGATTATAGAGAGATAACACGAATGATTACCATGAAATATTAATTCCGAGCCCTCAAGTCTTTGGGCAACAAGTTGCTACATGAACGAGACATACCAGTCTTCCTGAGACTATATCACAGTTATGATGACCAGTTGACGCTTATTGCTCTATAATATCAACCGGCCACTCCATTACACGAACAAGTCTTTCGCCCCCCAATCCACGAACCAATCCATCAATTTTTCGAATCTCAGCATCGCACGTCTTTCCAAGATACCAAACATCTTCTAAAACAGCTATGGTCACGTATAGATGCGCAAGGATCGTCAGACTCACACCGAGCAGCAGCGCGTCGACATTGCCTTGATGTTGCGCGGAGTCCAAGATCCAGATGAAGGCTTCGGGTAGATCGTGAGGCCATGCGAAGATTGCGGCGTCTTCGAGGTCGGTTTGGATTTCGAGATCCATTGGGGATGCAGAATTGAGGGGTTCCATTTTGAGAGTGTAGAGGATGCGCATATATATGTATTCGGCTACGTCAATGGCTTGTTCGCATGCATGGAGGGATGTCTTGCCGCCGTGTTCGGACCGGGGGGTGTCGGTTAATGGCGAGTCGTCACTGCCGTCCTGAAGGGGTTCAGAATCACGTAGGGCTACGCATATCTCTCGTAAATCTGACAAGGCGCGATTGGCGCCCGAGGCAAATTTCCGAAGCCTCTTCGATTTGATATTCTGGTCGACTGCTGCCAGGCCAGAGCGCAATTCACTCTCGCAAAGCTTCCAATCGTCGTTGGCATTGTTGAAGAAGAAAAGTGCTCTGAGCCGGCATCGTCTCAAAGTCGACCAGAATTGACCGACAATAGACGTAGTGCCACGAACAAGATGGAGCCATTGTATCTGAAGCGGGATTGATGAGCCGCCATGGGTAGTGAGATTCTGCAAGGTCGGTTCGGTTGACGGATCTAGGTCTTTGATTCCGAGGGATGCAAATGCGAAACCTGTCACTAGCATAGACCCCGCCAGTAGCGCTTCTTCATTGGGCTCGGCGGTAGCACAAAGCGCTTGCTGTAGCCCGGCGAGACCTTGTTGATGATGTTCCATGATCAGATGAAGCGAAGGGCGCCAGGATATCGGAGATCCTTCAGTTATTAGTATATCCGCGCCAGCTAGGGCCAGGATAAGGTGCATCAGGAACTCGTTGGTAGCAGCCAAATCAAGAAAAACGCGCTCCCAGACCACCGTCTTGATTTTGTGAAGAGTCATATTTTTGGAGGTGTGCAGGATAAAGTGTTGGAGTAGGTTGAGATCACTCATGTTCAGACCAGATCCGACATTTTGTGGTTCCTCCGGAACTGATAGATTGAAATTCAATGGGCGAAACGGTACACTCCGTCTGTCATTGTGACTGCTCTCGGATGATTGTCCTCGAGAGACGGACCGCTGCCTTCGTCTCTGATCCAGCGCGCCTCTAGGGCTAGGGTAGACGCAATCGTTGCCCCGAACGACACACGCATTACACGTTGGCCGTACCTCATCACACTGGATGTTTCAGCAAAATCCTGTATTGAGAATATAATTGATGTACCTTGACGCGACGTTGCTTGCACATGTAGCAACCATTGCGGGACTTGGTATGGCTGATGCGTTGCTTAGGGCGCAAGTGCGAGTTGTTCGCGTTGCGAGTTGTATCTTGTGGAATTGTATATGGCGGCATTGGCAGTGCATGTATGTATTAAGGGGCTAAATTGATCTATTAATTCAGCCTGAGGCTGATGTGATATATAGTGGGCAAGTCAGATGTAAAAATGAGAAAAAAGGTAAAGGTTCCAAGGGCGACGAAAGTGCGGATGACTTTAGGGTTGTTAGGGTTATTTACTAAGCTCAACGATCTTTTCCGGCACAAGCATAATCTCTACTGAACATGATATTCTCTATATTGATTTGCCAAATACTTAGATATAAAGGACAGAAAATAAGGCAATCTATATAATGTTCCGAGACCTAAATATGAACACCGAACGAGATAAATAGCAGCACGACCTAGGGAAAAATCTACCAGAAACAGATTAAAGCTCAATTCTTACGACCGATATGAGTTGAATCCTGCATCTCCTCATCAGTAGACGTAAGCCGTAGGCCACTCTCTCGCTTGCCGTCATCACGCCCCAGAGACATTCCAGGGTAGACAACCGCCAACACAATCCCAGTCAGAGCCATGAGACAAGCATCAAAAATGTACAAGAGATACTCTCTTTTCATAATATAGCCGTCGTTCCCCTCCACGAATTCGGCAACGCGGAATATTGAGCGTACGAGAATGAGGAAACAAGCAGCGTACAGAGCCCACATGATCGATTCCCAGCTCTTGCTGCGGCTGAAGGATGGAGATGGAACTTGAATACTTGAGTAGTTTTGTCTCTTCACGCGCCAGTGGAATATAGCTGATACGATGACGAAGAAGCCGAAGAAGAGGAGTTGAACGACAAGACCGCCAACGACGATGTTGGCCCCGGTGTTCATGGCCGCAACCGTTCCGGCAGCCATATAACCACCCCCTATTTTCGAAATTAGAATCGAGCAGCAAAAGTGACATGTAATAGGGTTTACTCACCCCCACATTGAAGAAGGAACGAAAGTACATCTCCAATCACGAATACCTTCGTCAGGAACCGGACTGGTACGATGGAGAGTTGTTGAGAGTTTAGAGCGACTATGACTCTCCCTAGGGTCATATATATGGATGCAGCGAACAGAGGCGGCGCGACTAGGATCAGCATGGTCTGTACGATGTATGGACCGAGGGCTAAGGTGTTGAAGTGCGAGAAGATGCGAGCAATGTAACCGGCGCATTCAACTGATATTGTTAGTCTTGTGGATACCTTCCAGGACGGAATAAGGGTTCCTCACATAGCAGCCCGATGATGAAGGGAATGAAGAAATAGGCGCGGCATCGCCATAGTCGAATACAGTGAGCGATCGTAAGAGCTAGGAAAATCACTGCAAATATGGATGCTGCCGCGATTGAAGGTGTATATCTATAGAGTGCAAAGGAGATGGTCGAGTCGCTGCTTGAGGTAGTCATGGTGAGAGGTTTGACTAATGAAGGTAACTGATGTAGATGAAGAGTGAATGAAAAAATTAATTTGAATTATACCTAAGTCTACTTATACTTGTTCTGAACATAGATTCTTCTTTTTAAATCTCTACAGTCTGGATCTTTTAAAAAATTCTATAGTTTGGTCCTTTAAAAACTCTACAGCCCAGACCCGGACTACGGTCAAAAAACGAGAAAGCGAGAATACGAGAGCGGAAATACGAGAATACGAGAATGCGAGACTGCGATCATGAAACACAACAAGCCGCAAATTATAGATTGTTAGTGGCTGTGTACGACAGAGACTTATCCTTCATGGAAAGCAGAGCTCTAATATCACATCTACGACCATTTTAGAACGTACTAGCAGTATTCTAATTTGAAATTAAGCTCTGGCCACTGCGGCTCGAGGGCATTTCTAGATTAAGCGTCAAAAATATATGAGATCTTAATGAATCCGACTTTTGAAATTTTAAATAATCCATTTCGCCACACTTCATAGCAATTTTAAAGATGTTCGCGTGTTTCATCCATCTTTCCACGCAGGGAGCAAACAAAGCAAAAGCTAAGCTAATTTTCCCAGCAAAATAGCACGTCGTTGCAACATAGCCTCAATCACCTTCGTATTTACAACAGATAACATCCACCTTGATATTATGGCCGCATAACCACAAGCACACACCCTGCCAGACAATTTGTATGCACCGTCACTCAATTTCGACCTGGGGTTCTTTCATAGGAACGTATCGACTGGTTGCTCGTTTAAGCCCCGTCAGTCTCGCCGACACGAAGTGCGCCTTCATGGCTGATACCATGGGACCAGAAACCATCAACGAAGAGTTGTCTGCAACATAGTCAGTGACTGATACGTAATCACTACCAATGGCTAACTTACCCAGTCTCGCTACGATCGTGACCAAGCAGCAACCAGTATCCAAAAAGACCCTGGGTCAGGATATCATGGATTGCCCATGCGACAGTCTCAGCATCGACACTGATGCGTTGACTGAGCGGCGACGCGGCAAGGATGCTACTTCTGTCAGTTTAAAGCCTTGCAATAAGAGATCAGGGACATACATCGGATAAAGCAAGAAAACAAGCAAGTTCGCACCCGCAAAGGACGTGAACAGGGCGCGATGCTGATCTGCGCCTCGTCGCACGGAACGAACACCATTATAGCCAACCTGGAACCCGACCGTCAGGAAAGAGATGATGACAATTGTGTACCAGACCCAACGGCGCTGGTCATGGGCGAACGTAGCCGTCAACCCAGCAGCGAACATGATCAGATCAGCAGCAATAGCGACGACTAGATTTGCACCGTTCAGACCGCCGAGGAGAGCGATGTTGATAAGGATAAGAGGAGTGGTGATGATCCAGTTGAGGTAGCGAACCCAGAAGATTTGGCGGAGGTATTCTTGGTGGGTGTCTGGGACGTGTTCGTGGGTGTGGTGGACGATGGAGTGTTTGTAGGTGACGCCTTCACCGGTGGCCATAGCGAGGTAGGAGAGGAAGGAGACTGTTGTGATGAGGGCTGTCAGGGTGTGTAGGAGGCGGGTTTGCTAGATGGATTGTCAGTCTCTTGCCTCTTGCCTAAGTTTAGTGTTGAAGGGAAACGTACAACTCGAACTCGGGCAGCCAGGGTGTAAAAGGCAATCGAGGAGATTGCCATGAGGGCGACCACGACCCTAACACGGACATCAGCATTTACTCTATCATATTTGAGACGAAGTGACTACCATAATGTCCGCTTTCCGGTGCCATGAATATGCAGCACAACAGGCCAATCACCCGGAAGGACCGTCGGAATCGGTCCAACAGTAGGAGTCGAGGTGGGCAACGTAGCCGTGTGCTTGAGTATTTCTTCCATGCCGGGCACAATCATTTCGTTTGGTGTTTGTGAAGGTGATGCGTGGTATGAGAAATATGGGCGAACGCAAAAGAGAGAGTAAGGTTGTTTGGGGAACTTGACGTTAAATAGTTCGACGAGGCGACATGACGACACGACACCAAGGCCATGTCCATACTTTCGACGCCCCTCCTACATTCCCCTCCTCCTTCTATCGCCATCTGTCAGTCACGGGACGTACGTGTCGCCATTCCAGGCATCAGCGTTTCAGTCGGTTGGCCATCCTTGTTTCTGAGCAATATACGTGTGCAACGCATACAAAACCTGTTCTGTACATAAATAGGCGGTAGGCGACAGTGGCCCCAATGATATCAAGCAGCGGTCATCAACGACGCGGGGCAATCCGATTGATCTGGACTTCTTCTGAAATGCCAGAAGGAGTTAGACTGCGAGAGCATTCTGAATCATTCTCAATCAGGAAAAAGATGTGATACGTCATTGATCTTGGTCAGCTTAACTGGGGCTAACCCGTTACGGAAAGACGTTGGATTACCCCGGATTTTCCATCTTCTTATCTTCTTATCGTACATTGTATCTTCTATATATAATGCTACGCTACAATAATAATATACATGTTGGAGATTATATTATACATCCTGACCGACGCTGAAAGGAGAATGATACTATTAGTTGTGCTCCAGCTGGCCGATGACGTTGTCACATCGCTCGCACAGAAGAGCCTCCTCTGCCACTGGCTCTGGGGCAACGTATCGCCAGCAACGCGGGCATTTGGCCTGATTCGGTGCGTACACATGCGCCGTTGCCTTCTTCCCTGAATTGGGCAGTGCAAACTCCTCTGCGTAGCTCCATTCAGCACTTGCGATTTCATTCGGAAGATCCGATCCCTTGACACTGAGAGACACCGAGGATACAACGAACAGATCCGGGAGTTCATTTAGGTAGCGTTGGAAGATATCGAGAGATGCATTGTCGGGGAGTTCGAAATGCACAAATGACTGCAAGGAAGAGCCCATTTGTTTCTTCGACCGGGCCGATTCTTGGATAACTTTGACAGCTGTATTGGCCGCCATAAGGTCGATAAAGTCGTTACTGATCGCTTCGTCAACCCACTCAGCTGGCACTGTGCGAGCAATCCGTCGCAGAGGATGCTCAAGCTGATCCTTGACAAGCTCTGGAGTATGTTCCCAAGACTCTTCTACAAGTAAAGGTGTGATAGGAGCCAACAGTTCTTGCAAATAAGTGTAGATGTGGAACAATGTGGTCTGTGCTGCGCGACGGCTGGCGCTGTCTTCGGCCTCAGTGTATAATCTGTCCTTGAGAGTTTCCATATAAAATGCCGAGAACTCCAGGTTGGTCCAACGATTCAAAGCGTTGACAGCCTTGTAGAATTCAAAATTATCAAAAGCGTTTCGGCAGGTGTCCACCAATCGAGTCAATTGCATCAGTGCCTGGCGATCGATTTTGTGAAGTTCTTCATATTGAAGTATATTCACTTTAGGATCAAAGTCGCCCAGAGCACCGAGGAGCAGTTTGAAAGTGACGCGATATTTGTGCAAACTTGTATTGACGGTCTGCAACACCTGCTGTCCAATGACAACGTCTCGAGTGTAGTCACTGCTGGCGACCCATAAGCGGAGTGCATCAGGCCCAAGGGCATCGTACACCGGGCTGGAAGGCTTCTGTTCTTTGGCGCCCTTTGACTTTTTCTGCTTGAGAGGGGGAAGAAGCGTGCCGTTCATGATAGCGTCCGGTTTCATGACATTCCCAATGGATTTGCTCATCTTGCGAGCATCTTGATCGAGAGTAAAGCCGTGGGTGATGAGATGCTTGAACGGTGCTTTGATAGTTGACGGTTCGACTTTCCCTGAAACGACCTGATGTGAAACATATGTAAGAAGGCTGGACTGGAACCAGCCGCGATGCTGATCAGTCCCTTCGAGGTAGATATCAGCAGGGCGTTCCTTTCCAAGCGATTCGTCTGCTACTTGAGTCCAACTGGTCCCGCTGTCAAACCAGACATCCATCGTGTCTGTACCACGACGATAGCCAGGAGAATTCTCCTGCTGAAGATGCTGAGGTATCCATGCGGGATCTTCAGGACTGTCCGTCCACCAAGCATCAATGCCACGTTCGTCAATGACATTCATGATATGAGACACTGTTTCCTTCGTCAACACTGCTTGACCCGTGGTCTTGTCATACAAGGCTGGAATAGGGACACCCCAAGCGCGTTGCCGTGAGATACACCACTCGGTACGATTCTGCACAAAGTTCTTTAACCGTTGTCTACCCGTTGCTGGAACGAAATTCACTTCCTCTAGCGATGCCAAAGCGGATTCTCGAATGTTGGCTACATCAGCGAACCATTGTTCAGTAGCACGGATGATGATGGGCTTTTTCGACCGCCAGTCGTATGGATACTTGTGCTCGTATTTGTGTCGATTGAGAAGCTGATTTTTAGATTGCACATATTGCAAGACCAACCCATTTCCCTCGTCTAGCACGCTTTTACCTGACAGATAGGACGGATCATCGGGCATAGCTTCGTCCGTAAAACAGCCCTCATCGTTGACAGGAGCAAAAGCCTGGATGCCCTGTGCAAGGCATACTTCATAATCATCCATACCATGGCCCGGCGCGCAATGGACCAAGCCGGATCCGGAATCGGCAGTCACAAAATCAGCAGCGATGATAGGCTGTTCTTCGGTTCCTTCTCTGGGAAACAGTGGCCTATAAGTTGTTCCCTGGCACAGCTCGGATCCTTGAATGGAAGGAACCAGGACTTGAAGTTCTTCTTTTAACATGTCTTGAAAGTAGCTCAATCTGGAATCCGCTATAAGTAGTTGTCCATGGCTGCTTGATTGAACGATCAAATAGTTTAGTGATTCGCTCACGGCAATCGCTGCATTGGCGGGGAGCGTCCATGGCGTTGTAGTCCAAATGACAGCACTTAATGATTCGGTATCAATCAATGGATTATTCCTAATCTGATCTGGCACCTTGACCAGCGGAAATTTGACAAGCGCAGCAGTCGAGACGTGTTTCTCGTTGTACTCCAATTCAGCCTCGGCCAATGCCGTCCCCGTGGACGGAGACCAGTAAACAGGCTTGAATCGTCGATAAATCAGGCCTTTCTCGACCATCTCTCTGAAGATACCCAATTGTTTCATTTCAAATCTCTTGTCTAATGTCTTGTAGTGTCCTTCCCAATCTGCCATCACACCCCACGCCTGAAACCCACGCATTTGTTCCTTAACCGTCTTCTCCGCCAGTTTCCGTGCAGCTTTGCGAATCGTCGCTGCGGTTCCCAGACCTTTACTGAAATCATTTCCATCTTTCTGTTGAGCTTGAAGCGCCTTCAACTCAATTGGCAAACCATGGCAATCCCATCCCGGAACGTAGTGTATCCGCTTTCCTCGACTTAATTGTGTCCGGTTGATGATGTCTTTCAGGATTTTGTTGAGGGCATGACCCACGTGTAATTCGCCATTTGCGTACGGCGGGCCATCGTGTAGTACGAAAGTGTCGCTAGCAGGTCGGTTTTCGCGCTGCCAGGCGTACAGCTCGTCAGAACATCGTCGCAAATACTTCGTCTGGTCTGCGACGGGGACTCGTGCGGGAAACGTCGAGCGAGGGAGCTTGAGCGTGGAAGTCCAGGAGCGCGTCATGTCATGCTACTTGGTCTACCACCTCCGTGGTAACGGCAGACATGTGCGCCTGGATGTTGAATTGATCAAGTGGCTTTATTGTGGTTGGTCATATCGCTCGGAGTCTGAAATTATTTCGATCGGATGTTTACTACATTGGCCAATGGGAAAGGTCCACTGAGACCCACTCCTGAGTCGCCGAGTAGACACCTGAGGTGTCCACAATCACCTCCTGTCTCTTTCTCTTCTCTTGTTTCTATTCCAGTATCTTTTATCTCCATCGAAGCACTGGCGGACAGACTGCAGAATGACCTTGAAGCTATTGGGACTTGGAGAGCTAGTCACCTGGCTAAACAATCATGCAAGGTCAATATATCTAACTGATTGGCACAGTGTTCTAAATGTACGTTTTGACACTTAATGAATCGTTTGATCAAAACATTATAGATTTCTAGCTGAAGGATGGCTGCCCTACACTACTTTTATCACAATTTTGCCTGAAACAGACTGTCTCATCAATGCCTCGAATGCATCCTTAGCTTCTGTCCACTCAAACACTTGCCCTACGACAGGCACGATCCTATGCTTTTCCATCAATTCTACCAGCTCATGGTACATCTCCAAGCTAGCAGCCATTTGACCTCGGACTAAATAATTCAATCAGTACCATATGAATAGTCACATAAATACGCATGCACTCACTCGTCTTTGCACCGAATATGATCGCATGTATCAAGCCAGGATCAGACGGCCGAGGCTCCGTCAAGAATCCTACCGCAGCCACCGTTCCCCCAAAACGAGCAGCTTTGAGGCTCTGCTCAAAAGTCGCGGATCCGCCGACGTCAATGACGAGATCTACGCCTTTGCCATCTGTAAGTCTCACAACTTCGTCGGCCCATGACGGGTGAGTTTTGTAGTTCACTACTTCATGCACACCGAGACTTTTGAGTAGTTCAGATTTTGTGTCTGAACTGGTTGTGCCAATGACTCGAGCCCCAGCTGCCACAGCAAACTGCGCGCAGAACATGGACGAACCACCAGTGCCCTGTGTCAAGACTGTCTTTCCAGAGAGGTCCAGACCGTTGGATATGCCGTTATGAAACAGAGCTTGAATAGCGGTTCCGCCAGCACCAGCAATGCTGGCAGCTTGCTCCCATGTAAGATGGGCGGGCTTCCTGACTAACCATGATTCATCGAGCAGTAGATACTGACTCAAAGTCCCGTGAATATCTCCACTCCCTAATCCATTGCCCTTGAAATTGGATACGTCGCCATCATCCCATGAATTAGTGACTCGAAATATAACTTCATCGCCGATTTTCCAATTGTTGTTCTTGCTTGGACCCACAGCTTCTATGGAGCCTGCTCCGTCAGAGCAAGGAGATAATCCGGGTATGCTTGGGACGGGATATTTGGGCGAGAAGGCTGTAATGAGCAGGTCACGGAAGTTTAGTGCTGCTGCATGGATACGCACGAGGATTTGCCCAGGGCCTGGGATGGGCTTTTCGACTTCTTCTAGCGCGAGATTGTCTAGGATTTCGACGGATTTTTCGTCGTGGGTAGACGCCTTGGGGTAGACTCGCCAGGCTTGGTATTTGGCAGACATAGTGCTTGTCTTATCTTCTGCTTCGTTCAGATGAATCGGCATATGAATGAAACATATCCATCTTCATATTTGATACATAACTTTTAATTTATAGAGTCTACTACTTGGGTCAGTGACTGGTATTGCATGGCTAAACTTACTTCCAGAAAGTCACCGAAGTTCTTCCGATCCAGCTTGATAGCGCAAAGTCTTTTGATTTTCCATAGTCTTTATACACAAGAGATACTGGGATTTTATTTTTATTGATGCGACCTAAATTTAAGATAAGCGATATCATGGAGCATATTCTGCCCGTTGTCCGTGGATTTCGGAGAGATATTAGGGGAGACTCAGCCGCTTACCCTTTTTGGACACTTTCGGACGAAATGGATTTGCTCCGGCGGATCTCTTCCCTAACAGATGTGGTGATATCATATCAAGTAGGGAGATGCTCTAGCGTTAGGTATATTGCTAGCAGTTGGACTCGGAGCTTTTGGAAAAAGAGGAAGGGCGAACAGAGACAGTGGCTTGGATATGTATGCCAGAATGAGCACATACATACTTAAAAGCTTGTGGACTAAGAGACTATATCTAGTGGGTATTATTGATATGAGCCGGTTATAAGCGAATATAGGCTGGAGGTCAAAATCCAGTCTTTCCAAGAGTCCGATAGGGGAATAATATTGTAAAAATAAAGTAAAGATGCTTCATAACTCCCGTCCAAATTCACTAGATGCGATTACACCCAAAATGATGACACTCAGCATGTTTCAATATATTGTCATGGAACTGACCGCGCCGTTCTTCAACACCTCGAAAAGAAGACCCGGGAAGCCGTAGAGCTCTGTATTTCCTAGACCCTGTCCACTGTCGGGACCTGAAGAGGCTGCTCTGTGTTTACCGCCGACACTTTCCTCCCATCCTCCAAGGAATTCTACGCTGCTTTCGGGACTATCACCCCAGCCTCTGTTCAGGACCATGCCTCTTTGGAGAGCTGTTTCCTCTGAAGATGATGCATAGGACCCTTTCCAAACGTTTTGAAGTCGTTCCGCTACTTCATCATAATGCGTTTCTGACGTTAGAACTTCTCTGCCACTATCATCGAGAAGGATCTTCCAACGACTTCGCCGATAACGGTTAAATGGATATGACCCTGGAACATTACCATGAACGATGAGCTTAGTGACGGTAAGTAGAGAGGATGTGGCGGGAGGKGGKGTGTCTGATAACTCCGAGCCTGGCAATGCCGGGCCCGAGGGCGTGGGATAAGATATAAAGGCGTCAAATCCATGATGGAAGTAGTTAAAGAAGCATTCTGAAGGAAGAGATGAGGGATCGACCTTGGAGCTTGAAAAGGTCTCATCATCAGAGTCTTCCGGACTATTGTTTGAAGAGTGGTCTGTATCTGGTGTATCGAGGCCACGCCCGGGAGATGGGCTTAGCAAACGTGGTTGATTCACGCCCCGAGCATTATGTATGGATATCCTGCGGTCATTCTTACGATATATTGCATCAGGCGGTCCAAGTTCCGCGATTAAGTCTTGGGGCGTTGTTTCGGAAAGATTTATGACAAGAGAAGGGCTGGATCTCCGTAAAAGCTCTATCCTTCCCGCTCCCAGGACCCTGATTTCTTCGATCTCATCCGGAACTGCTTCCTTGCCCTTTCCGATCAGCGCCGGAGAACGCGGTAGCTGAGGCGGGGCAGTAAACAATTTGTTTCGAGCTTCAGACCATGATGCACCTTGAAAGATGGCCATCGAAGTGGCTGGAGATGCTGCAGAGGACGAAAGGAGGGCCACAAAATCACAGTTATTGGACCAGGCCGAGTCTTGTAGCGGGAAGGAGAATGCCACTCCCGGATATGACAAAACATAGGTGCCGAAAGGAGAGCCATCTGCTGGCGGAATATATTCACCTGGATAAGAAGGCCCGAAAAGCCGATTGTATACATGACGAAAGCTGGGTCCAGTAGGCAAAGGTTGCTCTTGCGGTTTCGGAATCTTCACGACTTCGTGGTTCTTATATACAAGGGGAGCTTTGGAAAAGTCAAGAACCTCAATCAGTCGCAATCGTTGATCGGGTCCGTCAAATCTTAGCCTCAGCCCATTTTTAGGAAGATTGAGCACAACGGGCTCTATAAGTGGTTCTGTCGAGGAATATGCGAGGTCGATGGCGGGGTATGTTTGAGGACGCGACTTGATGCGACTCAATACATTATGAAGAGAGCTTCCCAATGCTGTTTCGACTCCAAATTAGCGAGCTACTTAGAGAACGGAGGCAGTAAGAACATCTAGCTCACTCAGATTACCAAGGCCTTTGCCCGGAAACACCTGCATTGCTCCTGGCGCGCTAGCAGTTGACATTGCGGCGCGATCACCACTCGGGGTTCATGGCCAGTGAGCAGGAATTAACGAAGCTTCCCCACAATGAAGCAATATTCTAGACAGAGACGGTATTTCAGACAGTTGTCAAAATGAGGGATAAGTGCAATGTTCAACGTCAAGTCACAGCTTGGATCATGTGAAGGTCCCCGCTGACCGATGACGCCGGACACTCATTCTGCCAGCTTATCAGCACCGCCTACACCGATAAGAAGCATGCAGGCTTGGCGTCTTGGCACACGAGGCACCAAGGCAGTGAGGCACTAAGGCAGAGTCTTCCGTACACTAACCACTTTGGGGGTTTGTTTATGTTTTGCCCTGTCCATGGACAGCCTAAACAAACCCGGGTTGCTGCGAACTATTCCTGCATGCCTATTCAGCATAACTACCCGACACACGACAATTCCGCCCTCCCCGCCATTGATTACTTCAAATACTTCCGGGCGAAATCCATGTGTGCATCTTAGACAGTAGCATACACTGGACTCCTACTCCGATTGATACCTCACTGGCAAAACCATGCCGGCTCCTTATACACGGCCTGCCGCCGGGGCGGCCACCAGGAAGCCAACGTTGCGACAGCCTACCAGGCGTATAGCTGCGTCTGCGACCGAAAGATCGCAGTCTCCAGCAGTTGCTTTGAAACCTACAACGACAAATATCATGCGCCTACAGAGATCACCAAGCGTGCAGTCGATCGCAGGCGCCAAACGAAAAGAACGCGAGTATGAACCAACTGGTGGCGAAGATACTAGCATACACGTTGTGGTTCGCTGTCGCGGTCGTAATGACCGGGAAATTCAAGAAAACAGTGCGGTTGTGGTGTCGACAGAAGGTACAAATGGTGTCGAGCTTTCAATGGGCCCGAATGCTCTAAGCAACAAAGCATACCACTTTGATAAAGTGTTTTCTCCGGCCGCTGATCAGACCACACTCTTCGACGATGTTGTTACACCTATATTGAACGAGGTACGTCTCATTCAATTGATTGTCTGTGATGATACTAATTTGCTCTCTCAAAGATGTTATCCGGATATAATTGTACAATCTTTGCCTACGGTCAGACCGGTACGGGAAAAACATACACAATGTCAGGAGACATGACCGATACTTTGGGTATACTTTCAGAAAATGCGGGTATTATTCCGCGCGTCCTATACTCGCTTTTCACCAAGCTCGAAGACAGAGAGAGTACAGTCAAGTGCTCGTTCATTGAATTGTATAATGAGGAGCTACGAGACTTGCTTTCGCCTGATGATAAAGCCAACCTCAAAATTTATGAGAACGAATCAAAGAGAGGTCACAACAGCACCACTTTAGTACAAGGCATGGAAGAGCATTTCATCCACTCTGCTACTGCCGGAATTAAACTACTTCGAGGCGGAAGCTATAAACGCCAGGTAGCTGCGACGAAATGCAACGATCTCAGTTCCCGAAGTCATACTATTTTCACAGTGACCACGAGCGTCAAGCGGACTACGGAGGCTGGCGAAGAGTATATAAGCACAGGGAAGTTGAACTTGGTCGATTTGGCTGGTAGTGAAAACATCCAAAGAAGCGGAGCAGACAACAAACGTGCGGCTGAGGCTGGCTTGATCAATAAGAGTCTTCTGACACTTGGAAGAGTCATCAACGCGTTGGTCGACAAGAGCTCGCATATTCCGTACCGCGAGTCCAAACTCACACGCTTGCTCCAGGATTCGTTAGGAGGTCAGACGAAAACGTGCATTATTGCAACGGTTTCGCCAGCGCGAAGCAATTTGGAAGAGACAATCTCCACTCTCGACTATGCTTTCCGGGCGAAGAACATCCGCAACAAACCGCAGATCAACTCTACATTGCCGAAGAAAACCCTACTACGCGAATATACTATGGAGATTGAACAGCTGAAAAGCGATCTGATTGCAACACGGCATCGCAACGGAGTTTATCTCTCAGCAGAAGCCTACGAAGAAATGAAGATTGAGAGTGAATCACGCAGAATCATCAACGAGGAACAGCGAGCGAAGATTGAAAGCAAAGAAGCGAGCCTGAAACACAAGACAGAGGAGCTGTTTGCGCTAACGAGCAATTTCAACAACCTCAAAAAAGACAGTGAGGAAACACGCGCCGCGTTGAACGAGACAAACGATGTGTTGGAGCAGACCGAGATTGTTCTTAGAGATACCAAGAAGCTATTGGACCAAGAGGAATTAATCCGCAAAGCACATGAACAGACCGAAGAGAAGCTTTATGGCATCGGCAGTGAGCTGCTGTCCAAGTTGGATCAAACAGTTGAACATGTCAATGGGCTTCACCAAAAATTGCATCGCAAGTCGGATCTCCACAGCCATAACCGTGATACTTGGGAAGCATCCACCGGAGACGTTGTTGATGTTACCAAATTGATTGAAGACAGGGTTGAGATCTTCGAATCCGAGCACTCGGCTCTTGTTCAGGGCCTGTCTACTAAGATTGCGGAATTCATCACGACGGAGTTACAAACAGTCACGACCGGTAACTCACAGATCAATACGTCTCGATATTTTCTTGCGGAGACGGAGAACGAACTGAAGGAGCAATCCACCAAAGCTCATGATGAGATGAACGACGTTCTCGAGGAGATCAAGGTGCTTCGAGAGGATGTCAAGGGAAAGGTTGGACAGGGATTGAATGGTCTTTCAGCGGCCGCAGAGCGGATATCAAAGGAAGTCATTGATGAAATGACCGACTTTCATACACAGGTTTGTCAATCATATTTCCTTGGACGGACTCTTCGCTGACTTTTGTAGCTTCATTCCTCTTATAGCACCCTAGGTCGGGATTTTAAGGCAATGTTCGAAAATATTACGACGCATATTGAGTCGCAGAAGACGGAAATCGAAGAACTTCGTGCGCAACTACTTGAAGCCAATCGAGAAGCTATACAAGGAAACCAGTCGGCTGCCACTGATCTCGAGAAAGCGTTGGAAGAAGAAAGACAGGCCGCCGAGACCGATCGCGCCGATTTGCTTTCTCAGATTAGCTTGCTTATTGAAGCCTCCAGTCAGAAACAGGCCACGCGTCTCAAGGGACGAGTGGACAATGTTACGTCGGATCTAAAGTATTCTGGTGATATCTTGCAAAAAGCTACCGATAAATACCAAGAAGGGATGGAGAAGTGGGTTGACAGGGAAAATCAGCTGATTGAAGATGTCATTGGTTCTAGAGATGCTATCAAGGGGCGTATGCAGGAGGATTGGGAGGTATGTTTCGAAAGAATCATAATCACGAGAAGTTACTCACGATTCATCAGGTTTTTGAGCAACGCAATGAATCCATCCAAAAGTCCACCGAAGCAGTTCACCAAGAAACCATTCGCATCGTTGATGAGCAAGTGCGGCAGATGGCCGTACAGATGGAGGCTTTGGATGACTTTGTGACTAGAGCCAGATCTCAGAACGGCTCTCATCACGAATCTCATATGGCTAACCTAGAAGGCCTGACAACGAATATCAAGGGCTCCTTTGCGTCACTAGAAGAAGGATTTGGTAGCATGAACACCCAACTTCATGCGTTCCAGGAGACTGTTACCGAGAAAGAGAACAGCCTCAAGCAGGCTGTTACTCCTTTCGTTGAAGAAGTTCGACAGCCGCTGGTCGAGCTCCGAAATAACATCCAAAATGCTCCAATGACTGAATACAAGCCAACAGGAACTACTCCACCCAGGACTTCTTACGAATATCCGAGGACATTACCCCGAACAGCTTCCCACAGCGCCTTGCTCGACAAGCTAAAGCAAACCACCCAGCCTATACTCACACCCCTTGAGGAGGAAACCTTGGACCCAGGCTTAAAATCACCAATCAAACATCGCATGGGCTCACCGAAGAAAACACGGGTCTACAATGACGCTGAGGACGAGGTAGGCGAACCTACCATTACCACCTCCACAATCATCACATCATCCAACACGGGTCTTAGGGAGGTCGACTTAAACGTCGCCGCGAAACAACTCAACTCTAGTTCCCCGGAGCGCGATTTTTCGAAATCAATCATCGATGTTTTGGAGGACCCGGCTGAGCCACCTCCTAAAAAACGACAGGCTGCTTCGGAGAGTAAGCTTCCCCAAAAGGCTTTGATGCGCCGCGCGCCACCTGGAATTGCACTGGATGGGAGGGAGAATGCCCCTCTTGATGCGTGTATTGGAAGACGGTTGCGCAATAGACCGTCCATTGGTTAGATTTTTTGTGCGTGTTTGGTTTTGGATCATATCTGATAGATACCCCGTGCGTTTTTGTTTGTACCATTCGCTTGACTTTCTTTTTGTTTGTATATGGCGTATTGCTTGGAGGTAGAGTGGCAAGTTATTCATAACTAATCAAGTTCTATTCATTAATTGCATGAGATCATATCTTTAAGCAAGTATTCCGCTTATAAGCATAACTAGTCATCAACTTCTTCAGATCGTAATCATACAGATGGTCCCTAATCGTTCGCAACAGCTTCTTCATCAGCCTCTTCATGTCTCACTTCCTCAGCACGAGAAACATCATTATCTCCCGGCGGTGCAGGCGCAGGCGCAGTGGCCGTCGCCGTCGCTGTCGCTGTCGCCCCCAACGGCGAATAATCACCATTCGTGTCGATAACCCTCCTCAGCTCCACCATGCGCTTATCAAACTGCTCCATCATTTCTTCCAGCGTCTGTGGTCCCTCCTTGTCCTTTCCGACGGGTATGTCGCGCGCATAGCCACCCGTGCCTTCGATGCGGAGCATGAGCGTGTTGGTCACACTCACCTGATCACCGGTGGGAGTGTCGAAGGTTGGTGCTGGGCTAAGGGAGGCGTCGAGGACTTGCCAATCTGGCGTGAGGCTGTGCGCGGAGACAATGCGGTATCCATATGGCTGTTGTTGCTGTCTCTGAGCGGGCGACGATGATACGACGGTTGTCCCTGTCCCTGCCGATGTACCGGCTAGGAGCGCGTCGGGCGCAGAAGACGGGKTTCCGATTGCGGTGGCTGATTGCTCAACGTCTAAAACGATGAACCGCTCCTTAACGCCTGGTATTGGTGGCGGTAAAAGGGATGGTCTGTCATTCTCAAGTTTATGTGATGATTGTTGATCCGCAGAGTCTAATCTTTCTTCCGAATCGTTGCGCGGAGGAGGGGATGTCGCATCGTGGTGCCCTGCTTCGAGGACTCGCAGTGACGCTTCGGTCATTAGTTCCGCGTCATCGTCGGAGAAGATGTAGTGCACGGTTGGATGATGATAGTCGGCAGAGTTTGCGTCTTCGATTAGTGTAAAGAAAGGCTTGAAGTTTGCTGGTGTTGGTTTTGGTCTGTTGTCGTGGTCGTCGTTGTTGTAGCCTGATTCGACGTCTTCGAAGGGGCGCTCGGGGGCGGGTTGGTGGTCATCGTGTTGTTGCGGACTCTCGCCTAGCTGGGTGTAAGATGCATCGCTGCGCTTGTTGTATTCGGACGAAGGGGCGATGGGTCGCGGCCTTGATGTTGCGGTGGATGGATTCGCGCTGGTGGTGTTTGCGGCGCGGAAGGGAGATTGTCTAGATGAAGAGGACGGCTGGACGAAGTTTTGTTTAGGCAAGGACGACATCTCCAGAATAATGAGTACCTAGGTAACTTAGAGGCACAAGAGAAGAATAGATGATGGCTACATGTTTGTGATGGTTGGTCGAGTCGAAGCTTGGAGGTACATATGTGGAGGAAGGTTGAGGTCAGTGAACATGGCGCATACAGATGGCTGAGAGGATCCACTTTAGCTTAGCTTCACGCGACGTTCTACATGACCAGACTCAATTGACGATTTCCCCCCCTTCCCAATATTGATTTTCTAATAGACAGTTCAATTTGTACGTAACTTGAGAGTGAAAAAAAGCCTAAATAATTCATGGAACTAACTTCGCTTCATCCTGAACGCCAACAAAGGGTATCAAAATTTTTAAAACTCCAACCAATGCAATAGCAGCGGATATATATAGTCTACGAGGCAGGCCCGACAGGTTGACCGGGGTCTTGCGACTCCTCGTTGTTCTTTTTCCATTCGAATTCTGAGAAAAGAAGTCAGTCTTGTACATTCCGAGTTCAGCTCCATGACTTACTCTGACGGCACATGGGACAAAGTCCTTTCGAGGATTCTTGAGCAATCCACGTAAGAAGACAGTGCTGGACACGGTTAGTCGGTTGATAGCTTGAGGCGACTACTGTCGAACGTACCATGTGGAAAGAATGACCGCATGTCCCGATTACTGATATCGATTAGTACTGCTTTTTGTCAATTGCGGAGGAAACATACACAGCGCGCAGTCATCGCCGGGGAATTTGCAGGTTGGACAAGTTCCGTCGAACTGGACGCGGCAGATACCGCACACTTCGTCTTCGGGCATGTCCCAGCGCCAGGATGCCACGGCGTTCCATTCTTTGATTGTGACCTTCATGATGTAGAAAACTGATGCGCGAGGAGTAGAGTGCGTTGTGTTGTGCTGGTGGGGTGTTGCTGGGTAAAGAATCAAAGAATAAACAGAGACATGTCGCACTAAGCCCAGAAGAGTGGCGGATAGCTATCTGATAAGCGGCAGCCCGAGCTCGGAGCTTCCCCAACTCTTCGTCCGCCCTCTTTCTCCCTCGAGTCCCTCCAGACCTTGCACTCGTCCTGACAAATACAACAGCGACTCCACATCGCGCCATCACGCTACTCATCCTCACGAGAGGCTAATCAAATTATTTGACATGTAACTCATCTATCCTGTGACCATGACTTGGACAGCCCTTCGGTCTTCGTTGCGCCCCTCTCTCTTCACACGTCTCCCCCGTCAGCAAGCCACCATGACCCAGACACAGCAGAGGTTCAACTCCTTCTCGTCCTATCTAGTTACCCCCCACGAACTCAACAACGCCTTGAAACATTACCCCTCTAGCGAGATTTCTACCGCGCCTAGAGTCGTCCCCCTCTGCGCAGCATGGTTCATGCCAAACGACCCCGAGGGACGTACAGGCATTCAAGCATTCCGCAAAAGCCACATCCCGCATTCACGATTCTTTGATATCGATGGCGTCAAAGACGAGGACTCACCTTATCCTCACATGCTTCCCACTAAGGAGCGTTTCGCCGAAGCAATGAGCGAACTGGGCATTCACCGTGATGACGAAGTTGTTGTTTACGATACGGCCGAGCAGGGCATACTCAGTGCACCGCGTGTCGGCTGGACGCTACGTTTCTTTGGTCATCCTAACGTGCACGTGCTTAACAACTTCAAACTGTGGGTGGAGCAGGGCTTACCTACGGAGTCGGGAGATGCCAAACCGTTTACCAAGACAAATTACCCAATTCCGTCTTATGACGTCGATCGAGTAGTGCATTTTCCCGAAATGAAGGAGATTGCAAAGGATTACGGTAAAGAGGGGGCTGATGAGGTTGAGATCTTGGATGCGAGACCGTATGGCCGCTGGTCGGGTGAATCTCCTGAGCCTCGTGCTGGGCTGTCTTCGGGTCATATGCCTGGTTCCAAGAGCGTGCCGTTTGGTGAACTTCTTGACCCCAAGACCAAAGCATTTTTGTCTCCGGAAGAACTGCGCAAGGTGTTTGAGTCCAAGGGTGTCGATCCATCAAAGACCATTATTACTTCTTGTGGCTCTGGAGTGACTGCGGCGGTCATTGAGGCTGCGCTTACTGTTGCCGAGTTTGGTGATCCGGCGAAGCGACGGTTGTATGATGGAAGCTGGACGTAAGTTTTCCCCTTCTTGATGTGTGCAATTGCTAAAATTTGAATGTCTAGTGAGTGGGCTCAACGGGTGACGGAAGACAGCGGTCTGATCAAGAAGCTTACGACGTGATATAGCTCACCATGATTATATCTCAGCCACTTCAGCAAAAGTATCAGTATTCTCCCGCGATTACTTCTGCGCTCATTTCACATATGAATGAGTTCGTATCAGAGGTTCGAAAACCCAGCACTTGTATCTCTAAAATGAAGCCGCGGTGAAAAATGCAGGAAGCCTGCACCAATCAGCCACGCGCGTGATGTCAGTTGTCGCAAAATCGCTACCAACTTGATTTAAGACTCTGCTAATAGCGAAAATTACACAAAATATTGAACACATTCAATTCGTAGGCTGTAGTAGTCGAAATTTAAAGGCATCAGTCGCAAAGGCAGAAACCAGACATGATTGGCCGGCGGGTGCCTGGTCTTGGCTGTTGTTTCGGGCCTTTCAAGTCCAACATCGGCGGCCTCTCTCACCCTCTTGCTCTTGTCCCCGACCAACAGCCTCTCTACAAATGCACCCAACACTGTCCATGCCATGAACGAGGCATTCGATGATACAATGCTGGCTAACATCAAGTCTTGTTTTAACTGTGAGTCTCCCTCCCATCCGTCTTTCTTCGTCGCGCCATACACCAGGTCATCACCGACACAACCCCCACATTGCTCGTAGAGAGTCAGCACAGCTGTAGCGTTGTTGACTGAGCGTCTATTGACTGATCGATGACTAGTCTTCACTTTGAACTACATCTACTACCCCCTTTAGGGTCCGCTCTCTTTCCTCTACCCTTTTCTGCCGAATCCCCCATTGGGCGAAACTCTCGGCAACATGTCGGCGGCTCGAAAAGTGTTCCACTGTGCTGTGGACGACACCGTCCTAACCACCAACGTCAGCGAAATCAAGCGCTGGGCTTCCAACGGGGCAATTACACTGTTTGTTCCGCTATACAGTAGGCTGACCGACGTCCCCCGCAGTCATCACCGCCCAGCTTGCGATATTGGCTGACACACTGATTATTTGCAGCTCTCGAACGTCTTCAGGAACCCAAGCGTGGTGGTTCTCAAGTCGCTATAAACTCTCGCGAAGCCGTCCGTTTTCTCGACCGCGTCACCTCCGGCAAAGACAGCATACCAGCGGATCGGGTTGTGCTCCAGGGACCTATGGAGCAATATGACAACTGGGCAGATGCGGAGCAGTTTTTTCTTCCGGAGTTTGAAGAAGAGGTTGACGAATACGCCGCACCGAGAGACGGCGATATTACCGATATTACCACACCCAAGACTGAGATTGCGAAAGTGAATGGTATTTCAGCAAAGTCGGCACCCGAACAAAAGGGACCTGGATTACCCGGATTGCCAAGTGATTTATCGCAGATGCTGTTGAGCAAGCTGAATTTCAAGGGACCGGCTGCGGTTGGTGCTCAGAACGACATCAAGTCTTCTGTCTCGATCCCTTCGGTCGGTACTCAGAGCGACGAAGGATCGCGAGCATCGTCCCGTAGCTCTCAAACCAGCCCGGAGTATGCGAATGGAAATGCCAAGCGTGGCCACAATCGTTCGACTTCAACATCTTCGAACGCACCGCCAACTCCTGCAGTACTGCGACCATTGCTAAGTGCGTTGTTATGGCGTCTGCATCACGACGAGGGTTCTATCGGCGTCCCGCAAAACCTCACACTCATCAGCAACGATCGTGACATTCAGGTTTGGGCCCAGAAGTTCGGAATCATGACCAAGAATATTCATCAGCTTCGAACGGCTATTCAGTACGAAGAGAAGGAATTCAAGAACCGTGTGAAGTATGCCGAAAAGACGCAACATGTCGCTCCATCGCCAAAGCCGCTTTTCTCGTACGAGAATGATAGCGAGGAGGATGAGCTAGTATTTGTTCCTCGCGGCGGTCGAGGAAAAGGTGCAGGCCGTGGCAGTGGAAGCCGAGGCGCAAATGGTCGCAAGACTCGAGCAGCTACCGCTGCAGCTATTGCGCAGGCTGACACTACCGTTGAAGTGCCTTCGCAGCCTATCGATCCAGATTCCTTTAGCCGTTCGATTGGCGCGACGACGGTTGTCAAGCAGCCTCCCTTGGACCTGAGTTCTCAGTCCGGGGCCTCTCGTGGTTTGGCAGCTGCTTCTAGGCGCAATGGCGATGAGCATAATCATGGTCAGGCCAATGGTGGTAACGGCGGCAGTAGCCGTCGTCGTCAGCGCGGTGCCGGAAGCACTCGAGCAAACACCTCCACTCGCGGTGGACGTGGACAAGGAAAGTTATGGGTTCCTTAAAGATAAAAGCGCGGATTTCACTTGAAGTCCTAGAATCTCTCTCTCTCCATTATCACGAAATCGGGAATCTGTTTCCACTGCAATCGATACATGATGGACTTGACCGTCTTCCTAAGTGCGGGATGGTACCTATATCTACTTGCTGGAATCGAAAAACTTCCTGAAATCGGAACTTTCTTATCTTCCAAGATTTGAGGCTACTGTGCCGTGCTTGAATATACTTGGGGATTCGTTCCTCTAGGCTTGGTATACGGTGGCATTGTCTTCTTGACCGGGTTTTCTACTTTCTCGTCCGTTGCTTCTCATCAGATGGCCGCACTGATTTAGTCACATTCGATTTGAGAACGGATAACCCGGCGATAAAAGACATGCTACAAGTTGATTGGCATCGAAAACATATAAACTACAAAAAAACGGGCGTCGGCCCGAATCATTTTGATTCTATGATTGACTTGGGTCGATCATTACCTCGAGACTGATACAGGACTCGTAACGTCTCGGGATGTGAAGGGTTCATATGATGTGATACTACATATCGAAAGTGTGACAAGTCTGGTTATTTTGCTTTCTTTCAATTTTTGCTGCGTTGATCTTGTGTTTCGATTTTGTGTTGCTGGCCGATGGCTCGTTTTATTGGCTATGCATAGCAGACATCCAAATTGAATCTAATTTGCCGGTAGGATAAACAAATATTATTTCTATCCATGATGTTATATAAACGTTCTGTCATCCACCGATTTATCTCAGATGTTATCAAACCCACCGCGTCGGATGCCCATCCCCATCATCCAACGCCGCCTCCTTCGTCTCAACATAAACCCTACCATCATTACCACGATCAAAAACCTTCTCCCTCAAATACTCCGGCACAACCTCATCTTCCGCGAAAAACCCTTCCGTGTACCCCATCGCCTCCCACGATTTATCTCTCGCATCCATTTCTGCTGGGTAGATTGCAACTGGCCAGATACGACAGGCGAGGTAGTATACTACTCCGGCCACGATGGTGGATAGTAGGAATCCCATATTGTAGATCTTGACTGCTGCGGGGCCAATTGAGCCGGGTGATAGCACGGATGCGACGCCGGGGATTACGAGGGCGATTGCGACGATCCAGGCTATGAAGGCACGCGGGTTGAAGCCGTGGGTGTAATGGTAGATTGAGTCGTCGGACGGTTTGTAGAGGGAGGGGACGTGCAGGTTGCCTTTACGGATGAGCCAGTAGTCGACTCTACTAATATATTAGTACATAATAGAGAGCGGATGAGGAGGGTTGAGGGAACGTACATCATGCATGCCACGATGGGACAGATGAAGCAGAGATAGGAGCCGAGGAAGTTAAGGAATGAGGTTGCGGAGTGGGTGAGTTTCCAGGGGACTATCATCACGTCAGTCATCTTCAAGTTATGTGATGCAAGGCAGAGGGTACGTACCGCACACCCAGGCGAGGATAAAGCACAGAACCTGGCCACGGACAATGGTGAAATGTCTCGGAAACAAGCCTGTCAGATCGCATCCAACAGGGATCGAATTACTCGTAAAGTTTGTGACGAATGTTGCGAATGCCTTCGACCATCACATCAGTATTGCAAATCTGTACGGAGACCCGAATGAAAGTACCTGAATACCAGCAGCGAGAAACACAAGCGTCCTGGCGCCCGGACTCCAGTAATGATCCAGAACACTAGAGTAGAAATCCCACAGATTCCAGTACGCCTCTCCAAACTGCTTGTATCCCGCAGCAGTAATTACCATGCCCAAAAACACGACAAGCGGTTTACTAACCACCAACCCAATAGGCATGGGAAGCGTATCGCGCGGCTTTTGCACGTAGCGTGCCAGATCCGCGATGTTGACGAGTGGAGGAATGACGTTTGAGACGATGGAGTTGATGGCTTTCATGAATGACCAGCCGAGGGCGGCACCGGAGACAGTCTTCGAACTTAGGCCGTTGAAGTCTGCGCCGTGACTTGATGCCTTTTTTCCTCGAGGGGTCATGTTAGTATTCAGCGAGAAGGGAGATCATAAGGGGCGCACGCACGAGAGCCCATATCATGGTTACTATCAATCCGATAGGTGCAATGACGGACTTGATCTGGAAGACTCTTGACATTTTGCTGGGATGCACGAATGCGAATGGGAACTGGATGAGCCACAGCAGGCCAAAGGCTAGAAGATTGGCGGAGGTGATGGCGGCGCTCGCAGGGAGGTCTGTTTCATGTCAATTGTGAGTCAAGGTAGGATTGCCAGAGCTGGAGGCATACGGTTAGGAAAGTCAGTCCATCGGTGTCCAAAGACGCAACGTAACATGACCGCGAGGAATTCGCTGGCGTAGTATGTCTGGATACTCATGTATAAGATTGCGACGACCTGAGAATTAAGTCTTAGTATTGATTATGAATAATCTCGAGAGAAATGGAGATTTACACCACGAATGAAAATGAACACAAGAGAGCCGTAAATGCCGGCCGATGCACGGACAAGAGTTGGATATCCAATATGATATCTCGCAGGTCCTCTCGCATTCAGAAAAAGGAGAATAGCAATCATAATCGAAACGATGACTACCCAACCATCGGGTCAGCCGGACATCTCGCGGATTCACGTTTAAGATCCCCAGATGAGGTCACATACTAGACGCAATAAAAATAGTCCACCAATTTAACCCGATTGCATACAAACTGGCACCGGCATTATACGTCGTTGGCGAAAACGCAATACTGAACTGGAACGCGAAAAACGACCATGCGGACCAGATCCGTTGCGACGGTGGCGATGGATCGAGATCCTTGTTGGACCATTTTCCGAATTGTCCGCTTTCTTCGCTCTTGTCTGAGTCATTGCTTACTTTGAGTTTGTCGAGGATTTGTTGGGTTCGGTGGGTGAAGGGGGTGCGTGAGGAGGCCATCGTTACTGATCATCAGCCAGAGGTTTAATTTCCTAACATGATATCAGGCTAGACAATTCTGTCTTTCTTATACTTGATTTCCTAGATAATATCTCTTATCACAGCTATCTATCAGATGTTGTCAAAACCACATCCCTCAGCTTGGACGCCGTTGACCTTATCAGCCGCCTATCATCGGTGCGGGCGATAGCCCGATACGGATGGATTAGGGCTGCGATAAGATCTAAATTATGTATACTGCACGCTTGCGTATGGCGCACTTCTTTTGATTCTGATTATATTAATATTCTGCAGTTTCCTTGAGATCTCTCTTTCTACTCATCTCAAGTTCAAGCAGTAGCATACCGTCGAAATGGTCAAAAGAATCCGCCTCGGCATCCTCACTCCCTCCTCAAACACAAGCCTCGAACCACTCACCCAATCCATCATCTCACAGCTCCCCAACGTCAGCGTACACTTCTCACGCTTCACAGTCCTCAAAATCAGCCTTGAGAATGACGCGCTCGCGCAATTCCAAAACGAAAAGATAATCGAAGCCGCAAAACTACTCGCTGATGCGCACGTTGACATGATCGGTTGGAGCGGCACATCGTCCGGCTGGCTCGGGTTTGCGGCCGATGAGAAATTGTGCGAAGAGATTACTGCTGCCACGGGGATACCATCAACGACATCTGTGCTCGCACTCAACCGCGCATTGCAAGTACTCGGAGAGAAGGAATTGGGCCTGGTGACGCCGTATAAGGACGACGTTCAAGAAGCCATCATCAAAACATACGCCACTATCGGCATCGACTGCAGCAAGGAACGCCATCTAGGCCTATTCACAAACAGACATTTCGCAGACGTCACGGAATCTACGCTGGATGACATGGTTGCTGCGGTTGCGGCGAAAGACGTCAAAGCTATTTCGACGTTTTGTACGAATCTGTATGCAGCGCAGAGAGGAGCGGTCTGGGAGGAGAAGTATGGAATTATCTTGTTGGATACAGTTGTTACGGTTGTTTGGGAGATGTTGCAACTCTGTGGGGTGGATAGCAGTCAGATTAAGGGATGGGGGCGGTTGTTTTCGGTTCCTCTAAAGACTGAGAAATGAGTATTATAGCTGTTGATTGTCTGAAAATAATATCGTACAAATCGTACAAGCATTTATGGAGGCATAAATCATTCATACCAAAGAGGCTTATCGGGATGTACCGCCTATCTCGGGCAACTCTATGGGCGGCCAACTCTATTCTTAGCAGACATGCTCGGCTACTGCTGGATGTTCCAAGTATTATCGGTTGGCATCTCGCCATGTCCTGTAGTTCCCGTGTTCAAAACCTCAGCCAAGTGTGGGGAGACAATGAAGTTACGCGCCAGTCCATCTGCCATCAAAGTACGTAGGCGTACCAGACCCAGTGACATCAAATTCTCATGATTCTTGTATTGACGACTGAGATTCTGCAACCAGATATCAAGTAAATGTTTCGTTCGTGAAGCATGCTGCAATGTGGGCGCTTGAATGAGGAGGAGAAGAATGAAGTTCGAGACCGTAGCAAAGGATATCCGCGTCCCTGTTCAAATCAGCAAAAGTACTTGAGCCTCCTGGGTAATGATCAACTTACAAGGGTACCAAAATGTATCAAAATCAACTGGTGTCAAAGCGCCAACAAAATTGACAATAATGCCCGCACACTTCTCGGCAGCATTCAACGTCGCCTCTGCAGCATCGCCTAATTCCGAAAAGTCCACAACAGGAAGCTGATCTAGACCCTGCCCATCATATCCTAAATCTTCGAGCAGCCAAGAGATATCCTGGGGATATTTGTCATCGGCTATTGGTGGCGGCGGGGGTGATCGGGCTAATGGGCGTAAGATAGCGCGATATACAAATAGCTCGAGTATCAGATATGCGAAATGTAGTGAGCTAACACCTTCAATGCGGGGCGCCTGATAATTATTTTCGTGTTTTTGTTTGATGCGTAGAGATTCAGGAAGAGAAGCGTACCACGCCTGCAACTCTTCGCGGATAGGCCGGGCAGCGTTGATAGAGATTCGAAAATCCTCGCACATCCTTTGAGATGCTCTTAGGGTATAGAATGTTTGATGAATATCGTCTGCGATGATGGCCAATTTCGTGAATGACCTAAATGTAGCCCCATTTTCAAGACTTTCATCTTGGCCGTCGACAACAAAGTCATTTTCATCCAGACTTTGGACATCCCATTCTTCTCGATCAACAAACGGCGGGCGCCCGATGAGCAAACTTCGCCACTTGTCCTCCACATAGACAGCCCACCACAATCGCCGTCGAAGCCTTTTCTCCCACGCCGGGATACCCCATGGTCGAGGCTCAAGATGGAGACCCAAGGATGATGCCAAACCTACTGTAGTTCCAAGGAACGACCACAGAAATGGACTGTCTGCCAATGCACTTTGACTCCCGACTGGTAGGCGTTGTAGATACAGCAAACAAGCTTGAAGAACAGACAAGTGTGGCGTGTGAATTTCCTGCATGATGAGTTGATACACTCTTCGCCATAGTTTATCGCATATCTGGTTGTCATAGACTCCGCATAAGACTAACTGTGGGTCATGAATCTTGAACGGTAAAGCCGATGCATAGAGTGCCGCCAGTAAATGAGCTGGGATATTTTGCAAAGACTGTTCAGTAATTTTCGACATAAAACCCATCTGAGACCGAGAGATGACTGGCATCACAGGGAAAACAAACTTCATGAATCTTGCGTCGATGATCAGAAAACGAAAGCAAGCAAAATTAGGTTAGACTTTTTTATACTTACAACGGGACCAACCGTACTCCAAATTTAGGCGGAATCATTTCATTCAGCTCATCCCTAATCTTGAGTACATCCACCTCTGCAGAACATGATGTGGCTTCCTTGGATGGCACAAGGAGGGAGTCTTCGGTCACCAGAAAATGCACAGGGACTAGACCCTCCACCGGTACCCCGCCGACATTTCGAAAATGAATACCATGGAGATGTCGCATGCCATTATCGTCGTACTTACAATGTCGCAGTAGCCATGGATCCGATTCTGCTGACGTGCCGAAGAGCTGTGCAGTCGAGGCATTCAATTGATCAAGAGAGCGAATGTGCTGGATTTTTGGAGTGTCTCTGATATTGTTGATGACATCTATAGAGCCAAAGCTGGCTGCTGGTTTGGCTTGCTTCCTGTTTGTTGTAGGTAGGGCATGATAAGACCGGTTATGATATACCCTCGGGGAGACGCTGGTATCAACTTGAAAAGTAGTGTTGCCGTGATTTGTTCTTTCGAACCTCATATACTCGCTGGATCTGTCAGGACTTGGCGCAAAGTACGAAGAGTGGTCAGTCGGTTTTGTAGATGCTCGTCTGTTAACTATCTCACGATTCCGTGGATTGGGCGGCTTGTCAAATGTACAAGATTTGCCGACATTCCAGCAATTGCGACAAGGCCCGCTTTCAGGCAGGATGCAAGCTATCTTCCTGGAGCGACAGCGATCACAAGGCCGCTTTAACTTGGAGCGATATGGTCGAGTACCAGCTGGACTAGCGTCTGCATCCATCGTATGCACGGTGATATTGAAGATGGTGACATGTTGGTCGAGAACCTTAGCTTTGAGAGAGTTAAGATAAGGAAGTCCCACCTATAACCCTAAGGGTTATCATCCTCGGCCGAGGCTTTGTTCTAGCCCTAGAGTGTTCACTTTTTAACAGCCGATTAAAGTCGTTGACTCGTTGCCCGGCTGTTTACTTGGTGGGCAATCCACAGTAATACCACACGACTAAAAACGAGCCCCTGTTAATGGGGTGGTAATATAGTGGTCATTAAGTCAGTCACTAACACTATATGACTTACAGGCTTACTGTATGTTTTGTAAGCCGCCAGCCGTAGAGGCTAAAAGCAGCAATGGAATTCGTGCAATATTACTAAAAGAAACCTGGGAACTGGACATGTCAAGGCAGAGATCGTCGCGAATTTGCTTAGTGCTAACAAAGTGCACTGCTGATGCTGGATGCAATGATTTGTGATGCCAGCTTACTGATCTGGACGCCGAGTTCCCGTTCGGGGTATAAATATCGCTGCAGTCTCTGGCCTAAGCCTACATTCCCACTTGTTCAAGGCAAGAGAAAAATACGAATGCAATATGCGCCTGTCTTTGGCAAAATTACTTGCACTGAGCTGCCTCTACGAGGTCAGCCAGGGAAGTCCCGTTCCATTGGGAAATGAATATCAATTGCAGCCATATAACATAGATCTGTCATCCAGGGTGCCTCGAATGCTCGACCTGATTAAGGGAACAAAACTTCCAGCGCAACCCGTATATATCAACACAGGCACCTCAGCGGGAATCAGTCTGAGTCTCTTGGAAAGCTTTCAAACCGAATGGCAAACCATTTTTGACTGGAATCGTGAGCAAGAGGAAATGAACAAGTAAGTCTTCACATTCGACCCACAATGCTTGCCTCAGAGAAGAACATGCTACTAAATTTTCGATAGATTCAACCACTACACGGCCGTTATTGAAGGGCTGAAAATCCATTTTATCCATGAAAGGTCCGAGGCTGAAGACGCTATTCCCCTGCTTCTGGTCCATGGCTGGCCCGGCTCTTTTCTAGAGTTCGTTCCCGTCATCAATGAACTCACCCAGAATGCCACCACAGCGACTGGACAGAATGTCTCATTTCATGTGGTTGTGGCTTCTTTACCCGGCTTCGCGTTCTCTTCTTCGCCTCCGGTGAACTGGACCGTGGCAGATACAGCACGAGTCTTCAACACTCTTCTCACGAAAGTCCTTCACTATGACACTTATGCCACATTCGGAACCGACTGGGGTGCAGGTATTGCATACAGCTTGTACAGTCAGTTTAATAACACAGTTCGCGCACTCTCCCTGGACTTTCTACCTTTCCAACCGTATACTCCAGCTCAGCTTGCTGCTGAGAATATCACACTATCACCCTTGGAGGAATTCGAGCAGGCCGAAGCAACGGAGTGGGAAAATACAGGCGAGGGTTATTTCATTGAGCAGACTACCAAAGTATGTACGCTTGAGACACAAACAGACCCCCGCTAGTCAATTTATGTGCCTGCCACTGACTTTCTACTTTCGATGGCCAGGCCAACACAATCGGCCTCGCACTTTACGACAACCCTGTCGGCCAACTTGCCTGGATAGGAGAGAAATTCGTCAACTGTGAGCTTAATAATTCGCATATTCGGCCTTACGGTCAGCCTAGAGTGAAATGCAGTCGAATTGACTTGACACTGTTTTGTAGGGTCCGATCCCAACGCGGGACAGTCTCCTTCTGTGCTCACACACAATGAGATTCTCCGCAGTGTCTCTCTCTATTACCTCTCCGAGTGCTTTGCCTCTTCTGTCGTTATCTACCAACAGAACGCCAATGGGTTTTCAACTGTGTACACCAAAGCGAACAACGACGCGCCATTACTCTTCAGTGCATTCAAGTATAATGTTGGGTTTTGGCCCCCCGCGGTGGTCGCGAAGACTGGAAACTTGGTCCTTTATACCAGTGAGTAAACCTTATTGTCTGAAAATGAGTATTTGAGAATGGATTGACTGATTGAGATTGGGTGCGACAGATCATGAATCGGGTGGCCATTTTCCTGGTCTAGATAACCCTCCGGCTTTGCTAGAGGACTTGCGCGAGATCGCAACTTATTGGTCCAATTAGGTAAAATGCTGTCGCATGAATAAAGAAAAGACAAGATTATACTGGAAGAATTCGGATCGGAATAATCATCAAGAGCTTGCTGTTCACGATTGGACTTGCTTGCATCGCGAGAGGCTTATATGTACCAACAATCGGTTCCCAATGTCATTACAATTTGGACAAATGCATGATATATATCATTAAAGCTTCCAATAGGTCCTTTTTCATTTTTATATTTCCTGTGGTCCTTTTTTATTTCAGAAGACCTTGGGAGTCTTGATATTTGCCTCCGATAATCACGCTATAAAACTGAACCACAGTAAAACTACACACCAGACGACCCTAAAGACATAATACTCTCTACGTGACTTTAAAAGGCGTAGCTTAGTGCACTGATAATTTCTCAACGATATTCAGGTCCAGCGTCGCTTGGCTTGAACATTGAATTGTTAGGGTAAGCATACAGAGAGAAGAACCTCACCACTTGTAGGGCCGGATCTACGCCTCTCAGATTTTTGGATATGATGTCATGGAAAGTCCAATCACAGCCTCACCAACTGCTCTCTCGCTTCGTGGGACCTGATGTTACAAATCCAGATGTTGCCGGATGGCCGGAGTTGAGCGTTTCAAAGGCGCTGCTCCCAGATAATGCGGGAGTATTTCCTACTGGCTGCAGGTTCTATAGATTTTAGGAGATACTCCTATTGGCTGGTTTCGGGTCCTCTACTACCGAAGTCTCGGAGACATTGAAATTACTATTATATGACGCGACTACATACGATCTATAAATGATTTGACATCCGCAGGGTATTTCTTTTGTTGCTCTTTGGAGGAGTCCAATTGACCAATAACACCAGCGCATCAAGACAAGCTTTTAACATTCTAAAGCCACTACCTGCATTTGTCTTTATACTTACACATTTCCAGATGTCGTCCGATAGCGTCTCCTTTGACGTATTTCGTGGCGTCTCTGGCAGTATTGTTGCCGATCATGCGACCAAGTCACTCGGATACAATGAAATCTTCATCGAGACGACGCACTCCGGCCTATGCGGAACTGATTTACACTACATGCACTCCGGCAAAGTACTGGGGCACGAAGGTGTCGGTATCGTGCGCAAATTGGGACCAGGTGTGACCTCAGTGAAGGTTGGTGATCGAGTTGGATTCGGATATACTAGAAAGGTTTGCGGCAGATGTCAACATTGTTTGTCTGGTAAGTCAATAGATGTATCTTTGCAGAGGTGGAATACTAACACGATTGAATAGGATGGGATCAATTTTGTGAAAACGTGGTGGATTTCGAAACTCGAGGAGACCCAGATATTGGCTCCCTCTCGAATGGTGTTGTTTGGGATGCCGGTACCGTGGTCCCTGTTCCTGATGGATACGACTCCGTCGATGCTGCACCTTTACTCTGCGCGGGTGGAACCGTCTGGACTGTCCTGACTGAATATGGCATCAAGGCCACGGATCGGGTCGGTATTCTTGGTATTGGAGGACTTGGACACTTGGCAGTCAAGCTCGGTGCTGCATTGGGTTGTCATGTGGTTGTACTTTCCAGCTCTGACTCAAAACGACAAGAAGCCTTTGAATTCGGGGCGAAGGAATACTATGTCTTAAAGCCGGGCAAAAAGCCCGAGGGCCTCAAACCTCTGGATCACTTGTTGGTTTGTGGAAGTTCATCGAGCATGGACTACACCTTGTACGTCGTTTCCCTATCCCACTTCAATTTTTTGCCAAATAACTAATTCGACCGACAGCCTTATCGAATTGATGGCCGTCCACGGTTCCATCTATCCTCTCACTGTCTCTTCCGACAAGGTTCCCGTCCGTCTCCATGATGCTGTTCTCAAGGGCGTGCGATTTCAGGGAGTATTGACGGCCTCTCGAAGGAGCCTCCGTAAGTTATATGAATTCGCGGCGGAGCGAGATATTCATCCCACTGTACAAAAATTCCCGATGTCTGTCGAGGGTATCGAGGCAGCTGCCAAGACCCTTGACAGTGGTAAGATGCGCTATCGTGGTGTTCTATGTTGGAATTAAAACATAGACGATGTTTTTAGACTTGATGATATTATGAAGTTTGCATTTAGACGCAGTATTTTAATATTCTTTTGTCATGATGCAATACCATTCGAATGTTACGAAATGGCCTTGCCGGTGACACGATGGACTATCTCTATGGAAGTCCCATATACCTGATCGATCTGTAAAATGCTGAATATATGATAAGACGCAGTCATCGATTTCTGGGTAAAAGGTCTATCAGATACGATTAAAGTTGGCTTCGCATTCATGCTCATTCAGACAACCGGAGCTGCACATATCAGCAGCGAGAAAGCAAAAAGGAAGCATTTTTGGCACGCTTGATACAGAAATCTCAGTCTTATTTTTAAAAAACAAAACGTAGCGAGCTCTTAATTTGAGAAGCCAAATATTAGTGGAATGTAAGTAGCCAAAGCATGTATGGGGCTCAATTCCTGGGGAAAAACTACAGTCGTGGCAAGCCTGCTCAAAGAGCCAAACGTGGTGCCGGTGTCAGGACAACAAATCACCATTGGAACGACCATAATCGGTATGCAAAACGCGAAGTCGGAGTAGCATGACTGAGTGACAAGGACGTCAATCACAACAAGAGGTTTGTGCATGATTCCCGCGCTATTTTACATGGCAACAGCAACTCCTATTCCAGGACCGTGCAACAAATGAGGTCATGATGTACCGGTAATATTAGGGTTATTGTTGCTTTCGCTACAGGAGGTAAAATCGCGGGGAAACGTAGATCATAATACCGTTCTGTATTCGGAGTACCGGAATACCTGGCATCAATACACAACGGAGCCTCGGAGATCATCTCAATATTGAACGAATGCAGTGAAGCCTACTACTTGAAAGAAACTCACTTACCTTCGGAATGACAGAGATTCAGCGATTTCTATCAAGGATAATATAGTGGGCCGAATCTCCGATGTACATGTATAAATACTTTGATGCCATCCCATTCTGATTTTCAGAGTTCTTGAATTCTCACTCTCCAACTGGCCCTAAATAACCAAATACAAGCAGCACAAAATGAGCATCACGAATGAATCAAAACCCTATATCCCGCTGGCAGGATTAGCCAGCGATGGATGGTCCACTGAAGACGAGGCTACAGCTACATGCTTCTGCGGTGAAGTGCAACTAGTTTTTGTAAGTTTAGACTGTCGACAAATTGATGATCATATCTAACAATCACAAGCCCACCCATGGCCCAGGCCTGGTCGATACCTTCGTTTGCAATTGCACCGACTGCCGAAAACTGACTGCATCAATGTTCGCATCCAACTTCACCGTCGATGACCAGTACTTGAAGCATGTACGCGGCCAGGAGAACCTCAAAACCTTTGGCCAATCGAAGACAATTGGTTCCGGCAAAAAGATGACGAATTATTTCTGTTCCAATTGCGGCACATTGATGTATCGTCGTGGCGAGGCTTTCCCAGGACTGAGTATCCTGCGTATTGGCACAGTTGATGATTTCAACCTGCATGAGACGAAGTTGAAACCAAGAGTGGAACAGTTCACCAAAACTCGTGTGGGATGGTTTCACGGTATGGAGGGTATTAGGCAGGTCGAGGGTAGTGCTTATACATAGTCGAAGCCAACGAAGTGTCTTCATTTCACCCGCGGTCATTCGACATTATGTTATGTCATCCAGAAATATCACGCCCACTGTGGTCACAAATGGTCCAACTGCAGATTGGCAGCTCATTATATGTTCAAAGATAGTATCATTCTTGACCCAAAGCCAGGGGTATCGACAAAAAGGTACTGCTGTTCCTCGATGATGTATGGCCAAATTTCATGCTTTATGGTACCTTTTCCATAAGACTTATTAGTTTTCTTATTCCAAACATTGCTGAGGGTGGAAATTTTCAAACAAACTAAAAATTTCCTCCCGAGAGACTAGAAGGGAGAAAATAAATAGCCGTTGTCTCACCTAATCCCAAAAAATGCCCTACACCTAAGCCTCCCTCGGTGATGTCGCTCAAAATATATGTCTTCCCAGAGCCGCTTTCTCCAATTACCGAAAAGAGCTTCGTACCTTGAAGAGTGATACTATTCAATCACGTATCTCTTAGTAGCAGTACAAATTTCACTTACTGTTGTTTCAGAAATTGTACCACTGGGTAAGTGGCGTCCCTTGGTTGCTACAAGCAACTTTTTTGAGTTTCTCGTAACTCAATGAAGTGCCGCGAGAGCCGACAACCATAAATTTTAAATTTTTTGCTTTCCTCAGCACCTTCTGTCCTATTACTTGTTTGTTCTTCCAGAGATATTTCGCCCGGTTGGACAGGTTTCCAATCCATCTTAACGGTCAATGAACTTGGACGAACTTTCCACAAAGTCGGCTATATGAAGTGTTTAGCAATAGGTCAATGATTCAATCACCCGCTTATGCTTTTGAAAGACGTAGATTCGAGGTCGTAGGATAATATCATTAAATACGATTTTCGAATGGTTGCAAGGCTTACAATTCTGATCTATATGTCACTACGGCTATGGATCGATGAGGCCTCGTAAACAAATTACTGCTTTTGGAAGTTTACGAGGTGTGGATCGCCATGGCCAATACCTAAGGACTAATCACCTATCTGCGTGGTCTTTTATAGTCATATGAGTCATGGGGCACATAACTAAATCTTTGATCGATTTTAGTAGTGTACAAATTCGCATCCTTTCATTCTCGAAGCCTGTCCTAGTTTCCTTGCGATATTCGCCGAAAAACTACCACCACCACCACCACCACCACCACGAAAATGTCATCTATCAACGTCTTTGCTCGATGGAGACCACTCTCACAGCCCGAAGATAAACATGGAGAAATTCATCGCAAAACGTTGTCCGATTGCCCACCTCTGTTAGCTGTGTCTGTGAACCCTCAAGCATCCGCTGAAGGTCGTTCGTGGGTGAGCTCGCCAGCATTCCACGCTATATTTGAGCCGGGAGATAATAATCACACAGTGTACAACGATGTTGTAGCGCCTAATATCCCCAAAATCTTACAAGGCGAAAACTGCAGCGTCTTTGCATACGGCCATTCTGGCAGTGGCAAGACGCATACCATCCTAGGCTATGACTATGACTGCCAAAACAGTCAGAAGCTCGGACTGTGTCTTGCTGCCGCCAAACAGCTGTTTGACGCCCTACATGGTTTGAACGAAAAGAGTGAAGGGGAAAAGTTGGGTATCGGACTTAGCTTATTCGAATTGCGCAATAAATCGGCTTTTGACCTTCTCAATCACCGTAATCAGTGTCATATTAGGGAAGGGCCCGATGGCAAAGTTCACATTCGCGGGGAAACCGAGATTCTAGAAGGGGGTAAAGTTCGGGTTCGTCCCATTGTTCAGCGATTGTGTTGGACATTTGAATCTTTCCAACACGAGCTTATCCAGGCCATTTCTCAACGTACAACTGGATCATCGACTGTCCACGAACAAAGTTCTAGGACCCATGCGGTTTTCGAACTAGAGATTATCAGCCAATCTTTGATAGATGCAAGACACGCTTTATTTGACAGACAGTCCGAGCTTGTGCCCGTGGGGAAGCGTGCGACCGATATCAGGATAGAAGAAGAGTCGAAAGGCGTCATACGCACAGCGGATGGGTGTTGGGCACCCAATCCTAACTCTCGAATAGATCAGGAGCGCATAGACGTGGCTGAGGCAGAGAAAGCTCAATATGAGGCTCTCGTTACAGCTGCGGAACAAAATATTGAAGCTATCCTAGAAGCAAGTGCCTTTCCATGCCTTGGAGTGAAGATGGTGTTTGTGGATCTTGCTGGGGCGGAGTTTTATGATGACAATGGAAGTCGACCGCAGACGGTACGACAGACTCCTCAAGAGCGCCAAGAGGGCAGACAAATCAACACGGACTTGTTGGCGCTGAAGCAGGTGATGGGAGCTTGGGCTGAAGGTCAAAAGAGAATACCTTTTCGATCATCAACCCTGACCATGGCCCTCCGCGAGCACTTCATGAGCGCTGGGAAAGGGAACTCAACAATTATTGTCACTATCTCACCAGCAACGGAGCAGTATAAAGCGACACTCAACTCACTTAAATATGCGAGTCTAGTCGGAGCCGCTCGTGTTTGATGCTGTGTTATCTTGCTACTTGAAAGTAGATTACTCTACATAGCCTAAATTCACACGAAATTGGAATACTGGTGACGAAATTTGTTGATATTTGGTATCTAGAACATGGTAACATAGATCTAGTAATGGAAGTCGTATGAGTATAGATGCTTATAATATTTTTAATCCTACGTCAAAACTTAACATAGAACCATAGTTCAGAAATATTGGAAAGATAGACTAATACTACAAGTGATTTCTATTCTATATCTTCTCTTTGCCTCTTCAGTGCTAGTGTAGGTAAATATTCTCCAATAGAATAATAGGGCTTCAGCCTTTCCGGAGGCCGGCGTAGGATAAGAAGATCTTGGAGTCGCTACGATAGAAAACTCTATCGTAAGGTGTCAGATGTAGTGTGTGCTTGCCCACGTCGTATGGCTCTCATCATGCTGCAGTAGCTCATATGAAGATACTAGTATGACAAGTGTGATTCTACTCGATGATCTTAAAAACAGCAGGTTCTTATATAAGCACACCGTGATTGGATCACTTGACCCTGGCAGCCTGAGAAATGTGGCCGCTGATTCGACGTCATCACTCTGTGACTTTCCTTCCTTAGGCAGGCAACTCGTCATGTGAAACGAGCCAATGTCACTTGACTCCTCTCGACCGTTTTATATTGACTCCTGTTCACCTAGTATCCCTACGCTCAAATTCCTAAATACATTCCTTCTTCATATCTACCAGCGCTGTTGTGCATACTGTGCAGTAGTGCGTACAGAGTAGCATACATAGACCCAGCTTCCCCGCATTTGTGATACCGTTATCGATACCGATCAGTCAATCGCCCGATCACCTCACTTCTCATCTCAACTTCAACAAATCAATTCGAACCAGAGAGAAGAAGCAAAGCCAAAATGTCTTCCGCAATCGACGATACTCCCATCTCGCCCATCCTCAACTCCACAACCAATCAGCAACGCCGTGACTCTCTGGAGAAGCACCTCCAGACCCGCCCGGAGCTACAGGACCTGAAGGACCGGCACATTTTGCTGAATACCAGTGTTGCTCCGTATGTTAATTTTTTTCTATCCAGATGATAATTCCCTCATTGATGGACGATATCAGCGGTCTCCAAGCCGCACAGGCAGAACTCGCCCGGCAGCAAGCAACCGATAGTCTCCGGAAACATCTCGAAAAACGCCCCGAGCGCGATGAACTAGTTGATCGTGAGCCATCTTTCATCCGGTCTTAGCTTTCTGATAAAATTCTTAACTTTGCAAACAGGAAACATCCTCCCCGTCCGCCCCGATGTGGCGCCTGCGCTCCAAGCTCACGCAAAAGAACTAGAGAAGCACATGCTCGCCGACAACTTGGAGCACAAGATCAAGGAAAGACCTGATCCGGATCAATTGATCGAAAAGGGTATTCTTGATAACAGTGAGGATCCAAGGAGCCCTTCTGAGTAAGGGGCGAAGGTCTACAAATTGAAGATCCACGGGATAGTACTGTCTGAATGGATAGTGGCGTTTGTTTAGGGTACGATGGTATACGTACTGGTTTCATGGATTTATTTTTATTGCATTGCTATATTGCCGTGGAGGAAATGTGGAGGTCGATTGGACATTCGTTGTACCTCGAAATTGCAATTGGATTATTCTTTGCTACTCTACAGGTATCACTCCATAAACTCCATGACATAAACTCATACATGTACCGGTCGTAGCTCCGTCAGCAGTACTTTCCACATCACGAAAGTCCAGACAAGGACAGATACAGCTCAATAACTTTCAACCTCCACATTGGTAGCGCCTGCACCTGTAGTAACAGATGATAAATCCGGCGTCCATCCGCTCGGTCTTTCACTGCCCCTGACTAACAATCCATACGCAGCCCTCTCCACCTTCTCCACACTGCTCTGCATCACATCCATCTTCTTATTCATGTCCTTCATCATATGACTGCTATGTCTCCTCGGAACATTCAGCTTTTCCAACATAGCCCTCATATTCCTCAAATCAACCACAATACCTGCTTTTTCAGGCGGGAAAATAGGATATTTCTGCGCGGGCCCACTTTGATTCTCGGTATCAACATCCATTTCACTCTCATCCTTCACATCACTCTTCTTCACCTGCCCACCCGTCGAAAGCGTTGTAACCGCAAACCGCATCATCTCACCCGTCAAATCATATATACCCATCAAATAGTCATCCTCCGTAACGATGATCCCGTCCGGTAATTGAGCGGCAACCTCGTCGCGCGTGATGAGGCTTTGGGTTTTGATGTAGTGCTCGAAGGAGATGGCTTCGATGAATTCTTGGATTCCGCCGGAAATTTGTCGCTGGTAGCGCCAGGAGTTTGTGCCGGTGAGCTCGGGAGCGATGGACTTGAAAAGGTCCATGATTTGGGTGAAGCGGGTTTTGTTTTCTTTGGTGATATTAGGTGGCAGGGGGGCGTTGATTGTTCGGACTCTAGAAGTACAAATAATGTCAGAATATAGAAAGCTCGCGACATAGCTTAGCGACCGTACCGTTGTAGGGCGAATATGCTATTGAATAATAAATTAGTCCGAAGCTAAAGATTGATTGGGGTATCGGCTGGGTCATACATCTTTTTACTCAATGCAGTTATGTCTCGGGATGCTTTGATTATTCTCTCGCGTCGGTCGTGATGTTCATCAAGTTCACTGCGAAAGTTCTCAAAGATCAAATGAATGACGGGTCCCTCCTCATTTCTTGTATCTTCGGAAGCCATGGCGGACGACGACGTGTTGGGTTGTTCTGTTTGACTGGGGGGAGGTTTTGTATGATCGTTGATAATGTTGCCTTCCCAAGATCTTTTTGAGCTGGCCATTGAATGGTGTAGAGCTGCTGGACAATTGGTGAAGTTGTGAGTAATTGGACAAATAGCCAAAGATGAATTCATGATGGAGCTTGACTTTTGAGCGGTGCGGGGAGCATTCGGCTTGATTGGGTTAGCGTGGTCCCCATAGCAGTCAAGGAGCTCAGCTAGATGTCCCAGATTTTGCTCTCTAGTTTTCACTTTCTTCAATTCTTACAGTACTGAGGTTTGTTGATCCATGTCAAGATATTTTTGTAAAACAACTAGGTTGTGCAATATTAAACAGCAATGTGGACAGCGTTCACACAATATTCCACACAAAGAGCCATCACCACAAGCTCAAAATCCAGACCAATCTTCATCCCTAACTCTCGGAAGTCAACTTAGCTAGCAGCAATTGCCAACATGGCCGGCCAATCTCTGGTATTAAATCAAAGAATCTCAATACTCGATGAGATGGTTGGCCAGGAATGTTATCGAAATTACTTCGCATGGCACGTCATTCCACGGCTATTCCGAGCCAATCATTCCATATACGACGCCTCCTGCCACCTGCACGGTTTGATTATAGGCAAGTGGCATTCTTCAGGGTGTAGCTGGAAATTACTTATTCTACCAACTATGGTTTCTGGTATAGATGGACGAGTTTGCCAGCCTGCGCGAGCAGGCGGAAATCTCGCTCCTAGCCCTATGATCCCCTTTCTATTGAGCTAAATTATAGTCGTGATGGCAAGAGGGATATGATGTATTAATTCTGCGCTTCTGTGAACAAAACAATATTCTCATATGTATTCAAACAATTAACCAGTATACTCAACCAACACCTCAGAGTCACTAGGAACAGAAGCAGAAGTCAAAACCTTGCCGTTCTGAGAAATGTCCAGAAGATCAACACCCGAGGTACCAACACTATCCCCATCAGCAGTACCAGCAGCGGCGTTTGTAAACGCTACCTTTCCAAAGTTGGCAAACGAAACCTGGGCTCCGTTAGACTCAAAGTCCTCAACAATCCATTCAGCGTTTTGGCCACCGAGAGTAGCGGTTGAGGAGGGGGCGGTAAGGCTTTGAGATACTGATTGACCGTTTGTCAAGTTTTCGATAACAGCGGAACCGGCTTTGTTACTGGTCGATGTGACGGTGATTTTGATGTCGTCTCCGGTGCTGATGTCGATGCCGGAAAAATCGTAGGCGTAGTCGGGATACCATTCGTACCAGGCATCGTAGGTGACCTGCCCCGATGTCGAGATACCAAAATCAACACCAGTCTGGAGAATGGCATTGGTGTAAGTATCACCATCGATTCCAACCCATGCAGATGCGTAAGAGTCTTGCGTGGCTCCCGATGGCAACGACGGTTTGGGAACGGTAAACTGCGCAGTCACCGAGGTGAAAGTTGTTCCCGAAGGCGGTGCTGTGAGAACGCCGCCAGACCAGTTGGAGCTGTAGTCGACATTCGTACGGTTGGCAACTTCATCGGCGTCAACGTCGATGGCAGGAATTTTGGGACGTGTCAGTCGCGTCATCTCGCCGCGAGCGGCCATTCGAGCAGCCAGTCCATGGCCGCGCGTAACTGCAGCTGCAGCAGAAGCCGCAAGAAGGAGGATATGAGAAAGGACGATGGAAGCCTTCATCGTGAGTGACACTTGACAAGTCGACTTGGGAACGCTTGACTGTAAGAAGTTTCAACCCTACGTCTGGTGGCTGATGGCTAGGCAATATAAACGGAAGCATTCAGGCAATTTGTCAAAGGCTAGTGGCCCTAGATCCATATACTTATACATCATTTTTTGCCAACCACCTATGCCAAGGCTGGGGACCTGCTGTGGCATGAAACCTATCTTGGTAGTGTAGAGTATGCAGGATCATGTCGTACCTGATTCTTGGATTCGCGTGATGGACTATCCATACCGACGATGGATCTACAACTGCATGATCTTGATTTCAGCGGCAGGKCTAGCCTTTATTATATCAGTGTTAGATTTGCCTGTGATGCAACCTTGCCTTGCTCATTTCCTTGAATTTTTCGGTTCCAGCCTGCTTGGTCAGGAAAGCCTGCAATGTCAGATGGTAAGCCGTGTGATCTGGTAGAACAGAAGGTTAACCTTATTCAACTTTGGGAATAGAAGGTATTCAACAAGCTTTTCACTGGCCGCCCCCTGGAGGCATGTGTCGCACGGGCTGGGGTCAACTATCGTGTGCACTGAGGAATTTGGGCCTGCTGCAGTAGCGCCCCTGAGAGGAATGTCGGTAAAACATAAATTTTGTACACGGGCGATTTACAATCGTTTTGTTCAAGTCAGAGATAGTAGAGAACACAGTTTAACGACCAAGCAATGGTGACAGATCGAAAAATTTTGGTAATTTATGCTTGATGTAAATGTGAAGGAGTATAAATGACAGTCGCAGCTCAGAAGAACGAGGAGATTCAGGCACCAAGGCAGCCCACTATCAGGAATGTCAGCTTCGATAGCTTGCAATTGCGAGCCGTGAAGTGAATAGATCTCCTTATCGAATATTGATCCAGATATAAAGAACGTTGCTGTATGAAATTCTTGGAGGAAGTACCTTGCAAGATTGATCGTCATGCATTATAAAAGTACACTCACTCTTGATATGTACCTATTCTACACAGCATGTATCATCGAGCAGTGGGGAATAAGAAGGTCTAAACGCCCAATCCACGTCTTTTCGGGCTTACAAGTCCCTAGGTGGTATTTAAATATAGTAGCTCCCTGCTTCCCCCCCTGGATTTCACCAAGGTTGCGCATAATGATGTGACATTCTAAAAACAAGGAAAAGATAGAATATTGCTGATTGATTGTCTAGCCTTATATTCGTGGAATCTATCCCATACAAATTCACTATCCAGCCATCCCTACAACAGCCGAGATACTTGTTTCAGACACGAAATCACTTACCGGACATGGTAGAAAAACAACACCACCACGAGGTCCTACGGAGCACCCCATCTCCCAGTGGTTGTTCTCGGAAGAATATAGTCGTTGTATTCTTTATCTTGCACTAATTGCGTTGCAAGTGGTGTTGTGATATACCTAGAAAGAAGGAATTAGCTGTACCTGTTTTAGAAAATTTTACTGGTGATGTGCCTGGCGCTCAACGTATAAATCTTCTCAGTCCCTGGCTCGACATCCTTGTTTGGCATCAAAGAGCATTTTTTCGGTTCAGGGATGTGTACGGACGCTGTCATCTCGTGAAGGGCCTTCGGTATATAATTCTAATCTTTTAAAAGATAAATCGATATGAGTTCGGGACCACAGACCGTATTCGCTCCATGCATATTCCACGTCGTGACTGTCAAGTTGGCCACACAAAGATTCCGCGTAAAATTTCCAAGAGTCCATGGAACTACAGTGGGATGAAATAAGTGTCCGCACCCCCCATAACCCTAGTGCCTGCACAGGGGTGTGAACACTTATTTCGTGGTACTGTAGATTACACACCAAAAAAATGAGTGTGTTTCCCCTATTTCCCTCCCTATCTGAGCATACTTGTAGATATTAAGCGTCCATCCCTACTCGATTACTTTGTACAAATTTTGTTGATATGAAAGCTAAGGCCAATCCTTCTGATGTGCAAAGCACAAGTAAAATCAGAGTTATGAACTGGTACAAGAGTAGTGAATTTTTGCTTTGGAGCAAGTTTGTAATGTATACACCCTCTTTCTTTGTCTTCATGTGAGTTATTAATCGTCCCTGGTGATCACGCCATTTTTGTATAAAGCCAATGAGGTAGAAGATATTAGATATTTTTAATTAGTTACTATAAGTAGGTTTTGCCAGCACACAACGTGTCCAGGTGTTATTTTGGTCGCTTTCTGAAGTAACAGAAATGTTTCCTTGAGAATATCAGCCTAGTACTTAAACTAGTTACATCTACCCTCTTGATGACTATCCCTTTTTTTTGTCTTTCTCTTCTACTTCACAGTCTATCACAAAACGAAGCTACTTCATAAATCCTCCTATAATGGCTACACTCGTACGATACTCGAATGACGCTGTGGCCAAATCCGATGCAGCAAAAGGGTTTCCCTGGGAAGCCCCTATACCAGCAAATCGCTTCTGGAATAGCTTCAAGTACTGTATTGTGCGCAGCATTTTAATCAACTTTCCAGACGAAGAAGAGTTGAAGCAACTACCTGTTGATCCGAATAGCACCGCTGACGAGCCGACGAAGCTTCACTTTCTCCTTCATCTGCTACGCGATAAACTAGCCAGAGAAGAGCGGGCTACTTCCCCTCCAGGGTCACTCAATACGCAGAATTACACGCAATGGAACCAGTTAATGCAGGGTATCTATGTGATAGAAAACGAGCTCGATTTGCCTGAAGCCGAGCAAACTGTTCGCACTCTTGTAGAAAGGCGGCCGGAAACATCGAATGTTGTGCCGCCTCACATGCTCTCCGAGTACCTTGTCAAGCATGGGAAGTATGAGGAAGCCGAGAAAACTGCAAGGCCAGTTCTGGCGTGGATGGATGCACGACCGCATCTAGGAAAGTCATCCCCACAAGCCCTTAACTCTCGCAGGATCATTGCAAGAGCCTTGTGGTTCCAGGGACCTTCGAGACGTACAGAAGCAATTTCTCTGTTAACAGAAATTCATGAATTAGTCGAAGGAATGGGCGGGGACAAGTTTGAAGTTTATCAAGAGGAGGAGAGGCAATTCAACGAAGAGCTGATAGCTGAGCTTCAGAGGAAAACATGAGGGTACGATCATCCTTTATCATTTGGTTATAATAAAAGTGGTCTCGGTGATGTATATCAAATATGGTCCTAACAATGACGTTGTATGTGACACTTCTCGCTGGATTTTCAAGTATGTTTTTTCACAGTCCGTCTAATTATAGAAGACATACTCTTCCAGAGACTGTTCCAGTCGTCTGCATGTTCAATGGCTAGTACGCCCAAACATTCGCGTGAGATCAAATCCGAATCAAACTGCCGTCTTTCATATGTTAAAACATCTACTTCCGGGCCTTGGTAGTCAGTTGAAAGTCTTTATTATCATGGAAGACTGTGCTATGGCTACCCACTGAAAGGTCAAATTCGACATTGACAGGATGAATCCATCACAGAAAAATAATATAGCGTAGCATAAATTGATATAGAAACAAGGAAAACCACCATGCTAAGGTATAACACTCCATGGAATTGATCTGTAATATTTGCACGCTCCTTAGGCCCAAGCGTCACCTCATTCTCAATCAATGGAACAACATTGAATATACTTTTCATTCTCTGCATGGTGGTTGTTGACTTGTTTATTAACTTCGTCGATACTCGGATACCAGAATATCGTATTAAGTGTTGGAGTTGCTGTACTTTGTCTGGTTATTTTCAAGGAAGCGTGATAGGGGTCAAATGACTAGAAACTAAACCGAGAGTATAGTCAATTGGAAAAATCATGATCATTTGGGAGATTTCGTGAATAGTATTCTGTTTTAAACGTTTTGTAAGCATTTTACCGCACAGTGGATGTCGACACGACGAATATAAAGGTTGAACGTTCCAAGATCGTATTGGGAGGTACACCCAAAGTCATCAAATGAGTGAGAGTAGAGATATCTATGTACATACAAATCTCTCAATCATATATTGAGCAAAACAATACTATCTATATCGAGAAAAAAAAAACATGAGCAACAAGCAGGCAGCATGCCATTCGGCCGGCAGAAACATAACATTAAATCCGTGCAGACAAAGGATATCTGTGTAACGAGGCAAGAAAAGGAATACACATTGTTTGATTCATATCGACATAACTTGCGCAAGGATTTGATATCTGATATCAAACATACAGCCCGAAAAGATATTAGACAGTTGTGCTTGGCTTCTCTTCGGTTGGTTCAGGACTCTTGGAAGCCTTGGACTCCTTTTCCTTTTTCTTTTTCTTGTCATCTTTGTTCTTTTTGGTGGCGGCTTCCGCCATGAGTTGTTCGAAGGCTAAGTAATCACCTTCTTCATCGGGGTCGCGAGCAGCCTAATTGCTCATGTTAGTAAAAATATTCATTTGTTGTATCAGAGAAAATACCTTTTGGTAGATATTCCCGGCAAGGACCAAGGCATGTGCGCGCTCAACCCGCTTTTCCAATTTCACAGACTTATCTCCTAGGACTCTGTCGCAAACATCCCGTAAGACCGATTGAATCTCAAATTTGCTTCCCCGCCAAGCTGCTGCGAGGATCTTTCCTGTGACTTTCCGCTCGTATTCGGCCTTCTTCTCGTCTGTCCAGTCGGCACCTCCTTTCTCCTCTAACTTGGCCATTTCCTCCATCGTCATTTGAGCGTCAATTGCAGTAGAGATGGTTCCCCATGTCTCTTTGGCTAGTGTTCCCTTGTCCTTAAGACGAGAGAAAAAGCCTGAGATACCCAGGAACTTTTGAGATTTGAGGAATGAAGTGGCCTTTTGTAGGTAGGTCTGTCCGATGGCGTGAAGGATCTCCAGACCAAACGACTCCATTTTCAAATTTTCGACTTCGAGACGAATCTTCTCCTCGAAGGCGTGTGTAACTTCCGGACCTTTGTCGGTCTCTGTCCATACACTGATGCGATCAATAAGCTTCCGCACAAGGGTGTCAACTCGCTCCTGGCGGGCTACGCGTCGCTCCTCTTCATATTGAGCTAACCGCTCTTGTTGTTCGCGGGTCAAACCGCCCTTCTTCTTTTCCTTCTTGCGCAGCTCCTTCTCTTCAGCCGTAAGACCAGCAGCTTCCATCCTTGCCTCCTCCTCTGATTTTTCCATGATTGCCTGTTGGCCCCAGTTACGCCTGGGGGTGCTTGTACCGGAATCGTTGCTTGACTCGGGAATGGGAGTTGCGGTGGCCGCTTCAGCCGGGGCAGCTGATGGGGCAGACGGTACGGACGGTGCGGACGGTGTCTCGCCGTGCGTCTCTTCGTCGTGGATATTCAGTTTTTCCTCGGCGGATGCCGCCAGTTCCTCTTCCTCCATTTGTTGCATGGTAATATCCATAGTGGTTGTAAGGTCTTTCATCAGTGAAATTTCGCCAATAAGGTCCACGAAAGCTTCGCCACCGAAGATCATGGTAAAGAATTGTGCCGGGTCCTCTGTGAACTGTCAGATCACCTGTTCCTTACACCAAATATTCAGAGTCCTCGCAAAAGGTCTTACCGAAACCTCCGCCTGGAACGGCCTGGTCTTTGCCGAACTTGTCATATTGTTTTCGTAGTTCATCGTTGCTCAAGACTTGATATGCTTCTCCGATCTGATAACCAGGTAACAATTAGTTTCGTACTGCAAAGCATTCGCAACTCATCCGCGACACGTAATACGTACCGCTTGAAATCGGACATGCGCTGTTTCATCGCCAGGGTTCTTATCTAGATTCACACCAATTGTCAGACCATATCACTATCTCGAATGTCGATCCGTCTTAGCTGTAACCCACCTGGATGTGTGGTGATAGCGAGTTTCCTGTATGCCTTCTTAATTTCAAGCTCGGTTGCCGTTGGCGGCACGCCAAGTGCATCATAGTAAGTGGTGTCAACAACCATGGTAGTTTAGCGCCGAGGATGTGAATAAATCGACTCGGAAGAAGTAGTTTTCCACACGACACAAGCAGAATGAAATTCGAAGCGGTGAGTCAAATGCTGAACGGCTTTAGCTGCACTGGCACAAACTAACACATAGAACCAAATGTTTCTTCTTGGTCCAGTGCTGAGGTCATGTTTTTCCCTCCCCGCCATGTTTGCACTGTTTGCCGGGCTGTGCCGTCAGGCAACCGCGAACGTGCCAAGGTGTCGAGGCATCCAGGCGTCAAGACCACGAGCGCTCCAAGACGCCAAGTCGCGCTCAGGCTGAATTGACTATCCGGGCCGGCGGTTATTCCGTGCTTTCCCCAGTGAACCCCTTTACTTAGTCGCATTTCCTTCCGGCTAAATTTTTCGCTTAGCAACTTCCTCCTCTCTCTCCTCCTCTCTTATTCTCCATGTTCTTCTTTGCTTCGTACGCTTTCGGGTGATGGGGCGATCCACGATTTTACTATCTTGATCTTCATTACAACTCTTTTGTTTCTCAGTCCCAATACTTTTTCACTGCTCTCAGCACCATTTGTTTGGTTGGCATAGCTGTCTTCGCCGTCGTATTCATTTAAGTGCTGGAACACGAGATTATAACGCGCAACCGCCAACATGGGTTTACTGTGGAACATCGCCTATTACACATTTCATCCTTCAGAGCTCAGATCCATTATTCAATGGTAAGTTGTGACAGAAACTTAGTCTCAGCCCATGATTCAATCTAATCTGGCTGAACTATAGGAAAGTATGGCATAACCCTCCACACGAACGTGATGCTTCTCAGGATCCTGAAACACGGAAAAAATGCTTTCAATTTCTGAACTTGACGAGCCGAAGCTTTTCGGCAGTCATTCTGGAGCTTCATCCTGAGTTGCTCGTTGCCGTCACCGTTTTCTACCTTGTCCTGCGGGGTCTGGATACAATTGAAGATGACACATCCGTGCCGCTCGACGTGAAGGAGCCGCTATTGCGAGATTTTAAGAACATCATCGAGAAGGATGGTTGGACCTGGAATGGCAACCGTCCCGAAGAAAAAGACCGTCAACTCCTGGTCGAATTCGATAATGTGATTGCCGAGTATAAGGCATTGAAGCCAGCCTATCGCAAGATCATTAAGGACATGACTGATAAGATGGGCAATGGTATGGCTGACTTTGTCCGAAAGGCCGAAACTGAGGGTATCAGCACACAGACTATTGAAGAATATGATCTGTATTGCTACTATGTGGCCGGTCTCGTTGGAGATGGCTTGACTCAGTTGTTCGTGGAAGCCCAGTTTGGCAACCCCGGATTGTTATCACGACCTAACTTGCACAAGTCAATGGGATTATTCTTGCAAAAGATTAACATTATTCGTGATATTCGTGAGGACCATGATGACCAGAGACATTTCTGGCCTAAAGAAATCTGGTCCAAGCATGTCGACAAATTCGAAGACCTTTTCGATCCCCAATACAAAGAAGCTGCACTTAATTGCAGCTCTGAGATGGTTCTCAACGCTCTTGAGCATGTCGATGAGTGTCTGTTCTATCTTGCCGGTCTCCGGGAACAGAGTGTTTTCAACTTTTGTGCTATTCCACAAGCAATGGCTATTGCTACACTGGAGCTCTGCTTTCGCAACTACTCCATGTTTGAGCGCAACATCAAGATCACCAAGGGCGATGCTTGCCGGCTGATGTTTGAGTCAACGCAAAATCTGCGAGTATTGTGCGAGACATTCCGCACATATGCCCGCAAGATTCACCAAAAGAATACACCTAAGGATCCTAATTTTGTAAAGATTAGCATCGCTTGTGGTAACGTAAGTGAACTTATCCGAAGCATGTCACTGCAAATTGCTAACTCGTTACGATTAGATCGAGAAATTTATCGAGACACTCTTCCCCTCGCAGACTGCCGCGGAGGCCAAACTTAAGCTGTCTGGTCAATCGACGGAAGACGAGGAGAAGAAAAAGCAGCAAGCCAAGGAATCCTGGGAAGACATTAAGATGATGATGATAATTATGGGTAGCATTATTGCCTTCATCACTGTCTTATTGGTACGTACATTTTCCTAATGCGTAACAGAATCCGAACTAACATGATTCAGTTTGGTGTGGCTTGGTTCCTCGGCGCGCGATTCGACCTGGCGTGGGCAGAACTCACAAAGGGCAACTTCCGACCGCCTAATAAGATCGAGCATGGAGAATTATAACATCACGATTGATATGTTGAGGATGCGTTCCTCCCAGACCTGCTTTCATTTTCGCTTCCGCAGGGACGGCGTGTTTTACCTGACCATTGACGAATCTGTACGGTTACCCTAATGTAATATAACTAACAACAACAGCATCAGCTATAAGAGACTGATATCATAATTTTCCCTGTCCCTTTCCAATTATTACTCTCCGAGGAATAGCACGGATGTCAAATTGCGATTCAGCCCTTTCATGGCTGCAGTTGTGCCGAAGAAGTGCTTACATTGAGTTATATTATCGAGGACGTACTAGATGTTTGCCTGACCTACTTTAGTGTGGGCGGTGGCCAACATCCATTGAGGAACCGATACATGCCGTAAACCTGTAGTAAATGTGCACAGCTAGTAGACAATATGGAAGGTTGCTCACTTATTGATCCATCAATGCATGTCTATCCTCTCCCTACCTACAGGATTTTTTTTTTTCACGTATTTCCACTGCCTAGTAAGAATGAAATTCTCGTATCTTCAATGATTATATTAAGTTTATCCTACAAGACAACGACGTCCGATGTATTTATCTTTCCTCGCGGTCTTAGCACGAGCTGTTATGCATTATGCATAACTTAGGGCTGCTTATCAAGAAGATCTTGTTTTTTAGTCATCTCGACCCGTTGTGTCGGTACGATTGATCTGATCGGCCATTCGGCAGTCACCCGCACGTGGAATTACCGACCTATTTATTCTTACTCCGTGGATCATAACTTCGCCTGTCCAGGATAAAGATTTTATGATCTTGAATCTTCCTTTTTCCGTTTGAATACCCATTCCATCTAGCCTTTGAAGCGTGGTTGCGTTAATACCCTTGCGATTTCTTCATCCTTAAAACTTGCCTCTTACGGCAAGAATTTTCACTTGGCTGATAAGCGTATAATGCGCCTCGTCTTATATTCAGCCAACTTACAATACAAAATACCATCACTATTGGGCGTCAGAGCTAATATTCTGGTACGAGGAGTTGGTCATCGAATCGATCAAGGGTTTTCCACGTCAGTACACACCCGGTCTACCGCTGGAAACTATTATACGGGCAGCAATAGCAACAAAATGAGTGATCAATGCGACATTAAGAATGCAAAGGGAGCAGCTTCCTCACAGGGCGCTGCAACAGACTGTAGCAAGCCGAAAGACGAGCTCCCTAAGCTCACTCCTGCTGAGTTCCGGGTATACAACCGTTTGGCCGAACACATGGATTACTTTGTACGTGTATATACCATCTCAATTAGGTCCGTGCTGTATATACAAATAGACTAACATCAATCTAGCATAATCACTTTCGCCACAGCTGGAATGAGCTCTACACAGCCTGCTGCGACAACAAACGTCCCTCTGGCGTCTCAATCCGCCAATTCCTAAACATGGGCACACAATTTCTCTCCCAGTTAAACATGCATCACAGCATCGAAGAACAAAGCATATTCCCCGTCTTAGCGAAGAAAATGCCCGAGTTCAAGAGGGAGGTTCATCTACTCAAACAGCACAAGGAGATTCATAAGGGTATGGACAGACTTGAGGCGTATTTGATGGATTGTAGATCGGGGGAGAAGGAGCTAAGGCTGGATGAGATGAAGAAGGTTATGGATTCGTTTGGCAAGGTATTATGGGATCATTTGAATGATGAGGTGAGGACGTTGGGGGCGGAGAACATGAGAAAGTATTGGACGCAGGAGGAGATGAGGCGGTTGCCTATGTGAGGATTGATTTGCCGCAAGTGACATATCATGTCAAAATAAAGCATAGTTTTAGATACATGCATACTGTGTCATACTGGAGAACAGGTAATAAACATCAAACAACCCTCCTCGGACCTAAAAGGACCATGATTCATACCCGGTTTGCGATAAGCGTACGCCCCCTTGACCCATTTTTCATTCAACCGGGTATCAGCTAAATCCCCTTCCACGATGAATATTTCTTCTATATACGGGTGGACGAAGTTGTCTTTCACATTTGCCGTGTTGGGATCCCATCGTTGTAGCAGTGTTTTGCGACCTGATGTTGAGTCCTCGTTGAGTATCATTTCGTAGATTCCGGGCTCGACTTGGGCCCAGGAACGATTGGGATGACTCGTCGCGTCATGGAATTCGAATTGTTCCATGGTGGAATATTCGACTTCTGTCTGATTGAAAGACTGTTTAGAAGGGCTTCCACATATTTCCATCATTTTTATACCAACCTTGATCAATCTGTATGACACAGATCACACCAGCTAACCAAAATCTACCTATACATCACATGTGGTGCTGGATCATCCCCGAGGTCAGGTAGGCCTTAAGAAATGTTAGTAGCCTTTTATATCGACAGACGAAATATGTGGATAAATTAAAGATATTTATAAGCAAAGAACCATCACGCTCATACCAGGTATGATGTCATACTAGACATAAATTAGTATACCATAGCCTCCACAGGCATGCTTTTCAATAGGTTTTCTAGTTCTAGCCAGTAGTAAGTAGTAAGTCTTAGTAAAAGCGGCGAATGAGTGAGCACTAAGTGTTAAAGGACTGGAACACTGAAAATATTACGTACGTAGTCAAATTTCACCTCAAATACGCTTTCAAATGCGTGGTCGATCATCCGTCAATACGCACTAGTCTGGAAATATACTAGTGTTGTAAAAGCATAGGCACCGACGGCCCCGTCACCGATATTGTTTCTATATGTATCACTTTTATAGGGCGCGACTTTCGCTTGTATTCGTCTCTTCATCTTTAAAATATCATGCATTCTTTCAGGTAATCATGGAGGATGTTGGAGATAGCGCAAGCCCAAAAGAGCGCGTGGAGGACCCCGATCCCCCGCCGTCGCAAGAGCATAAATCTCTGAAATACTCGTTACTAGGGCCGTCTTTACTCAAGGCCGGACAGGACGCGGTCGATCAGCGAAAAGTAAGCATTCATCGGCTCGGCAATCAATAGAATCATCAAATGCTTAATTAGGACTGTAGGTTTCGGAAATTATCTACAATGCCTCCAAAGGCTCAAAGTTCTTCAACCACGAAGAAGCCCGAGACAAAGTTCTCACGGAGAAAATCGAGCAAATTCTAGCCCGCAAGGCCCGTCTGGAGAAGCTCGATTTATCGGCCGATCTTCGGCGTGCCGACGAATACATCGCTGAACTCGAACTGAGTCGAGACCTATCTCAGACTGTAGTTCATGTCGATTGCGATGCCTTCTTTGCTGCTGTCGAGGAGCTGGATCGGCCCGAGCTCAAGCACCTGCCCATGGCTGTCGGCAAGGGTGTACTTACAACATGCAACTACGTTGCTCGCACATTCGGCTGCCGCAGCGGAATGGCCGGCTTCGTGGCGAAGAAATTATGTCCTGATCTGATATGTATACCACAAAATTACGAAAAGTATACAGCCAAGGCGGAAGAGATCCGTGCGATTTTCGTGGGTTATGATCCTTGTTTTGAAAGTGCTTCGATCGATGAGGCGTATCTCAATATCACGGCTTATTGCGACGAGAACAATATGGACCCGCAAGAGGCAGTACAGCAAATGCGCGCGAGGATCGCCGAGGAGACTAAGATCACTGTCTCAGCTGGCATCGCAGCAAACACCAAACTTGCCAAGATCGCCTCGAATCAAAATAAACCGAACGGCCAGTTTTTCATAGCAAGTGAACGTCAAGCTATCATGGCTTTTGTCAAGGACCTCCCGGTCCGTAAAGTAAACGGTATCGGACGTGTCTTTGAGCGCGAGTTGAGGGCAATCGGGATCGAAACCTGCGGCCAAATATACCCACAACGGGCCTTCCTAAAGAAACTCTTTGGAGAAAAAGCTTTTCAATTTTTAATGCAATGCTATCTCGGTCTAGGGAGAACAAAAATCCAACCCGCGGAGGACTACGAACGGAAAAGCGTAGGTACAGAAAGCACATTTTCGGAAATCAGCGACCCGGACGCTATCCGTGCAAAACTTCGCTGGGCAGCGGATGAATTGGAAAGGGATCTTTCGCGAACACAGTTCAAGGGACGGACGCTGGTCTTGAAGATAAAGTTACATACATTTGAGGTTTATACTCGACAGGTTGCGCCTCCGAAAGCAGTGTGGTTGGCTGATGATTTGTATGCATACTCCTTACCGATTTTGACCAAGTTGCAGAAGGAGATACCAAATATGAGGTTGCGATTACTTGGATTGAGGTGTACGCATCTCGTTAGCAGGAAGAAAGTTGGTCTCGATTTCTTTGGGTTTCAGGCTGTTCCGAAGCCGTCACTCAATCCTACGGCTCCTGCTGGCAGTGCCGAAGATGCGGCTGTTGAAGACGCATCGACTGATCTCGATAATCAGCAACTTGTAGGAGATGTACAAGCTACGACGGAGCAAGAATTCGAAGATGCCGCTCGCCAGGAAAGAGAAGACGACATGGAAGAACTCGAACAACTCAGTCAAGAAGATGCCATCGAGTCAACAACTTCCCTACCGCTCGGACGCAAACCCACAGGAACAACAGCACTTACTCCCGAACCAGAAACAGAAATAACTCAACATTGGACATGTCCTATCTGTTCCAGACCTCAAGTCGCGGACGACAAGAAATTCAACCAACACGTCGATTACTGCCTGTCACGGGAAACGATCAAAGAAGCCGTTCAGACTTCCTCATCTTCTTCATCAAAGGCTGTAGAATCCGAAAATCCTATCAGAACTCCCAACGACCTAGCCAATACCTGGAGTAAGGAGCAATACTCAAGGAAGAGAAAGACGAATGCGGAAACAGATTTACGACAAAAGAGATTATTCTTCTCATAGAAAGTCTTTTTTGATGTATACAAATATTCTTGTACATAGAACTAATGAATTCATGACACTGAGCCTTGTTTTGTAATTATACAAATCTAGCCTTTATACAAATAGTAAGCAGACAAGAACAAAAGGCGACCTCTTTTTTTCTTCCATTTCTAAATTCAAAGCTCACACATTATGCCTGTTCGGGGGGTATCATACAAAACAATGAGAAATAGTAAAGACAGGATAATAGAATGGTAAAAATCGAGTGGCGATGAGTGGGTGGACGCGGTCGAGGTATCATGTATATGTGTATAATGTTAAAAGTGATGCAAACCACGAAGAGTAAAGAAAGAGGATAGAAGACGCTGAGCCGAATCAAGCGCCATGCTTGTGTAAAATCGCTAAGCCACAGTTAGGAGAATGAAGAATATGTAATGCTTGCTCAAAGGAAACAAAAGAAAATAATTAGCCCATTGGCAGAAGGGGAATTCATATCACGTCTTGAGATGAATGAAATTGAAACGAAAGCCTGAGATCCAGTCTCAGTGTTCTCACTGTTCTGACTCTACCTTGAGATCAACTGGTTCTGCAAGAAGGCCATTTTCTTCGAGAACGTCATCCAGAGCGTCAAGGGCAGAGAACTCAAAATCTCCTCTAACCTCCGCAGCAGGACTCAACAGGCCATGACCTCTACCGAGCTCTTCTCCGAGTTCGTCTGGGTCAAGGACACGTCCACCGATTTCTATGTCGTTCACGTGAACATTGTACTCCAAAGCTTTTTTGCCCTCCTTGATCAATTCTTCGGTCCATCCAATGCATCGCTTCAGGCTCTGATTTAGCTTTTGACTGTCAATGAGCAGTTCTTGATGTTTGGCGAGATCGAGCATGAATTGCTTTTCGTCATCGACGCGATGACGGGAGTCGTGTTCCGCAAGACTGTTAGGGCTAACGGTTCCATCATCTATAGAATCTTGGTCGCTTTCATCCGACATTTCATCATTCGAGTACGTAGAAGAGAGCTCGCTGATGTCCCCGGTCTCACTGACCACAGATAATCCACCCCCAGAAGTAGACCGTAGAGAAGTCGTAATAGATAAACGACCTGATCGACTGAGACGCCGGAATCTACGCAACTCCGCGTTTTGCTTTCGTAACTCACGTTCAAGCGTGCGATTTATAGCTAAAAGAGAAGAGTTGCTGATTTCAAGGTCCAGAACCTTGCGTTCTGTGCGTGCATTTATGGCATCTTCGCCAAATGCATTAGATCCTCCGTCAATTTTTACAGGACTTTGAGGCACAGTATACGGTTGGTCTCGGTGATCGGTGAGTTGGATAAGAGGGTTTGAAATAATCAGAGGGCTATGGGAAAACTGTTCGGGAGGACTGCTCAATGGCTCGGGTAGGAACGGTGAAGACGATGTTGGAGTAACGCGACGGGACGTCACGCGTGGCGAAGCAATGTTCGTCGTGGAATCGACACTACACGACTTTCGGTGGGTATGATGTGGTGGAAGCTGAGGTGTTCGAGTAATAAGTCCGGGAGAGTGATGTTCAGCGGGTATTGTCGTCACTGACATAGAGACCTCCTCGATGTTAGGGCTTGGTTGAAGACTGCCCTCTGATGATGATCTAGAAATAGGGTCGACTAGCTGTGCAGTCCGTAGTCTTGGGGAGAGCACTGATGGACTCTTAGCGCCTACAGGAAGGCGAGAAGATCCTGTTGAGCGGCGCTTTGGTAGTACGCCTTTGCTGGAGTCATCCGTGTGACTGTCTTGATCATGAGAGCCATCTGCATAGAAGAATGTCGATGTCTGTGCGKGTTTCGAAAGTGTGCGAGGTCGTGCTTCTGCCTCGTGAGATCCGGTGGAGCGGGCTTCGTCGGCGTGGAAGAATTTCGAGGTCGAATTCAGTTGTTCAGACGATGAAGGCGGACGGGGCACTGTCCTCGATCCCGGTCCATCAATATTAGATCCTCTGGAAACTGTTGATTTAGATATTTCTGATCGTGGGTAACCGCGCACAGGACTCCTTTCACTGCGAATGTAGCTTGGGGTGACAGAGCCAGTGGGCCGCGATGTATACGACCCAGCGTGCGTCGCAGCTGATGTGATTTCCGGAGACGAAATGTACCCATCTCTTCGACTGCTCCGAGGGCCCGATCGTGGAGTTATATTGATTCCGAGGTATGTAGGATCTGGGGTTGCAACATCTTCCCGTGGCGGTGGGACGACTGACGATTCTGGTCTTTTTGGGGTCTGAGTGTTTCCAAGGTGCGCGAGACGGGGAGTCAACGGTAAGGGCGACTTCGCAGTCGGTCTGAATGCTGAGCTAAGGGTAGGCGTGAACGGTTTGGCGGGGATGCCATTGTTATGTTTATCTGGATTCGTGGACGGAGTAGGCATGGCGGGTCGGGKGACTGGAGAGCGGCGAAACTGATCGCGCATCATGGCATTGAGCAAGCGTAGGTGATATTACCAGCATGACGACTCGAAAATAGAATCGTATATTCGCTTTCGTATGTACCCATGTGCCGCGAAAGGATGTACAAAGTAGCAGAGGCGAGTGTTTTAAGGAGTCAAAAGTGAGGGTCGTTTTGACGGGATGGGACCACCTCAAAAACATCATCCCCAACCCGGTTAGCGCAGCGGGCACTCGATAAACACGTGAATTCTCGCTTTTGATTGGCCAGTTTGTGCATCGTACAACTAAGACCTCCATAGCAGTGCTTTCATAGTTTGTAGTTCCCTAGATTACCTGTAGGCTTTGAACAAGATGATATGTTGATATCACTCAAGCGGGTAGAGCTGCAACCCTCCAGATGTCCTCAACCAGGATAGCCCTATCCGAAGCCCTAACTCGAATAACGAAATTAAACTGCCATTGTCTTGAAGCAGAAAGTATGGGAAATTATTAGGCAAAACTTATCTATGATAGCCCGAGAATTGTACATGACGTACCTTTATGGGAAAGCACCAACTGTTCGATGACTGTTGGTCTTTATATCATAAAGAACGATCACAGGAAGAAAGCTCTTCGGGAGCCTCGAAAAAATCGAAATATTACTCATGTAGCTTTTAACTTATCTACTTTCAAATTTGCCCCAGAATGTCCAATATTACCCTTAGACGTGATATGTTACACGAAAAATCCTGTAGTAAGTGGGTAGGACTTCTGAAAGCAACAGTCCAAGGCTTGAGTCGCCCAGATAGAGACCAAAGTTGTTCTTAATGATGTACTTGCTGCTACCAGTGTAGACAATATCAAAGATCTTGGTCTCACCCTCTTCCAAGGTCAAAAGAAGTCCAGTTGAAATGTAGCGATCGTCAACAGCGCTGCTCAACTTGAACGTAACTTGAACGTGGTACCTTCCTCAGTCTGAGCATCAAGAACTCAACGCTGTACAACGAATTAGTAATTCGCAATTGCTTCCGTGACTTCTGGAACCTCAATGAGGCCGTCTGAGCGTATTAGAGCGTATCCGTTGTCTTCGAATACAAGGTAGTGACCATCTGTGAGATAGCGTCGCACTCCTTTGTAGCCGTCTTCGTATGCGACATTTGGGGTGATCGTCCGTTATATGATCAAGTCACATAAAATTTACTACTATAGTATGAATGAAGAATATTTAGCTGGAATATCAGGACTAGTGCTTATAGTGGCTACCGGTTATCTAGGATACCGTCATGTGAACCGGGTCACAGGGATATAGCGATAGTATGGAGTACAACCCAGAGTATACCATGAGCCAACACTAATGTCTACCGATATTCTGGAGATTCACCTTTTGCTTCGCGAATAATCGTAAATTTCTATCGACAATGTCTTGTGATTTTTGCGAAGATCGTGATTGGAATCATCAGAAATTTCCCAAATAGGTAATTTTTGAGTCACCATATGCACTATCCGTGAACGAAGCAGACAAGATCATAATCAGAGTTTATCTAGGCTTGAACTAAACATTTTGCACTTTCTTAGTGTATAAAATTTCCGTGACTAACTTCCCAGGTGGGTTGTAGCATTATTAGTATACTACAGATTAGTTAGTGAACCAGGCTCTTTGAGCTTAGATAGCAAATCATCTTAGCACTAGACTCCACGTGTAGCCCGAACAAAGAACTAGTCAGTTGCCATAATCACGCCAAATTTGACCACCTTCAGAGTTCCTTTAGTTTTATCTTATCGCATGTTGAACACACATCTGAATTTTGAAGCAACGTAAAGGCGAGGCCCGAGCCGAATATGTTTTCTCCAGAAATACACACGCAATAATGTTACGAGCAGAAGAATCGCTGCTCAACAGCAAAGATGACTTGTTGGAGAAGACAGAGCGAATCTACGCCCACCGTACCAACACTCAACGGTGCTGGCAAGCGGCTTCTCGAGTTCTAATATTGACTCCATTACTTCTGTCAATAGTCTTGTTCGTTGTCTATTTCCGAGACGTCGCCAAGCCATTGGATCTTGTCGCAGGCAATACTACTACCAAGCCTCAAATTACAGCAAATAAAGGAATGAAACGAGATTTCGGAATATTTTTACATCCAGAAGATCACGTCTTACGAGAGCCAAATGTTCTTCGCTTGTCCTGGAATATCACGAAAGCCATAATTGCTCCCGATGGCGTCGAAAAGAATGTTTTCCTCATCAATGGTACAACCCATTTTATTAAAAAAAAAAAAAAAGAAGTTCTGAACAATCAACTTATGTATAAAAATTATATCAACAGGTCAATTCCCCGGGCCTACAATCGAGGCGCGACCTGGAGATATCCTGGAGGTAAATATTTGGAACCATGTAGAAGAAGGGGTTTCTATCCATTGGCATGGTCTCCATATGAGAGGTCAGCATTTCATCTTTCTATATCTCTCAAACAAAGTTAACCCGACGTTAACAGGGGCTAATCAGATGGATGGACCCGTTGGCATTACACAATGCGGTGTAAAACCAGGCGATAAATTCACATATCGGGTTCCAATCGGGGAACAAGCTGGGACTTTTTGGTGAAATCCCGCTTCAGCGCCGTCGTCTATGTACCTAAAATCTGACTGTAGAAATTAGGTATCATGCACATTCCGAGGTCCACCGAGGAGATGGTTTGTACGGAGCTTTGATTGTTCACAATGTTTCGGCCGAAGCAGACTCTTATGCACACGACAAGGAGCTTTTGTTATTAGTTGGGGATTGGTATCATCGCCCAGCTGATTGGCTTCTTGCTCGTTTTCAAGAAAGAACAAGCACAGGAAATGAAGTGAGCTTTTCCTCCCTGCTACTCCCTCTATGATATTCTAAAATTTCTTCTTGACGAACGCTTACATTGGCTACTAGCCTAATCCTGATTCACTTTTGATCAACGGTCTTGGCCGCTTCAATTGCTCCAAGGCCACTCATGGCAACCCGGTCAATTGCTCAAGCGTTGAACCTCCACAACTTTCGCTGGATAAAGGAATGCGCTATAAAGTTCGTCTCGTCAATGTAGGGTTCGTTACGAGACGTGTTATATTTGAAGTATAAACCCAAATCACTGACCATTGGGCACACAGATCACTAGCTGGAATTTCTATCTCCATACCTGACTCAGATATGAATATCAGTCATGTTGATGGCGGGCTACCGGTTATTTCGAGGACCGCCAACTCCATTGGAGTTTTGTATCCTGGAGAGAGAGTAGACTTTAGCTTGTCATGGCCAAAGTCCACTTTAAACACGAATACGCAGATCACAATCGAAATTGACAAAGAGTAAGTCCGCTCTTCCTTCTCCGTCGACCTCATTTATTGCCGTATCAAATTTGATTATGGGATTTTCTCTAACTAAGAAAGCTAGAATGTTTATATTGAGCAACCCTGCTCTCACTCGCATACAGTCTTTCCTTCTGGAAGCCGACTCACATTTACAACAATCAATTGGCGACCAGACCGATGCTGAGTTGCGCCGATTGAACCTTGATGAACTAGAGGGTTTCCCATTAGAAACATCCCTGCCGGAACCCGATGTAAAGTTCATGATATATACCACTGTCCAAATTTTGAACGCGTTGGATGATGATATTAGGGCTTTGATTAATCGAACGTATTGGGAAACGCCGAGTGTCCCACTTATTGCTTCACAAAGGGATACATGGAGCAGTCATCAGCTTGTTCCATGGACTGGTGATAAGCCCGTCTGGGTAGAACTGACCATCAACAATATTGACATTAATGGGCATCCATTCCACCTAGTAAGATGATATTGTCTTTCAGCTACTTGTCAAGTTCAAGCAAAACACTAACGTTAATAGCATGGATTTGACTTTTATGTCGTCGGCCTCTACGAAGGACATAGCGGCTGGAATGCTTATAACCCGTTTGATCTTTGGTCATCGCCACGCGGTGGCCCATTCAATCTTGTTAATCCGATACGCAAGGATACTGTATTGGTTCCCAAGTCAGGTTATGCTGTGATACGCTTCCTCGCAGATAATGAGGGTATCTGGGCATTGCACTGTCACGTTCTGTGGCATCAAGCGAGCGGAATGACCATGGCTCTACAGGTTCTTGGGGACGAGACAAAGGGCTTTAGCGAGTACGCGTCCGGGAGAGATGCGCTTGAGCAATGCATGAGATAGCTCGTCATGATTTCGAACTGGAAAATCTCGGAAAGATATTATCAAAATTTGAGATAAGTGTTATGTGTTATCTGGGTCTAATCAACCATGACAAAGCATTAGCGATGTATAGTATTCAAGATTAAAATTGATGCAGGCCTGCATCCCAGTGGAGGTTTGCTATGACAATGCAGAAGCGGTTAAAGAAAATTGAAAAATGCTATCGTCATTACGAGTCTCTTAAGATAGGCCCCTTACAGTAGGCTGCAACAACTGTATTTTGAGGATGCAACAGGGAAACAAATAGAAATTCACCCTCGAGTCTTTTCCATCTGTAGTGTCTTCCCACACTTCATTTAGAACGAGTCTTTGTATTTTACTGCACAACATATTAGCCATGAGATTATTTCCAGATCAGGGGTTGAGCCCTACTGCCTGCAGCTCCTGAGAATAGTTTCATGCTGTTACGCTGTTCTTATTATACGGGATACTTGGTAAATACTTCATGAATCTTGCGTACTGTATACTGCATTGCCTAGCTCTTCCTATCGAGCACAAAAAGGCATGCGTGTGGAACATGGTCCAAGTGATACCTACTCAACACATTTCCTACTTTTCTCGAAATTGAATAAACTCTCATAGAATGCCCATAGCAAGCCAGGTCTGTTATGGCATTTCATTCCAAAGAAGGTGTTAATAACAGCAGTCTCTTGAAAAGACTCATTTCATTAATAATAAACTATGGTAGCTGATATCCATATATCTACAAAGGTGGATGGAATGGCGTCTGCCGATACGAACAAAGGCGGGACGCGTAATATGCGCGTCTCCGAGATAAGATCTTATCAGCGTCCACCTCCGACTACCATCCAACTTTTCTGTGACAACATCAGACGATCATCTTTTGCTACTGTTGTCTCGTGTGTCTGATATGTGGCTACTCGAGTCGGATGGAGATCTGCTCGCAGGTATATCGAATCGATGATTCATGTGTGAACAGTCGCTGAATAGGCCGACAGGTAAACGTGTCTGGCTGAAGCCGGGGAAGAAATATCTCTTCGGTCGCATCAAGTCAGAAGGAGGTGAGATAACCAGATGAAATTCTGCTGAACTTATATTCAGTTTGCTGACCACTTTTACTAGTCCGCCATGTCATTCAACATCAGTCGATATCGAGAAAGCATTTGGTGATCGAGGTTGCGTCAGTACAACCCGGCGACGGAGTACGTCTTGCTCATACGTACAAAAATACTCCGTTCTACTAACTCTCGTCTAGGCGCACGTACATAAGAAATCAAAGCTTATAGTGACCGATCAAGGATCAAAATGTGGTACGACCATCGACGGTGTGCAGATTAAAGGGTCAAGCTCAGTTCTTACGGAGGATGAACATGCGATTCAACTGGGAAAATATCCACAAGCACTCAAGTGAGACAAATCACGCGTCTCATGGTTCTGTCTGTGTTCTTTGCTAAATTTTACGCCTTTTTTAGGATAAAATGGTATCCGGTCGTACTCAGTTTCTCCTTTTCGACGAAAGAGCTCAAAGCTAAAGATCCCCTCGGACCTGTGCGAAATCGTCTCGAAGAACTCGATATTAAAACCATAATACCCTACGTCGAAAAGACTACGCATGTCGTTCAAAACAAGAGAAATACTGCCAAGGGGTTGCAGGCTTTGATCAACGCCAAGTATATCGTCAGTGATTCGTACCTCGATGCGTTGGTCTACGCTGCTACACCAGGTGACTTGGAGGCCACAGAATCTCTTTCACCGTTGGAGATCGATTTTGATGCACACTGGCCTGATGCTAACCAGCACCTTCCTCCGGCTGGCAAAGAGCCGGTACGGAGACCGGCCGAAGCCTTTGCTCCAAATACGGACCGAGTTCGGGTCTTTGAGGGATATACGTTCGTCTTTTGCGATGCCAGCCAGTTTGAAAATCTATCGCAGCCAATCAATAACGGTCATGGGAAATCGCTGCTTTTCAACGTACAAAATGGAGAAACAACTGCGGAAGAGCTGCTGCAATTCATACGGAGCGCTGGAGGAGAGAAGGGCATTGACAATCAACGTGATGGTGAAGGCGGAGTTGTTTTAGTCAGATTCAGGGCTAAAGGATATGAAGATTGGTCCATCGAATTGGGCAATCAGGTTGCGTTGAGAATGGATCAACGTGTCATCGAGCAAAGCGAGTTTCTCGATGCAATTCTCAATGTTGACGCCACATCGCTATGCCGTCCCCTACCCCATGAAGAGTCGTCCGGTCTCTACGAGCCTGCGAAAAGAGGAAATGCTCGACAAGGCGTGGTGGAGGATGTTTCAGGCCCTGAAGTCGACGCATCTCAAGGAGTCGCTACACAACAGGAAGATACCACGATGATGGAAACACAGACACAAAGCAAACGTTCAGCTCGATCACAAAGCCGGCCATTCGTCAGTAGGATGAAGAAGTTTGATGATGGATTCGATATGGAAGCCGTGCCAGCCTACCTCTCTGATCCGATTGATGCTGCTGAGGACACCTCCGAGCCTTTTCCCAACAACTCCCCTGGACCGTCCCGGCAGCCATCTGCATCGTCAATAAGAGTCGAAGAACAAGAGGAAGAAGATGACATGGCCGGGCTTCTCCCGGGGGCGAGTGCAATGAAGCGCCGAAGGGTGGAAAGCGGTTCTCGCTCACTCCGTGAACAGGGAGTCAAGGAAGAAGCACCGAAACCAAAACGACAGAAAGTGGACGTTATCGCAGAAGCTCGTCGCCATCGTGAAGAAGAGGAGGCCGCTGCGCAAGAACGAAAGCAAGAGGCAGATATTACGTTTCAGGAGGCCATCGAAGGAATGACGGTTGAGGATATGAAGAAGCTTGTCATTGTCGAGGAATACGAGATTCCCTTACACGAAAAGGAATCTGTGATAGTTGACAAGACTGATCGGTGGGATGAGCGTTGGAATGGTCGCAAGAATTTCAAGAAATTCCGCCGAAAGGGAGATCAGTCCGTCGCTAGATCTCGCATTCAAGCGGTTATTATACCTTTGGACGAAGTCAAGCGTAGGGAGTACGGAGTTGGTGACCACTATTGGGGGAGTAATGAGCGAGAAGACAGTCCAGAACCAATTTTTAGTCGAACAAGTCAGCAACAGACTACCCAGAAATCTTCCAGTCGCACCGGAAGTCAAGTCTCTATGGCCATATCAGAGGAGCCAGCAACTGCTTCCTCAGTCAATCGTGCGCGCTCCGAAGTCTCGCGTATCTCAGCAACACCCACAACGCAACCAAGTCTACGCGCTGGCCAAAAGAGGACGAGAGAGACTCGACCCAAGAGCGACGACGAAGAAGGCCACAGTGATGATGATGAGGAACTACGATTCAAGTTCCGTAGGAGGCGGAAGTAGACTTTCTTGCTTCTCAAGTAGTAATATGTACATTATCAATATCCACAGATTTGTAGTATGGCTAAAAATAAATAAGCAATCGGCCAGCCTTGGCTGGGCGGGCGCCAAGTGAAACCGGGTCTCCACCTTCAAAATTAATGTTCCTTCCCGATTTCATCCTCGTTCCGTCGTATGTTCTTATCAAGGGATCCAACATAGAATCGTCACCTACGTACGACGTACTACTTCTTTTGTCTCATTCCTCTGGTCGCGAGATTACTGCTCATTCCTCCGCCTGTGCGCTCGATATCCTTATGGCCTCATTCCAGAACGACTCGTGATACGATACCCAATTCTCCTCGATTCCGTCACCCCGATCAGTTAATCGGCCTAATTCCACGGGTCCCTCACACCACTTATCATCGATTTCGACTCAATTTACGTCGAGTTCCTGTGATTTGAGAGTCAGTTAATACGATCGACGTGATTGACAATACTTTCAAAACAAAGTTTACCCACCAGCAGCCCAACCGACAGGGCCACGCTAGGTGGGTTGAGAGCTTTTGTCAAGTCGAGTCCATCTCGATAACGACATTACCCTCAGTAGATCTGAGCTGGACTTCTTGAACGACAAGATTGTACAAAAATCTCAATCAATACGATCAACCACCCCCTCCGCCATCATCATTTATTTACGTCGCCATGATTTCTACCGTCCCTCCACCACGTCCAGTCTCCGTGAACTCGCCGATACTCCCCTTATCATCCCCCGTGCATTATCACAACTCGACAAGCATACCCACAAAAGACGCTTATCAGACTTATGATGACGTCGTCAGTTCAACATATTCCCTTACGGCGTCTCTCGACCGTCTCCCTAGCATGGATCTTGAAATGGAAGATTCTGACGACTCGGTGATATTCTCAAACCACGCCAGTCAATCAGAGATACAGTTCGATGATCTACCGTTCGAAATCCATGAAGCCATCCTAGATCATCTATTTGGCGAGCGGACGTCTGGATCAGGCAGCATTGTCCCTGGGCGGCCGGACGCCCGGAGTTGGATCAGGGCCCTTCGACACCCTAGACGAAAGGCTCTTTCCAATCTTGCGCTGATATCACCTATATGGCGAGATCTCGTACAGGAACGGATATACAGACATAGTAAGTTCTCTTTGAAGTCTTCCTGAGACTCGCCGTAACACAATTTTAGTCAAGGTCAAAGGAACGACAGAAGGCCTCGCCGAATGCGAAAATTGGTTTCGGAGCCATCCTCACCTCGTACGCCACGTTCGACATATAGAATTCTGGATACCAGTATGGGGAAACAGGGCCCACAAAAGCGTGGCGCCACACTTGCGCGAAATACCGCCAATTCGGCGATACTTGAACGAAGAAGCGGGGCTGTTCGGACATAATAATGGTTACTTGCAACAACAGATCGTTGCACCGGACTGGGATTTGTCGGATAATAGAAATCGCACCCCAAACAACTTCGCATTCCACGTAGCTAGTCATAACGCAAGCTTGGAGGACATATTTCGACACGTCAAAGAACTCTTCCCGGAGACGAGGATACTGACTCTCGAGGCTGGACACTGCAAGAAACCTCCCTTGATGAAACACTTTGCAAATGACCCATCAGGTCTATCAGGGGAATATCAACTTGAACAGCTTCCGAATATACGAACACTCTTTATGCGTGGGGCTTGGAACATCATGCGCGATTATCAACACTGGACGACGATATCTGAAGCTCTTCCTTCGTTACGAGAGTGGCATTGTGCGTATGCGAAACCCAAGATAGAAGCCTATCACACCATATGTGGCGCCTTATCGTCCCTATCATCAAGCCTGATACATCTGGACATCAGCCTAGAAGGATTCACCAGCAAGGACCAGTCATACTGGTTGGGCGGGAAGATTGGGCACCATCATATGTGCCGAATGCTAGGCAGACTTGCACCACAATTAGAGCATTTATCCGTGACCGGCTATATTTGTGCAGACCTTTTCAACATCGCAAGGGCAGTTACCCACGACCGACCACAAGATGCGCGACTTCGATCAGTAGATCTTGTTGTTAAAACATGCTGCAAGGATGAGAAGAACGAATTACTATCTCCGCTGTTGGATGAGCCGCCCGGTATCACCAACATGGGATTTGTCGACTCTTTCGAGAAACTGGTATTGAGCTCAATCCGCTGTTTGGACACATATCTCGATCTTTCCTACATCCGCATCCGCTTTATCGATCTTGACTCTCAATGCGCCGTCCTGAATCCTTATTTTCATCTGGTCGATAACAAATGTACCGGAGTATGGAGCCATGATATCGTCGAGACACTGTCTCAAGTCCGGCCTGCTGCTCACTTTGTTGAACTCGCTGATGGCATTTTCACTCAGTACGGCCCAAATAACGTCATTATCGGAGCCGTGTATCCCCGTACTAGGCCGCTGAGTATCAACGTCAATACCTACAAAATTCTCTCCGATGCAGCCAAATCATGAAGCAGGCAATAAACACACTTTTTTTTTCATCTTCCACAGTCCATCTGCTTACGAATCTGTTCGAATTCATGATTTCTCCTTTTCTCTGTTTGCTGCCAACACCTGTTAGTCTATTTTCTCGCATCAATACCCATTTGTTTGTATGCTCGGAGCGTGTTTGGCGCCATGGAATCTGAATTTGTTTGCATCTTTTTTCTCTTCTTTCCAATATACGAACTTCTCTTCGGTTTACTTCTTGTTAGCCTAGTGTAGACAAACGGTGTCATATATGTCGATGATCCAGTATTTCATTTTTCATATGGACACGAAGAGTATGAAAAAGTTTCACAATAAACGAGAATTGAAATATATACGTGTTATACAAATGGCACTCTTTGGACCGATAATAACCATACAGGTATTGCACAGGCCTACACACAACATCACTTTTACTCCGATTTTTCTGTTCATCGGGAGGATATCATTTGTCCTTCTGTGTTACAGTCCGAGCATCTTCTCTTTTCGTCTGCAACGCTTTCGCCGGCCATTTTCCAACATCAGAGACGATGATACCCAAAATCCAACAGTTCACAATGAAGAATCCCAGGCTAGCGAGCCATAGTCCAGGTAAGAAAGTTGAGAGGCCCATGAACTCAAGTTGGAAGCCTTGATGGAGCCAGAATGCCTTGATCGTTGTCAGTGTCTGTAAACAGATTGCAAATGAGAGGAGTGTGTTATTTACCTGAGATAGTATCCACATGATCAACGCCCCGATGCCGAGGATGGGGTTACTCATAAATGACGATGAGGGAAGATAGAGCGGTAGGAAGACTAGATACCACAGGAAATACTATCCAGTCCTCTAGTCAGTAAAAACTTGGGATAGCAGGCGGACTGCAGAGACTAACCTGACTCGTACAAACTTTATTAAAAGTAACAAACGCAAATGTTTGCGCTAGCATAGCCCCAGGTAACGACTTCTTCGCGAGAGCCAATGGAATCGCAAACGCAGAGAGGAAAAGCTGTGGCAGGAATGCGACGGATTCGAATTTGATACCTCGGCTTGCGGCGTCGATATCATCTGTAGCGGCGGAGAGGTAAAGTAAGGTGTTGTAAGGAGAGAAGTTGTGGCGATGGTCGATTCTGGTAACATGGTGGAAGTATGTATGCTGAAGGAATGAGTGGCCATAAAGTGAATACATCCAGACATTCAACCCGATGAATATGAGCAGCGAGATGACCGTGACTTTGACACGTTCAAAAGTGATGAAATTGAGTAGTCTCTTAACCAGGCTTGTTGAAGGTGTATTCGTAGCAGAAAGAAACCAGATAATACTCGGTGCATAAATGAATGGATAGATTTTGAAATGCACCCCCAAGCCCAAAAGGACACTCGCAAAGACGATGTGTCGATTGAGCACAGCCCACAAAAGCGCGATGACCATAACACCTAACAACCCCTCGGAGCTTCCGCGAGTACTAATAGTTGCAACCATAGGGTTTAGCAGCCATATACTAGCATACCTCAACCGCGCCTTTTCACTCATCCCAGGAAACTCCGTTCGAAGGACAAGTAACAAAAGCCAGCCAGTCACCAGGTCCGCAATGGCGAATAGCACTTTTCCGAAAGAGAACCACAGCCAATTCGGTTCCCATGTTGTCGGGATCAGGAACCAGGCTAAAAGGGGCGTGTAGCGATAGGTGTCCCGCAGATATGGGGATTGGCCCTCGGCCATAAAGTGGGAGGCATCGGTGAAGACCATGTAGTCGATGTCAGTGTACTTCATGGCTGAGTGGTTGTCTTGGTAGAGGCCATAGAAGAGCAGGCCAACTCGCATGAGAGCGGCCAGAGAGAAGATGACGGCGGGTGAGGAAAAGAGTGAAGGCATGATGGTGGATTTACTGTCCGCTTCATCTATTCTAATGTTGTACAAAACACCAAAGTGCGTTTATATGGATGTTAAATCACCGGGGCAGTTTTTTTGACCATCATATGCATTGATCCATTTTGCACATTGTCAAGTCGTGAAGTTGGTGTCGTGTTTTGGTGTTCTTCAGTCCAGACTGCCGAGAGACCGATCGACACACACTAGACTATCTTGGAACCGGGAGCCCCCTAGTCTATATAAGGCTTAGTGGCCCAAACCATTCTTGCCTCAGGCACCAAGGCCACAAAGTGTCAAGAAGCCCTAAGAAGTCTCCCAGCATCACCAGCGCCTCGGATTTCAAAAGCCACATCGCCCTAATACTTGCATTAGTTTTCTCATATTGGAGGTAGAGCTCAATAGTATTCTGAACTTTGAAAGGAGAAGAATTTTTTGAGTAAAATTGTCATTCCATGCTTTTCGGTAATCTGCTCGGGCTCAATGCTGCAATGTATTCCATCGACAACTTTGAAGTCAAGTTTGACAAACATTGCAGGGTTATACAAACCACTACGGCAAGATATTAGATTGATAAGATCGATTTTTTTTTGTTAGTATTTACAGCTTTCGCTGATACTGGTTAACCATCAAATGTATAAGCCAATGTATCATTGTAGCCCTAACTTGGCATTCCGGTCGTCGAGTAGGTCACTTCGCATACCCTTTCCCACCTGTAAATGATCTCCATTCTTGCAAACTATTTCCACAGACTATCTACGTACTATTGCTACGTAAGCAGACCGCTACATAGCATATAACCTGTTTCATGAACCGTTTACGACTGACTCGTACGTCTATCCACGCGGCCTCTCCCCACATGCATTTAGTGCGTATCCGCGGTGTTACGAGTACTTTAAATATCGAGATTGATAAGAAAGATCCACATAACCATGTGTATGTTGATTAGATTTATGATAGATTGAGGAAGGAGGTCACACTGGTACGTTGGTAAATTACCTGTCGGTCTAAAGTGTACTCGGCCAGTGAATCTGCCTATTTTGAAGTTTCTAGAAATCCAAATTCCTTTCGATGTAAAACAATTGTGGAAATGCATTCAAGATGACTATCTTACCGCTTTTGTCGATTTCATTGCTTTTAACATGCATCCATGCTGATGTTGAGACCTACTATCGGTCCGAGAAATTCGAAGACGGAAATATCGGTCCCTGGCCTACTCAACACTTCCGATCGAGTAACGTCAGAGCACCCATACCAAATTTCGTGCGATATGGACAGGCATGTAGGGATGGACTTCATACATTTATTGCACCGCGTGGTAGCGACGTTTATTCACCAGGGCCTATGATTTTGGATCAAGACGGGCATCTTGTTTGGTTCAAGCCTATGGGCGAGACTTACAACATGAATGTGCAAACCTATAAAGGCCAAGATTATTTGACGTTTTGGTCTGGAGACGACTCGATTGTTGGACATGGTGAGGGGACCTACTATATGGTGAGCAGAAGAGAGAATTATCCTACAAAAGACTTGGGGCTTATATGAATAATAGCTCAATAAAACCTACCAAACACAATATCAGTTTAGCGGCGCAAATGGACTACGCGGCGACCTTCACGAATTCCATATTACCCTAAACGATACCGCTGTCTACACAGTATACGACAAGGTACCCGCCGATCTAACGTCCGTAGGCGGATCACAACAAGGATGGCTCTGGGACGGCACCTTTCAAGAACTGGATGTTGAGACAGGAGAACTGCTATTTCAATGGCGGGCATCGGAGCATTTCGGTTTTGAGGAAGCCTATCGAACTCGAGAAGGGCATGGAAACTCCTATGAAGACCCCTGGGACTTCTTTCACATTAATAGTATTGATAAGGATGAGAAAGGGAATTTCCTCATTTCTAGCCGCTATTATCACTCGCTTACGTATATTGACGGTCGCACTGGTGATATCATCTGGAAATTGGGTGGGAAAGACAATAGGTTCGAAGATTTGTCTAATGGTGCTGCCACCAATATTAGCTGGCAGCATCATGCTCGCTTCCGGGAAGGAGGAAAGAGCATTACTATATTTGATAATTCCTCCCGTGGCCAAGGAGCTCCAATTCATACTAGTCGCGGTCTGTGGATTGATGTTGATCAGGTCAACATGACAGCTAAGGTTCGACAGCAATTCTGGAACCCTACTCCTATCAGCAGCCAGTCACAAGGCTCGGTGCAGGTGCTTGAAAATGGCAACGTTGTGGTCGGTTATGGGTACAATGGTGCATGGACCGAATTCAACCAGAAGGGTGAACCAGTCTGCGAGGTCCACATGGGACCTGAAAAATGGTTCGGTCAGGGACAAATTGAATCTTATCGAGTTTATAAACATCGCTGGGTTGGCAAACCGACATCTATTCCAGTATGGTTGGTTCCGGACCCGAAGCAGGGCATCGGTTATGTGAGTTGGAATGGTGCCACTGAAGTCAAGACATGGATGGTGGAAGGTTCCTACGCAAAGGATCCGGAACACACCACAGGTGCCTTTGGTTTTGTCGCTGCTTTGGCAAAGACGGGATTTGAGACTGCCATTTCTATTCCTGAAAACAACACATATCCGCAACTACGAGTCGTCGGGTTAAACGAAAAGGGAAGACGACTCGGTGCATCTCAGTTTGTCTTGGTTAATCCCGATTTCGACTCCAATCTGTATGAGACCAGTGGTAAAACAGAAGTTCCCGGATTTGTGTTCTTTCTTATCGGATTTTTCACTTGTGCCATGTTCATGATTTGTGGTTGGGCACCTAATTTGATACGTTTCCAACGTCAGAAATGGGAGTCCCTAAACCCGAAGAAAAATCGCTGGTGGAACAAACTTAGATTTGGTCCTTTCAAGCAAAGTAAGAAAGACCTTGACGATGTAGAAGATACGTTGAGTGAGAGGGACGAACTTCTTGTTGCGCATGCGGATGATTTTGAGTTGCCAAAAATGGAAGATGATGAAGCTGAGGAACAAATTCATGTACCTAACACCATCGAGAGAGGCCATACACTCTTGGGTAACACATATCTAGTTGAATAAACCATTTCATACAAAACAAGCCCTGAGGTAGATTTTACTTCAGTAATAGTTTTGATGCCAAGCTTAAACATTCGTTGGACAATCATCAGATGTGTAATACCTAGTTCTTTCGACATTGACCTCGCCAAAATACTATGTATATGCCAGAAAAAAGAAAAAACTTTCAAGGGCTTATCGAGGTGGGAATTAGAAAATATGAAAAACAAGTGGTAAACAACCAAATTAAACCAGGCTCGCCAGGCGCCGGCAATTGTACACTGACGACGCAACACAATAACTAAACAACATCCGTATATAACAACGGAATCAATCACAGATGCCGTTGAAGAAATGTCAATGCGACCCACCCTGTCGCCAGAAAAGATCCACTAAAAACCGCCGCTTGTAAAGCAGCATTTAACATTTGCATCCGATTGCGAGTACTGCAACGTTTTTGGAAATTATTGATGTCATTGACCCGTGGGAAAGGACTTTCGGGGAGGTCGTCGCCGAGAAATTTACACAGCGGACCCCAGCCGTCGCTGACTCTGTATTCGAGCAGATTTTCTGGGGGCACGAGGCTGCGAACTTCTTGGAGATGGTCTAGATAAACTTGTTTTCCCTCATTGAGGAAATCCCCACGGAAAAATGTATCGAAGAATTTGTTGAGCATGGGATAGTACATGCCCGCTGCCCAGCTCACTTTGGAAGCAAGGAAGTGTTCTGGATCTCTGACTCGCCAATAAACTGTTCTCTTGACGGATCTAACAGTTGCACAAATGTTAGACGTGAATGATTGAGCCACTCCTGGCAGAATAAGAATGCGCAAACTTACTCATACCATGAATCGACATCGCGGGTGTTCAGAATGACTTTTGCGTTTGGATAAGCTTCAATCAATTCTTTTGCAAAGGCACAAGCCGGCCAGTCACAGACAGCCTAAATCATTGAGGATTAGTCACGTCATTATCTCGAGGTAACTTTTAATGGAGGTGGTTTGCAGACGTACCTGACAATCACCTAGTAGTTGGTCCCATTCTGCGCGACCAAATTTCCCAACTCCGTCGTATTTTGCGCAGAGAGCATCGTGCCACATTAAACAGTCCGGGGGATTCTCAACACTAGCAGACATCATATGGTACGTCTTGTTGTAGCCGAGTCTTTGAAGTGCGGCCCGAATCGCTAAATAGAGGAATTCAGTAATTGAAGGCAATGGGATGAAAGATTAGACATACACGCAGTTCCTGTTCTGCCAACACCAAGTACCAGCACTTTCATGGGCACTGTGCGGTGGCATTGTCGTCGATCAATGCATGTATCACTCGTGAAGATATCGGTCCATGGCTTGGCTGTGAGGCTAGAAGAATGACCAAGAGACATTGTTGCTAATGTGACGCTTAAACAGAGAGAGATTGAAGTATGATGCTATGTGCCGAGCTTATGGTGTGATGATCAGAAAATAAATAGGCGCTACAAAATCCAGAAATAAGACAGTCTGGGGAACTGGCACTAGAAGCAGAAAATTACCACCAAGCGAAAATGAAGTTGTATCTTTGTTTTTCATACAGCCGTTGTGAAAATTATCTATCAGATACCTGCATCGCTACCAAAAGGCCTCCCTCTCCCTCTAGAACTAAGTGGGTCTTCGCGGAGAATTAGATGTAGTCAATCTCAATGTCCCTGCGTTACAAACATGGATCCGAGGATTGAATTTGGAAGTACGCATAGCTGACGTATACCGATTGGGTACTGACTTTTCGCTAAACATGTCTACAACATACGCGCAACTTGTGCTCGTTCCTAAAGCCTCAGGAGCTCTATACACATCAACATTGCTGAACCCCTGAGAATTGAGATTTTTCGATCTGATACTGCTGGGTCAGCAGTCGTAAGTACAACTTCAAATTTACTAGTCGACGCTCTATTCATTCATGAAATCCCTCTGTTGATGTCTGAGCCACAATCGCTGCGCCATCCCGTTGACGATCCCTCTTTGATAGAATGGGGAAGGAGTTGAAGACATTACGAATTATTAGGCTTGGCAGTATGCAAATGAATGAAGATAGTGTCTTGGCCGTTACGAGTCCTAAACTACTCCCACCACACAAACGTAGGCATTCAGGACCAAGCAGTCTTGATACTCAGACAAGAAACAACTAGCCTTCGTGTGAGCGGACTGTAAAGAGCATCTTTCATCCAGTAAGACTTTATGAAGCCTTGAAAACCTGATCTGAAGGTCTCAGTGTATCTCAATCTGTTATCCTATCAATCAATCACAACGTGGGCCATGAATTTTCTACTCCGTAGTTCGTTCTCCATACCGATATGTACATACCAGTATGTAGTCGTATTTTTCGCAATGGGATTGAAGGGTGGGCCTAGAGGTTACATAGACCCATACCGGATCTATTCCGACGCGTGGCAGATGAAATAGAAAGCATTGATTGACTCTAGATTATTTGTGGCGCGCGGCTAGTTCGGGGAGATTGCGCGGATCTCCACTTGATAATCGTTCTCTCTCCGCGTGTATAGTACGAGTTTGTGGTTCGCGCGAGTCCACGCGTCGTTTATGGGGAGTCGGTCAAATATGAATATTTTTTTGACATTTCGTTGAATAAAGCAAATTAGTGACCCGGTAGTATTCCTTGGCGTAAGCGCCAGCAGATGGACAATACTGATGACTATCTTCCATGTCTTTCTCCCCTCTCATATGTTAGCAAGTCACATTCAGCTGAACGCTTATGGAGATATCTATGCGGGATACTGGAAAGTCACCTATGTAATAATGTTAATGCAGCAGGAATCCGAAACCCGGTCGAGACTAACATGAACACACGGCCTATGAAGTGTTTCCCCTCCTTGATTCCTCGCTTAGAACTCCGTATGTAACAACGATAGTTACGTCCATGGCTCTATCATGACCCACAATTTTGGTCATGGCGTACGCTAATCAAGCCGAAATTTGCACGAGTCATGTTTCATCTTCGAGTATATCTCGTTTTGAGAATTTCAAAAGTGTAACAGGGAGCAAATGCAGATGTAGTCGTCGAGGCTATCAATGATCCGTGGGTCAGGGATTGCGTAAACCAGAGTTTCTGCATTTTTGCAACGGGGCTTTACACGTGGTATATTTCCACTTGTGACTTTCGTAATTGTTACTACGCTCAATATCCTTGAATGAAAGTGTAGGTTACCAAAGCAAGATACCCAGTGCCAAGAGTGGCTTAGTACTGAACATGTCAGGTACTTGCGTAGTACAATGACTGTTTTATGCCCTAATTTCATCGAGGACCTACTTGATCTAGAGTAGTGGTAAGATTGCCGTAAAGATTCCCAAAATTGCCTAGTGCCTTAATGTCACATCTATCCGTTACTTTTCCTATTAACGTATTGATAGATTTCTCGCCCCCAAAACGCTTGCAATGTTTTACTAATCAATCTACGACTGTCAATTTTTGCCAAGAATAATATCCAATTTCTTCGATTATTGAACGTCTATCTAATACCACAAAGTTTATACGCAAAGTAAGCGAAATCAAAACCAAGTCTATGAATGCTGTATTAGGCAGCGATGGTTGAACTCAACGAATACGACGAAAACGCTTCGTGGACAACAGAAACTACTTTGTATGCTTCGGTAGATACATCCATCTCAATGTTTTATTGCTAATACGGTTTGTCTTAAATCTAGACACAATCCTTCATTACAGTCACTAGGGGACAATGACAATAGGTGGAAAAGAGAACGCAGTCAACGTTATCATGATGGCGTTCAGGAGCAGCAGCCGGGTAAGAAGTCAGCACCGGTAACATGGATATCGCTTCCACGTAAAGGCCAGCTCGCCTTACTCGGTCTCTGCAGAGTATTTGACTTTCTACAAATATCATCTCTACAAGCCTACATGTTCTTCCAGCTAAAGTCCTTTGACGAATCACTGACCGATTCTGAAATATCAACACAAGCCGGAATATTACAAGGTGCGTTCACCGCGGCCCAATTTGCTACCGCTGTCGCTTGGGGCCAAGTCGCAGATGCGCAATGGGGTGGCCGAAAGTTTGTGCTTCTGGTGGGATTGTTAGGGACGGCGGTTTCGTGCTTGGGTGTCGCTTTCTCGACTTCATTCGGTCAAGCCGTGTTCTGGCGATTCTTTGGAGGAGCGATCAATGGGACAGTGGGCATTATTCGAACCATGATCTCGGAGAACGTCAAGGAGAAAAAGTATCATTCGCGAGCATTTTTGATATTGCCCATTGGCTTCAATATTGCAGCTCTGTTCGGACCAGGTAAGTCGCACAATTATCACCATATTTTCTCTAACTATCATGTTGCATTAATTGACAAGTGAAATGCACAGTCATGGGAGGTTGGCTGTCAAACCCCGTTGAGACATATCCGAATATCTTCGGAGGCCCTTCAGCAGTGAGATGGCTCGTAAAATATCCATATGCGTTGCCCATGGTGGCAAATTTCTTTTTCATGGTATTTTGCGCCACGCTGGTAGCAATTGGACTAGAAGAGGTATACCATTGTGGCCCGTATTCATCATTCTATACTAATGAGTGATACCATCACAGACCCTAGAATCTTGCAAGAATAGACCCGGATTGAGACTGTACATGCTCAAACTTTTACAGCGTGCTCTTGGATCTACAAACACACCTTCGCCTCAGCAGTATACTAGCATACCTATACACAACCCCGATGACGAGGAAGGACCTCTATTGAACCAACAGGGAGAAGAAGGAGGTGTGGATTTGGAAGACTCCCCGGTACCGGAAAAGTCTCGCCGAATCCTACCATTTAGGAGAATTTGGACTAAGAATGTCTTGTGTACCTTGTGTGCGCAAGCTTTCTTTGATTTTCAAATGGGGTGAGTTCAAATCTAGGCAGACTAAGCCCATCTTCATACCAAAGAAAACTACTAAATAATATCACTCAGCGCATTTAACAACTTATGGCTTCTCTTTCTCTCAACTCCTCGTTACGACTCAAACAACCCGAATAGTCCTGCACGGCATCTGCCATTCATCTTCACTGGGGGCTTAGGAATGTCTCCACAAACAGTCGGACTCGCGACGTCTATTCTAGGCGTCATAGGCATGATCCTTCAGTTCACCATCTATCCCCGAATCCAGAGTCGACTAGGCACGGCGAAAAGCTACCAATACTTTCTTATCATGTTCCCTGCTGCTTATGCCCTGGCGCCTTACATTTCACTCATCTCCTCATCATACGCAAGCCAAGCTCAATCGAACGGATTATGGGTCTGGGTATTCATTATCATTACCCTCTTCTTCCAGGTTACCGCCCGTACATTTACGCTACCTGCTTCGATTATTTTGCTGAACAACTGCTGTCCGCATCCGTCGGTCTTGGGAACTGTTCACGGTATTGGGCAAGCGACATCATCTGCTTTCCGAACAGTCGGACCCATCGTTTCGGGCTGGTGGTATGGACATGGTCTTGATATTGGCGTCATCGGATTTTCTTGGTGGCTTGTTGCGCTTGTGTCCGTGCTGGGTGCTGTGGCAGCTATATTCGTTTACGAGGGTTCTGGGCATGAGATTTTTCTTCCGGGTGAAGAAGATGTCGAGCTAAAGCAACACTAGAATAGACTACCGGATGTAAAAATGCCAGATCCTACAAGTCATTTGCGAATATCGGGCTTTGATTTTTGAACCCTGCCACGACTTTCGTTGACGGAACAGGTCGACGCTAGCTGTATAATAATCTGCAAAATTTAAGCTTCGTAGATACTTGTCTTTTGCCATGCTTTTTATTCATGGTCCGACTACTCCAAAGCATCAGTTAAATGTCTGCAGTTCCCCGCTATGGAGAACTACATGCCCCATGCATGCATATGTATACTAAAGCGGCCATGCTCGCTTACCGACCGGATCTATAGGCTTCACTCTATATGTATATACGTAAAGTCCCAAGCCCGAATCGATAGTCATTTCGTTTCTAGGCATATTGACACGAGAAGCGGTGAGGCTTAAATTCTAGATGCTCAAGTCGACTAAACTCGAACTTACAAAAAAGCGATCACTCTGTTTAGGATTTGATCGGAATTGATAGTCACAAATGTCGACGGATATAGCAGTACTATAAACTTTTTAGCTGTCTTGAAGCTTGACCTGATTCTCACGGCCTCGGTTACGAACCCGAATGCTAATGTTGTTAAGCGATGCATTCGTCATGCCAAGGAGTCGTGCAGAAGTTGAGAGATTTATTCATCGTCCCATCTGGGATTTTGTTCATGGATCCGTGTTCGTGAAGAACATGAGTGGCGTTAGGAAGGGAGCCCTAGATCTTGACAGGGGTGACCCAGGTCGCGTTGAGTCAGGCTTTCAGCCCTACTGGAGATTAGAGATCGTTATTAACTAACGTTTTGGATCCATGGAAAGCGTTCGCGGTTCATCCTTAATTTGGCATTTTATATTCACGGATGACCTCATATGCATTTTTCATGGTACCAAAACAAAAATCTCGACATGTCTGGGACTCTTCGTATTATACTCGTCGTGTTTCGGTGTTTGTTCGGAGAAGCAGTCAAAATAAGCAGCAGCTCTCTTCCATTGACATCCGTGGTGGAGGACCCCCAAACTGTATGCAGATTAGTCTTACGGCACCGAAGCGGATGTGATATCCAGAAAAATCTTCTTTTGTCGTCCTTCAGACGACATGATACAGAAATAAGTTAACCGAACGTAGCAGGCAAGCTCTAAAACTTAACGACTACAGTCGCAATCGTAGAGGCTCTTAGCTATAGAATAGCACTTCTGAAAATGATGACCAACTCACCGACAACGGCCTATAAAGACAAGAAGACAAAATAACCTCTTAAGGTCAGTTTTCTCTGCTACTACTTGATTGCTTCCATGAGGCCTCACTAAATAGCGATATTTTACCTCTGGAATATCAACCAATTAGGATAGGAGGCTCTTCGGTAGGCTTTTTTGGCGGTCAAATCGGCTGATAGGATACTCTACAGCTGGCGAGCGGACAGGGGTTCCTGCTTCAGCCTTGCTGCATCAGCCTCATAAAAAAAGCGGGGGTTAGCTACCTCATGCCAGCTCCTTCTCAATCACACCTCCTTGTGCCAATCACGAACTATTTTGACCCCCTAAAATGGAGGGCAAACTTACTAATATCGATCAGCAAGAGGAGGTTGCGACACACAGCAGGCGAACTTTTCCTAAAATTAACTCTTACCGATTCAAAACTTCCTCACGTTTATTGCGTCGCGGCAAGTCGCCCAATCCAGAGAATGAGAATCAGAAAAATGCTCAAATCACCACTGAGGCCAATACTGCAACCCTGGAGGTTGCTCCGGTCGACAGTAAAGATATCTGGTCAGGTGCAAAGACGGTCACAGTGGATCCAATAAAAGATAATGATATGTGGGCTATAGCTGAAGAGAAATTGCGAAAAGACCCTCGAAAACGTGAGAAGTTGGATAAATACAACGGTATCCTTGAAGCTTATTTCAAGACCAAACTGCAGCCTGTTGGAACGCCGGAGAGACGTGAACAATTTCTCGAGTTTCTCAACTCAGAAATTGAACAGTTAAATAGTGCTACCAACAGCGGGACTCGGCTGGGAAGATGTAGCAACAAGGCGAAGCGTTTCCTTAGAAATGCTGCAGACAGCATTATTGCCACAAAAGGCATCATCACCGCAGCGACGACGCCATGTCTTCCTGCTTCAGTGGCATGTGCTGGCGTGACGGTACTCTTGTCGGTAAGTCTACAGCCATGTAGGTCAGTGGATACTAAATATCTTCCTTTAGTTCTGTGTCCAAGCTGCAGATGAGCGACAAGTGCTTTTCGATGGCTTGAACACCATCTCTGGATCAATTTACCGCATTGCCGAGTACGAAAAGCTCCTTTGCGATCACGGTAACCAGCAAACTGAGGAAGTCAAGGTCTCGATTACAACTGCTTGTTGTAATATCATTGAATTTCAAGCCCGAGCAGCCTGTTTCCTACAGACCAACCCAATCGAGAGCGCACTCCGTAACATGTTCAAGTGGGATGGATGGGATAAATTGCTGTCGGCGATCAAAGAAGCCGAAGTAAGGGTCAAAGATTGCGCGGAGAGAAAGAGCATGAATGATATTTGCCAGATCTTTCTTAAGTTTGACGATGTCAAGGGCGAGATTGGCGAGGGGTTCTCGAAACTGGCAATTACACAAGAGGTAATTGATCAAAAACAGAGAGTCGACGCATTTCTCCAGCTCCTCTACGACAACGCTTGTTCCTACGAGGACAGCAAAAACAGAAACCGTAAGCGAGTCACTGGTACATGCGATTGGTTCACCAACCACGACTTGTTCAGGGAATGGAATATGCCAACAGATAGTCACCTTGAAACGTCACACCTTCTCTTCGTAACAGCAGATCCGGGCTGTGGTAAATCAGTACTGTCTAGATATCTTATTGACGACATCCTCCCGGACGACGGAAGGACGCTGTGCTACTTCTTCTTCAAGGATGACTTTGAGAACCAAAAGAGTTCTCTTGGAGCTCTCTGTACTCTTCTTCATCAACTTTTCGACATGAACCGCCACCTTGTAACACCAGATATTCTGAACAAGCATGGGTCACGCGGGGAAAAGTTCATCGAGTCTTTTTCTGAGCTCTGGAAAACATTCATCGATGTTGCTAGCCGCCAAGAGACTGTCTGTGTTCTTGATGCTCTTGATGAATGCCAGAGTTCCGACAGGAACCAGCTCATTGATGTCATCACCACTACACAAGTCCCAGGTCTGAAGTTCTTGCTCACCAGCCGACCGTATGAACACATACGTCGTGAATTCTCCCGAAATCTTAAAGCTCACATGGCGTCAATTCATCTACAGGGTGACCGTGGACCCACAGCAGACGCAATCGTGCAGGAAATCAAGCTGGTCGTGGACAGCCGAATTGAGGAGACCGCCGATTTCTTCCGTTTAGAGCCTGATGAGCGCCGATTAATGAGAAAACAATTGGAATCTGTTCCAAACAGGACTTACCTATGGATCACTCTCGTTTTTGATGGTTTGATGGAAAAGAAATCCAGCATCACCAGGAAGGACATCGTAAATTTGACTAAAAAGCTACCACAAGGAGTCTATGACGCATACGAAAAGATCTTGAAAAAGAGTCGGGACCAGGAAATGTCCAAAAAGCTCTTGCATCTCATCTTAGGGGCAAAGAGACCGCTATCTCTTTCTGAGGTGTCAGTGGCATTGGCGTTCAATGGACAACGGTCTTGGGATGATGTAGCCGAGGATATGATTCCAGAGGACAGAATCCAGGATACTATTAGAGATCTTTGCGGCCTCTTTGTCACTGTTGTTGACAAAAGAGTTTATCTCCTCCATCAAACGGCGAGAGAGTTCTTGGTCTGCGATTTCTCTGACAAGATAACCACCGAGACCTGGCGTCTTAGCAGCTCAAAGGACTACAATACAGGGGCTATCATCTTCATCGCACAAGGCTTAGCTCTTCTTTTCGCCACTTTGTTACATATTATGCGATCAATACTTCACAGTCTCTGGCTCTCCTTGACTAAATCATGGCAGCATTCAATGGACCCGACTTACTCTGACTCGGTCCTTGCAGATACATGCATTTCCTGTCTGGAGCTAGGTTTTGCAAAGGAGAATGCTTCGTTGTTCGAGTACTCCGCGATTTTTTGGGCAGACCACTATCATCAGTCCGCAAAAAATTACAAAGTAACGGCAGCAGAACGGACAAAGTATCTTTGCCAAGCCGAATCGCGCACACAGTGGACTGAAATTCACAATGAGCACGATAGTGTCCCTCTAAATGGGTCCCCACTTTGTTTGGCATCTGCTCTAGGACTTGAGATGGCGGTAAAGATGCTTCTACCTGAGAAAGACTCCGAGCGTGATAGTCGGACACCATTGTCATGGGCTGCAACGTATGGGCACGAGGCGGTGGTCAAGCTACTACTTGAGAAAGGTGCAGAGCTGGAGATAAAGGATAATAGGTATGGTCAGACACCACTGTTATGGGCTGCACAGAGTGGGCATGAAGCGGTGGTCAAGCTGCTGCTTGAGAAAGGCGCAGAGCTGGAGACGAAGGATAATGATAATAGTCAGTCACCACTGTCATGGGCTGCAAGATATGGGCATGAAGCGGTGGTCAAGCTRCTRCTYGAGAAAGGYGCAGAGCTGGAGATAAAGGATAATATGTATGGTCAGACACCACTGTCATGGGCTGCACAGAGTGGGCATGAAGCGGTGGTCAAGCTGCTGCTCGAGAAAGGYGCAGAGCTGGAGAYAAAGGATATTCATGGTCAGACGCCACTGTCACGGGCTGCAGAGAATGGGCAAGAGGCGATGGTCAAGCTGCTGCTCGAGAAAGGCGCAGAGCTGGAGGCAAAGGATATTCATGGTCAAACGCCACTGTTATGGGCTGCAATGTATGGGCACGAGGCGATGGTCAAGCTGCTGCTCGAGAAAGGCGCAGAGCTGGAGATAAAGAATATTCATGATGGTTCAACGCCACTGTTATGGGCTGCAAAGAATGGGCACGAGGCAGTGGTCAAGCTACTACTTGAGAAAGGMACAGAGCTGGAGATAAAGAATATTTATGGTCAGACACCACTGTCACGGGCTGCAGAGAGTGGGCAAGAGGCAGCGGTCAAGCTGCTACTCAAGAAAGGCGCAGAGCTGGAGACGAAGGATAATGATGGTCGGACACCGCTGTCACGGGCTGCGAAGAATGGGTACAAGGCAGTGGTCAAGCTGCTGCTCGAGAAAGACGCAGAGCTAGCGACAAAGGATAATGATGGTCGGACGCCACTGTCATGGGCTGTAGATAACAGGCATAATAGGTACTACATAATGGTCGAGGGGGTGGTCAAACTGCTGCTCGAGAAAGGCGCAGAGCTGGAGACAAAGGATAATGATGGTCGGACACCGCTGTCACGGGCTGCAGAGAA